GCAACTAAGGGTGCCCCAGTTACCCAGATCTCAGATGGTCAACCACAGGCAACTAAGGGTGCCCCAGTTACCCAGATTTCAGATGGTCAACCGCAAGCCACCACTGGTGCTCCTGTCACCCAGATTTCAGACGGTCAACCACAGGCAACTAAGGGTGCCCCGGTTACCCAAATTTCAGATGGTCAACCACAGGCAACCACTGGTGCTCCTGTCACCCAAATTTCAGACGGTCAACCACAAGCAACTAAGGGTGCCCCGGTTACCCAGATCTCAGATGGTCAACCACAGGCAACTACTGGTGCTCCGGTCACCCAAATTTCAGACGGTCAACCACAGGCAACTAAGGGTGCCCCGGTTACCCAGATTTCCGACGGTCAACCACAAGCAACTACTGGGGCTCCCGTCACCCAGATCTCCGACGGCCAGCCCCAGGCGACCACTGGCGCCCCTGTTACTCAAATCTCTGACGGCCAACCTCAGGCTACAGTCGAAGCTGCTACCAACACTGCTGCTGCACCCGCAACATACACTGGCGCCGCCAACCGTGAAGGTCTTTCTGGCGGTCTTGCCCTCATCGCCGGTCTTGCCGGAGCTGTTGCTCTCCTCTAGTCGACTTGCCGATCCGCTCCTTCAATGCGACGACGAATAAACGTCACCCACTCACGCTCTCTCACGAAACATGCTGGAATTTGGATTGAATTTGCTGTAATGCATGCATAGCGCCTGCATATTGGATGAGATCAGTGCGTCGAGTAATTGGGGAAATAGGGCGAGGTTGGAAAAGTGCATCGGTGTAAATACTGTGGCCATTTCTTCTGCTCGATTCCGCTGCTACTCTAGTCATCCCGGACCCATGGCAAGGAACCTAATAGCTAATGTCATATCAACTTGCGAACAATCTTGACATTCAGTTTCTACGGTAGTATGGAGTATTGTTCACCATGCTACTTGCCCAAGCAATCGTCGACCATGAACGAAATCTGTCCAAGCTTTTACCAAGACCGTTTTCTACGTCCTTGGCCGACCACCTGGGCGACTGGCTGGACATGCACGCAGACTTGTACGGACAGGCTCACTTGGCCTGGGGATAGGCACTGAATGGACTGCTAACTAACGAACACTAGGCACCCTTGCTAGGCGATCTGGGGTAAAACTTCTCTGCACTTTCCCCCGCAGTTCAAACCAACCGACTCAACTCGTACCATCACTACTACAGCACAGCACGCACGAAACACACATCATCGACGTCACGATTTCCTCACAGGTCATCACTCCTCGACTCCCTCAGGCAGCTGTCCTCGTGATGGAAGAAGCGGGACAGTAAGTCCGCGAATCGCCCTGTCCATGCCTGCATCTGGAATGGGAAAGTCTGCAAGGCTCTGAATGCAGACGGAGAGACCCGCATACCCTACATACGTCGAGTCGAGCCTTTTGTGTCTTGCTAGCTTTCCAATATAACGAAGAAGAGGCGGGCTGGACGACCAAGATGGTCATGTATGACGGGCGGTTAAAAGCTAGGGTCAAGCCGCAACCTCTCAACACCATGGATGGAGTACCAGCATTGAAAGACTTTGACATTTGTGGTTTCCTTATTGCGGCGCAGCATATGTCGAGGTCAACAGTGGCCAGACTTACCCAAGGACAGTGAAGCCAGTCCGCCACCAATCCAATCTTTCCACTCTTCGAAGGCGTCAGCTTCGGCCAGCGCTGCAGAAAACAAAGGACATCGGCATCAATGATACTCGTATTTGCAAATCAATAGCCCGGACGAGGTGCATAGCTGAATGATCTTCTCATCAACGCCACATTGCATGCAGGGTTGCCCGATGTTCGCGAAACTCTATCTGGAAATCGCTGAGGCTTCCAACGTTGTGACATCGAGATATAACAGGCAGGATGCCGATCAAATGTTGGTCAGTGGTCAGAATCCCGTGCGTCAGTGTCATCATGATCATTATATTTCCGGAGGCCTGGGCTTGGGACTGGCCCGTCTTTCGAGCTCAACAATTCCAATTCTGTGGGGTTGTCTTGGTTTTTGGTTCCTTAGAGAGCTCTTGTTCCCACCTCGAGCAGAGGATGACCCCGGATCAGCAAAGGTCCGAATTGTGCGCCACGGTTTAGGCTACCCAGCGTTCTGTCGACCTGCAAAACAACACCGTAGTGCACCAACAGCCTCTACTCGTCATGAGGTACCCGAGGAGGCTGTCAACCGGATAATATCAAAGCACAGTCCTTGTTTGACATCTGCGGCTGGCGATGCGGCAGACGTTTCACGGCCGGATAAGCTGCAGCTTATGAAAATGGTCAAGAGAAGCTAGGAAGCTCCATGCGTAAATGCGGAGGCGAAAGCAACGAGCGGCATGCATATCGGACCGCCAATCGCCTTTTTCTATGGCTTCGTACGGAGTAGTGAAGGCTTGCTGAACCCCTCGTGCACCTTACCGCAGTTGGCAGCTCCTCCAACATACCCAACCTCCTTCACAGCCCGGATCGTCTTTCCTGGACGTTCGATCGCCAGCTGCGGCCGTTGTGCATTTTCACGCCCGAACGAGTGCTGGTCCTCTTACGGAGGACAGGTACGGCATTTTGCCGAACACAATCCACCGAGGTTGTTGAAGTTCCACATGTTTCATCTGAGTGCATTTCAGACAGTGCTCCACAGAAACTGTACTTGCTCGTGACAGTCACCCAACAGTCATGATATGACGTCGGGGTCGTCCATAAGTCCTTCAGACTGATCGTGTCGGATTGGTCGGCACAAAACACGAGGGCATTCGTGTGCGAGAAAGGCGCAACAGTGACCGACAGGCGACATCCATATTTTGCCCGAGTACATTAGACGCTACTGCAACGTCAGCTGCTCGATTTGTTGAGAGCAAACGGAACGAACCCCTCTTTCCTCCAGCAGTGGTGAATCGCTTACAACACAATTGGCCTTTTTTCCAGTCCGAATCGGTAAATGATGTTCTTTCGGCTGGTCAGCTGGGACTGGACATTCTGGGATTCAGGTAATGCTCGAGCCTTCGAGGCCAGCTCCTCTACACAGAATCGTTCAAGTCCAGACAAAGTTTCCGATCGTCTATCCACTAAACAGGTCTTACGGTTCCCGCTTAGCCTAGGGTCGATATTGCAGTGAGTGCTAGTGGTTATCAGGCTCTGGCCATTCAGATCAATCCATCCTGGCATTTTCTCCAGAAAAGAGCTCTTGCTGGTGCTCTTGCTCGTGAGAAGTGGAGATCTACATGGCGGCATATGCACACTTCCACCATCATCACCACCAGTTGCCTGCCTTTCCAGACCACCACTTCGGCACGGAGGATGAACATGCGCGTCGTTCATTCGATATATGCACTTCATTGATATGTCCCTTTGAGCAGTCAATACCTTCCCTAGCGGCGCTTGGTCCATCTCCGTCTCTCTCCGCCACTCATTCATGCCGTCTCTGAGCTCAATGTCGGCATCGACACGCTCAAAATAGCAGGATTGTGCAGGATACAGTCTTTTTGGGACACTTCGAGTTCCGTTCGGAGGGAGCTCGTTAGCTCTCATTGTCCCGGATGCTGATCTCCATGGTCAGCCACACTGAGTGGTGTTATGTCGTATATTCGAGGAGCCCACATACGTTCCCCGCTTCTCTCACCACCCGAAGAAGTCACCACATCTAGCCCTAGACTCTCTGGTTGCATACGCTGCCGGCCATGCATGATGCATGTTTCACCCACTGAAGGTTGTGGAAAGATGTCCGTGCCAGTCGATCTCCCAGCCTCCAGCCAATAGCCGTCGATCGAAGCATTTGAAAAAACATTGCTCAAGAAAATACGCATTCACGGTATCGACTCATTACACTGACCTAATACCATATGGTTTGATCTTGGAGAGTAAGTGGACGCCGCTTTAACTGAGCCTTTAGCTTGACATCAGTGAGCGCTCCCTGAGCACTCCCTGAGCAACACACCGACGGCTACAAATGCCTCTCGGCTAGGCATCTGGTTTCAGACGGGCGTCAGGATACCTGGCAGATCCACCAAGTAGATCGTCAAGCTCCTTTTGGGCCCGGTGAATGAGCAACACTTGCAAACTACAGTATCTGTCCTCAAGCAGCACAACAAGCCGTACAGGATCGAGGAACCCCTCTTCATCAACATCCAACTATCTACACTCCCACTGCCTCTATCAAACACCATCCCCTTCCTTGTCAAAACCCAACTGCTCCATTCCGACCTTCAGATACCTCACCATCTCCTCCATCATCCACTTCACCTCGTCCCTATCCATAATCACAGCATCATAATTCTCTGGCTCCTTCTCCTTGGCTTCCCTCTTCAATTCCTCCAACTTGGCGATCATGTATTCGCTCTTCTTCTTGAGCACCTTGAACCTCTCGAGCGCAAAATGCCCGTACAACTCGTTCAGGTAACTCAACTGTAAACTATTCGTGATCTCGGTATCATCCCTCTTCATCGGACTCGCCGCTCGGTATGGACATACCATGGTAATCCGCTCATCGGTACCATACGCTCTGAGCGCGGCGTGCTGCACGAACTTGCCCTGGATGAAAATCGCGGACCCGAGCGTCGCGCCACGCAACTTCTTCACACTTCCGTCGGGCAATCTGAGCGCTGTCTCCCCACCGACCATGTTCTCCGTGTTACTCAGCATCATGACAACGCTGTACGGGAACGAGTCCGTGTGCCAATTGTCCACCGGCACGTTGTCAAACTCGCCGGCCTTCTCCTCCCAGCCTACCGGGACGGGCACGGGGCGAATGCTCTGATCCTTGAGCGCTTCCCGACCGCCGAACCCGACCTGAACATTGGTATGCCCGATCTCGTAGGGCAGGGAGACTTCCAGGTCGATCTTGGTGAACGACTCCATGATCCCAATGACTTGGGGAGACGTCCAGAACGCATGGGTGAATGGTGCTTCGGCCTTGGTAAACCCGCGCAGACACGCCGGCGAGCGTGGCCACCAGTGCATGCGCCGGGCGAGGGTGCTGGGCTGGAGGAGTTCGCGGCGAAGTTCAAGCACGGCGGCGTCGGCGGCGAGGGTGGCGAGTTGGAACGGGCCTGTTGTGCAAAGGTCGCTCGTCCCCTCACCAGCGACGCCCAGCTCAGACATGCTGTAGATTTCCTAGGGCGGGATGTAATCCACGTGGATTTTAGGGTCGAAGGGAACCTTGGATGTGCCGCGGTAGTCATTGTCCGGAGGGGCCGTGGGCAGTGAGCTTGTGTTGTTGCTGCTGCTGATGGGATGGTCTCTGCACTTGGTGCAATGGTCTCCGGGGATACTGGATCGCGATGATGAGGATGATAAGAACGGACCAAATTGCAGGAAGTACAGGACAAGGTGTGCAGACTCCAAGGTAGTCCGAGCGGTTGATGGATCGAACAATTAGTACACTGCAGGCAGTGTTAAGTTAGGCAGCCCGCTCATCTTTATGTACCCTCTGCCAGGCACGAGCGGATGCGATAAACATACCTGTGTGTCAGAATACCTAGCGAGGCTATTATCAGCATGTCTTGACCATCGTCCACAACGCGTTGCTCTGGGAGCCCTTATCTCGTCGTGAATCTTTCCCGTGATTGCTGGATAGTTACCAGTAGTCCATGTTCACGTTCACCTTCATGTCCATGCATGCTTCACTCCGCGTATCGGGAGGGCAAATAGTGTAAGTACTAGATAAGTAGCTTGACGAATGGACTTCTCCGCAATATTTGGCATGGTGACGCTTTTTGAAGAGAAGGCGACACCAAGCACCAAGATGTGTCTACATAGTAGTGTCCCGGACGATTTTCCGATACTCGCTTCAATGGCCTCGCAATCCAGCCCCACATCCAAGTATATTAAACCGTTCAGATCTTGGTCAACTGTCATTCCTAGATGATCAGCAACAATGAGATTCCAATGGATCTGGCCGCCAACTACATCCTCGTAAGACTGGCGTATCTTCATCTCATTGGTCGTCCAGTGCGCGTGTCACTTACAGATGGATAAGGCTGGCGCCCAGCTTTGGCGACACTGACCAGAAAAATCTTTTCAGGCTCAGTCAGTCCCAAGATCTCCGTACTCGAGAGCTGAAGGAAACATTTGGTCAGCCTAGCCGACGATCCAGGACCCGTCGTTAAATTGAGAACAGAAAGGCCGCCAGGATCACAGCAAGCTGGATTAAAAGCTCGGGTTGCAAATGCAGAATCGGGATGCGATCAGGAGCAGGGAAAGCAACCCAGAGACCAAGGACTGGAAGGGTTGGTTGGAAGGTGGTGACGGTGTAGGTATAGCGACACTCTCTAAACATCTTCTAGTATCTTTCTCTTGCTCGAGTTGCGCTTTTAGTGATCAATGGAGATTTGGGCCAGGGCATCATTATCTTATCACAATCTGCCAGCCCTATATGCCTGGCTCGCGAAGCGAGTGCGGTCCTGTAACGTCTAGTACAGTTGTCCACCTGCCCCAATGATGGGTCTCGGGCTTGATAGATACTCTTGGTGGTAGGCGAGGTAGGGGGAGCACTGGGGAGGAAGCAACTCTCGCCGTGGGCTTCTCCGCAGACTCGCGAAAAATCCCTTATCAGTGCGGAAGGTCAGAAAGATGGGGTTAGTACGCACATATGAACCCGTGGTCAACGGGTATTCCGGGCTCTGGATTAGGCCGGTAATGGAAAAAGAGGAATGCGGACTTCTTCGCCCAGATCCGAGCATATCTCTGGATCTCGTGCCCACTGGCAGGTCTAGTGAGAGAAAGTCACCGTCGTACTTGTATCAAGGAAGAGAAACTGTACACTTTTCCGGAGTACTATATCCCATATACTTAAATTGAGCAATATCCTGCACAGAGTTGGCTTTCTCAATCAGTCACGAGTAGTAACCAGTTAGTAATTGTCGTTCCCAGACTCTTTGTTAATCCTACTTGCCGCCAAAGAATGCTTGCTCGGACGGCTCTTCTTGGTCTGCTGTGGACAGGGTCAGCTTTGTGTCACAAGCCCCAGGAACTCGGTGACGAAGAAAGGATCTCTCGGTGGAAGGGAGGGTACAGTTTCCAGGGCATCCAAACCTTTGCCCACCTGCCTCACACGCAATGTCTTGTCGAGCAGGACGCAGGTTTTGACCTCGCGATAATCGGAGTACCTTTCGACACATCGGTTGCGTATCGCCCAGGTATTCAGTCCCCTCCAAACCCACGACCCCCTTGCCTCCATGGATTTCAACGGCTGAATCACAATTGCGTTCGATAGGCGCCCGATTTGGACCGAGGGCGATCCGAAGTGCAAGTCAGCGGCAGATACCAGCTCGAGGCTTCAACCATGCCCAAGGCTTAAACCCGTATCAGAACTGGGCCACCGTCCTCGACTGCGGAGACATCCCCGTAACGCCCTTGTAAGCAGATGGCCAACGCAAGCTTCGTGCACACGCAGCCGGCATAAGGATATCCGATAGAAAAAGGGGAATTGCGGGCTGACAGTTCGCCCAGCGACAATGCAGTGGCGTTCGAGCAGATGACAGAGGCTTATCGAGACCTTCTTCGCCGACCAGCCAAGACGCAACCCAAAGCCGCGACGCCCAAGACTCTAGGCAAGGATAACATATACCATCCACGGCTGGTTACGCTCGGAGGTGACCATTCAGTGGCACTGCCGGCATTGAGGGCTCTCCATGAGATATACGGTCCCGTCAGCGTGCTGCACTTTGATTCCCATCTCGACACGTGAGTTGTTCGGAATGGGTCTACGAGATAGATATCTCGATCTAACCAAGGCAGATGGAATCCGTCGTCATTAGCCGGAGCGTGGGCTTCGGAGCAGTCGAACTACAACCACGGCTCGATGGTGAGTGCTCTCCCGCGGGTGGTAGCTATAGACTGCTGAGAGAAGTCGAACCAGTTCTGGATTGCGCACAATGAAGGACTCATCGCGAAGGATGGCAACATACACGCCGGTCTGCGTACGCGCATTTTCGGGGACGACTACGGCGATTATGCCGAAGACGCCAAGCAGAACTTCCAGTATATCGAGACTGAAGGTATGTTCAACAAGATTTTGGTCGGAGCACATTTCTGACCGGAATTGAGACCTCGACATTGTCGGAATTGAGGGCGTTGTGGATCGCATCAAAGAAGTCGTAGGCGATAGGTTGGTGTATGTCAGCATTGATATCGATGTACTCGGTTCGTCACAATGACCCTTGTGTCCTGGCCTCTGCTGACATGTCACTTCGCCAGAGCCCGGCCTTGCACCAGGAACTGGATGTCCAGAACCAGGCGGCTGGACAACTAGAGAGCTCAAAGCCATGCTGAGAGGTCTTGAGAAGTTGAATATCGTTGGCGCAGATGTTGTAGAGGTGGCGCCGCCATATGATGATGCCGGAGAGTCAACAGCCTGGGCTGCAGCAGACCTGGCTTATGAATTGCTGGGATTGATGGTCGCGAATCCGCCATATCCTGTTGACGGATACGTCGCAAAGAAGAAGTTCGCACGCAAGTGGCATGAAGCAGTGCCGAGGAAGGATGAGCTTTGAGAGTCGAGTATTGCAGAGATTCTCCCCGTGTATGGCATGCCAATGCTTCACTTAGTGGAAACACTAAGCCAAAGAGATCTTCCAGTCCCACTCCTGCAGTACGGTCTGCCAATCTGTCTGGCCAGTAGCCCAGAGGTATTCGAGAAGATTTCACGAGCCCTAGCAGTGTGCTTGAGCCTCGTCCAACCCCGAATATGATCAAGTCGATCTTTGACATAGTCCCGACAATCACTCTCATCTGCTGCCAGTCAATCCCGCCATGAAAAGAGGAAATGTCAAGCCAATCTCGCAGTATGAACCAGACGGAACACGCAGAAGGTGGGTTTTTAGCTCCTTTACACATTCGCAAATTCGAGTCTCGTACGCAGTCGCGGTAGTGGTAAGCCGGCTAAGGAACTGATAAACGTGCACTAAAGCTGCGAATCGCAAAGCTTCAGCATGGTGAATCAGAAGTCCTAGATTGGTATCGCTGAGATTTGTCGGAGTTCTCAAAGGGGATGACCGCAAAAGCCGACCAAGCCTGTGCCCGTTCCGCAAGATATCGCTGGCGTCGGAAGATGATGCGTTCAAGCCATTTGCATCGGCAATCAGGACACACATATCAATGATACAGCCGACGATCCCATGTGCCACACCCATCAGACAATCTGCGGAGGCGTTGGTATCTGTCTGCATCCATGAGGTTTTGCAGAACCGAGGGCGGCATCCAGTGGTCAGCGCAGCCATGATATCGTGATACACGAAGTTTAGTAGGAGAATGAACCATCGCTTGTCTGGCGTAGTCGTTCTGGTGGTCCTAAATGCTCAATGAGATGACCTGCACCCTGCAGGTGAATGTACCACTGCTTTGTGTCCCCACGAACGACCTCAGAAGGGCTGGATATAAGAGCGCAGGCAATGGTACTTTCCGAGGTGGTGTTTCAACAAATCGAATGGGAAAGGCCTCGCACGGCCTTGCTCTCAAATCTCAGTCGCGCTTGGGGATCGATGTAGAGCTGGTTTCGGATCGCAGGAAAGTGGCTAGATGCATAGGCAAAGAGCGCGTGTAGCAGTGAGGCATCATCCATCGCCATAGGCAGCAGCATGTTGCGGAAACCGCTACTTGCATCCTGCAAAATCGAACACAATGGAGACAACCTTTCCAGGTAATACTTGAGCAGTATTCGTTCCAAAGAACCATTGCCACAAGAGGGAAGCGTCGCCACATGAGTGGACACGCTAGGGGCACAGTAAGAGACTTTAATGCTCGACTCGTCTCCCTTGTTAGGCCGGGGAGGAGAATGCCCGATCGGTGACGAGGGCAAGTGGGCATACATGCCGTTGAACGAGCCCAGCTCTCTCCGAGCGTCCTTCTTCATGGCTGCTCTATCAAATCCGGAGATTGGCGCCCATACAGATAGTTCTTGGAGCGTGATAAGGTGCTGATTGGTGAGCCTCGTCTGGGGAAGGCCATTACCCGAATGATACTTCGGACATCATGGGCGCAGCTGCGCGAGGAGGCGCGTCAACGTCCCTCTATCTTCCACTGTCCTCCGCGTTGATAGTCAGCTGTTTGGGGTTCTCGAACATCCGGAATGTTGGACAAGGTGGGCGCTGAATATCCAGATCACGTGATACCAAGACTTTACAGAGCTAATCCTCAATAAGCGCTTCATATGGAACTTGCCGAGCGACGTCATAGTCAAACAAGCGACCGATGATCCATGTCCAACTTCTTTAACTCAAGAAATACCAGCTCGCCGGGTGGTAACCAGCGAACATTCCCACATCTCTCCTGGCCATTCCATCACCCTCTGTGCTCAAACTGTACTGATCCATCTCGTTTCGTTCACATCTAAAAATGGTCCGCATAGAAGTCGGCGGAAAGCCCATCATCGATGTCGACACCGTACGAGGCGACTCAGCCCGTTTGAAAGACCATTTCCGACAGAAAATCAGAGGCAGCGGCCGTGCCGTCCACTTGAGCTGGAACACGACCGTGCCTCGCCTAGTTTTGACCAGTGACACTGACGACTTCGACCCGACTACCATATCACACTTTCAAGAGGAAGGCTTCCAGCTGAGTTACCTCGCTTACGATGGGAACAAGGCCGACTATATGGCCAAATTACAGCATCTGCAAGATCCGCTGGAACTTGGAGAGAAGTATGCTATTGTAGGTATGTAAGGTCTAGAGTATTGCAACGCCACCATTACAACCCTACCATCTACATGGCCGTAACTGGTCCTCCCCTTGTGTGGCTCCCCAAGTTCGAATTGACATCTGACAGCATTTCACATCCAGCCTACGGCGACGCCGCAGCCCACGTCCTGGAAGCATGCATGAAGCCCATGCCGAAGCTGGTCGCCGTGGTGGCATACTATCCACCCTACATGCCGCGCACGACGACCAACTTCCCCCCAACGCTCGGCGTGTTGATCCACCTTGCCAGCTCTCAAAAATTCGGCACCCGTCACCCATCCTACCGGTATAGCAACACACGCCCAGGCTTCGCCGAGTACGATCTCGAAGAATTCGACAAGATCGCCGCCTCGCTCGCGTGGAGTCGCACACTAGGCTTGCTCCGTGAGTCTTTCGACATGCAACCTCCCGACCTCGAGGCGCTCTGGGAAGCCCAAATGCGCCGCGAATTCGTCGAGAAGAACGCCGACAAGACTATGGCCACCATGGTGCCACAGCCATATGTCAACTACGTCCCCACGATGACCGGCGGTATCGGGCACGACGAGCTGCGCCGGTTCTATGAGGACTTCTTCATACCCAACAATCCGCCGGACTTCTTAATCAAGTTGCTCAGTCGGACAGTCGGGGTAGACAGAGTCGTCGATGAGATGTTCGTCAAGTTCACGCACACAACAGAAATGCCGTGGATCCTACCTGGCGTGCCGCCAACGGGGAAGAAAGTTGAGGTGGTGCTGGTGAGTGTGGTGTGTAGCAGGGGAGGGAAGTTGTTCCACGAGCATATCCACTGGGACCAGGCGTCGGTGCTGGTGCAGGTGGGGTTGATTGATCCAAAGTTGATACCAAAGACATTCAAGACGGCGGAGGAGGGGCGGGAAGAGGAGGTCGAGAGGTTGCCGGTTTGTGGGAGAGAGGCGGCGAGGAAGGTGCTCGATGAAGACAGTTCGAAGAGCAATCGATTGATTCCTGATTGGTGATTCTCGAGGAGAATTAGACCAGCATGAAGGGACATTTCCTGTCGGTCTTGGGTTCAGATGTGCCGGGACGCGAAGGACGGCTTGGTCGGCGGAAATGTATCCTTAGCCTGCTTTGTTTATGATTGTGACCTTGATCCACGACCATGATATCCGATGAAATCCTTCGTGTCTTGTGCCGGCCAAAGATCATATATATCCAGTTCATCCTAGCGACCTCGCTGTTTCGTGACCAGCATCCCATAGTGTGAGTGCCTGTGGACTGAAATCAATCCTCTGATCGGGTCGACACAATCATAGCTTTCCCCTCCCATGCCCTGTCGTAGTCATCGGGTACAGCTCCTTCGTCGCCCACTCATAAATGTCCCTGAACCTCGCCAGATCCGTCCTGGCGTAATCCTCGACATCCCTCCACACTCTCCTCCTTTGTCCGCGCCCATCCTCCAACACCAAATCTGGCGTAAGGACCTGCGTTTTCATATACTCTCGACCAAGCCGCTGGCTCTCCAGCGGATCGAGCATGCGCTCCAATGCTGGAATCTGCTCCCCACTCTCCGTACGCATATGCTCGAGCAGTTCTGCGAAGAGCCTGTCTACCACTTGCATGAAGTCAGGTGCGTCTGGCCCCGCTTCGAAAAGAGCGAGCAGCTCAGACTTTGCACGGTCATGGTCCGTTCGGTCGTGCTCGGCCATACGCTCGCCCTCCTCACCGAGATGGACGACGAAGGCCGGACGCATTACGATGTCTTCAGATACATCGTGCCGGACCAGGCGCCATAAGACCTCCGCCAACAGAAGGGCACGGTCCGCGGATGTTTTGGCTCGTTTGAGACGGCCGGCAAAACGGTTGATCGTGTGATGGTCGGTGTCGATGACCGTCGAGAATGTGATGGGTGGGTCGAAGGCGGGGGACGGAGCAGCCATGTCAGAAATGCTGGTGCTGGTGTTGGTGCCGGTACGGGCACTGGTAGGCGTCTCGGTATTGGTGCTGGTAGTGGACGATCGCAGACTGGGGGAGACAGGTGCGGATTCGTCGTTCTTGAGGTTGCTTTTCATAGAAGGATGGTTGGGTCCCCAGTACGAGGAAAACAGGGTATTGATATATCGGTCAGAAGTCGGTAAGAGAGCGATAAGGACGACATTTACGAAAGCAAGTGTAAGCGGCAAGCAAAAGGACAAGGAAAGTAGAGGTCCAAAGTAGTCAGGAAAGGGAGAAAGGAAGTCATCCAACGGTGGCAAACAGACTCAAGCTCAAGCTCAAGCTCGTTCCAGGCTCGGAACGATTGGAATACCACCCTGGCAACCCCACGCAAGGCGATTGTCTCCCAGTGACAGACGTCGAAGAACACGGCATCGCCGCGAGTCTCGTGGGTGATAAGTGGAAAACGCCCTTCGCAACTTGAACCGCTGAACTCTACGAGTACCAGGGGGGCCATGGACGCCACACCGACGAATCACGGCGTCGCCATTGGGAAATCCGAGCAAAAGTACAATCTGGCAGCGGAATCTGGACTAGTGGAAGCAGGGCTGCAATGGCCATCCATGATCCCAGACGCTAGGATCTGATTGCATGCTTCCGAAAGAGCAACTTGAAGGTTCTCAATGCTTGGAACCTGTGAAATGGGCATTCGAGCAAGATCCTCGTTGTCCAGGTTCAGACTTGGGAGTGAGCTGACGGCGGACGAATTTGTCATCAGATAGTTAGATCAAGACCTTCTTGGTACACCATGGCTTCATTACGGGCGTTGTAGAGGGAAGTCATCTACAACAGTAAAGCAGACAACCACGAGAGAGGAAATAAAACAAAATAACCAGTGCACGACGCTGCCACGAAGTCAACCGGAAACTCGCTTATGCCCCCTGGTCTGAACCATTTAGAGAACCGCCAATGACACGACGATTCAGCCATAGTATTACTAAAACTGCAGAATTCCGCTTGAACGCAGCAATATCCATGGTAAGAATATTCATTCGTCACAAAACCAAACATGCATGATATCAGACAGGTTGGTGCCTGATTCACCGGGACGGTATCGAGTCTCCAGACTCATACACCTCTCGACTGTCCCAAATTCGCCGTATCAGAGCGTCTTCGGGTGAGAGACCTTGTTCGTCATCCGGTCCATCATCTGGGCTGCCTCGAGACGGAGTCACCTCAATATCATCATGGCTACTCTGCCGCTGAAAGTGTACCCTCCCACCTCGACCGCGACTGCTCGGCCGAGATGCCAACGAAGATCTATTCTCTTCAAAACTCCTGCTGATGCCCGCCTTTGCAGTTCCATTGGCAGTAGGTGTGCTAGGCCCGCGCCGACTGGGGGGCCTGTTTTTCGAGGCTGGAGGAGTCGAAGAGAGAGGGCCGACCTCGTTTGGCAAGACATTGGCCTGTTTCAGCCTGTTCAAGCTTTCCATGATTGGACTTCGAAATCTCCTCACCACGTTCAACTGCTTGACGGCACTTTCATAATCTTGCTTCACGGCCTTCAAGTCTCCAGCCAGGCCTCGGCCTCCGGCTAGAGATCTGTTGCGATTTCTAGAGCTTGTCCGACTATGCAACGATGTGGAAGAGCCCATCGCCAGACCCATGCCGTGAGCTGGCGGGGTTGTCGGTGTTGCAGCCCCCGCACGCATGATCTCCCTCCTTTGTAGCTCAAGTTTCTGTTGGGTTCTTGACGGGTGTGTCGGCAGGCGCATCTTGTGTAGTGTCCTTGTCTTCTCGGGTGACTCGGAGGGCTGCGGTTTGTAGTTGTCCATGAAGTTTGAGGGTGAATCGTCGTCCGACTCGTCGGCGACTTGCTGATGCGAGGGAGTTGCACCCTCCGCGAGGAAGTGGGAGACACCACCATCTACCGATGATGAGGCAGGCCCCTGCCCAGAGCCCGAGCCAGACGCCGTTGGCGTAGTACGCATGGACGCGGCTTCACCATGCGTGATCTGAGTAAAGGATTTAGATGAATCGCTTCGCAGTAGCTGACTCGGTCCGACATGCGCAGAAACTGTGGACATTGCTGGTGGCGCACGAGATGCGCGAGGATGTTGGTGGAGGAGGGCAGGATCGGGAGGAAGCTGTGTTGGCGAGACGTTGGAGTCCTTTCTCGAATCAGGAGCAGATCGATTGTTTGTCCTCAGCTCTGGATCAGGCGGCGCGAAGGTCTTTGGTGGCCGGCCGCCAGCCATTGCTGCCGCAGGATGTTGTGAGACTTCCTCGCCATTCGGAGTGCCTACTCTTGCGGGCGTAGATGTTTTGGAATTATTCCGTGTCATCTCTGGTGATTGAGTGGCTGAATCTTCCCACTCAGCCTCCTCTTCGTCATCCGAAGAATGATCTCCAAGCTGGAAAACCCCATCTTTCTTCTTGTTCTTCTGTTTGGGCGCCGGAGCAAGTCCAATCTTCTTCAAAGCCGGATGAGAGGTATTGCGAGCCAATGCGTTGGCGGACTGATTCTTCCGCAGGTTCCCGTGGGATAAGTTCTTCGGCAGAGTGACATGGGAGCTGTTTCGTTTCATAAGGGGTACTCTTGGACTCTGAGGAGGGGTGGTGCCACTGGACTTCTTTCTTTGGTGATGATGATCGGTGATGATGGCAGCTGTTGAATGGACTCTACCCAGCTTGCTGAGGCCTTTGCCGTGAGACGCATTCCTAGAGTGCCTGGTGACTTTCTGAGGACGGTGAACTTTGTGAGTCGTGGCTTGCTTGCTCGAAGACGATAAAGACTGGGTGGACGAGTTACGTTCGTTGAGTGAGGGCCTTTTCATCGGCGAAGGCGACGCGGAAGGCATGGTGCTGAGCCCATAAATTTGCGGTGGATAGGGAGAGAAGGCAGACGACTATTGTTGTATGGAACTGAACGTCATGTCTAGGCTCAATGGTGGTGCTGAGATGCTGGATAATAAAGCAAAGCACGAGGGTGTTATTCTGCACCGAGAAACAAGCCACTGCGCACCCAACAACGTACTGCGTAGATTTGCTGGTAGTCACAAGTCTCAATCGCAATTGCGGGCTGCGGGCTGCGGGCTGCGGGCTGCAGTTTAGCTAAGACCCAGCTAAGACCCCCACTAACTTAAGCACCTCTTGCAAAATCCGAACCAATAACCATTCACCTATAACTGTGATGGTCTCTACTGTACAAGCCATCAGATCTGGTCACCTGGCATTCTTCATAACTATCGACTATAAACCCCGGAGCATCGACGACAGGCTGATGAGAAGAAAGTTCGAGCCATGGACAGCGATGCATTGACGCGCAATATAACTAACAAGGGAGATTAAGTTTCAGGGCACTCCGAAGCTGACTTCGGGAGAGATGGAGACGTTGCCTAACGGTGTGGAATCTCGAACCTGCTGGTGTGAGGTGCGTAGCGATCAAGACTCCGCAGGCTGGGCTTGTTGAAGGATCGGTAGAGGCAACATTGATGAGGCAGAAGATGAGAAAACCATCTCACTCGGAAAGAGAGCCGACCAGTATACCTAGGGAGTGACGTGAACTCAGCTATACCGTCATGACATTTGGCTCTGAGGTCAACGTTACCTTAAGCATCAAAGGAGATCGAAGACCGATGGGTGGGAGGATTTGAGATGACTTCATTCTTGGTGGTCGACCAAAGGTACCTACATAGTACAATTGAGTCGTTGATAAGCAACAAACAACAAGAGCAATGTCTATCTTGCCTCACCAGGTAGTCTTCGCACGGCTCATTTCGTATTCTCTCTCTTAGTCATCCGCATTGACCTTCATTCGTAAAGCCGCGTGACTGTGAAACCAGACAGGTTACGAGTTGCTTTTCCAAACTTCAGCCCATTCCTTGATATCTGTTTCATCTCACTGTCCACGTCCCCTTTTTGGCACTTCAAGGTCGCTTGTCGGGGCGCTGACCGCCGGAAGCCTCGTAATTGCTCCTCAGAGTCACTGAAATCTATCGTTTCCAGCAGTACCAGCCGTCAAAGCTGGCACAACTGAAACATGCTTGTCGAGGGCAGTACCCTTCAAATCGAGGACTATGGCCTCATCGGCGATATGAGGACTTGTGCACTTGTTGGCAAGAATGGCAGTATTGATTTCATGTGCTGGCCACAATTTGACGCGCCATCAATCTTTGGCAGACTTCTGGATACTAGCAAGGGCGGCGGAGGCCACTGGAGCATCGGTCCTCGGAACAGCACTGTCTGCAAGCAAAATTACAGATCTTCCACGAACATCCTACAGACCAAATGGATTGATGAGGAAGGCGTGGTTGATTTGACCGACTTCTTCGCATTATCAAAATATAACAAGCTCCTCCGTGAGAAATGGAGCGGCTCAACACTGGTACGAAAGCTCGAATGTGTTCGCGGCCACATGTCAATCGACATCGAGCTCCGGCCACGCCCTGGTTACGCCTCAAATACAGGCTTCATGCACGGCTCAGAGGTGAAGACCGAAGATGGCACGTACCATCAATCACTTACCTGGATCCCTGAGGATGACGATGGATCAACGGACGTCCCCGAATTCTACGTGGCATATTGCACGCACGACCGCCCTCTTAGCGAGACGCCATTAATGTTCCAACCAGCGACAAACCACAAAGGGGTAGAAGACAAACTCCGTGCCACATTCGACATTCAAGAAGGCCAACAAATCTACATGATAATGTGCAACAAGCACGTCACACCGCACCTGACCCACGATCTCATCGCGGGGCTCGAACAAGATACCTACAAATTCTGGACCAGCTGGATCCAACCTTGCTCATATCGTGGCCGCTTCCAACAAGAGGTCGAGCGCAGCATGTTGATCCTCAAACTTCTCACCTACGATCCCACTGGTGCCATAGTAGCCGCGCCAACCTTCTCTCTTCCTGAAGCCATCGGTGGGCCCCGTAATTGGGACTACCGCTATTCCTGGATTCGCGACTCTAGCTTTACAATTTATGTCTTTCTGAAAATGGGCTTCCCGGCCGAAGCCGAAGCATACATCAATTTCATCTTCGCGCGCATTGCTGAGTGGCGTAGACAAACCGAATCCTCCTCCACAACGCACCACTTACCTCTGATGTTTAGCATCGACGGCTCGACATCTCTACCCGAAATTACCCTCGATCATCTGTCCGGGTACAAAGACAGTCTGCCCGTGCGCATCGGCAACGCCGCGACCGACCACGTGCAACTCGACATCTATGGCGAACTCATGGACAGCATCTACTTGTACAACAAGCACGGTAAACCCGTCTCGTACGCCCAGTGGCTTGACATCCGCTATTTGACCGACTTCGTCTGCGACATCTGGGACGAGCCGGACATGTCGATCTGGGAAGTCCGCGGTAAGAAGCAGCACTTCACATACTCCAAAATGCTGCTGTGGGTTGCAGTAGACCGAGGCCTCAGGCTAGTGGATAAGCGCAACTTTCCATGTCCCAATCGCAACAAGTGGCTGCATACCCGCGATCAAATCTTCGAACAGGTTATGGAGAGGGGTTTCAACTACGACTTGAATTGCTTCGTCCAGAGCTACGAAGCACACACGACCCTCGACTCTGCCGTTTTGATAGCGCCCCTGGTGTTCTTCATGTCTCCTAATGATCCGCAGTTCGTTGGGACGCTGGACCGCATCCTCCGCACACCTGAGAAAGGAGGCCTCACGTCTGCGGGCTTCGTGTTTAGGTATGATCACGAGAAGTCTGATGATGGTACGTAATGCACACCCTACCCCTTCCAAGGTATTATCTGCTGTGTCGTCTCTAAGTCTCCACTGTCTGCAGGCGTCGGAGGTCGTGAAGGCACATTCGTCATGTGTACGCTATGGCTCGTCGAAGCGCTCGTCCGCGCGGGCAAGTACGACAAAAAATATCTCGAAATCGCCAAGGGCATGTTTGAAACAGTCACAAATTTCCGAAACCATGTCGGCATGTTAAGTGAGGAGTTTGCGATCAGTGGTGAGCAGCTGGGAAATACGCCACAGGCGTTTAGTCATTTGGCGTTTGTCAGTGCGGCCATCAACTTGGAGCGCGTCAAGAATGGAGATTGAGACTGCATGATGAGAACATAGGGACGCAACTCTGACAAACCCTTTCCTCTCCTAAAAAATCCCTAGTAATGATGTGTAGTCTTTGAGCCGAAGCCGGTAACGATTAGATTAGATCTGATGAAGAGGCTGTGCTCACTGGGCAGCTGGGGTTCTTGGCCGCTTTACTCCGTTCGGTTTGGAGCACTACTGTAGCGATTTCGACTGTGGGGAGCTCTTCCACTTCGTTGCATCCTCGCCATCTCTAGTTCTTCTGCGAGTACTTATATTAGGGGCTCATTCATATTCGTGCAATAATTCTGTCGGTCCTGGGTCATTAAGTTGCATCCAGACTGAGCACCGGGCTCCTCAATCATGGACTTCTTGAAGAATCTAGCTGGGGGAAAGCCTTCTCAGGCTCCTGTCGCGGCCGAGGATTCTGGTATATTCAGCCGGACTCGCCCTCTCTCATACGTTTGCTAACGGTTAATGTAGACTTCGCAGACTTTGCCGCCGCTCCTCCTCCATCGCCAGCTTCAATTCCATCCTCCCCCGCCGATGCGCAAGCTGCATTGCCCACAGGGACAGAAGGAACTGGAGTCGTCTATACAAAATGGTATCGAGTTTGGGAACGAACACAACTGTCCGACTTTACGATGGAAGCCGTTATAATCCCAATCATCCTACTCGCACTTCTGGTACATTTCTGGGGAACTCGGCGGAACTCGAAGAAAGCAAAGAAGTGGATGGCTGTCCATGCGCCTTTGCTGGAGCGAGAATTTGCTCTCGTCGGCTACAGCCAAGTGCCCAAAGTGACGCCATACGCTGAGGGCGTTCAAGGCGACAATTTACTGACGGCGAGCGCGAAACTGAGTGGCGACAATGTCCCAGAGGATATGCTCAAGGAGAAGGCTGCTTGGGAATATCAGACCTATGCCACTGGACGACAGAATGCTGCATTCGTGGACGTCACGATCTACCTGAAGAGGCGGATGAACCCGATGATGATGATTGCGGAACAAATTGCAGGCATGGTCATGGAGTCTGTTAAGCCGAAGCCGGAAAGAATGGAGGCTGTTCTGTACGCGTTCGACGGGAAGGAGAAGGAATTCGTCCCACCGCCGGTGCCAGGCTCAGAGGAAACCGGCAAGACCAAATCTGTGGGCAACTCGAGCTACGATGCATTTGTATTCGCCATTGTCAACAAGATGGCCATGCGGAAACTTCGAGAGGAGCGCTACGATCTGTCTCTGACATTCACCAAAGATCATCCGAAATTGCCGAACTGGGTGACTGTCATGAGCGAGAGTGGCGAGGTCACGGACCTGATGTTGACTAAGGACTTGATAGATGCCGTCGACAAAGCTGGAGATTACTTCGAATATCTCATTGTCACGGATCAACCTATTGACAAGCCTACGAACCTCAACGAGACGACTCCGAAGAAACGTCTACAACTTTGCTTGAGACTGCCATCGAACGGCGATTATCTTCCAACCCTGCCGATTTTCCAGGCTTTCTTGAGACTCCCGGATTTCCTGGTCAGCTCTGCCAAGCTGAGACCTGAAGTCCATCGGAAGATCAATGCCATTCGCGAGGAGGAGAAGAACAAGCTGAAGAAGATAAGCGATAAGGAAGCGGAAGAAGAGCGACTTCGGACAGTGGATAAGATGAAGAAGGAGGAGAGGGATCGTAAGCTGAAAGGGATGACTGCTGAGGAACAGAGAAAGTTTTTGGAAAGGGAGAACGAGAAGCAGCGGAAGAAGAATGAGAAGAAGATGACCCGACGGGGATGATGGCTTTGAATCCAATGCTTTGGTGATTCTCTTGGACATACTATTACTCATGCCTGTTGGATATCAAGCGACAGGAAGTTATGCTACTCATAGCTACTCATAGCTACTCATAGCTACTCATACCAACAATGTCACATACCCCAGTCTTATTGTACAAGTACTATGTACCATAGTATGCCGTCTAAAAATACCTGGTCAAGCCTAGGCGGGCCAAACGGTGGTGGCCATGGCAAGCCTTGCAGGACCGAGCACCAACCATTTGCTACAGGGACGAGACGGGGCCTGCTGTCATGTTGCTGTTTCAGGCCTGAAGATGTCTTTCTTATTGGCTTGACAAGCATTGGCGGAGTCCGAGCAACGCATGTAGGGCCTCGTTTCTAAGAGTAGCGAGTAGTGAGTACTCCGTACCTCTGACTGCGCCTCTTCCTCCGCCTGAACCTGTTGCTGTCCACGCGGCTTGGTGGTTTCATGCACGCAGCCTGCCTGCGATGAGATGGCTTTGACGTGGCTCTTATTCTTCTTTGGTCTTGAAGCTGGTCTTCAACTCTTCTTCTGTCTCTCCCTGAACTGTTGATACGAATACCCTCCTTTGGTCTGTTCGCGCCGTCCTTTTTCACTCGCTTTTGCCCGCCTTATCATATCACTCTTTCCGCGCTCTACCCGTCCACCCCACCATAGGGTAGAAGTAGGGTGAACAGACACAGACCAGCAGCAGCAGAAGGACCAGACACCCAGCGAAGATGCTTCTCCGGTGTTTACTATCGTCGTCCCTGCTTTCCCTCCTCTCCCTCACCTCCGCAGCGTCAGTAGGCTCTCACGGCCTCTCCTCCCGCCAGTCCTCCTCTACAGCATGCAACAATTCTCCCTCCCTCTGCTCCAAACCCTACAACTCCGTAGTCCACCTGGGCGCCCACGACTCGCCGTTCGTCCGCGACGCCTCAACGGGCTTCTCGACCTCGGGGAACCAATACTACAACACGACCGTCCAACTGGACGCCGGCGTGCGCCTCGTCTCCGCACAAGTCCACAAGACGAACGGGCAATGGCACCTGTGCCACTCGTCCTGCGAGCTGCTCGACGCCGGACTTTTAAGTGACTGGCTGAAAACGGTCAAGACATGGCTGGACAATAACCCGAACGAAGTCGTCACAATCCTGCTTGTCAACTCCGACAACGCCTCGCCCTCGGAGCTGCACTACCAATTCGAGGACGCAAACATCGTGGACCATTCATACGTCCCTAGCTCCATCACCACGCCGCCCACAACCTGGCCGACACTGCAAGAAATCATAACCGGCGGCAAACGTCTAATGACGTTCGTCGCCAGCCTCAATACGTCAGACCCGGAGTTGAACGCAACCACTTCCTATCTCATGGACGAATTCACCTTCATATTCGAGAACCCCTTCGATAACACAAACGTCACGGACTTCACCTGCGCGCCCGACCGGCCCACCGGCGTCCAGAACAACGTGCAAGCCGCCATCTCGTCCAACCGTATGGCACTAGTGAACCACTTCCTCTACTCCTCGGGCGCATTCGACATTGAAACGCCCAACGTCGGCCAGATCAACACCACCAACTCTGCGGGAAACAGTGTGGGACAGCTGGGCTACTCTCTATCCCAGTGCAATAGCGAGTACGGAAAGGTCCCCACCTTCACATTGGTGGACTTTTTCGACCAGGGCCCGGCCATTGACGCGGTGGATGCCTTGAACGGGGTCACGGATCCTGTTGGACGCGTGGCGCCGCCGCCGAGGGACACGTCCGAGGATTTGGGAAGTAGCTCGCTCAGCCAGAGCACCTTCGCCGGTGTGGTGCAGCTTGCCAACGACGTGCGGGCCGGCGAGAAGCCGAAATTGGGAGCCTGGATCTGGGCAGCCGGCAAGTGGACGTTGGGCGGCATTAATCTGAACGGCGGTGGGCTTTTGGATTAAGGTACCTCGCTCCTCGCTCTTGGCTCTCGAGAACGATGAGGCAAAACGGAACAAGCATGATTGGTTGGTTGGTTTTGGATTGGTTTCATGTGCAGCAGTCACTTGGCGGGGGGGCGATATCCTTGGATGCATTTGGATATACAGCCCTATGGGGAAGGAGTTTTTTGGATGGATGGATGCACATACACGGCCTTTTAATATACCCTGATGACGACACTTCGGCATTCCACGAGAACCAGCATGAAGAGCAAGGATTCAGAAAAGGGATACATATGCGAGAATTTGCAGCATAGCGGCGGCGTCCTGTTTTCAAGTGTACGACAAAAGGTATGATTTGGGATACCATGACCAGCATCATTGAGCGTAAGCTACTATAGATCAGCTCGCAAGGGCGTATGAACAGAACTTGCACATCGAAAATTATGAACTCGACAGAGCTTTTTCGTGGCACTGTCACACTTTTCGTTTATGACTCTTTTCTAGCTGTGTTTTGTCTTTTCTTGAATTTTTCCTCGTCCATGATATTACACAGGTACCCATTCTCCATGATCAGTGTCTACAGTCTTATCACGCCAGATCCACCAGAATGTATTCTCGAATGCTCAAGCAGTCATCGTTCAAGACCAGTGTGCGCATGAGCGACGCTTGAACTCGATCCTCGCGATTTTCCCAGCCATTCATGTAGCTACTTGGTCATTCTATAATCTTGAAAAGACTCGCTTGAGCACGTCCCTGCCCTTCCACAGATTTTCGACCCGAATCCGCTCATTGTCCAAGTGCGCATTATCGCTCGCTTGACCCATTGGAAACATGGCGGCGGGAGCATGGAATTCGTGTTCCAGAAAACTGATGGCGGGAATCGAACCGCCTTCGCGGATAAAGATCGGTTCCCGGGGCAGATTTGTCGAGGTGAATGTGCCAGCGCTCGCCAGCGACGAGGCTCGACGGTGGGACGAGCGTTTGGCGGTCGTAGAAGCTGAAGGAGAGGGAGCATTAGTCGAAGCCGCGTCAGTAATGGCGGATGTGGCTGCGGTATCTGGCGAAAACCGATGCGATGAGTGGGTGTTCGGATTCCAGACGTCAACGACGGCCTCTTTTAGGGCACTATACATGTCGCTCTTGATGTTGCCAAGCCAAGGGTCTGCTTTGGAGGTGATGGCTACGTTGAGGGTGTTGGAGCTCTGCAGTTTCGTGAATTGATCCTGTAGATAAGTGGTCAGACTCTTTGCTATCTGCTCCGCAGTTTGTGACGGCACAATTCGAATAGATAGCATGGCTTTCGCAGAACCACTAATAGTGACGGCTGTCTTAGCCTCGGGTACTTCGATTCGGTGGACTGTGAGGTTGGGAAAGCGCCAGCGTTGCATAAGGGAGAGGGCGAATGCTTTTTCGTTTTTGATCTCAGGGTGACCGGGCAGCAGCGCCGAAGTGATATCAGCATATGATTTCATTTCGTTTTCGGAAAGGTCGTCAACGCTATCGTAGAACTCTGGTATGCTGACTTTGGTCCCGGTTGGTCCGATGAGTGATGCGAGAAGGATAGTGAGGTCTTTGAGCGGTTCATGCTGCACCGACTTTCCGTCCATACCGGAATGAAGGTCTGGCCTGTTAGAAGAGACGGTAACACTGGCATGGATGACGCCTCTCATTCCAAACGTCAGGCAAGGAATGTGGTCATCCAGCCAGTAGCTGTTGGAAAGGAGGATAAAGTCGACATGTCCGATCGAATCATGCATAGCTTGTACTGCTTGACGGAAGCCACGAGAGCCTGCTTCTTCGTCGCCTTCGAGAAGGAACGTCACATTGCAGGATAGTGTCTTCTGCTGTACAAGGTCAGCGACAGCATAGATCGCAGCCAAAATGGGACCTTTGTTGTCTGTCACCCCACGACCGTAAAGGTATCCATTCAACGGTTGAAGACTGAACGGATCACCCTGCCAAGTCGGATTTGCACCGGAAGAATCGGTTTCGGCATCGACGACATCATAGTGCCCGTAAAACAAGACGGTCTTCGTGGATTTAGAAGGATTGGAGGCGGGGAATTTGGCCAACAGGATCGGATTGATACCTTCTTGAGCTGATACAAGATCGGTGGTGGCACCGAAGGCGTTGCACTGTTTGCGTAGAAACGTGACAGCATCGTGACAATCGCGGACACAGGAATGATTCAATGCGACAGTGCGGTAGCTCACGAACTCCCGGAGAGCGTTGACGAGCTCATCTAATCGAGTTAACAGCACGCTCGCCTTCAGAGGGGCCCTCTGCTTACCATTACTCCGGACAGAAGATGCTATGGAGGTATGAGAATGGGCATCGGCATCCCAGAACGAGATCAGACGGTCGTTGCCTCCAGTGATCAATATGTCATGGCCGGGAGTAGTAGTTTGGCTCATCGCCAAGATTTTTCCGTTGGCAGCCTGCCAGCACTCCGTTTCTGTGAAGTGGTCGTTGTAGCGCTGTTGATATAATTAGTTGGGAGGAATCCGATAGGTGGAAAAGTCCTACCTTTAGCCGCCCTTGACTTGTCCCGCAAAAGATGCTGTCAGTGTTGACTAGTATTTGAGTCACGTCTCCGTGGCCAATGCTGAGCCGTTGAACGAGCTGGTTCGAAGCCAGATTGTAGATGTTGGCTGTACCATCGGAAAGGCCGGCGTAGAGGAAAGATCCTCGGAAGGAGAGGCTCAACACATTTGAGCCGGTATTCTTAAACTTGGTAAGCAGGACGAGCCCCTCTGAAGGCAACGCGTCAATCGACCACAGCTTGATAGCTCCGTCTCCACTAGCAGTAATGAGGACTTCGTCGTCTTTATCATGGTTGAATAAGCCTTTGCCTAGAAGTATGCAGTAAATGTAGCTCTTGTGGGCGTATGGCAGATAGTTTCGGCTTGGAGCGGTCAAGACCCGGCCACCCTGACTGCTCAATGTCAAAGATGTGCCATCTTCGTCTGCGATGACGTTGGCTGCTCCTCCAGGCCCTAATGAATCGAAGAAACGATGCTTCCGAGATCCAGGTGCAAAAGGCAGGTTTGGTGAGGTGATATTGGCATCGGTACTGATTTTTTGCCATTGGATGCTGGCGTTTTGAGCCCCCCAAAACAAGGTCTGCTTCTTGATTGAATGGACCACGCCAAAGATATCGCCAATCTCGAAAGGTGAGTATAGCGAGTACACTCTCTGAAGGGTATCGGTGGACCAAACATTGACGATCGAATCTGCACCAGTAGAGAACAGTAGAGATCTGTCTTCGGAAAGAGCCAGGCTCAAAACACTCTCTTTGTGGGCTGGCACGGTAGCAAGTAATTCGTAGGTTTCCAGAGACCATGCAGTAATGCTGCCTCCCTGGACACCGACGAAAAGCACATCATCGTCGACAACAAGAGCCTGCACGCTCCCTGGAGCATTGATGCGATGTATCGGATTTTTCGACGACTTGGATGTTGATGAAGATGTCGGTTCGTTCACCCCAATGGAGTCATCACGATTGGGGAGGTCTACATGAACAGAACAAAGCGAGTCGGTCGAGTCGGAGGGTGTTGACGAACTATTCTGCTTGATGGACTCAGTCGTTGCCATTCCTCCAGAAGGTGCAAGGGTAGTAGGAGCTAGGATTCACTAGATAGACAAATGATGGGATGTTTGTGGCACTTACTGAAGATCTTGGCTCCAACTTTGGCAGTCTGGGTGGCAGTGAATCTAAAGGCCTCGAAGGCAGCTGCGTCTCCAATTCGCCGCCAATCTGACACATGTTCAACCTCACTAACATTAACCCCAGACTTCAAGCTTGTTGTATCTCGTCATTCGATGTCTTCATCCACATCAGATGATTCCAACAACACTAAAGGAACACAGAAGCTCTTTGTTCATCAGTCCCAGTGAAAATACCCAATCTACCCAACCTACCCAACCTGTGGATGACGTGATGTTCATTTCAAATTGCACATCGCTCTAAGCCTTGTAACCATCTCGCCATTCACTCCGCGCTCATTATGGGATCAGTCTCAATGGAGAAGCCTCTGCCTTTCGGGCCATTTGAACCCACTGTCATTCTTCATGGCGGAGCAGGATCAATTTCTCGGGCCAGCCTGCCTCCGGAACTATGGGGGCGATATCGAAGCTCACTTCTCAGATACCTGACCGATACGCGAAAATTGCTGGATTCAGGAGCATCTGCGCTCGACGCAGCCTGTGTTGCGGCTACCTGGTTCGAGGATGACCCCCTATTCAACTGTGGCCGTGGCTCGGTCTTTACTGAGCAAGGCACCATTGAGATGGAAGCCAGCGTTATGGTCTGTTCTCTTGATCCTGCTGGACCGCCAGCCGGACGAATCAAGCGCGGTGCAGCAGTCAGCCTTGTGCGGAACACGAGGCATCCTATCTTGTTAGCGAAGGAAGTATTGCTTGCCGCAGACGATGATGGAGGAATGGGCGGCACGAGCACCTTGCATTGCCACTTGAGTGGGCCAGACGTTGAGCAATGGGGTTGGAAGGAAAAATCACTTGAGAAGAAGACGGATCGATGGTTTTGGACGAGGAAACGGTGGGAAGAGCATCGACGAGGTATACACCCACCGAGCGCTTATACCTACGACGATCTTTTGGCCTCCGTGGACCCTTTCGCGTCCACGTCCTGTGAAGACGGCGACATTGATTACGACGAGTATCCCAGTCAAGGCACTGTTGGTGCAGTATGTCTGGATGCCTGCGGCAACCTGGCCGTCGCAACCTCAACGGGTGGATTGACGAACAAGAAGGTAGGGAGAATTGGAGACACGCCTACAATAGGGTCTGGCTTTTGGGCAGAGAGCTGGGAAGAGGATGCCCCAGCTGCGGCTTCAGCGTTGATAAACCCGAATTCGGAGGAGCAAAGCTCCGCACCTATGATCAACCAGCTTCTGGTGCAGGCTAGCGATATGCTCGGATCGTGTCTCAACCTGTTCGAGACAGAAGGCAGACATCGACGCCTACAAGATCCACCTCCTTATAGCCCGAGCCCAGCGCCGCTCTACTACCCATTTCACTCTCCTCAATCCCTTCATTACCCTGGCGCTTCAGTTGTCCGGAAGCGTCGTCGCGCTGTTGCTGTGAGTGGTACAGGCAACGGTGACTCTTTCCTCCGCACCAATGCTGCCCGAACCGTTGCTGCGATGTGTCGCTTCTCTAATGATGCCTCCTTGGCACAAGCATTGACATCAATTGCTGGTCCTGGGGGCGAGCTACAACAATCCGCTGGGGAACGATGGGGCCACACGGGTGAAGGGCAGGGCGGCATCATTGGTATTGAGGTTGTCGATCAATCTAAACTAGTGACCGACGAAGGGCGAGGAGATCATAAAGATCGTCTTAGGAAGAAGAGAGGTAAGGCAGTGTTTGACTTCAACTGTGGCGGCCTGTTCCGCGCTTTCTACGAGGTCGACAATGATACTGGCGAGGAATTGCCCAGGGTCATGGTGTTCAAGGAGGAATACTGAGCACTCTGAAATGCGTAAGTAGACTTCAGTTGAGTATATACAGGTATATCATTGTCTAATCTTCGCACGTGTCCTCACATCATAGGCGTCTCGCGTGACCCTTGATTCTGACAGCGTAGATGGACATTTTCCCCGTCGGGATTCGGCCAAATGTCCTTACCTAGCAATCGATGCATTCCTGGCGAGATATCTCTTGTGTCAGAATAGTATTGGCTGTAATTCAGGGGTATTCTCTCCATTCCAAATGTGAAGCCGATCCTGTTGAAGCCGGGTTGTTTCAACTCGCGTCATACCCAGTTATGGAGACGGACTGCACTCAGGTGTGCTCAGCTCTGTAAACGGACCTTGAGGTTACATCAGTTGATGCGTTACACCAAGCTGAAGTAGACACCCTTTCCCGGGGCGCCAGACGTCCCATAGACTGTCTTCTTTAGAGCGCGCCAGTTTGAGCAACGGAACGCTCAAAATTGTATGCCCCACGTTCGTGTCTATGTCCTTGAGCACCCGACTTACAGACGGACTTGTAAAATATCTGCCGCTGAAGCCAAAAGGCAGTGGCCTGCCTTCTCCCGTAGTTGTTGCAGAGGTTAAATAGGAGAGTCCCTTTCAAAACTCAAGAGTTTTCTTCATGGTATCGTAGATTCCTACCATGGATTAGTCGCATGTCCAGTCTGACACTGTTCGGGCTGGGGCTGGGACTTACTGGTTACATCTGGAACGTTAAACTTTTCATAAATCAAGCCAGGATGAGTGCTCCAGCCTGTCACTCGACCGACCGGAGCTTCGAGGCGGAGGAATGCACCTTCTTGGATACTCGCTGCGACCTCGGCTCCAACTCCAGCATTGTACATGCTCTCATGTACAACGACCGCTCGGCCTGTCTTGTTGACGCTTTCCATGATTGTGGGTCGATCCCAAGGATATATTGCTCTCAGGTCAATCAACTCAATGCTTAGTCCTTTGATGTCTTTCTCAAGGGCTTCGATAGCCGCAGAGCAGAGATATAGCGGTTGGCCGTACGATATAACAGTCAGGTCCTTGCCCTTCTTGAGGACATCGGCCTTGTCGAGTGGCAGGGTATATGCATCGCGAGGGACAAATTCTTCAGCGGCGCGGTACAAGATCTTCGGCTCCATGAAGATGACTGGGTCATTTGAGTTGAGGATGGAGGATATCAATAGACCTTTAGCTTGTGATGGCGACCGCGGCATCACCACTCTTAGCCCAGGAACGTGCGTGAATAATGACTCCGGGCTCTGGGAGTGGTAGAGTCCGCCGTGCCCGACACTTCCACAGGGCATGCGGACAACGAGGCCGCCACAATGGCCACCTGTTCCGCCTTCTCGGTATCGAAATTTGGCAGCCTCGTTGACCAGTTGGTCAAAGGCAGGGTACACGTAATCTGCAAACTGGATTTCCGCGACAGGCTTCATGCCTTCGGCCGCACAGCCAACTGCGAAGCCTACGATGCCTTGCTCAGAGAGAGGGGTGTTGAAGACTCGACCTGTGCCGAACTCGTCGGCTAATCCCTTGGAGCAGCGGAAGACTCCGCCAAAGGCCACGTCCTCACCGAACAGGAGAACGTTTTCATCTGTCTTCAGAGCATGATGCAGGGATGTATTGATAGCACCGTGGAGGTTCTGCCAGTCGACCGGAGCATCCTGGGACAGGTCAAACGCGGATCTCGCGCTTTGTTGTGATTGATGTAGGATTGGTGTCTTCTTGTACTCGATTGGTTTGTTCAAACGAGCGCCCGTCGCTGCTTGGCTGGCGTGACGAGACTGGGATGGGACTTTTAATAACCTGGCTATCGACGATACCCTCCGGTAAGGTAGCATCTCGATAGTCAAAATCGTCACCTTGCCCCCAGTGGGAAAGAGAGTGGTACCTACGGAAGGGACACTGTTGTATTTGAAGGGGTTGCTGTAAGCCGAGGATAACCGCATCTGGCACGGGCAGCTAAGGGCATACCCATAGCCGAAGACCCAATCACGTGCCTTCAGTCACGTGTGCAGCCTGGGTGCACGTGGGTGTTGCGGAGTTACCTGGTAAGTAAGGTACCACGGTAACCTACCTGGTACAACAAGTACTAGTAGTCGTCTGGAACGGAGAACATTTTAATATGCATACCTTCGGTGAACCGCAAGCTGGACGATGTTGACAAATGGTTCTCTAGTCATAAGGCACGAATATGTCTCAGTCATAACGTTCAGATCCTCATCTTCCAGAGAATTTCAGAGACATTCGAATGGTGGGGAGTCTGGGACACGCTTGATACGTTTAGCTGCAGAATTTGCCCTCCAGAAGTGATGCTCGCTTCCGTCATCGTCGCTCTCCACGTCCGTCCGCAAATCATTCTTTAATGCTTGTCGTCCTCAACCGTAAGGTACTCGACATCTCTTGTAGTCTCACAAACCACCACCTTCATCCTCGTCCCTCCTCAACTTGTACGATACTCCTTCCGTCTCTAACAGACTCTACGGTCTGCTTCCTTCCCACCCCAATCCACTTCTCGTACACCTCGTGAATATGTCGCAATAGACCTATCTCGCCTTACCACACAGTATGGCGGCACGAGCCCCGAACTCCTATCTGGCTACCCGGCCCACGATCTTGGGTCTCGCTAAGGTCCTAGTCCTCTCGCTCGCGCAGGTACCCTTCGTTCGAGCTGCTCCTATTCACGCCTCACGTTTGTTCTTCGCGGCCGACGACGAGGAGGGAAAAGACCCCAGTGATCCTTCACTATGGATATACCTCAGTGTTGCGGCAGCGCTGGTGCTGCTCGGTGGAGCATTCGCCGGATTGACCATTGCGTTGATGGGACAGGTGGGATAATGAGCCATACGAGGAGTGCTCCGTAGCTGACAGCTGCACAGGACGAGATATACCTGCGAGTCATCCGCGATTCCGGCGAAGGTGCTGAGAAGAAGCACGCTACCAAAGTACTGAATTTGTTGCAAAAAGGAAAACACTGGGTGCTTGTCACGCTGCTACTGAGCAATGTCATCACAAACGAAACCCTGCCCATCGTTCTGGACCGTTCGCTGGGAGGAGGATGGCCGGCTGTTCTAGGATCGACAGTTCTCATCGGTAAGGCCACGTGCAGAAGTATTTGATATCATTGCTGATAACATATAGTGATCTTTGGCGAGATTGCACCACAGTCGGTCTGCGTCCGCTACGGCCTACCCATCGGTTCCTGGATGGCGCCATTCGTCCTCATCCTCATGTACATCCTTGCACCCATCGCGTGGCCGACTGCAAAACTACTCGATTATCTACTCGGAGAAGACCATGGCACGGTATACAAGAAGACGGGCCTGAAATCATTGGTTTCTTTACACAGAAATTTGGGCGAACCTGGACAGCAGCTCAATGCTGATGAAGTCACCATCATCAGTGCTGTGCTAGATCTTAAAGAGAAGCCGGTCGGCAGTATCATGACACCGATGGACGATGTCTTCACTCTGTCACTTGACGATGTTCTCGACGAGGCCACCATGGACGACATTCTTTCTCGGGGTTATTCTAGAATCCCGATCCACCATCCAGACAACGATTCAAATTTTATCGGCATGTTGTTGGTCAAGATGCTCATCACCTACGACCCGGAAGATGCCAAACCCGTCCGAGACTTTGCCTTGGCTACCCTGCCAGAAACTCGACCTGACACGAGCTGCTTGGACATTGTCAACTTCTTCCAGGAAGGCAAATCTCACATGGTGCTGGTGTCTGAGTATCCAGGAGACGATCATGGTGCCCTCGGTGTCGTCACTCTCGAAGACGTCATTGAGGAGCTCATTGGCGAGGAAATTGTGGACGAATCTGATGTCTTTGTTGATGTGCACAAAGCCATCAGACGAGCAATGCCGGCACCTACACGCCGCATTCCGAAGTCTTACTTTGTTTCTGAGCCGCCCACAGCAAATGGCGCAGCTGCGGATTTGGTAAACATTGGCGAAGGCGAAACTTTGGAAGCTTCCGAGCTGCAAAGGGCCAAGACCGCCGACAATTCACAAATGTCGAAAATCCTCCAGAACGTTCGTCGTAGATCGAGTGCCGGAAACAGTCTCACTGGGGATCCCAAGACAGGCCCGAGAGGGCCGAGACTGAGTACAGATGATGCAATCAAAGAACAACTTAGACACCTGGGTCACTTGGGTCCATCCAATCTTGCGAGTCGACCGAGGTCAACACGATACACCACAGTCAAAATCAAACCTGGCACAGATACAACGCCGAAGCAAGATGTCATTGATGGTCGAGCGACACCCTCTCGAAGGGTTTCAGACGCGGCTTCTAGCTTGCACGCTGGCATCGGAGAGGGTGTGGTGAAGTCGGGAGGTAAAGAGGCCAGCGATGGTGTCCAAGCTTTGCACCAAGGCTATGGGACTATTTCCGATTCGCCGACTGGACGACCAGCCAGCCGCACTAAGGGAACACAAGTTGATCTTGCAGGAAGCTCCAGTCCGACACGAAATGGCGAAGGCACGAATAATGGCCACGATACATCCAGACCTGTAGCACGAACATTTGAAAGTCACAGTACCATTCGCAGTCTACCTGGCTCAAGATCTCGGTCGAAGAGCCCCTTCTACAAGTCCAAGGGCCCTGCGAGAAGTGGTAGCATTACTGAAAATATTATTGATGCTAATGGGTTCCGCAAAGTCGTATTGGAGACGACATCCAGCAGCGAGTCCAACGAGGAGGAAGTCAACGGTGGCGGCAACAAAGGTCATGCACCGACCGCTGACGGCGAGGAATCTGGTGTCAAGCTTCGAGGAGGTCTCGAAGACCACAACCAACATAGTGAGACAGGGAAAAAGAAAAAGCGCCGAAGACGGAAGCAGAAGCATGGAAAGGGAGAACATGAGCCATTGTTGGCAGACAAACAAAGCTAGCGACCTTTGTTTGACTCCGTTCAAAACATCCCGTCCATATTGTACATGGGATTCTGTACTTCTATTGGTATCTGAAAAGAGTTGCGATCTGGTAATCGGCAAGTGAATGAAATGGAAATTTCACCACACCACCTTGAATCACTCGAAGTCTGGCACCACAACCGATTCACTCGAACTGTGAATAGAGTGAAGACAATGGCCTATTCACTGATACTGCCACAGCCAGGCAACAAACACAAGGCAGGTCGCGGTCAAGAAGAGTCATTTCCTTCGAACTCTTCTGCCCTCTCTTGCAAATTCTCTCCATCTCACACCAACATTCTCACTTGATTGCAGACTTCTCCTTGAAGACAGACCACATTTCCACACAATCCAGCTCACCTCCTCCTCACCTCACCTTTATCACCACCATGATGCATTGGCGCACGATCACCAACATCATCATCTTCTTTCTTGTTCTGTTGTGGGTTTGGGCGAACGACGACCCCATCGTCGAATTGCTCGAGATGGGCATGCCGGTGGAGGCTCGTGTGAGCGACTTCCTGTGGGAGTGGGTGGACTTCCACCCTGAAGACTTCGCTGCCATGATGCGGTACACCCACTTCGCCGCTTCTGTTCTGTTTCTTTGGTTCTCGCTGTCCACCTTTGCGAAGGCCTATGCCAACTCCGATCGCATGCAGGCTCGCGTTGTTGACACCTGTGCCTCGTGCTATCAGGCACTTGTTATCACCATGCCGCATGTCACACGCAACGCCTTCCGAGAAGGATCTCGCTTACTGTCCGACTGGTTGTCATCGACTCTCCGCAATCTTATGCCGACGTCTCTTCTCATGCCCGAAAACGGCTTTGTCCCTGGTGCATTCCCGACAAGTATCCATGAGTTATGGCTGTCGGGAGACGAGGACATCGCCGTCGATGGCATGGGTGAGACCGAGGATGTTGTGGTCGAGGTCCTGACCGTCGATATTGGAGTCCAAACCGAGGATGTGATCGAGGAACCAGCCATCGACAATCGACAGGCTTTGGCCGACGAGAACGCGTCGTTGCAGAATCAGAATGCCGACCTCGAAGCCTCCCTTGACGACCTGCGTGCCGCCCTTGCCACAGAGAGGCTCTCAAGGACGGAGGCCCGAGTCTCGACCTATCGTCGAAGAGCTTTGGAGGCAGAGCGCGACAGTCTCCGATGCGAGCTTCAGGCTCTGAAGGGCGCGAAGGGCACCATTGAGACCAACTCCGCTGGGCTGCGAGACGAGTGCGATGCACTCCGAGGCCAAAATGAAGACTTGAAAGCGGAGTTGGAGGATTTGAAGGCCGCCGCCGCCCGGGATTCGGCAGAGAGGCAACTTGCCATAGACACCCAGCAAGAGCTGGAGGCAACTCGGCAACAGCTCAGACAGGAGCAGCAGGATCGCCAGGCAGAGAAGGACGCATTCGATGCGACCAAGGTCACACTCCAGCAATGTGACGCACGACGCCAATGGCTAGAGGGGGCAATGTCAAGGGCTGGATTCCGAAGTCCAGCGCCTCAATGGAGAGAACGCGCAGCTCAGAGCTGCAAACACAGACATCAACCACACAGCATGCAACCGAGCTCCACAAGAAGCATTGGAAAGATGCGAGGCGCTCGATGCAGAGCGTAGACGAGTCAGTCTCCAGAACGACTGTCTCCAAAAACAAAAACAGATTGAAGGAGCAAACCGATAGGCGCAGCAACTTCAACACGAGGGGAACAAACTCCACCACGAAACAGCGAAAGTAGACCGTGAAGCGTTTCGGCAGCGACGTACGTCTCGATGTCAAGACCAGGCGGAGACGAGCAGTTTCGTAGCCAGTATTATGCTAGCATGTAGAGCATTGCAGTACACAAGAATAGGAAGGACGTGCGCCTCGTAGAGAAGATTGGTATTAAGACCACGACCAAGCGCACTCTCTAAGGATGGATGCGAATGGAGGCATAAGGCGCCGCATCTATAGACATTACATTCATATCATAGCATCATCATCCGTGAGAAAATTTTGGTACATTACCCGCACAAACCGCGTACGCCATAGCCACAAGTCGAAAATCATCGTGCATAGGCCGGAGGCGGTGGTCGTTCCTCCTCGCGTGGAGACATGGGCGCAAAGCTGCCCTTGAGTCGCTCCTCTTCGTATCTGCGAGCCATCTCAGCGGCCATTTTCATCATCCAGGCCCGCTCGACGATACTGCCAGCATTACCTGGATCTGCCACAAATTGAAGGAAGTTCGGAAGTGGTGATCGGGATGGTCCAGCTTCGGGATGGAAACCGTCTTTCTCAGCAGACATAGGGAGAGGCGCATTCATGCGTTGTGGAGGTACAGAATCCTGTCCGGGCAGATACATCGAAGCTCGCGGAGTTTCGTCCTCGTCGAAAGTTGTAGGAATCATTCTTCGGCTTCCGGCTCGAATTGTTGCATTTGGATCGCGTACGTTGGGTGTCTCCTCCACGTCCAATGTGCGCTCGTCAGCTTGAGTAGCTATCGTAGGCCCTGGAATTCCTTCGCTGACACTGCGTACAGCAGCAGTGCTCCGATGTGGTACACTTCCAGGCATATCTGGCCGTCGGGGGACCACTGGACTGATTGGCGGCGTTACAACACCTAGACCTCGTGTTGGATCAGACGACATTGTAGCTGCAGGGGCCGAGAAGACAGAAGGCGCATTTGTCGAAGTGCTCTCTGTAACACTTTCGGTGTCGGCATTCGAACCAGACTCTGTAAAGGACTCTGGTTCTCCTGTTTCTGGGTGTGCTCGTAGATCCACCACCCGCTTCTTCCTCCTGCGTCGATGTCCTTGCCCATGGCGTCCGCTGGACAAGCTCAGCCCATGACCAGAAGACGCAAAGCTCTGCAGGGTAGGTCGTGTGAGTGAGCTGTCGAAAGTGTAGGCCGTGGCAGTGCTAAGACTTCCGGCATAGGAGTGCGATCTCGACAAAGCCGGAGTTGATGCTCGTGTATGAGTCTGAGAGCCTGTCATCTCTCCACGCTCAAGTGGACCAGTCCATGCCCGGAAGACAGTATCTCGGATGGAGGGTGTAAACAGAGACAGAGTACGGTGCGAGTCCGTCAACGTCGCGAGTCTGATCAAGTTCTTCCTGGAAAACAGCGATTGAGTCTCTACCGACGAATCGAGTGAAAGAGACGCAACCTCGGCTGGCGTCAAGACTGCACCGGTGCTATCGACAGGGTCTTGAGGAGGGCTGGCTAAAGGATCAACCACCACCTCATCTTTCGAAGTCGGAGCTGTGCCTAGGTCACGTTCCTCCTGGGCGTTGTGTTCAGGTACCCACAGCCGCAGAGACAATCTGTGGATAATGGCTGGCAGCTCGTCCATCAGCAGCCCACGCAATTGAGTTTCAATCTCTTTCTGCAAGAAGTTGGCAACGAAGGGGATCGAGTCGAAAGTGGAGGAAACGCGGAGCGATTCCAACGGATCATTGCGAAAGACCAAGGTCAAGCCTTTCTGTCTGGAGAAGACGAGGATGATAAAGCCAGACAATCGAAACTCAGACAGGGTGATTTGCAGAGGGATTGTCAAGCCGGTGTCCGCGGCCAGAGGTTGTGGTGATGCAAAGGCCGAGCGCGTCCGGAGGTAGGTGTTCAGTGGATTCGCTTGCACTTTTGTCTTGAGCGTGAGATATGCATTTCCTTTGTACATCATCTTGAACGTGCCCCGAAATCTATCCTCGGCCAGGTCACCAATCTCCAAGATTTCCAACTCGGGCGGCACGTCGCCCAGATTCAACTCGTTGACCACGATATCATCGACGATGATGGCAGGCTTGGGATCGGCTCGGTTGAGGGCATTTGTGAGGAGTTCTTGCGCTCGCGGGAGGAAGCCAGCGTCGGTAGACAACGGCGACCAGTTGAAGTTGAAGGCCATTGTTGAAATGACGGCCCTCTGATCGTCTGGAAGTCTAGGGCAGCGAGCAGGCGCTCTGCTTGTTCATGGTTCTGAGCCGGAGGATAACAATATCTCGAGACCGTTGGACTTGACCGGTGTTCGCCGTGTTCAGGAAGAGCGTGTGCTCAGGGGTGGTGTGACCTTGTCGTCTGATGGGCGCCGGCAGTTGGTGATGGCTGAACGTGAACCTGTAAACAACAAATGAGGACGTGATGGCTGCAGGAAAAACCGTGTTTGTTATTGTTACATCGACGTAAGTGAAGCGAGATTGGAACGGCGCAAACTTGATCTTGCAAGAACTTCGGACATGGGGACTTGGGACTTGGGACTTGGGACTTGTTCGATCCCAGTTTGCGGCTGGACGGAAAGTGGAGGAAAACAAGAACCCGCCACACCTTCTTTTTCGGGACCGACGCAGAATACATAGTCACGTGACAGGCAGCCTTGCTCACGTTGACTGCAACTACACCGTAAACTCCATACAACAACCATGTCGGATGTGGAACGTATGAAGAAACCAGATAGGTACATGCTCTCGGGTACGAAGATATTTGCGAAGACAAAGAGGAGTACCAGATAATGGTACACCCACAGGTACCCATCGCATATACTTTTCCCGGAGCCTCGTCCCTTGCTACTATGTCTTCCTTTGAGCGCTGAACAAGTCCAGAACAAGCGAATCGCGACTTCAAAACAAAAGGTCATAGGGCATCCCACAGCTTCTACTATCTGGGTCCATTGTGTCCACATGCAGTCCTCCCGTCAGGGATGTGCCCTTGGCCACCTTCATTCTTCTCCGAGGCCATGCCCACGCCCAAGCTGGAGGCTTAGACCACATTGCGATGCTCAACGGTAGTGTCGTTCTTCTCAACGGCGCTTGCGAGACGTGCCTTGTCAATATCGACTTGAGCCACCTCAGCTTCTTCACCATCGAAGATCTTCGCGATCTCCTCCAGAGTAGGTCCACGAGTCTCGACGTAAAGGAAGTACACGAAGACGAGTTCAAATGCGATCCAGCACTGATCATGAGTCGTCAGCAAACAATCAATCTCTCGGAGAACGATGAGCAGAACTCACAGTGTAAATGGTGTACAGCTTCCAGTTCGGCTGCAAATGCTTGAAGCCAAGCGGATTGACGTATTGGTTGATCACCAGCGCGACTTGAACCCAGAAGTTCATGACCATGAGACCCTTGGCACGGATCTTGAACGGCATGATCTCGACAGTATACCCGACCAACAGACCGGACCACGCCAGGGCGTAGGTGGTCCCGTGGAGCCAGATGAAGGCCACGACTGCCTGGCCGGCTGCTTTGTTGCCGTTGTCCTGGTAAACGGCCGCGCAAATTGTCCAGGCGATGAAGCACAACAGCATACCGAGGGTCGCGGCGATGAACAGCGGACGTCTGCCCACTCGATCACAAAGCAGGGCACAGGTACAAGACACAATCAGAGACCAAATGGTCAACCCGCCATTCAGACCAAGCTGCGCATCGGAGCTCGTGATGCCGATTGATTTGTAGATATCGGCCGAATAGTAAGAAACGAGGCCGTTGCCAGACCACTGAGAGAAGAGACCCAGAGAGACCACCAGTAAGAATCTATATCGATTGCCTTTGGACTTGAGGAAGTCGAGGTAGCTGGAGGACTTTTTGGCGATGAACTCGAGACGTAGTGTCTCCTTGATCTCGGCGTATTCAAACTGGACAGTCGGATGTAGGGCGTTGCCATTTGCGTGGTATTTAGCAAGAACAGCGAGTGCCTCATCCTGGCGGTCTTTCGAGATAAGCCAGCGAGGAGATTCCGGGATCCACCAGATGAAAATGATCTGAATGACGGATGGAGCGCCTTGTACAATGGTTGGAATCCGCCATGACCAGTCGGTGGGAATACGCTTGGTCCCAAAGGAGAGCCAGGTATTGATGATGGCTCCCAGATTCCAGAGACAATTGTAAATTGCTGTGACTCTACCGCGGTGCTGAGGGTGACAAAGCTCGGTAAGCAACAAGGGAGACGACAATTGAGCCATGCTGTTTCCAAAACCCATGAGGAAGCGGCCGCCTTTGAACATCGCAAGGTTCTGAGAAGCACCTTGGATCGCAGCGGCAATGATCATGATGAAGCAGCCTAGAATAATAGCCCATCTGCGACCGAAATGGTCCGAGATGAACGGACTGTAGACTTATGTCAACGGGCCAGTCAAGGTGGATTCCCTGAATTCACTTACACAATCGGCAGACTAGCAATTGAGCCAATACTGTAAAGAGCAGTCAGAATACCGAGGTTGGACCCCTGAGGATCGTTGAAATAGTCCGTCCATTGCGGCAGGATGCGTATGTTGTTCAGCATAGACCTGACATGGGTGTGCCGTTAGTCTCTGTGGCTTGATGATGTACTAGTCACCATCTGAGCTGAGTTGCACTTACCCATCATAGCCAGTGGTTGCAGAAGCAACACAGATGATGGCAGCAAAGAAGTAAAGCTTTCTCAAGCCTGGATCTTGACGCCAGTTGACGCGTTCAAGCTCTGGTGCTTCGGCTTGTGCAATTGCAACCTCTGTCTGGTGCGTAGCACTAGCCTTGATCTTGGGAGCCATGGTGACAGGAGATATGCTTGATCAATACGAAGACGAGTAAGCCGGTAGAGCTTAAGAGTCACCTCCACAGAGACAGGAGCCCAGCGAGGCCTTTATATCCAAGCTCTATCAACCTATTTTACCGCAGAGCTTTGCCTCTCGATGCGAGCTCCTGACTGCGGAGCCCCGTCTTGTGTGGCAATTGAATGAATCATGGCATCGGCTGAATAGCGGCAGGACTGAGCAAGGGATGGAAGTTGTAGATGCGGTCCAGCTGGCAAGGTGCATGTGCCGTGATGTGGAACCATGCTCGAGAACTGCTCGCCAGGTAGGTCTGATGGAACATCTCCTTTGAGCCGGATGGGATGTAACCACGGTTTGGGTGGTGCAGAATCAACCGTGGCCAAGCTTGGAGACTGTAGCATATCTGCCGCCGTTGCCTCACTGGACAAGACGATGCGCGTGGCTGAGAAATAGCGCGGTGCCATGGAAGCCAAGGCAGTGATCAAATCAGCGCCGAGAGACACCAAGAGCTCTGGGCGTTGATCATGCACTTTCCAGCCATCCATCCAACAAGCAATTCGTCTAGGATCCATGCTGCTCATTCGTCCCCGTATGCTAGGCGGCGCATAGAGCAGGAGATAGAGCTCAGCTCATGAACAAAAGCATTGTGTTACCCGGTATAAGAAGTCTTCCCAGAAGGATAGATCAGGGGCAGAGAGCCTTACAATGGGGATTTGACTCCACCCCCGCGTTTTTGTGGCAGTCGAACATCCCCATATTGGCACCCTGCACAAGTGGCTTCTAGCCACCGAATCTCCTGCAATGTGGACCATGGCTCTCATATCCCAGACCGGGGATCCTACTTGTCAATACGCAAACGCGGCTAAATGAGGCAAGACCTTCTGACCATGAAGGGGGAAATGGTGGTAGAAAAGCCACAAAGTGTAGAGGAGTGGGAATCAGGCTAAATGACACAGGCTAATTGTCGGTATTCAAGGGTGTTGGCAGAGAGTCCAGATTCAGGTACTCACGTACTGTACTCTCTCATGTGCATACTACCTAGGTATGTAGGATCGTCGCGTGGTCCGACATAAGGGATCGTGCAGCTCGTTTATGCCATTGTTCATCCCATGACCCCAGATTGAGGGAGTGCAACAAGATCCAGAAGTCCATGGCTCGCTTGGTGATGCTTGCATAGTCCAAAAAAAGACATGCAGCTTTAGTCATGGTGACAGGTTTTTGTTCCGGGTAAATTTGTTTGGGACAATCTTCGGCAGACCAGTATCGGATTGATTCGCAAGGTCAAAGTAATAGCTCGATGCGTCACATGGATACCACATCGACTTCGGTCAATCGAAACCCACAGCTACAAAAGAATCTCCTCCTCATGCCCAGGCCTGCTTATATCTACCCTCATCAACCCTAGTACATGCCGAGCCACTCTTTGAACGTCTGCAACTGCAGATTTCGTGCCTGCCGATGGCCAAGTCAGCTTACAACCAATATGAAAATCAATGGTGGATCCTCGACTTACGTGCACCACACTAGGTCTGTCCCCTGGATAACTCGCGATAGACTCCTCTCCATGTGATGACAGCGTCGTGAACATGTACCTGGATGCATTCCGATCCTGGGTCAATGGCAAGGGGTCGATTCCAACAGCGGTCGTCGGGTCGAACTCGTTGTATGCAAACAGGATGCGCTTTGCATTTACCAATTCGTCGCGCGTGATGTGGTACTGAGTTTCCACATGGTCCTGAGTCGACGGCGTGACGTTGTACTTTGTCATGCATGTGTGCGGGTCGCTTTCGGTCTGGACGGATGTCGGTACGAAAAGCGTTCCGTTGGGGACTTCGTTGACGCTGAGTGGGAAGTATTTGCAAAGAAGGTAATTGAAAGAATCCAATTGCAGCGTTGGGTTGACGGACTCGTCATTGCCCCATGGAACACAGGGATACAAGGATGACGGGTACCACATATTCAAACTGGCATTGATGATCTTCACAGGGTCATCGAGCAGCAGAGTCTGATTGACCAGCTTCTCGACACTGGATCCGGTTGGGTTTCCAATGGGGTTGATGAAGCCCAATTGCGGGATCTGGTACTGGACTGTATTGATCACGCCCATGACCTCTTGGAGCTCCGCCGTCGTATTTGGTACGGAGCAGAGGCCGAAATCCTTAGCGATACTCTTGGTATCGGTTGCTGAAGGACGAGAGTCAGTTGGGGACAAGTCAAACTTTGGTTAAGCTGAACATACCGGCATGGAAGCGCTGGCCGAGTACCTCGAACGCGTGTTTCATCTTGCCGGCCGCACTGGCGGACAAGTCCCAGTATACTTGATTCAGCTGGCACTTCGTCAGCGTCTCTCTGATATTTTTACGATCCCAAACTTCTCACCCATTTGAACCAGTTATACCGCTGGGGGTTCTGGTAATTTGCCCCAATGCTGCGGAGTGGCGCCGCGAAGGGCAGAGCTCCATAAAAGACCTCTGGGTGGTTCATCTTGAGCACAGTGGTAAGAAACCCTCCATACGAACCACCCATCACGAGGACCTTGCTTTCTTTTGCCCCTGACGTTGTATCTTTGACGTGACTGATGAAATTGACGGCGTCTAGCATGACATTCTCAAGCGTCAAGCTTTGGTATTTTTCGATAGGATCGGAGGCATTGGAGGGATAGCTCAGACCGAAGAAGCGATGTTCGAGCGTGATGATCAGTGCACCCAATTCAGCAGCCCATTCGGGCAGGATTGTCCATTCCTGCACGAGGTCAGCGTTGATCTGCTGAATGGGTTTATTGACTCACCATACAGGCGAAGAGGCTCGTCTCAGCCTGTTGATAGTACAGAATTGGTCCTCCGGGCTTGAAGTGGTCGGCGACTATTTGATATTGTTGCTGAAAAGTTGCTTTGCTGCTGGAATTCTCATGCTCGATGAGTTGGGTGAAGAAGTGTGTCGGCGTGGAGCAGTTGGAGCTGGACGTGGCCGCGCCGTTCGCTGTACCTGTGAGCGAGGTTGCGGCGCAAAGAGCGACAAGGAGCCAGGACATCTGGCGCAATGAACCAGTCATGTTATAGGCAGGAGTCAAATGAGTGACTGTAAAAGCAGGAAGAGAGGCGAGAGAGTCGTGGTTATGATGATTGATGGAGTCTGAATCCATGTGTGGCCGGCCATCGCTCTTTATGTATCCATGCTTGAGCGATACCAATCTTTAGCAAGGTCAATCATGGTCGGGCAAAGTGCCCAAGGGAGAAGGAATAGAGCATCGAAATACAGGGATCACGTACTGGTCCCTCGGTCTTGGACAGATTGAGATTGTCTCCATGAAGGCTCATTGTGTCGTTAGCCTCCATACTAGGCACAATACCAGGTCTCAAAATAGTCATTGAACCATATCATCAGAAGAGTCAAGGTGCAGAACCGCTGGGTCATCCCAGCCGGACTGAAGAGCACAGAGATCCTACACAGCTTTACCCAAATTGGTCTCCGCAGCTCTTTCAGAAGTCGAGGCTGAGCTGAGCAGCATGTGTGCCAACGCCTTGTCGGGCAACACGAAAGATGTAACATACCCGTATCACTCAGAACATAGTTTTTCCTGATCTCGCCTGCAGACACCGCCGCCGTGACTCTTGCATAGCCCTCTAGATCGGGCCTCTTAGTGCTGATTTGTATCTAATCAAGGCTTGCTGTCCGGTCTTGAACCCGAATTGTTCGTGAACTGGTACCGTAGATACGCCGTCCACTGCGAGGCTGTCGTCAAACTTACCGCGAGTCTAGCCTAAACCGGTATCAGTACCATGGATCGCCGTAACGAGCGAGTGGTGCAGGTGGTCGCAATCATTTTCTGGAGCCACTGGGCGGTCCCGTACCAGGCGCGCAAGTGTCGTTGGACTACTGTAGAATAGTATTCATGTACTCCGTACTTGATGGTACTAATGAAATGGGGCACTTCTAGTGCTGGGCGCAGCCATCCCACTGTCAAACATCAGAACCACCTTCTTACAGTACGTCGTTTACGGCCCCAAGCTCGAGCGTCAATCATGGCCCAAGTCCTCGCTCCCTACGACAGACGTCCAATACCTCGGACTCTGCTCCTTTAATTTGCAGAGGACATCTCCTTCCCCGTTACAACCCATCAGCCATCTGCACCCCCGGAGATGCCAGCTGTTGGGCCTTCCACTCCAGGTTTAGTCCTTTGTAATCATGCACTGTGTACCCTTCAAACCACTCACGGAGCAGACTGCCGGTCTTGCCGCGGCGTTTTCTTTCGCGATCCAGGCTAAGATCGCTCAACAACATGTCTGCGTAAGGTACGGCGTCGTAGACAAATTCAGGGTACCACTGTGAAAATCCCCATGGATACCTCCATTTCCGGAAACGGCTCGTGAGGGCCGTGTTCCAGAACACTTGACTGCGTTCTATGGGGAGCTTGTTGTTGAGATAGGCATAGATCCAGAGAGCCTGAGCTTCGGCGATGATGAAGTTGGAAGTAGAGTGCACCATCTTGATGAAGGCCAGCGACTGGTCCTGGTTAACAGTGAGCCCTGGAGGGGCAATACCACGATAGAGGCGGAATGGCGTGACGGACTGCTTGAAGGGAAGTTTTGCTTTCGGTGGGTTTCTCAGGTATGGGAACCTTTGCGTGATTTCTCGGTCTGCCGATCGATCCAGATGTCGCCAGTATTCGCTTTCGACAGGGTTGTACTTGGCACTGGGAATTCCGAGGCTGGCGTCAATCCCTTCTGGGGTATACTTGATTCCTGGAACGAGTCGCCATCCGGTAATAGCAATGAGCCCATCGGACCTGAGCCGGGACCCGTCAACAAAATTAACGGTACCACTTCCCAGATGCGAAATATCTTTTCGGTAGATCTTGACCTGGCCGGATCGGACATAGTCATGGATATCGGTAGGATAGTTGAGGATTCCCACTCTCGCCGACCAGAAGAGGCTATCAAGATGTCAACAAGACTGGCAAATTGTGATGTGGTCGCTGACATACCATTCTCGGGGCTCCAGATGGGCTAGGCAGGGATCCATTCGATACCTGTTGACCGCAACCGTGTCCCATCTGATTTTCTCCCACAACTTGTGAACGAGAAGCCTGCCGAGCCAGGTACCGTGCAAGAGACGTCTGAGAAGCCCATAGCCGTCAAAGTCGCCCCAGATACATGGACTAAACCAACTCATGAATCTCATAGTCGCCGTGGGTTCTAGCAAGACCCGCCATGGCCCCATCAAGACCCAGCGCAGAGACATCCACACGCCGCCACCACCAGACTCCCGAACAATCCAATCTACTCCCTTTCCTTGAGACGCAAACAAGTGAACAGCATCGTAACCAGTTTTGGAGGCACCCACGACTGTAATCACCTCGGCGTCGGTATCTCTGGCCAACAGATCCGCTTCGACCGTCATCTGGCTGTGGTTCAAGACGGGCTTTCCAAAGTCTTCCACGCCTTTGATGTTCACAGGATTGGCTCGAGAGGCCAGCCCAGTACACATGATCAGTTTCTCGGTGTGGTAGATAATGGTTTCTTCAGTCTCGTGTCCCGGGGTAGATACGGTCATGAGGTCCCAGCCTCCATTGTCGGACTTATGGACCTCATTCACGCGGACGTTGAATCTGATACGTCGAAATATATCGTAGTGACGCGCGAAGTCAGTCAAATACTGGTGCATCGCAAACCCTGGAATATGCCGGCCGTCCTTGATGCCATACTTGGCGTCCATGGGGAAGTCCGAGAATTCGTAAGTGCCAATGATATTGTTTGTCTTCAGACCGTCGTAACAATTTTCCTTTGCCCATACACCTCCGAGGGTTTCGCGCTGGACTTGATATCAGACTCGTTGCCACCGGGTGGAAAGTCCAGCGTCCGTGTCACTCACCGCTTCAAGTAAGATCAGGTTGGTGTTTGGCGACGGCTCGAGGTATGTCTTTGCTGCAGCAAGCCCTCCAATCCCTGATCATGGTGCTATGTTAACACATATGATTTGTTTGCTGGGCCTAGACTCTTCATACCTGAGCCAACGATAACGACATCGTAGTGGTGGAGTGGTGCGATCATGTTGATGGTGATTGTCAATGTCAGAACGCTCCAGCTCCTTTCATATTGATAAGTACATAGGGGCATCTAAGTGACGGCCCTAGTATACCAGTATCAATATCATCGAAGCAACTAGTGCTACATGCCCGGCCCTTCGCCATGCCTTCGACGCACGCGGCGAACAGAGTGTAGCCGACCGGGCAGACCGACAGACTCCAAGTTCGGCATGTCGATACCTGGGCCCCTCCGTGCGGAGACAAGCTCGACTCGGTCTGAGGACTTGTGAATTGATGGTGGGATAAATGGGATCAGTGATAACGCCGTCTCAGGGTCCTATCCGACCTCTCATCGGTCAACTTATCAGATGCAATCAAGATTCGCCCAAGTCGATTCGAACCACACTGCAAGATTGCACTTCGTGTCGATTACCCTGCAACCGTTGCAACCATGCAGACGTCGCGGGTCACGGCCCGCTCCCTTATCAGCTGGATCGGATCTCTTCAGCCGAGGATAAAACTATTGGGGTATTCAACCCACATTAGTACTGTCGAATAGTTTCTTGATGTGTGCGCTGAACGCTGTACCTGGAAAGCATGTGAGCCGGAGGATGATATCATTTCCTGTACTTTTACGAAGCTAATGCTAAGGTACACAAGGGTAGGTCCAAGCTTCTTCGATGAATCTCACATTTGCCAAGATTTAGGTGCAGTCTCCAAGAGGACTTTCTGGCACGCTTCGTGTAGGAGCTCTTTACGAGCTTCAGGTGGACATTCGACAGGGGAGCCTGCGTGTTGTGCCACTTCAGCTGGAGCCAGCTCTTGCTTTTCTGCTCTTTGCAAACTTCGTGGTACGAGGAGAACCTGGAGAAAGCCATCCGAGACGACTGTATCTGCCTCTGGAACCAGTATGGCAAAGGACTCTCGGATAACCTTGAGAATGAACCCTCGACTACTACTAATACTAGTAGTAACTTGGGGTCTGAGCTTGGGCATTTGCTCGCCTTGGAGAAATGTCTGTTATGGATGCATCCTTATTGGTGTTGCATGACTGAGTTCAAGTCGTATAATTGACTACGTGGTGTCAATTTGTATATTTATATAGACCAACTTTCTACGGTTTTCGAGTCGTCATGGGACGTGAAGGCTATAAGGAAATAATTCCTTACTCAGTTTGCTGATAAGCCTCCCCTGCCTGACTTAGGCAGGTGATCGCTGTTAACGTTTCCCGATCACATCCTTAGAAATGTCTGATCACCTGAAGTGTACTTGTCTGGTCATTTCGAGGCCGTATCGTCATATATGGGCATTGCCAACGCTCTCGCCTTTGTTGCTACATTTTGCTGGAGGTTTTACCTATGGAAATGTTATTACTCTGCGAACGACCCCATCAACTTGCAATGCGGAAGAAGACAGGAGTATTGTTTACCTTGAATTCGGGAGTTCAGAAGCGGAGCCTTCTGTAGTAGTAGCGGGTAATGGGAGGCACATTGTGATGTGCCTGCAACATCCGTGATGTACGCGAGTCGTCCGTGACATCTCAGTCAGAAGGCGAGGAGTTTTAGTTTCTTCTCCCGCTGAAGTTCGTCTCACTACTAGCACTAGTAGTCTTTCACACTGGTCTTTCTACTAAAGTCCATGCAATCTAGATGTCAAGACCGGGTAGAATTTTCTACCAATGGTCTGATCCAGTATATGCGTCAACATTTGCAATGTGCCTCGTCTCTCGAACCTGCGGTTCAGTAAGTTGGAGTTTCGGTAGTATTTGAGGATTTCATTTTGTTCCAGAGGGCCCAAAATTGGCGGATACTGTCAGTGCTAGTAACTCCCCCGACGATGCGGTCCTAGTACTACTACTACTACTACTAGTAAGTAAGTACTCCTCCATCATTTGTGTACTTTGTAATGGCTAACTTCAGTTTCCAAGTACTGTATCCTGCACATCCGGTACTGGTACTAGTAGTACTAGTACTACTTCGCAATCTCTGTCTGTAGTATCACTACTAGCAGGGCATCCTCGGCTTTTTGCGCCGTCCAAGTAGGAAGCCACGCCCCCTTGGGGGCCTATACCTCAAGCGGACAGTGCTAAATCACCCGCTTTTACCAGGTTCGGAGATTCTGCTGTCACATTTTTACCGCTCCGGTGGGCTCCTTGGGCAAATGCTTGCCTCGCTCAGCTGAAACTGACCACTGGTCGACAGAAAAAAGTCAGCGACAGCCCTCCATACGCAATACTTTTGTACGTTCCGCAAAAAGGTTGCCCAGCCGGCCTTTACTACTACTAATACTAGTAACTTAGCCTCTAAATAGGTACTATCTCGATTTCTGTTATTGATTCTATCGATAGAATATAGAAAATCCTTAGATGAAAGACGTTTTTCAGTTTTCGAACTTTGAACTACTACCTCGCCTCCCTAGGTGGGATTGAATATCGGTTTCGATGTATTTTCGAAATAGTTTGAAGTACTCGATCGACTTCGATTAAAATTAGAACTGAATGTATAATACTTAAATCGCCAAAAAGTTCGGTTTAATTTAAAGTAAGTGAGGAATTTTCTAAGAATTTAGGTTTATAATAAGCAGTAAAACCATATAACAACTAAGAATAATTTACAACGATTCTATACATTTTATTTATCGTCTCGATCCATTAATAGAGATATCTTAGATACTAGAGAATTTTAGATACTATATATTTCTTTATTTATACATTAAATTAAAAAGTTGTTGTATCTAGTATCGTAGTTAGAACTTTTGGTGAGAATTAGTGAAGCGTTGGAGTGTAGGCCACTTTCTCTGTCTACATTGCGGTCGCCTTATACTAGTACTATATCTTGTTCATAAGAAAGTGCTGATATTTCGGAAGCAGAAACAACTTGAAGTATAATGTTGAGGTAACACACTTTTTGTCATTATATGATGAGCTCAATTTGAATACCAGTAGCAATAGTGCTGATAGAATTATCAAACACCAGTGCTCTAGACAGCACACCTAGAAGTTGCTCTCAGTCATGGTTGATAAGTATCCGACGTTTCAACCGTGGCTGCATAGGAACGTGCATTTCGGCGATTTGCGGAAACGGATTTCCAGGTGAATTACTAGTCTATTCGTGTGCAGTCTATGGGTATAACTCTTAAATACATTTCATAAAAAGCAGGCATGCTTATATGGGCACTACTTCCAGGCGAGCATCTCGCACTGGAGCGAAGCAAACCATGCATCCTCAGTCTCGGCCCATTTTTTCGAGGCACGCAACGTCTCCTGTATCTCGTCCTCGGTGATGCCTGCTTCCCGCCAGCTCCAGTACAAGGGATCCCCGGGCTTGAGCTGGCTTTCTGCACGCTTCGATAGCCAGCGGCGAGCCTCTACAGTCGAGCTTCCAGTGCCGACGTGAACCTTGCCTGCGTCAGCATCAAAGCCCGCTTGACGGTACAGAGCTGGCATCACAGGCGGCGATAGGTCAGCGTTCCAGTCCCCGTTAAGCACCGCCCGGCGGAAATTCCCAACCCAGAGACGATCGAGGTCGGTATGTCGGGGGTAAAAGTGCTGTTCGATTGCATCGCGTGAGGCCAGGATCCCTCCGGGCTTCAATACTCGGCGCATCTCGGTGAGAGCCTTGACTGTTCATGTCTGGCGGCGGCATGTATCCCAGAGTATGTGCGCCGAATACAACGTCAAACGTATCGTCCGGATAGTCGATACCTTCTAGGATATTCCCTTCCTCAAAGACAACGGAGCCTGGACCCTCTTTGGGAATGCCGGCCCCATTGGCGGCTGCCTTGGCCCTCTCTAAGACATTTGCCGAAAGATCGAGGCCGACGGTTCTCCCCTCACTGGCGTATTTGACAAAGCCCGTGGTAATGGTGTCAGGACCGCAGCCAACATCGAGAATGTAGTCTTTATTTTTGATGTAAGGCAGCAGAAAGGCGGCCTCCGATTCCGCCGTGCGGGTTTGTTGGGTTGCGACCGTTTGGCTGGAATAGCCCTGCTTGTAGTTGTTCGTTGCACCGGTGCTTGTCATGGTTATGGTTGGAATAGTATGATCTCCCTGGCCAGAAATTGTGATCAAGCCACGTCAAGCTAATTGATTTTCTTTTGGGGGCACATTCCTCGGTTTTTAGCTTACAAGGACACCGGTTCCGCTACTAACTACGGCGGCTGGCCTAATTTCAAGGGGCTCTCCGGGCCTGTGCGGGGCCTGTTCACATAACGGGTAAATTTCTTACCGAGTCGTTAAGCAATGAATTGTTGCAGCCTGCAGCCTCTGGGTAGCTTGCCCTGCTGCGCTTTACCAGCATCATCTCCCACTACCTCGGTAGATAGAAGTAAGGTCCTACTCCTGTTCACACTCTCGGTTTGATAGAGTGTGACGATTGCTTGACCTTAAAAGCGCAACCCGTCACAATGATCCCATCATGTTCTGCCACGGCGCATTGTGGAGTTGTGTCTTTTCAAGGCAGCTGATCATTCAAGCACCAGAGCGAGTTGGATTCCTTGCACCGAATGGCCTTTTTGTCCCACTCTTCGCCACCATCGGGTATGCAAAGGAATGAGAGGAACGCGCGGCATTTGCTTCAGCACAATACCGAAATACTCAGCGGCGAAGTCTTGACCCCTCCAAAGTCCATTTCCGTTTCCAGATCTGAGCATCTCGCCCTTTGACCTAAGCAATGGCTAAGCTATTCTGGGCCGTGGGCGTGCAACCCAGGCGCCTGAGCAGCGTGAGCAGCGCGAGCACAGCCTTGAAGCATTTGTAGGCTCCCTAGTGTGACCCCAGAGTTCCCAGTTTTTGGTGTCTCACATGCTCCGAACGGCTCAGTTCCGTAATCAGCCATCACGTGAGAACTTCATAGCTGACAGTATCGAGCACCGGAATCTGTCCTTCTGGTTGAAAGCATCCATCGAAATCGAGCGGGACATCCAACGTGGCCAGCCAGTCGTAGTCGGGGAAGCTTCCATTTGGTGACAAGGACGACAATAAGTGGTTTGAGGATTCTGTGCCTCCGTTCGGATGACCCAGCGAGGGGACAAGCTGGTTTGGCGCGGCTCCTAAGTTGATTTCTTTTCAGTTGCACTGTCAATGCCAATCCTGTCATAACTCACTGGTTTCGTTCTGTGTATCTTTATATGGCGTTTGCTGCCCAGCAAACTCCCTTCGCCAGCGCCAGAAGCAATCAAAAACAACGCTCATACTCAACCGACTGCGACAAAGGAGTAGAAGACTGTCAGTAGTGCCGTCCGAGTTTTTGAAAGCATTCCTACTCGTCCAAAGCTGAGTCAGGATGACAGTGGTCCTGGACGCCAGATCGCTGTCCTGAATGGATATCTTTCGGAAAAGCAGAATATTGTCGAAATATGCCCTACGCCCCCTTTCGATATCCAGCACTGGGGCGAGATGGCTTTTCGCGATCCGGAGTACTGTACATGGTGCCAGCACTAGCATTTTCTGGCTGTGGGCTGTCGCGGAGCTGCTGAAGTTTTCGGTCTCATCCAAGCCTACTGCCATCTCTATGACAGAGCAGGCCAGAAGATACAGCTTGACCAAGCTACTATCATCCCTGTGAAGAGGCCCAAGGAAGAAATGAAAGCCTTGGATTTGCAACCTTGCGCAGAGGAGGTGGAGGCGACCTATTCTGTCAGCCGTTATGACATCTCACCGTAGAAGGTCCTTACTAAATTGATCAGGACATTCAGACTCCATCTGCGTGAATTGCCACGTAGAGATCTCGATCATAGATTTGACAGAACTAGCTCCTCCAGACTCATCAATGAGTTGAACGCAGCGCCCCAGTTCCAATACACATGATGCGAGAGTCTGACTCATTTTCTTCCTGAATCGCACCTTGAAGGGCACAATAGCGAGCTGTTGTTCCTGAGAAAGCTTCAGGTCAAATGTATCGAATATTATAGGTGGTGGAAGTCCGTGTGAGATTGCCGTGCTACCGTCTGTCAACATTACTTCTATGGGTAAGACACATACGTACCACTGAGAAGAAACTGTACATAGCACCCACAAGTTCGCCCGATATATGCACTCGTTTTCGTTGTGCTCCAATGTTGTCCTCGAGAAATCCTGGCCCATGCCCTGGACATGGAGCCCATTGCTGATCGCCAAGCTCAGCATTGCCCCTGATAGTACCGGCGAGATGTCCTTGTGCATCGTGTCCACTGGCATTGGCCAAATACAGAGTAGCAGGTAAGCCTGGATCGTAGGTAACCTTTCGGTGTGCGAAAACATGCTGCGTGCAGCAAGCTCGATCACTTTAGGACCGAGTAGGGTGAGGATGGTCGGGTCTTTGGAGTATTTCCTTGCTCCAGTGACGACGATGGTCCAGAAAAGGAGGGGACATTGAGCATAGCAGGCGTTCGGATCCATCAGAGAGTCAAAGATGTACAGTTTCGGTGAATAATGCAAGGAGAAGCTGCAAAAATCATCAGCCTACATAAACTGGCACGTGAATGGAGACAGACAGGGAAAAACAGTCATCAATTTGGTTGCTCCCAAGTTCAAAATCGTCGAGAGCCTGGCAGCATGTCATGGTAAGTCCGCTGGAGGTGAATTGGCAATCAGGGTCTGGCGTGAACGTGTTTTGTGGTAAGAATACAGGGTCATTTGCGGCTACACGGGAGATTCTGGCCTCGAATGGCTTTCCCCCCGGTTGAGAGTTGTTTGAAGTGTCTCCAGGGACATTGCCGTGGCCGCCAGTGCTCACTGGTAGCATCAATGGATCTGGAGCTGTACAGTTGGGCTCAAAGTCATCTGAAGTGATAAGTTGCTGCTTCAGTCGATCCAGCTCAGCTTGTAACTGAGCTCTCGTTGGTTTCTTGGTTCGCTTGAATGACTTCAACACCACGCAATTGAGTCTCATTCGCGAACATCTCGAACAAGGCTGAGAATAGTCTTTGGAGGCATCGCACCTGAGCTTCTGTTGCCGACATTCGGTGCATGATTTGACACGCGTGCCGAAGACCGGGGAAGTGGTGAGCGACATGGCTGAGTATGCCGATGTTGCCTCCCACGGTTAGAATTTTTCGAATGCGTGCCGAATCCTATGATATGCACACTGGTTGGAATGGAGAAGATGGGAAAGAACTTGGAGTCTGGGGGGAAGGGAGGCCAAGGCAACTAACTTATGGGGAAGTAATCAGATGGTTTTGGCAGGGTTGCGGTCAAAGTCTTGACTAAACCTCTTGATCTCTAAGGGCGAGCGAATACAAGCGCCACGGATGCCACTAACGTAATCACGGACAAGGGGGGCGTCCTTTGAGGCTGCTGAGGCTAATAGGCTGCTGTTATAGGCACGTGGATGCCTGTGCCACTGAAGGCCACGCCCGGGCAAAATGTGTTGGTGGAAAGGAGTATTAAAACAAGCAAACTTGTGTCAGTTGAACGATGCTCGAATATCTCGCATAAGACAACTTCTGATCGCTCCAAAGCAAGACATCCCCAGGAGCCTCCAGAGTCTTCATCTAAACCACTTGGTCTCCACTGTCCCCACGCGCTCAATAGTTACATTGTCTGTATCATTCTTCTTATCCCAGACGGCGTTCCTACCCGTGATCTTGATCCTTCCATGGGACCAGTCGGCACATGTTGGAGCATTCTCTGGCAAATGCGCCATCTGAACGCCGGCTTCCCTGAGGACAGGACTCTGGTCAAGTAGCGTGTTGATGACTACTTCATCATTTGGCACGCAGAAATAGAAGACGCTGCTCCGGTTGTGACCACGCTGATCGAGAGGTGGCTCGAACACACGGTGAATGGCAGCTTTGAAGTAATTTCCCGTCCACCAGAGCATCGTCTCGCCAGCATTGACGATGATGGCTCCCGGGACGTGCTTGACATACTTCCACTCATTGGAGTGGTAGTCACGAACCTGGAGCGACGACATCGGCTGGCTAAAGAGAAGCGACAGGCTGGTAAAGTCTTGATGGCCACCTAACCAGAGGCCGCCGGTCACAGCCTTTTCCTCGGGAGTGTATTCGTCATAGTATTCCATGTACCGCAGCCAGGTCTCGTCATGACCATTGTAGTCATGAGCCTTCACAAAGAACTCCTCATCATCGAGTCTCAAGGCAATCCCGAAAAGCCGGAGAAGCTTGTACAAGATGTCCTTGTGCGTATAGTCGATGAAGCTCTGGATTTCTGGTTGGAAGGGCTTCATGGCCGAAGGCTGCTCTCGCAAAGACATGTCCCGGTAGACGTTAAAGTTCTCAACTTTGTCCCGCACATTTCCTGCATTGCGCCAGTGGCCACGGGGTTTGAAGCCATGGTACGAACCTTCCTCAATCCTGTGACGTATCAGAGAGATGTTGTGGGTGAGATGCAGGGGAGAGATGAGGGAGAAGCTCACATGGGTGCTTGCAAACGCGTCTTCTCTTCTTGGGGAGTGCGCTTGAGGATTGTGTGACCAATGTCCACCTGACGTGATATCTCTTCTTCGGTGATTCCGTGGTTGATAAGGGTGAAGAAGCCTTGGGTCGTCATGGCAAGCCTGACCTCTTCCGCAAGCTCTGCTCGAGCTTCTGGGCTGTCGTCATAGCGGCCCAAGTCAATAGTTCGCAATGAGACAAAGTCGATGGGCTCCTTGGATGGTTGAACGGGCTCAAAGTGGTCTGCTTCAGGGAGTGTTTTGGAAATCATTGCGGCCGGACGTCCTATGTTTTCACAGATAGTCTTGCTTGGTGTGTCCAGAAAGAAAGAGGAATAATGTCCCTGGATAACGACTTACAGCCATATGAGCATCTATGTCCCCAGCTTTTATCATTGTCGTGATATCTGCGGAGAACCCCAATCTGACCTGCGTAGTCGCATTGCGACCGAGATCGAACATCGGCGTTGCGGCGCATGAACAAGACACCGTACTGCGGAAAGTCCGATATCGAGCTGAACTCCGATCTTCATTTGGATCTGCGTGGACAGACTCACCAAGCGTCTAGCGAGGCATGGTTGGTGGAATCAAGAGTTGGAATCCACATGGTCAACCCTCGGAAGCTGGAAACAGACTCGGACAGTCTCATGATTCAAAGCCGCTTGCTGGTGCTTATCAGGACAGCCCTCGATTTTCGTGCCGGAACACAGCACCACTCAGTTACCGTCTTTAGGTCGCTGTGGCTTCTGAAACTAAAGCGCCAGGTTTGCTTCTACACGATAAAGTAATAATGTGGCAGTGGGCTCTCGCCTGTGATCGACTGCGAAGAAAGAGATCACACCAAGATATAATTTTGAGAAGACATCATACCAGGTTGTATGGTCGGGAATAGCACCCCACCATTACGCTACCAGTCCATCTTTCTGTCCTTCTTCACATCACTTCCCTCTTCCAAAGCCCTGGCAACAGATTTCCCACCGGTCGTGCTACCCGTGAAATTCTCCCAAATAGCCTTTCCAAACCGCCTGAACGATTCCGCCATGCCATTATTCACCGTCAAATTGTACTCCATCTCCGACAAATTGAGCGGGAAGGTCTGCCCCGCAACCGACACTGTGCGACTCGGAATGTCGATAGTGATATCCTCGCCTTCTTTGGCCACTTCGAAGAAAGCATCGTCGGACACCGTCATGCCTAACAGTCCCAAACTCGGCTGGTTGCGGCCATAGATGAAGGCAAAAGAGCGTGCCAGCACAGCTTTGACGCCGACGCCTAGGGGATGTGATCAGCCCAGCCTTGATAACTTGAACGAACATGACCAAGACGTACCCTTCAGAGCAGAAACTGCGCATTCTCGACTCGACCCGACACCGAAAGCGTGTCCGGCCACGACGATCTGCTGACCGTTCTTCGCTTTAGCGCGGAAGTCGGGATGGGTATGTTCGAGGACGTGTTGGCCAAACTCTTCATCCGTGACGCAAGTGGTCAGCGTAGGTCCAGGAGCCAGCTATCGGTGTGTCAGTCCTTTGCCCTCGCTGCCTTGCAGGTTGTTGAACATACCGCATCAGTATCGATAAAATCTCCCAGGATCACGACCTTACTCGATATCTTGTCGACCTGTTTCTGTGAACCCTCGTTGCTAACGTTGGCATTTGTGACCGCAGCGGTGGTGGTTTCGATCGGCGGCCCTGGCTTCGAAGTCAAGTCGGGCTCGACATAGTCAATCGGAGTGTACTCCATGACACCCAGCGGGCTGTACCGCCTGAAGAATTCCATGTCTATATCCTTGAGAAACTCGGCAGGACTGGTTATTGTCAGACTGAAACTCGAAGCAGCGCATATGATGGCTGTCGTGACGTGACCGAAGGCGCCTGATGCTCGTTAGTCTCTTAGCTTTAACGGCAAGCCCTGATGCAACAGAACAAACCCACCTTTGCCCATGCGATTTTGGAAATTACGATTTTGTGAGCTCAACCAGGCCTCTCCTTCACTCGCCTTCTCCGCCGAGAGTCCAACACAGAACGAGCACCCAGGAGGTCCGCGAGTGAAACCTGCAGCCTCATACACCTCCAACAGTTTGAGCTCCTTCAGCTTTTCAAGCACAGGCAAGGATCCGGGCACATAATGTCGTTTCCCCTTCGCGATCGGTAAACCTTTTTCCAATCCGACTTTCAACACTAGGGCGGCAAGGACAAGTTCTTCTTCAGTCGTTGTGCAGGCACCAATGAACACGCCGTCGAGCTTGAGCCCTGCCTTCTCCGAGACAGGAACCACGTCGTCTGGATTTGGGTATACGGCGACCGAAGCTTCGACCTTTGACAGGTCAATGGTATACTCTCCGGAGTATTCGGCATTGGCATCAGGTCTGAAGTATAGCGAGTTCTGGCGGTTCGCCTTTCGTCGCCGTCGTGTGATGTAATTGTACGTGATGCTGTCGGGAACGAAAATGCCGCTAATAGCACCGAACTCGGTGCACATGTTGCAGATGGCGAAGCGTGCATCACACGACAAATACTGGAGACCCTCACCGCGGAACTCAACGATCCGCTCAGCGGCAACGGTATTGCGCTTCAATTCTCCCAATATGTGCAGAATCACGTCCTTGCCAGTCATCCCAGTCTGGGGCTCTCCGATCAGCTCGATGGAGATGGATTCCGGGATCCTAAACCAGGTCTCACCCAGCGCCAGAGCCATCATGACATCCGCCGTGCCTAGTCCGAGGGACAACGAACCAACAGCTCCGCCCGAACACGTGTGCGAGTCGGATCCAATTGCAAGCATTCCGGGTTCGACTCGTTCTCGCACGAATTCCGTGTGCATGATGGTGTAGTTCATGCCCTGATACTCTGTCAATTTGAATTCATTCTTGGCCTTCTCAGCCGCATCCAAGAATGCCTTGATCTTGGGGTTGGACGCTACAGCTGGATGGTAAACATGGTCACCAGCCAGCCAGAAACGGTCATTTCGCCAAATGCCAGGAGATCCGAGTTCTTTATACGTCCGGGCCATTCCCTGCTGGAAATTAGCATACTGTAGTCGCAAAGACTACCAGGTGAACATACCTGCCATGACAGTTCTGATGCCAAGATCCAATCGACGCCCACTCTCACCACATCGCCTGCTTTGAGGCCATGGGGAGGTCTTTCTCCTATCACATGTTGAGCAAAGATCTTTTCTGCTAGCGTCATAGGCTTCGTTCCGGTAGCAGGCGTTTTGAGAAACGACAGATATTCTCTTTCCCGTTCGCGTGAAGTGATCGCATCTAGCCAGGCTTCAACCAAGAAGATGGCTTCAGAATGTTGGTGAGCAGTAGCCTTGACACCTTCGACCAAGCCGAGTCCTCCGAAATTTGGATTGTCAACCACCTTGTCATGAACCTGTTGTAAGGTTTCTGCTTCCGCGGGTCTGTCTGCCTGGATCAATGCAGAAATATAGCGAGTCAGAGTGGTAGGAATAGAGTCGGCCGACTTTGCAGGATCCAATATCAGGTCACCTAGTTGTACCTTCCTCGTCTGTGAGAGCAAATTTTGCAACCGCGTTTCGAACTCGATTACTCCGGGGTCCGACACCGCTTGTGCGAGCTGTCCTCCTTCTTCTGGACTCAGGACAGGCTTCCCTATCTCTACTGTAGTTACCATCTTGCGAGTAGCAGCTGCGTAGGCGCGGCAGGGCAGATTTCGGGGCTTTGGCGGTTCAGGTATTTATTGATCATGGGACGCCTCCATGTTGTAAATGCGGTGGTCCATTGGGGAGCCATCTAATTCTCAGCACATGAAAGACACCAATTATGGGATACGGTCTCGGCGATGATCCAGAAACGTTGTTGCGTGATAGCAAAGGGTGGCATTGCGACATAGGGCCGATTTGCAGAGCCGTCTCCGCACTTCGGTGCGAGCATCGGCCACCGTTGTCGATGTCGGCTATACCCCGTTCAGTGTGGACATAGTGAATCAGCGTTTCTGACCAATCTGAACGCACCTGCAGAAGCATAGGTTGTATTTCGACCGGCCCGAGGGATCATATAACAACTGCACGGGCTGTGCTGAAGCCCCTAGGAGAGTACTATATTCGGACTTCCTTGCCGACCATTATTGTGTGACACGTACAAGCCGCTTGGAACAAAATCAAGGCCACGATAACAATGGGTTCTCTCAACGGACCAACTGCCCCGAAAATGGGAGCAAAGGCCTGCTCGCCCTTGAGCGGTGCAACACGTCTTCGTGAGATGTTGAAAGACCGTTCTAAAGTTGTGGTATGCCCTGGCGTCTATGACGGGCTGAGTGCCCGCGTCGCTCTTTCCATGGGGTTTGACGCTTTGTATATGGTGAGTGCAGAGCCCATGGATTTGCCCACGCACTACTAAACCATGGCATGTGTAGACAGGAGCAGGCACTTCCATGTCAAGACTCGGATGGGCAGATTTAGGCATGGCGCACCTAAATGATATGAGAGGAAATGCTGAGATGATTGCTTCGCTCGATCCTTCCGTCCCCTTGATTGCGGATGCGGATACCGGGTATGGTGGCCCCATCATGGTAACAAGGACGGTTACTCAGTACGCCCGCTCGGGAGTTGCAGCGTTGCATATTGAAGATCAGGTCCAAGAAAAGAGATGCGGACATCTCCTGGGCAAGGAAATTGTCGACCGAGAAATCTACTATAGCCGACTTCGAGCTGCAGTGGCCGCACGTGATGCGTTGCAATCCGACATTGTCATCATTGCTCGAACGGATTCGTTGCAAACATATGGCTTTGAAGAAGCCATTGAGCGTTTGCAAGAAGCCGTCAAGATTGGAGTCGATGTGGTGTTTCTCGAAGCTCTCCGAACCAAAGAGCAAATGGAAAAGGTGTGCAAAATCATGGGGGACACCCCGATTCTGCTCAATGTCGTCCCAAACGGTGTCACTCCAGAATTGTCGATTGAAGAAGCACGGCAGATCGGGTTCCGAATCATGATCTATCCGGGAGTCTGCTTGCGTCCGGTGGTCAAGACCATTGCTCATGAACTTCAATTTCTGCAAAAGACTGGGAAAGCATCTTCGTCAGACAGTTCGAACAGCCCTAAGGAGGTCTTCAACCTCTGCGGCTTGCAGGAATGCATGGAGATTGACCAAAAAGCTGGAGGAAAAGCGTATTCCACAGTGGGGAAATAAGCAAACATGATGATCAGAGAATGCTGGCAATGAACTAAATTGGCCAATTCCTCCATGGCTGAATGCAGCAAATGTTCATAATGGTCCATTGTTGTGCTCATTCTCCAGTGAAGGACGTATCCAACTCATTTTAATGGACCGCGGATACTGTACGAAGATCCGCAAGACACCCCATTAGATCTCTGAGGCGAAAGTTGCAGTCCATCAGCCAATCAATCTGACAACCTTCCTTAGCTGCCTGGCTGGCAGCATATCATTCCGCGTAGGCTGAATCGACGCCCAATCTTCGAGGAAATCTTGACGTATCATACCAAAGTGTTCAAAGTGGAACTCATTCTGCAAGAGATCCAGCCTTTCTAGAACCACTCCTTGCGCATAATCAGACCTGAGTTCCGGCGCTATAAGTCCGAGGGGCATCAAGAGCGCACTGTTGTATGATGAGGCTTCGGGAAATCGCTGTAAGATATTGACTGCAAGTGTAACCAGCTTCTCAATATTTTCGTGCGCTATGAATGGGGGAAAGGCGTACGTCGTCAGTGTGTTAGGTAGACCTTGTCGATCTCGCAGCTGCTGAAAGAAGTATACTTGTCCGACAGTACGGTAAAGCTCGCGGAGCAGTGCCAACTGACCGGCGCTATTCGGGATGCCATCATACATGCACGGAGAAGATGACGATGGATTTTGCACCAGGCCGGCCGGACGAAGTGCGGTCGTGTCTGTTGTGTTACTCGTGGATAAACTCGGTATGAAATCAAGATCTCCATCCCAAGAATCGAGTTCCGACAAGGAGACGTCTTGAACTGCACTGCTAATCCGGTGGAGCAATGTCGAATAGTTCTGTCGTACAAGGGGTGTTCCTATACCAAATTGCAAAGCTTGGTTGCTGTGATATGGCGTTGCATCCGGCGTAGGATTAGCAATCAACGCTAATAGCTGATTGTAATTGAAAAGACTGCGAAGGAACACATGTAGGTGTCCCTGATTTTCGTAGCCATAATTGTCCTCGAATGAAAAATAGGCTTCGGCAAATTGCAGGTGTTTTTGCAAGGACGAACACGAATCACCCGACAGCTTCGCAAGAAGCACCAGCAATACTGCTGTAGTGACAAGACATATCTTGTCCATAGAGGCAAGTAGCAACATGTCACCGGGAAAACCAAAGTCAACCTCAGCCGTTTCAGTGGTAAGAGGGAAATCTGAAGAGGAGAGCAAATGCCCACCGGCCCTGCGAGATATATGTAGACACTCGGTTATAGCCTCTTTCGTAAAGCGAGAGATCGCCCTTCTCAGATGGGATGTCTTGCTTTGCTTGTTTTGTGACCCTGCTATAGCGAGCATTGCACACTTGACAGGCCTGAACTTGAAAGCAACCGGGATTAGGCAAGTCAGGAAAGGATTGTCGTCATCTCGATAAGTCGGGTAAGTCCGCGCAAAGCGATTGATATAGTAATCCCAAAGATGAAGCTCTATGGGAGAGCTTAAATCGTGTATAGATATTATGTCAGGCTTCTCGATCGCTCTGAGGAAGGCATCGTGTTGCGTCTGTGGTACGGTATCGTTACTGCATTCTGAACCAATTTCCTCGGTCCTGTGGAATTGAGACTCGGATGGCGTAGCAGTCGTGAAGACTGAGAGATTCACACCCGAATCCTCTGAACTGACGATTTTGTCCACATTTTCTGTTGGTCCTGGCCTTTTCTGACTTTTTGATGGGCCTCTCCTTCCAATGGCCTGTCGTACGGCGTCATCCTCCCACAAGATTCGTCGCTGATAACCTTCGCATTGCATCCCAAGGCGGGTGCAAGTATGACATGCTGGCTTCTGGAGGTCACATTTTTTCTTTCTGTCGACACCACTAAGCCTCTTGGAACTTTTCACGGGTTTGCGGAGCCAGGAAGTCGCACTTACCTCCTCTTACAAGTCACACAGCTTTCGCGGGATCGTGTTGATTTGATCATAGTACAGAGTATTCAACCACACAGAAAGCTTGGTTGCGATTCCTCCATATACTCTGGGAGATTGATTGTAAGCTGGCTTTTGTGATTAAAATTGAGATTGCAGACGGTCAACAGCCATATATAACGGAAATTCGTGCGTGATAGAAGGAAGATAAGGACTGGGTACTAGTAATGGGAGATAAAAAAGTGGGAAAGTGGTGCTGGGGTGAGGGGCATCATGAGGCATTCTGGAATAAATTGGCGTTGCGCGCTAAGCAACCACCAAACATTGAAGCCAATAGGTAAAGCATATTCCATAGATGGAGCTTCCTGCTGTCAAGGTATAATGCAACTTTGGGAGTGGTCTTCGAAGGATTATGATTTGAGGTGGCAAGAGTATATCTATTCCCAATGAATAAGTCAACCATTTGAACGACTGGTTTATCATTATCGTATCGTTATTTCGACAGGCAGAAGGAGAATCAAAAGCCTTACTTCTAGCACTGTAGATGGCTGATTACAAGCGCAATGGAATGGTGTGGAGGACAATAGATACATCTCAGCGGATCTCCTCCTGCGTCTAGGAATTGCCCCTAGTAAGGGATATCTGGAATCTCGTTCTTGTTGATATTGTCCTCGGCGGTCACAGGACGCATTTCCCATACAGTTTGCTTCATGTACGCAACCTGTTCATCGATCCATTTAGTCAAGGCCTGGACATCAACGATATCTTTCTTCACATCTCCCCTGCGACCATTCTCTGTTTTGGTAATAGCCTCCCCATATTGCGCATCAAGCTTCTCACCCTCGAGGCGGAATCTTTCTGCGAGCAAATGCAAACGATAACTTGTCCACTGGTAGTATAGCTCGGGTAAACGCGATTTTGTTCTGACGTTCATATTAGAGGATTGGTCCAGAAGCCGAGGGTCACGCGGGCGGAACGATGTCACTATGGTGATCCGTTCAGGCATATTGCCAGACGGAAGCGCGATATGAGAAACGTGCCGACCTTGAAGGATAACAGCACCACCCTGCATTTCTGCGTTAGTACTTCTACAGGTGGAAATGGAGTTACTGACCATCTGAGGAGAGCGGACTTTGATTGTTTTCCCATCTCCTCGTTGAATTTCAGTCTCGCCCTCTGTCATATACCTAGCATCTGACAGCATGACGACACATACGAAGGGATGCGAGTCTCGGTGCCATGGGACAATGGCGTTCTTGGCTGGTTTATCGATTAATCCTTGGTTATTGTCCAGAACTTTGGGAGCTTTAGGTGGCCGAATTGGAGTGTCCTTGACTCCTTCCAGTCCGGCCGAGCCAAGTTGTACGTTCGTATGACAGATCTCGTAATCCATCACTGGGACCAGATCGACCCCTGCGTTATCGCTGACGATCTTAAGGACTTCAGGGGAGGTCCAAAATTGGTGTATGAATGGTGCATAACGGGGTGCCATTCCTCGCAATTGAACAGACCCCGGTCGGGTGTGGTAGGTACAGTTGTCGAGTACATCTTTCGAAAAAAGTTCCTTTCGGTGCAAAAGAATCGCTTCCTCGGAGAGCAGTTGAAATGGCTCCGTAGAGGCAACATTAGAGATGGAGGAGGGTGGTAGAGAGAGGTCATTGAGGGTGTATATGGCATTGGGAGGCTCGTAGGCGAGATGTTTCGCTGGGTTGAAAACACCTCTAACTGATTTAGCGGAGGTTTGCGGTATGCTTGTATCCTCGCTGGGATGAAGTTCGACAAGTCCGGGAGCCATGGTTGATAGTCAAAGCGACTTTTTTTTAGAGTCGAACTGTCAGGCAAGTTGACCTTGCATATATGGTTGAAAACAAAAGCCTAGTATAGATTTCGGCAACGAAAGAGCCGGCTTGTCAATCAACACACCCTTTCATATGACTAGCACACGCCTCGCTATTATACCCGCCTGAATTGCTGACGGAAACGTCCGATAACATCAAACCGTGGCACACTAACCGTTTGGGTACCATACTAGCCGCTGCTAATATGAATTGGGTTGCATGCTCCCGCGGTGGAACTCGATGTCGTGTTGCTCATAATTCTGCGACCACGAGAATAATGCATGACGTTATACTATCCTTCCGGCAGTGGTGTCTCATTGTGCTCGAATGGGATGATAATTACCGCTACCTTGGATTTTATCCCAAAGTAGGTATAGTAGCCGCTGGTTATCACGAATCTGAAGCATCCGCAGTTCCTATCCCATTGCTGGACCCGATTAGGGGTCCGCACGGAGGAGTGGCTGATTCTTGGAGACCCCATGGAACTTTGTCAGTTCTGATAGCGACCACTGTCAGTGGTTGTGGCAGCAAGCTATTGTTCCACAACACTAATCCCATTTCGTGCCATACTAGACGCAGCACCTACGTGACCAAGGTGTGGACTCTGCGCTTATCTTTCCGCTTCCATTTCCCACGGGCTAACATTATCGGGACTAAGAAGCCTATCATGTTTGTGTTAATTGACAGCAGCCGCTATCTCCAATGCGCCACGACGATAAGGACGATTCAACCAAGCATCAGCCGGAAATAATTAGGTATATATACAGTATATAGCAACCCAGAGGCCTCAACATGATATAGACCTCACATGCTTTTGATTGAGATCTCGTTTTAAAACAATTGCCTCCCTGAGTGTGGGATTGAACGTAAAAAGATGGGCTCAAAAGCACCCTCTGTGAACGATGAGTTCTCTACGGAGAAAGGCATTGGTCCCGATGTTTGCAGAACTACAAGCACGGGAAGGGGAGATGTCATTACCAACACCGTACGATACCGCAATCGTACTGGCAACGAGATTGATATCACCACTGTCCAGCCAGGGACTGACAAGGTCTACGAAGCAAAAGTGTCTCTGCTCAATCACGCAATACTCGACTTGGGTATGGGTAAATACCAGTGGATCATGGCTTTGCTTACTGGTTTTGGTTGGTACACGGACAATGTAAGTCACCCTTTCCAGACCAATTACTCTAGCAGTACTGACTTCTCCTGTGCAGTTCTGGCTTCAAGCGATCACAGTCATTAGCCCCTTCGTGCAACGCGAATTCGAGGTCAAACGCATAGCTTGTATGTCCACATGGGTCCATGGCTCACTACATCACATACTGACGCATTATACTAGTTCTAACGGTTGGCAAATACGCTGGGTTGGTTCTTGGGAGCTCGCTGTGGCCCATGACTGCGGATTTTATCGGTCGAAAACCTGCGTTCAACATCACTCTCGCAATGTCATCCATTGCGGGACTCATCGGGGCTGGTGCGCCTAACTTTACTGCCATTGCTACTCTCTGTGCTTTTATCGGCTTAGCAACTGGTGGAAACCAACCTGTCGATTCGGCAATCTTTCTTGAATTCATACCAGCAACCCATCAATATCTGTTGACAATGCAATCAGCATTTTGGTCGGTCGGACAAGCAGTTGCGGTACTGATAGCATGGTCAGTATGCACAATCATCCTCTCGAATCCATGACTAACCTGACAACCAGGCCTTTGGTGGCTAACTACTCCTGCCCATCGACTACGCCAACAGGGGAATGTGAGTACCATGATAATCTTGGTTGGCGATATTGTTTCTGGACATACGGTGCGATAAACTTCGCTATGTTCCTCGGTCGATTCATATTCCCACTACACGAGAGTCCCAAATATCTCATTGGTCGAGGTAGAGATGCTGAAGCTGTACAAGTCTTGCACAAAATTGCTGCATACAACAAGACTTCGACCTGGCTCACTCTCGCGCACTTCCAACAAATCGACAACGACCTCGGCAATGGCAATCCTCTGATCCAGACTTCCGCGCATCAAGAAGCATCCAATGTTCTCAAAAAGAACATCTCCAAGTTCGAACCTGAGAAGATGAAGGCCCTCTTTTCTACACCTATCATGGCGTTTTCGACGACGATGATGATCCTACTTTGGTGCATGATCGGCATGGCCTATCCACTGTATAACTCCTTCATACCTCTTTACCTGGCGGCCAAGGGGGTTACGTCTGGGAACAACACGATCAATGCAACCTACCGAACCTACTGTATACAAGCTGTCTGCGGAATTCCTGGCTCGATTATTGCTGGACTTGCAGTTGATGTCAGACGCATTGGCCGTAAAGGGGTTGGTACTATCTCTTGTATCCTGACAGGCATATTCTTGTTCCTTTACACGCGTGCCAACAGTTCAGCTGCCATCCTGGGATTCTCCTGCGCCATTGCTCTTTTCCAGAACATTGTTTACGGAATTTTGTGTGAGTTGTGATCCAGTAGTGGCTGCAAAAATTATCAAGCTGACAGAATGCAGATTCGTATACGCCAGAGCTCTTCCCTGCACCCATCAGAGGCACTGGAAATGGTCTGGTAGCCGTGTTTAACCGATTATCGGGTCTCGCAGCCCCTCTGATCGCAGCATACGTGGGAATCAATAACTCACCTATCTGGATTTCGGCTGGTTTATTCATTGTTGCGGGTTTTATCTTCGCGGTTTTGCCATATGAGACGCGTGCTCGAGCTGCTGCTTAGATAGGTCAAGTTTCAAGGTGAGGCCGAGCGACAGCGAAACCAGACGAATCAATTCGGTGAAAGGGGAGATGCAACGCTTTTCTGCCTTAAAACCTAGCTAGGAATGGCCTATCAGTGCTCTAGGCTCTTCTCCATCATTCATTTATTGAAAGGCTATCAGAAATCAACATCACATGCACAACCAACTTTGAACTCGAGAGCTCCAGCCTGCTCCTGGCTAGGGCCTTGCTATTAGCCAGCCTATATCCATCCTACCCATTGCCACATACACTGGCTTCCCCGATTTTCAATCCGCATGGCCTGACAATAGTCTCACAGCCAATATCTGAAGGCTGGATGGAAATCGTATACTTCTTCCAGGGACTTTGAAGCCAAAGGATGGACCTCACCCCTCTCGTCGAGCTGTCTCGCAACTGCATCTCTCTTCTTGTTCTCGTGATACAGATGAAAGTACAACAGAACTGTGCATATGGTTGCCAATCCGACCAGGCCCAGAGTGACACCGTGGCCCTTCAAGAAACGTGGAGGAGTATCATAGATTTGGGTTGCGATGATAGCGTAACCCTCGACAAAGAACTGTAATCACATTAGCTACAAGTACTGGGGATGAGAGTTAAGATTGGGAAGATACTAGCACTCACCATGTTTATGGTGAACATCGTGGACTTCTTGGTGTACCCAGCGTGAATTGAAGTCACCCAGGCGGCAGCGATTGGCACAGCAGGCGTCGACCCAGAGGCCACAAAGCAGCACCCAGCGATTAGGGCGACCTTGTTTGTTGTCGTCAATAGGAGGACCAGCCCGATGATGCAAGAACCAAGGCAGATTAAGGTCGGGACGCATCTGCGATCGAAACGGTCCGACAATTAGCACCCTATCAGGGTAGCCACGATGGCGAATGCGTATGGTATCATGGTGTATAGTTGAGTGTCCACTGCGACAAAAGGTTGGTTGGTGCTCTTTCAATCCATTGAGTGCGTGCAGGGGCGACTTACATGCTGAGTATCCGATCTCTGTGATAAACGTCGGCATGAAGACAACGAATGCGGTATTGGCAAGGCATACCCCGGCCATGAGTAATGCACCAAACCAGGTTTTCATGTCCTTCAGCGCTGCGAAAATCTGGCGAAAGTCGATTTTGACATCGGCGTCATTTTTGGCTTGAAGATGTTGATCAGTTGTGACCCCTTCATTGAGTGGTACTCGTTGTTGAGGAATAGGACTTTCTCTCAATCATGCGCCGTAAGATCAGCTCCCTCTCTCCACGATTTCTGAACGTCAAAAATGGGTTTTTGATCAGTTGATCTGGCAGGCGAGGAAGCAGCAGCCAGACCATGATTCCCAGTGCTATTGTCGGAATCCCCTCCACCAGAAAGAGCCATTGCCATGCATGCCGTCCGTCTACGCCCTCCAGATCTTTTGCCACAGCCCAGGCGACCAGACCGCTAAACAAGCCAGCCACAGCAGACGAGGCAAAAAACCAGCCTAGTATGCGTCAGACTCGTCGCTTAGGCACCTGATGTTCAACTTACCAGATCTCCACGCGAGTTCGTCTCGTCTGTACCATAGATTGAGGTAGAGAAAACCGGTGGTAATCACTGCTTCCCCAATCCCAAGTAAGAGCCGTAATACCATCAGGCCAGCGTAGCTGCCACTGACGGATATGAAACTGGTCACAATCCCGAAGAGGATCACAGCAGGTCCGTAGACATAGTTGGCAGATATCTTGCGCAACAAGAGGGCACATGGCAGTTCTGCAACGGCGAATCCAACGACTAGAAACCTTGTTAGGCATGGTATTCCAGCTCAGGGGAAGAAGAATGTCGTTACAGTAGATCATCAAGCAGTTGTAGTACTGCGAATTGTCGAGTTTTAAGTACTTCTGAAGTCCCATAATGCGGGCATTTCCAATCTGTGCTCGATCCTGGCCAGAAGGTTAGCACTGTACATATCAACTTCCGAAAGAGCGTCAAACGACCAGATAACTGAACATGTAGCTCAGAGTCATGAGGGGCATGATCATGAGGTCTTGCTTTCTCAACAATGCTCGCTCTCGTTGATTTCTTCCACCCGCATCACCGAAAGGACGATCGTCGTCAAGGATCTTTTCTCCATGAATATTAACTTGTTCAACAAGTTCCTCCGCAACGAGCTCTTCCGCGATCTTGTCAGAGGCACGTGCATCAGAGAGGCTGTCGGAGGCCATGTCTGGAGACGTTTGGCGTTGGGGAGCTTCACAGGGAGACAGAACAGACTGACGACCAGAATATATAGATGATTTTGCCCATGGGGGAGTCTCCAGGAGCCGTATACCCCAGGATCTGGACTCATGTCTGCTATTCAAGCTATAACTTTCGTTCTGTCCTGTGGTCCGTTCTCCGTCGTTCATTCAAACTCCGGTTTTGAATCGAAGTCCGAACGGAGGAAGTGGGCCGGCTTCTGCAGCAACATTGGGGGTGCCAGAACTCGAAGGCCAGCCCCAGATCGGCAATTCCGAAGGAGGTCTATCCCCGGGTGCTATAATGGTTTGATAGGGCATTCAACAGCATATGATATAGACAGTTGACGCGGGCACCTCAAACATACCCGGGCTCATAGTCCAACATTCAACACTGTGACAACGCAATATCGTTTCAAGTACCGAAAATGGCTGATCAGGAAAAGAGGCTACAGGTGTTGCTCGACAAACAAGACATTTACGAGCTCGTTTGTCGCTATTGCAGGGGAGTAGACAGAATGGATAAGGAGCTGACAATATCATGCTTCTGGCCCGGTGCCATTGACGTTCATCTGGGCAAATTTGGCAATCTCCACACAGGCACAGCTCAGGACTTCTTTGATCAAGAATGGGAAGGATTCAAAGAGTTCACCGCATCTCAACACTATATCTGCAATCATTTGTACGAGGTCGACGGAGACAAAGCATTTGCCGAAACCTATCAGTTCTCGTTCTACTGGAAGAAGCCTGGCGATGAACCAACTCGCAACGTCCAGAATTCGAACCGCTATGTTGACCGCTTCGAGAAGCGTGATGGCGAATGGCGCATTATCCATCGGACCTTCATTAGGAATTTCACTCTGCCTATTCACCCTGTGGGATTTCCCACCGTGGAAAATGGATGGCCCTCACTCTCCCAGAGCAGGAACGATCTGGCTTACAGTGGTGTCAATGGAGTGATTTACTGGAGATCCACAAAATTGACATGACGAGAATGACAAATTTGATCCTATCCCCGCAGGAAATAAACAATGGGCAAGGCTGAGGCCAAGGGATCGGATTATACTGTAAAGGGGGAATGAAAAGATGACGTGGAGCGCTTGATGCGCACCCCCTATAGGCTCAATACATGGCGAATATCACTGTTACGAGGAGAAGCTCATTATTCAGAGGTCCAGGCACGAAAACATGGTGACAGTTAGGCAGCAAAGACGAATGAACGGCAGACAGGGAGCCTGTCGTCCCCGACTGTGCCTCTATGCCTCTACCATGTCCATTGTGCATCTCCTGAAATTGAGTGCCGCCTCGAGCAGTGAAATATACAGCAATAACATCTAACTGGGGCAAATAAAGCTGATCACATCCATGAGTGGGCATAGCCAACTCCTATAATACTATTGACCCCTGAATTAGGCTATATACAAGGCTGACTTGCCTCCCAACGGTCTTCACTAGACTGACCACGCCACTTCACACCTCCATCTGCGCTCAGTATTCGTATAGGAGCAGGATCTAATTTGACGGACACTAGGCCTGCTTCTCCTAAAATATGGCAAGTAGATTTGCAGGGCTTGCAACAGCTCCAGGGACGTTGCAGACCTGCATGATGATCAGAGACGATTCTGCGATCGAAACACACAGATTCAGACTTACCTCACTGCTGACGAAGAATGACCAACGGTTAATTCCAGCGCAGTACTCCGCTGCTGCGTCTAGATTGAAGAGCTCTCCAATCGACATTCCCCAGCCGGCGCTCAGAACGTCATGAAAATTACCAGTCTTGAACGGATGCTTCACCAGCCATGTTAGAAGTTGCCCTTCAGACAGAAGTCATATGGTACTTACGCCAGTACTCAAACGTGATATGGTCAGCGGCGACGGCAGAAAAGTAGCTCCAGATCCATTCCAGGGCTTGTTCGCTCTGGACGAGACCGCTTGACTGCCACATGGTACCCATTTTCTTCTTATCGTCGTCACTCAAGGCAGCATATTCCTTGGTGAAACCTGTTCTGACAAACAAGATATCTCCAAAATTGATCTCCGTGCCTTGGTCCTCTGCTACGGCTTTCAATTGATCGACTGTGATCTTGTGAGGATTGAGAGGCGTCGCACTGAACTCAATGTTCTGCTTTCTCCTCCACCGGTCAAAGTCGAGAAGCACACCGCGCCCGACGATGCCGGTCTGCTCCCAGTTTTGGATCCCATTGACATGAGACTTAATCGACTTGTCTTCGTTGAAGAAGTCTTTTAGAGTGCGGCCACCATAGAATTTTCCAGTACTCTGATACGCCCAATGCCTCAAACCGTCCCATTGGGTGCTGCACTGGCTATTCATCGTCCAGACGCAGTCACAGACAACCCTTGGCGGTTTTGCATATTGATCCATTTCGAACGCTTTCCGTCCGACGACGCCCGTCTTGGCCATCGCGTCTAAAGGATTGTTGAGAGAGCAGGTCCTGCCGGTCTGGATCTCCTCCTTCGCTTGAAGCACTAGCTCTGGTGTGAGACGGTTGAAAGCACCACGTTCATCGTCGTCGCCGTACAGTCCCCAGGCCGAGTACGGCGGGTCTCCTTTCCTCAAGGGTAAGCTGGAGAACAGAGGAATAGTTCCTGACATATCGAATAATGCAACCCGCAGCAATATGACCTACGTCCTTCTCTGCGAGGAACGCGAATTGCGGGAGGCGCCCTGGATATCTAAATTGAGGAATCTGATATGATTGATGACATCTCTGAATGGAGCTGAAGAGACAAGAGAAATCAAACATACGCTGGCAAGATTGGAGTCAAGACTTCTCGGCCGCGAAACACTTCCGACCTTCGATGTCCGAAGAGGATGCAATTCCGAGAAATCAGAGTTGATGATTGATGTCGACCTTCATTGAGTTTGACTTGGAAAAAGGGGTTTACCGGAGCTCCGCATTTCCCCAGCACAGCCGGACCATATCTCTCCGGGGCCAACTGCTGGACAAAGAGCGAAAAGAGAGAAGACTGGTCCCAGAGTCGTTAAGTACTTAGTGTAAGGCACTTTACATATACACTCAACTGAGAGGGGAAGACCACTACTAAGCTGAACCATACAGAAGTACGGCCACAAGCTTTCCAATATGCCGAAGCACACTGGTGTCAACGACCACACGGAGCAAAATCTACCCACGCAGAAATTGAATGATGGCATAGGCAGCGTTCCTGCTCACAGTGAAGCTCTTCGAAACTCAGTGACGGAACTATTGGCGCGGTTCGTCGCCAGCATGTCTGGTGGCATTCTCACTCCAGAGCTATCCGACAAACTCAAGGCTCTGTTGCTCGACTACCTGGGCGTAACAGCATCCGCTGGTCTCCGTGCCGAGTCGAGTCAGAAGTTCGTTGATGGAATCACTTCATTTTCTGACGCAGCTGAAGGACGTAACACTGTCCTCACAAAAGGGTCGAAATTTCCACAGCGCTACGCCGCTCTACTCAACGGTGCTTTTTGCCATACGTATGACTTCGATGATACTCACTCAAACGCGCTCCTTCATCCAGGGTGTAGTCTGATATCAGCAGCCTTAGCGCAAGCCGAGACCCAGAATGCATCGGGCCGCGAGCTTTTGCTGTCTCTGGCCGTTGGATATGAAGTCGCCTGCTGCGTGGGAGCTGCATTAGGTCTGGGTTCTTACAAAGGGGGCTTTCACAATACAGGTACTGTGGGGATATATGGATCGATCGCATCTATCTGTAAGCTTCGCGGGAGTTCACAGCAGGCCGTTGAAGATGCCTTCGTCCTGGCGCTCTCCAGGGCCGCTGGGTCTATGCAGTTCTTGGAGAATGGAAGCTGGAACAAACGTCTTCATCCGGGTTTTGCAGCCCACGACGCTCTACTGTGCGTTTCCCTGGCAGAAGCGGGTGTGCTCGGCGCCTCTCAAGCAATTGAAGGAAAGTACGGACTGCTGCACAATTACTCTGGAAGTGGCGATCCTTCGAGGATAACCAAGCGCCTAGGAGAAGAATGGTCTTTCTTGGAAACCGCCTGCAAGCCTTTCCCAGCTTGCAGGATGACCCACGGCCAACTCGAAATGGTGGGCAAATGGAGAAAAGTTCACGAGGCTCGAGGCATTCCAGAGACCGCTACGGTTACTCTCCCCAAAAACTCGTTTCCGATCGTTGGATTACCCGCCAAGAATAAAATCAGGCCTGAGTGCATCGTTGACGCTCAGTTCAGTTCTTGCTTCCAGGTTGCAGCATCGTGGTTGTACGGAACTAATCTTGGATGGGCTATTTACGAAAAGATCCCTGACAAAGGTGTCCTTGAATTGTGTGGGAGAGTTAAATGTGAAATGGATGAAAATTACAGTGCCCTCGAGTCCAGGATGAAGATCGTCTTTCCAGATGGGACTGTCGTCGAAGATGAGATTCTGGTGCCCATCGGGGAGCCACAACGTCCTTTTGAATGGGATACTGGGGTCAAGGAGAAGTTTCTGGGCCTGGCTGAGCCAGTCTACGGCAGGAATAAATGTCAAAAGATCTGTTCAGTGATAAAGGCCCTCGAAAGCTGTGGATTAGGCGAGCTCATGACATTGTTGGCTTGAATGATATGGCTCGCCTGGAAGAAACGTGTCGATCTAGCCGTCGGCCGTCACAATACTGGAAGCAATCATATATCTCATTCTCTATCATTCAATCCACATATCACCACTGAGATGCCCACAATAGGCCATGATCTAAGATAATGCCCCAGTTTACGAAGAACGTCTCTAGCATTGCCCTGACCGTCCGGTCTAAGTCGATACGCTGGGGGGGGTCGTGCGCGGCTCTGGAGGGATTTCCTGCATTGGACTTTAAGCCGGAGAACGCTGAAACATCGTCAAATGGACATACCCGGAATGATCACGATTAGGTAGGACCTTTAGCTAGAGGGAAGGCGAGGGATCAGCGTTGGCCGCCAATTGCGTTTTATGTCTTACTCGGCAGCGGGAAAGGCTTGACATGTGCCCAAAGCCTCTTGCCCTGAGAATTGCCAGACCTGATCAAGAAGTATCTTTCGTTCTCGTATAACTTGGTCGAGCCAGGTGCAGATCACAATGATGGGAGAAAAGGTCCGTCGTGCAATTGAAGGAGACGAAGAAAGTCACGAACATTCCAGCAGAGGACTTTGGCAGAGATTGAAAGGCTTGAAGAGGTCGTCAGATAAGCTCAGGGGTTCAAGCGGAGCGGGAGAGAAACCGAATAGTCTGTAGGAAGGCGAGTTGATCCTCAAGAGGAAAGAGGGAAGGTGAAAACACGACGCCAGTATGTCCTCGGTTGACAATGTATCTTCAGATTGTAATGAGACATAATCGAACAAGCCACGGAAGAGCAAGACACTTACTAGAGGGAAGGTGTTGGTGCGTTTCGGGTCAACGTATGTTTATTGTTCGCCAACTTGCTTCCTCTTTGCACCTATTCACCACCGAATACATGGCGGAGACGCAGGCCAGGTAAGAAACCCCATGGTCAGTCTTCACCCGACCTGTGAGCCTCATACAATGTGCCTCTCTGGAGGGTGTGACACCACTGGGAGACAGAACCTTGGCAGCCTATCCTCAGAAGAGATTGGGCGCACTGACCGGTATCCTAGGTCAATCCCCAAATGGAGTGACGTCCTGTTCTTCTGATGGTACCAAGATTCCGGCCACTTCAGTGCTGCCCCGAGTTGTGGATGCAGATTACTAGCATCATGTTTGGGCCGATTGCTTCCGATATGTTGGACTGAAAGCATGGTCAACCGCCTTTTTTGATGCCTGCTGCCATGCCTTTTCCGCTCGCGTTGTCTGCGGCCATTTTCCCGTCGATCAGGTTCTTTGACAGCTTCAGTGTGACTTTTGACCGCTCCATGTCCACTACTTTTCTCATCCGATCGAGGTCCCCGTGCCTTCCTTCAACTAGCCGGACATTTGCAGCAGTGTATGGCTTCTCAATTAGATATGTGTCTGAGATGAGCATGTTATTACCCACCCATCGAGCTGGGTGTGTTCTTGACAGAGCATCAAAAAGCGCCTGGTCTGTAGGAGTCGTTCCCTTTGGCCCCAGACGTGCCTGCGCGGCTTGTTGTGACGAGATGTTTCTTGCTAGTCGGGCTTGCACTGCATTGATATCAATCGCATTCAGCACCGGATTTGTAGTTTCGGTTGGCTGGGGTGGCAGTGAAAGAAGCTGGAAGCTGCTAATTTGTGATATGGGAATGAGCCGATAGGCACCTGAAGGCGCTACCAAGGAGGCCGAGTTAACGTTGGTTGGTGGTGCTGGGCTGGTGTTAAGGACAAGAAGGCTGGTCAAGGGATCAGCTGTGTAGACAACGCCTTCCACAGATGCCTGGTTGGGCCCAGTAGTAATGACGCGTATCCTGCAACATTGTAAGTGACCGTCCGTCTCAGCGCCTGTATATGTGGTCTTACCTGCTTCCGATCGCTTGTTGCAGACTGATGTCTAGAGGGACGGACGACGCAGCTGGCTGTGCAGGTTCACCCTTTGGCAACGCGACCGGTACTTTTGCTCCTGCATTCTGGCGTTTTGCGTCGGTCGCCATCCTCATGCAAGAAACATAGACAGGCAGAGCGCAGCCAGTCCGTCGAAAAGCGTTGATCTAGCCGTCGTCGATGGGCAAGGTGGAGGTGTGGAGAAGGAGAGGAAGACAGTGTCAAAAACTGTCAAAACTAGGGCGTCCAGAGGCAGCGGCAGCCAGACCTCAGCTGGCAGTCACGATGCTCGTTCCGCCTGGACCCAAAGCCAGAAGTGATACGCCAGGCGCCGAATGACAATATGTCGACGGATGAAGCGCAAAGCAAGGCAAGGCGTGGTCAACAATGTGGGTGAAGTTGAGTCGGGTGCAGGACAATTTCCCTAAAGTCTGGAGTTGGCCTTTTCCTGATCGAGTCCGTCGGACAAGGATGCCCCGATTCTCCGCACAAACAATCTACGCTTCCTTACTAGGTACTGACGACGGCATCATAAAAGGTCATGGTATGAGCATTGTTTGTATTTTGTGATATGAGAGACCTTGTATCATTTAGGTCATGCATACATACTCCCCAAAATTTCTGCAGAAGAAGGTTTCCCATGCAATGTCTAGCTAAGTGCAAGAGGTAGTCGGCCGCGCCCAACCGCGTCAATCACATCTTGAGATAACGACCCCTATCACCTTGCAGAGATATGAATTTTGTTGCGCCTCTCATCAGCCGGCCTTCCGCCAGAGGGGTCTTCTCTGTCATGCACAGCAGAGCTTTGGCCATCGAAGTGACCGGTTATGCGTTGTAGGTCGAAGCAGACACGTTTCCACCACGGCCAGTCCAGTTAACGTGGGTGTAGGCGCCGACCTTGTACTTGTCGTTGGCGTATTCGGGCTTGATCTGGAAGGTATGAGCACCGAAGTAATCGCGCTGAGCCTGAAGAAGGTTGGCGGGCAAGTCCTTGGTGCGGTATCCGTCAAAGAAAGCCAAGGCGGTGCTGAAGGCAGGCATGGGAATACCGGCTTGAACAGCATAAGCAATGACGTCTCTCCAGCCTGGCTGAGCAGTGTGGATTGCCTTGTTGAAGAAGTCGTTAAACAACAGGTTCTCGAGATCGGGGTTTTGGCGGTATGCCGAAGTGATGTCCTTCAAGAAAACAGATCGAATGATACAACCACCACGCCACATCAAGGCAATGGATGGCTTGTTGAGTTTCCAGCCGTACTGCTTGGCAGCCTGCATATTCAGTGAGCAATGTATACTCTAAATGGCAAGAGGGCACTCACAGTTTGCATCAGCATGAAGCCCTGTGCGTAAGAGATGATCTTGGACGCGTACAGTCCTTGCTCCAGGTTCTTGAGGAAGGTAGCCTTGTCTCCGGTGAAGTGAGGCTTGGGTCCGTCAAGCAGTTTGGAAGCACGGGTGCGCTCATCCTTGATAGAACTCAAGCAACGAGCAAAGACGGCCTCACCGATGAGCGTCACAGGCATGCCGAGGTCAAGAGCGTTGATGGCAGTCCACTTGCCAGTACCCTTCTGACCAGCAGCGTCCAAGATCTTCTCAACAAGGGGTGTACCGTCATCATCGTTGAAGCGGAGGACATCACGAGTGATCTCGATCAAGAAGGAGTCGAGCACACCATTATTCCACTCGGCAAAGACGTCACCCATCTCCTTGTAGCTCATACCCAGACCACGTTTCATGATATCGTAGGCCTGCGAATGTCAGTGCCTACTCAGCTCGGAATGTGGGCTTCTTCTCTTACCTCGCAGATCAACTGCATGTCACCATACTCGATACCATTGTGGACCATCTTGACGTAGTGGCCGGCACCTTCATCACCAACCCAGTCACAGCAAGGCTCGCCATCGGATTTGGCAGCAATGCTTTGGAAAACGTCCTTGATGTATGGCCAGGCCTCCTCGTTTCCACCGGGCATCAGAGAAGGGCCGTAACGGGCACCCTCCTCACCTCCGGAGACACCAGTACCGACGAATCGAATTCCTTTCTCGGCAAGGTACTGGGTACGACGGTTGCTGTCTGGGTAGTGAGAGTTTCCACCATCAATGATGATGTCACCCTTCTCGATGTGTGGGAGCAGCTTCTCAATGAAGTCGTCGACAGCAGGACCGGCCATGACCAAGAGCATCATACGACGAGGCTTCTTCAGCTTTGCGCAGAATTCTTCGATGGAGTGGGCTCCGACAACCGATTTGCCTGCAGGCCCATTAGCTTGTCCCTCGCACCCAGGACTTCGGCGGCTTACCCTTGGCTTCATTTTCCAAGAAGCGGTCGACTTTGGAGACGGTTCGGTTGAAGGCAACAACGGTGAAGCCGTGATCAGCTGCGTTGAGGATCAAGTTCTGGCCCATGACCGCAAGGCCAATGAGACCGAAATCACCACTGGGTTCGGACTGCGCAGGACCGACCTTGAGGCCGGCCAACCGCGCACTAAAGTCAGCATCATGTTTGTCAATCGAGATATACTTCTAAAGAAATAGGGCAGCAAGCCAGACCTCGAACTCGGTCGAACAGACGCTGGAGAAAAATATCAAATACTGCGGAGGACAGGACAGACTTACACAGGACCAGACATTTTGGCGAGTGAAGTGGACGAAAAGGATATGGAGTTGATTGAGCTTTGCAACAGCGTGAAATTTAGAGTAACAAGTCGAGTCTCTGTCTAATGCACCGAAAAAGACGAGAGGCACGAATGTAGAAGAAGAGGAAGAAAAGCTGCGACACGGGGAACTGAGTGAAATATGCAGTGGTGATTAGAGCATTGGATTACCGCAAAGCAACGCAGCCAACAGTTGCTGAACGACCCCACCAAAAAGCAACAAACGAGTTTGGAGGGGCAGCAGCAGGTGGGCAGTGGCCTGTGGCCGGTGGTCGCCCAAAATTGTGGTCATTATTGGGTCAGTGTCGCCCTATCCCGGCTGACTACGGTAACCGCCTCTTAGTGGGCCTCTCACCAAGAATCTCGACATGTCGGCCACTCATCAGGGCACGCTCGATACCTCAAACGAGCACTCTGTCGTCTTCTTCATACTCGTGATTACGAACTCCTGGCAGGGGCTGCACTTTCAGACCACCGAAGACAAGCACTAGAGCCATGTGCTCCAGGTGTTCGTGAATAACCAGCACCATAGTGACTCAGCAGGCATGGATGTTATGGTAACAATGACGCCGAAGCTCCGCGCACTCCGCTGGGGGCTACCGTGGACCGTGGTAGTCTCTCAGCCAGGCCGAATTCATCCGGCTATCCGTTGTGAGTCCAGATGTGCAACCTGACTGTTTACTGTTTATATCTTTGTCCAATGAGGAAGAGTGCCAACATCCGTCTCGAGCACAGCATCGCAGCCGAGACTGAGCACCAGTGAATATAAGATACCTATATGCAGTGACCGCTGTGTCCCGTTCATCGTTGGATTTGAAAAATTTCTCTGCCAAGGGATGTGATTTAGCAGTGGACTAATCGTGATTAAACCGAGAAGAGACTAGTCTGTATCGGCACACTTTCCTTTACAAAAGGCATAGAATGATCTCGTCTATCAACTCATCAGAAGGCTATGACCATCATCACCTTCCTGATAGACTGATAAGAACCAAACACCACAACTGGGTAGATGCTCATCTGTGCCCCGAATAAACGCTGCGGAGTCGTCTCTCAAAACACGCCGAATCTATCGACCTGAAATCTGGTGCTATCAGCCTCTTCGAGGCATCTGGTACGTGATTGAAACAAGTAATTTCTACCAGACCAAACATTCATTCATCATGTCATATCCTCCGCCTCCAGGTTCAGGTTACAACCCTTCACCGCCCTCGTCACTTCCTGCGCGGCCCCCACCGTCCGCGGTCAGTCCTGCGCCAGTCTTCAAACCGGCCACAAGCACGACGAGTAAACCTGCCTTCACGGCCTTTGCACCACGATCGGTAGCTGCGGCGAACACCTATCGCTCAAGCAGCCCAGCTCAGTACTCGGCCGCTCCCATCACATCATATGCGCCAGCCCCTCAATATCAGCAACAAGCACAATATGACCCTTCGTACCCTGCCTCTCCTCAAATCCGCAACCCTTTCGTCCCTCCCTCCGACAGCTCTTCAGCCCCAGGTGCTTTCCCGCCCGGCTATGACCCGGAGTACGAGGCTCAAGTTCAGCAATGGCAAAGTGCCTACTTGAACAAAGATAGCGGTGGAACATTCACGTCTGTACCAAAACCAGCAGGTGCACAGAACCTACCAACCAAAACCGACACCACTGCCAAAAAAGAAGAGACACCGAAAACTGTCCAGCGTGCAGGAGGAGGGACGACGTGGACTGACTCAACTCTGCTAGAGTGGGATCCTGCGCATTTCCGCATTTTCGTCGGCAATCTTGCTGGTGAGGTTACAGACGAATCGCTGCTCAAAGCCTTCTCTCAATATCCCTCCGTGCAGAAGGCGCGAGTGATTCGTGACAAGAGAACCACAAAATCCAAGGGCTTCGGCTTCGTCAGCTTTGCCGATGGAGATGATTACTTTCGTGCTGCAAGAGACATGAACGGCAAATACGTCGGAAGTCATCCAATCGTGGTGAAGAAAGCCGTTACGGACGTGCGGCCTACGACGCAGAAGCAACACAAGGGCAAGGGGGCGGGCGGACATGGCAAGGTGCAGCATGGTGGAGTGAGCAAGAAGCAGCCCAAGACGAAAGGAGGCTTGAAGGTTTTGGGTTGATGTCAAAAGCCGGGCATGCATCTATGTGCGTGATACACTCTGGTACTCCAGGACAGCCCGACTCATTCGCAGTTGCAGCGGAAATTCGTACGATTACGGCTACATGAACTCCGCGCCGAGGGGCTTCCCTCAGGTCAACTGCTTCCGAGTCTGCACCAGGCGTCGTCCACTTCGTTAGCCGACTACTACGAATACCTGATACAAGCATTGGGAGAGGAGAAGCACGGCATTGTCGATGTCACCGGTCCGAAGGAATGATGCTACAGTGCGGAGAGGCATTTTCCGCTCGGTCGACCAAGGCCATCATCCCATCGAGCAAGATCTGTTCAGCAAATGAACCCACTTGTTTTCGCTCTCTTGTCCTGCACTACACCTTGGTACCGACATATCATACCTTGGAGGATATGTTGGGCGTCCTCCGGTCTCACATCCTCACAGGAGCACTGATGTGACTGATCTGCTGGTGGCAGCCTTTCAACGATGTGGATATTGACTACGACCGTGTGGTGAGGCGAGGACACTCGACACGTTGCACATTTGCTGCAGAGAGGTATGTAGCCATTCCTTGCATCAGGCAGAGATAGCTCGTCAATTGATTTAATATTAAAGCTCACTCATTATCTCCCTTCAGTCTATGATTGACACAACCAGACCTGCGATTGTCGGCCTGATGACGCCATGAATGTGCGACAATGTTCCATGAAAACTTCAATCCTCCCATTTTCTTATGACAACACACTAGTTCCAGCCTTCCAGAGGGGCGCAGTGTAAGCGATGTCTATCAATCGTGACGAAGCTGTCCAGCAATGATGTCTCGGTAGGTACTCCTTGCTGGTGTCATCCACGGCGAGGGTAAATTGCATCGCGCGGTAACCGGATCAAGACAATGAAGGTGCTTGCATTGGTGCATATCTGGGTGAATGTTGTTTAAGAAATTACCTGGAGCCTAGAAACTTGTGCTGGCTCGGCGAGATTTCTGTGCGTCGTGCCCAACGACTTGGCTGAGCCGACACATACGTGAAGGTATGTGCATTCCTAGTTGAGACTCTGAACAACTGTATTCAAGAAATCGAGGGTCATCTCCAGCGTTCGCAAAGTATATCAACCCCCCTCTCACCCAATTTCTTCCCCTTCTGCTCATCCTACCACCCCTTTCTTCCATCCATTGACCAGTTGTGATCCCATCCAAGATGCAGCAGGAGTCTGATATGATATATATACACACCAATCGAGCAAAAACGTTGCCATCTCAGTCATTGCCGCAGCAGGACGGAATCTGGAACAAGCCCAAAGCTGTTCTCAAGCGTTGATGCCTCAATCATATCAACAAATGACCCAGGCGTTACCGCAAATCTGTTCTCAAGAGTCAGACAAAAGCCGCTCTCTCACGAGGCCGCCATCCTACTTATACTCCTTCTCTCCCATACCGCCAGCTTTCTTGTCGCATCCAACAAGTTTGCCTTCTGTCCACTTCATACCCCCCGTGTACTAGCGTGGTCAACGACAGTCCACAGTACACCGGGGCGGGACGCCCATATCTTCTCTGCATTCCAATTGCCATACTCGTCTCAATTGTTGCCTTATTCCGTTTCCTGATCCCATGACCGGGGCTTGGAGTCACAGCCTACTAGTATCTCACACCAGCCATAGCAGACGCATCGTCGGCAGGGAGAAGTGAGTCTGGCGACAATGTGAGTTGAAACCGTTCCACAACCAGAAGTTTACAGCTAATTCCACAGGAACGTGGCTTCTGGCCACGAGTTGATCCTTCATTGACCGTGAACGAATGGTCCTACTCGAAATGGCCGAGAAGGCCGTGCGATGTCGCCGTCCAAACCAGGTCGAGAAACCCAAGACTGAACGACTTCTTGAGGACGACTACTTTCGTGATCCTCCCGAGGATAATGTGCGCTTCGGGTTTCGCCATCTGGAGAAGAGAGCAAGCCAGACTTCGCGTTTCGAATGTCCAAGGCGCATTCCCCAAAGACCCTCGGCTGGCCAAAGTCTTCGAGATGCTCGAAGATCATTTCGAAGGGCAATTTGGTTTTCGGTCGTGAGCGCTTCATGCGCAAGTTTTGGGAGCATACAGTGGGTGAAAAGAGAAGTTCGATTTCCTCGAACGTGAAAAGAGTGGAAAAGGAACTAAACTCGACTTTTTCGCAGTGGACCGTGGCACGATACGTGCGTTGGATGAAGGAGGAGCATGACATTGACTGCCCATAGTAGTCGTGTGCTATTTTTTAATGTGCGACCTGGTATCCCGTTCGAGCGACGAGGATTCCGTCTTCTCGGACTTGCTGTGTTCTCGTTTTCGAGGACGAGTTATGATCCGAATACTGCATATGACTGTGGTGGACATTTGTCGGCTATCTTCACGGTCATTAGACATCCCTATCAGATATCGACCCGATTTTGCTGCACTGGAAGTTCTCAAAATAGCTGCCATGGTCAGTGCTGAGGTCTTTGTGGACAGAATGGTCACAATGGTCACAATGGTCAAACCGAAATATGGCGCCAAGTTCATGCGATCCGGATCGATTCGTACACACATGGCCAGCTTGGTAAAACTGTTTAACGAGGACATGGAGCATACAATTCAAACAAGAAAGATCGACCCTGTGACAATTGCTTCCCCATACTGGCATTACTTCGTGAGTGTCCATCCTTTTGTTGATAGCAATGGGAGAATGTGCAGACTCATTCTGGACACTGTCTTACTCAAGTTTACCGGCATCTGCACCTCGGTAGGAGTCGAAGCCAAAGAACGGGAGGATTGGACAATGTTGTCCTAGCACCGAGATCCAAAAACCTCCCAGCAACAACTCGAAGACCAAAACGGCAACACTCTCCCGGCTCAACTTTCCCTAGCCTCAGCAAGGTCCATTGTCTCAGCTCCCTCAATGGCCTCAGCAAGCTCAGTTTGGCCCGCCAACAAGAAGAGACGTCGGACGTACTCCGTATTCCAAGAAAAAAGAATACGTTGGCTGCTGCAAGGAGGTGGCTTCGCAGAAGAAGCTCGATTACCACGTTCTGGTTGAGCACACCTTTCCGTCTGACCAATATGGGCAGCGACCAATTCCCGCCAGCGGCCATCATTCCAAGACGATGACCAGTTCGCGGAGGGTTACAACATGGTCAATGGCAAACCAGTCGCGATGGGGGAGTACCTGGGCCGAGAGTGGAGCGAGGCCATCGTATGATTCTCCTATATACCATTCTTTCAGTCCACTAATATAGCTTTGACAGAGATCATTGGCCCAGATCAACACAACCGAACAACCAACATACTGCCAAACGCCGCTACGTCCCTGGCAGAAAACCGGCGTCGCCAAACTCAAATACTTACGAACCAGTCGGTGTAAGGGAGGAATCCTTGGTGATGAACAAGGCTTGGGCAAGACCGTGGAAGTACTAAGTGCAATGGTCCACGAGATCTGTTCCGGAGACAGTGTGTACAATGGGTTCAATTTGATCATTACCATCAAAGCCTCAATCCCAGAATGGCTCGAAGCCGTGTCTGGAGAGCCAACGCATGCGGCAGGCAGTACGAGTGTCCTGTGAAACTATGGGCATCCACGAGGATAGGGCCTTATGGATGATTGAGCACTACGCGGAGCGCAACGAGCAGTTTCACGCCAACATCGAGGATAACCAGGCTTTTGGGGGAACTCTTGCGGCGTTTGCAAAAACTCTATGAGAAGTACATAACTGCTCGACGCATTGGCGGTTCCGGAGAAAGTCGAAGGCGTTACTGTACGTGGTGCACTTCAACCTCAAGACCGCCTCCTCATATCAGGACTGCAGGGGCGGCGCGATGGGGGTCTCTTCTCTCGACAACGCCGAGCAGCAGGCACATTTATGACCTGGGCTATACTGACCAGGACCTGGGAGACCGGAGGCTGACACTCACCATCTCCGCCGTGTCTACACTTCGACAAGGTTGGCTACTAGCCTCGAGCCTGCGTTGGAGAAAAGCGAAGTATCAAACATGGGGCAAGAAAGGAATGCCTTTGTCAGAAACGCGTTTCAAACGATGGAGAGGCAGTGGTCCCTGGTCAGACAGTGCGTTGAGATGCAGCAAAGTAGATAGATGATATTATTTTCTGTTCCGACCATGACCGTTTATATCTCACCTCTTACCCAACCGGTCCTCCTCCTGTCCACACGTCCCAACCGTGTGCCTAGCTTCATCTCATCGCCCTTCTTGATGTCAACTTTCCCTTTCATCTTGCCGTCGACGTCCGCACCCGTGCTCTCCGGCTCAGCCGCGACCGCACCTTTTGAAATATCATCAGGGTCCAATTTCGCCACCTCGTTGCCTTTGCCTTGGCCTTGGCCTTCGCCCTCGCCGGCTTCATCTTCGTCATCAGCGTCCTCCTGATCCTCACGTTCACGAACACACTCACCCTCTGCCTCACTCTCGTCCTCCCGCGGCTTGACGACCTTCAATTTGACACCCTCACCCTGAAGCGTCGAATAAACCCTCAACCCGACCACGCACACGGCATTCCACTGCTCCTCAGGCCCGTCGCCTCCGTCGTCGGTCTTGTTGCCGTCGATAATAAGGCCTGGAGGTGGTGACACCGGTATTGGTCCAGGTCTGGATGTGCGGCGTCGGTGGCGAGCTGCTGCTGCTGTCCGGTACCTGCCCCGTCGATGCGAGCATGATGATGAGTCTTCCGAGGACGACGACCCCGGGGACATGTCGATGTCGGTGTTCCAGTCGAACGGCGGGAAGGAGTCGCTGTCAGAGATGTCGTTGTCGTCGCCATCCGGCACAGGGTCGTCATCGCCGTTGGTTTGACGGATGATAATAAAAGTATCCTCGTTGACAGCGCTGTCTTCGCTGGCGCCGGTGCCGATACCGATCATCGCGGCTGTCGTGTCGAGAGTGTCGCTCCGTTGCGGGTATCGGTGGCTTTGACCTTTCGCATCGCCCAGGCTTTCGTTGAGGTTCTGTCTAAGGGCGTTGAAATCAGTGCCTCCATTTGCTTGCTGCGTCGTTAGAGATCCAATGGGAAACGTTTTCGGCTCAGTGGCGCCGTCAACGCCTTCTGCTTGTGTTTCTGAAGTCGAAGGCTTGTCTGCCAGACAAGCCTCTGCCCGAGCGTCCGCGTTACTGTTGTCGGTCTTGTTGGGCTGTGTGGTGCTGCCCTCGATTGACACACTGTCTGGCTGGTTTGCTTTATCCTCCTCATCGGCACGTTTGATCACATCTTCCAACGGCTGGACAACGTCTTCGGCGGATGGCTTTTCGATCGGCTTGTTTGTCCGAACCGACGCAAGACCGGTGACGGGCTCGAGTATCTCGTCCGTCTTATCGGCCATTTTCTCAACGCCAATGTCTTCACCAACGTCAGACTTGATCTTCACAACCTTTGGCTGTTGGCTCTGCTCGAGCCTGGCATCAGGCTCATGGATCTTCGGACTCTCAGACTTCCGGCCGTCAAACAAGACGAGTTGATCAGCATTCTGGCAGTCCACCGTGTTTTGTCTGGTAGGTAGTTGCTGCGAACCGTTCGCCTCCTGCACGTTTGCGTTGGCTTTCTGCTTCCTCTCCTTTCTGCGCTTATTCCTCGCTTGGATTTCTTTGTCTCTCTTGTGTCTCTCCTTCGCCCTTTTCCAATCCTTCTCCGCCTGCGCCTTCAGTTTTGCCTTCAACTTCTCCCTATCTTTCGCCCTCTGCGCTTTCTGCCGCTTTCTCCTGTCTTGCTTCTCTGCCTCAGTCTCCACATGCACACCCTTCGCATGCGCCAGGTCATACGACAAGCCCATTTGTATAAGCTTCTCCCGTCTGGTGGCCGCATACACCGGCAGCACATCCTCCAAATGGTCCTTGTCCGCATGTCTCGTAGCCGTAATCCTCATTAGCACCGAATACGTGCCCTTCTCGAGCTCGATATCCGTGCTCACCGACCTGGCCATGGCGTAATTCCCATTCGACCTCACAATGTAATCGTTTTCATCTTCCTTCTCGTCCGATTCGAGCCGAAAATGCAGGTCGAACCCGTACCCGCCCTCCAATCCGCTGAAATACGTATCGTCCAGCTGCGCCAGCACAATGACCACGGGCGCTTTCTCTTCCAGGACCAGACTAAACTTCGTGCTGTGGTACTCGGCGCTCCAGCTCACACTGAGACTGGTCCAGCACTGCGTAACGTGCCATTCCGAGCCAAAGATCCGCGTCCGGTCGAAGTGCTGGTACTTCTTCAGCAGATCGTCATAACTGATCCAGAACACGCCGTCATTTCCGAATTTGTGATCCAGCAAAGCCATCCACTCGGCGTTCCACTCGGAGCTGCCGTCGCTCCATTTGCCCGTCCATTCCTTCTTCCCCCACGGATTGCGCAATTTGAGGAGCCGCTGGCCATTGACTTCCCTCGCGTCCATGATACTATATGCATGGCCCTCGGAGATGCCCTCGCGCTCACGAGATACCACGCTCGTGTCCAGCCAGTTTGAGTAAAACCCCGTCGCGCAGCCAAAGAGGAATTGCTTCCCGACTTGCATGAGCTCATCCCGCCAGAAGGCATCCCGGTCCAGGATGTCGGTGCTATAGATCTCGGTCGTCACGCCTCCTGTCAGATCTTCGATGGCCTCGCCGGTGAATCCGCCGTCTATGCTCTCGAAGTCGCCATGGGCCTTGGCGTATGCTTTCTCAAGCAGGGGGAGCCACGTCTCGTTCTCGTCGCTGCATTGCGCGAAATACAGGGCCCGCGAGCCGGCCTGGTGAGTTTTCCGATACTCTTCGGCGCTGTCGACACGGTTAATATCGTCCCACACGTCGCGTTCCTCGTGCGCTTCGTCGTAGTCGGGCGCGCGCAGGTAGAGTTTATCGTCGATGATGGTGTGTTGCCATTCGCCGTCTAAGTGCGCGTTAGCCACAAAATGTCCCAGACGACGTTGAGGGAACGGAAAGAAGCAAGTCGTACCTCGAAAGAAGACAAAGCCATAAACGCCAACTTGCAGGTCATGTTTGACACAGACTTTGTCGATCAGTCCTTCCATATTCCCCAGACCGCAGAGGGCAGCCATGAGATAGCAATCTCCGTCTCGACCCTGGCGTACATCGCCCGCCGTAGGGCCGTTGATGTAGAATTGCGGCTTCTCGAAGATATCCTAAACAAAGTCAGCGAGCATCCACAGCGAACGTTTAGCAGTGACACATGCCGTGACTCTCTTCACGCCCTTTGGCTTCATCGAATCGCCTGGAGCGTATAAGCCATCGAGGCAGTTTCTCTGACCAGACTTCAGGTCCCATTCAATGTCGAAATGAGTGTCCCGGTACTTTTGGTTCAATCGTCTGCATTCCTTGGTAATTCGGTTGACATCTCGCTCACATTCCGCCCGGGCTTCCTCGTACGACTTGGCCGCTCGTTGACCGGAGACAGTGCCGTGCGGAGTTTTGGCAGCCTTTTTGCGAGCGTATGGGTTGTCCGGTAAAACGGTGAACACTTTGCCAGGGTACTTTGTGTTGAGCTTGTCCCAGAACTGGCGGACGGTCTCCTGGGGTGTCTGCCGTCGTGTCTTGCGACGAGGCTTCGCTGGCGGCTGCATGGACATGTCGGGTGGAGGAGGGCCGTAATAGCGACCGCCGCCGATGTCCCTGCGGTCGTCCATGAGATACTGGTGCAGAACAGTCGGTCTACAACTCAGCGCTCACAGCCTGATGCGGATCTTGAAGTTGTGCGTGAAGAGGAATCGAATACTGCAGCCTCCTCGCTCTCATCTGTGATCGAATGAGACACTACCAGCTACTCGAAGATTCTTCACCGGCACAACGAGCAGGTCGGTGAAGACACAAAACGAAAGCAAGTTGAGATGGGAAGTGAACCAGGCTGATGAAGCGAGTTCAAACCACGAAAGGCCGGGGTATGCATGTTGCGTAGTAGTAGGCTACAGTTGAGCCACAGGTTCTAGCCGGTGTAGCCTGTCTGGACGAATGAAGCCAGACCAGCTACCTTTGCGTCCAATGACACTAGGATCCTGGCTGGTAAGACAACGAATCAAAAAGTGGTGTGTTGTCTGGCGTGAGATGATTTGCGGCTGAGTACGACTTGCAGGGCTGGGCTGGGACTTTTGATCCCCCTGAGAGAAGTTCCAAGAGTCGTCTGAGTTACAGAACGAATCCTGCCTGGCTGCACATGGCTGAATGAGTCTTAGATAAGGAGAGCAAGGGCAAGGAAAGGTAAGTCAAATTCCGCTTTGCGAAACTCGATCCTTATTTTCGTTCGTCAGATGTAGAAAGACCGAGGAGATTGAGAGTCTCGGGCTTCTGCTGCATCTGCCCACTATGTGGCGCTTTTAGGCGAACCGTCTTCGCAATTCGATGTTCCCCACAAAGGCCGCAGCTGGTGACACGGCGAGACGGGTGGGTGTTGCAAGCCAACTAGAGAACCATAAAGCACTCAATATATATCTTTCATCTCCATATATAGATATAAAATTGACCCAAACTCGGCCAAAGGACGACAAGTCGACTTGATAGCAAGATTTGCGGGATATTCGTGAAAATTGGATGAACCAAATATGGCATAATCATACCCAGGGTCCAGCAGCGAATTCGCAGAGCAACAGCCATGGTTTGTTGGAAAGCACGGTCAACCTAGAAACCTTTCTTCTCGAGGCCTTCGTGGCTGGAGACATCCTCGTCCGGAACGATGACCAAATTATCCGAACGGTAAGGATCGACCTTGACTTGCCTGAATTTGCGAGCAGAGACCTTGTTTTCGAACAACACGTCCAGTTCAGCGTAGGTGAGACCCTGCCGAAATGTTAGCCAAGCGCAATTTGCCGTTCAGATATTCCATGACATACCTTTGGTTCCGGGAGGCGGAAATATGTCCAAATCAAACCAAGCAAGTTGAGGCCAGCCCAGAAGAAGCAGGTCTTTCCACGCCAACCCCATGCGGTGGGATTCATCATGCGAGGTTGAAGGGTACCAACCACAATACCCATAATGTTGTACACGTTCCGAGATAAGACGACGGTCTTGATTCGAAGGCGGGTGGATGGGAGTTCGGCCACGAGGGAGTAGCAGACCGGACCGACGGTGAAATCGTAGACGAAGGTCAAGATCAGGATCAAAGCGCCAGACGCCCAACCGATCGAGGTGGACAAGACTGGAACACCCAGGCCACCAATGATGATCAACACGATAAACATGCCAACCTGACCCCAGATGTACAACGTGCGTCGACCGAAGTGTGGCATCAAGAACCAGGACAGAACGGTGCCGCAAAAGCCCATGGCGCTCTGGCCGACACCGAGGGAGTAGGCGTCAGTTGGAGCGAGACCAGCTTGTTCCATGAAATAGGTACCCCAGCCGATCATGGGAGAGCCAGATGTCTGCTGAATGAGCCAAGTGATGCAAGTCACCTCGGTTCGGCGAAGATCGACTCCCTTGAAGCAGTGGAGGTAAGTTGTGCCCGAAGTTTGCTGGATTTCCAGCTCATTGGTGTGAATCATCATCGCCAGAGTGTCTTCGACGTTAAATTCGGTGTTCTTCTTGGATGTAAGCCTCAGCAACGCTCTGCGAGCCTCGTCCAGCTTGCCATGGCGCACCAGCCACCAAGGCGACTCAGGCGCAAGGAATGCAGTGAGTGCAATAGGAAGTGGCCTGTTGCAGTCAGTGGCTGGTCCGACACATTGAGTCATGATGCCTCTTACCAGATCCATTGAATCGCGTAAGGAACCCGATATGCCCATTGGCTGTCGTTGCTGACGAAGCCTTTCAAGATGCCTGCAGCAAGTAGCTGACCGATGACCCAACAGAGGTTGACATAGGTCGTCAGATATGGTCGAAGCGGCACCGGAGTGACCTCGGCAGCATATGTAGTTGTAAGGGTTTGACTAGTCTCGTGTCAGTACATGCAGGGAGGAGTAACGGAGGACTGCTAACTCACAAAACACCCCATGGAAGACCAGAGAGCACGTAACCGGCCAGCAACATGTGAATGTTGACGGCAAAGAAGGTAATGAAGATGCAGCCTGTGATGAACAGCAACGCCCCAATCATTGTCCAGCGATAACCGATTCTCTCGGAGACTATGCCGTTGATGAAGAGACCGATAATTTGAGCGGCGGCGGTGCCATTCGAGAGAGCAGACTGCCAGGTGGCCGACAGCTGATATGTTGGTAATCCGTCCTTAAGGCCGGCATAGCTGCCGTACTTTCTGTTGAAAGCAGGATTGCCAAAGAAGTTGCCAAGTAGGTAGGTATCGTAGCCTTCCATGATGACGGCCAGGGAAAGGCAAAAGGAGAACAATATGGCCTTAGGATACAGGCGGCATCCTTCACGGAAACCCATCTTGTGCTCGAGATTGGCAGCATTCCTTGCGTCTGCCGTGAGCTCAGCCAGGTTGGGAACGGCCACGGACATCTTGCGAAGGGTGTCATCCTTTTGGTTGAAGACGGCCTCTGCTTGTGTGACTCCAGCAACGTCTGCTGGGACAATGGACGACCTTCGTCGGGTAGTGTCATAGGTGGGCGCTCCCATATTGTCCGCATAATGGGAGACGCTCATATGGCGACCGGTACGGCCGGGGCCGCCTTCTTCGTCGTGGGCGTAGCTCATGGTGTGTATGTTGATGCAGTGCCTCTCGAAGCAAGTTGAGGAGCAGACACACTACCAAAGGATCTCAGAATGTCGAGACGGCACTCTGCAAAAGACTCGAGAATGAGTTCACGATCAGAAGGGTTTGACTCTGGGGATACGAAGGTGAATATATACAATCGCTCCTGCGGAGTCGAGCTACCACTCCAGCCCTGCTCCCACTGATATGACGCAGCGGGCTGGACACAAGAAAGGGTAGCTGTCAAACCGTATAGGTTATTCGGGCCTATCCAGACTGCCCAAAGCTGTGTAGCGTCTCCTAGGGTGGCCAGGGTATAGCTCCAATAACCTGGGCAAGGCCGTCCTAGGGTATCTTTTCAACAGAGCTGAAGTCATGAGGCAGCCAGAATCGGTCAGATTCAATCGTGTTTGGACGACCCGCCAAGGTGAGGTCGGCTATTCGGACTGTAACAACGTCGCACAGCTCCATCTGTTGCCAAACTTTGGGTAAGAAAAAAGTGCAAGAAGCTTGGGCAAGGGCCATACGAAAGGAAGCAAAAGCAGCCGAAGCTTGAGGAGACGAGCATTGCGGTTGGATGGAAAGACTCTCGGCGAATGCCAGCGGACCATGATGGGACTGTGGTCGGGGGACATTGGTGGAGGCAGCCGATGAGAGCCTCGCTTGTCCTGCAGAAGCTTTTCCTCTTCCGGGGCGCCACGAAGCTGGAGATGGAGTGCAAAAGGCGAGTTTTGGCGAGCAGATGTTTCCACACGCTGGAACTTCGTCTGCTGATCCCCGTCTCCCAACTCTCCCATGTCTCCCACCCCGCACTTGTAGCATCCCCCGGCTTCTCTGGCGTGGGTCTGGCATGCTTCGAGCCCAGATCTGCTCCACTTGAATTTGACCGAGCGCTGAATTGTGTACAGACTCGAGCAGGTCGCTGGCGGCCGTTGAAATTGCAATTGGGTCATGATGGCCCCCTTGAATACGATCAAGCGTCATCAGTCGATCCACTAGGGGGTTTCAGGCCTTCGTTCTGAAAGTCAACGTTGAATTCGATCGCCCTTGCTGGGTGCAGAATATTTGCCTCCAGAATGCTACGAGTAGTATCAGTGCTTGCGACACTGCTCATAGAGGGGTCTAGCACGGAGAAACTGTCCAGATTGCGATATTGTCTATGTGCATCTCGCTTTCATAATGGGGAGAGGCCACGGTGAAATAAGGCTCGTAGCGATGGTCGAGCTTAGACCTTGGCTCCATTTGATAGCATGTTCAGCTCTGGTGGCCGCCATGCTCAGCCTTGGGCAGACTCGTTGGAAGACCGGTTTTTCGCGTGAATGCATCGAGATCACTCTATGCTGCACCAGGGCCAACGTCATCTCCTACCAGTAACTGGTATACGCAGAATACCCGCCTATTAGCATCCGGCGACCTCGCTTCACACAATTCTTCGGATCCTCACCGGCGATCTGCTTGAAGAAAGATGGTGTGGTGAAGACATTCACAGAAGCCAAGCTTGGCTGATCGTGTTTGTTGCGTCTGTGGCGCACAACAGGAGGTTAGCTGGTCGCATGACACGGAGGCAAAGAGGAAAGTGGGCAACACCAGGTTATGTCTGGTCATGTTACTGAATCCATCGTTGAAGAACCAGAGTGGTGATGTAAATGACACGTCGAGCACCAGGGCCACTGATTGATGAGCGAATTCAGATCTTGTTGACTTGGTACGGAAGGTACAAGCTGATTACTTCGCGGGACGTCTTTCGGACCACCCTCCTTACACCGAGGAAGGAGATAGAGGTTTCATCCTGATAGCGTCTATTCGGAGACATTATCCATCTGATCATCCGCTGCAAGCCTGCAGCTTGCCGGGAATGGACTCAAGTCACCAAGTCTCGCCCTTTAGCATACGAACAACCATGCATGATGCGAGGAATGCAGGAAAGGAATGGTACCTGGGCGTGATGGGACTGTGCACTATACCGAGGACAAGAATAGAGGAGATCGATACAGCCATTACCAGGTAGTGACGGACGGGCGAAGATGAGGAGCACCTCAGGCAATGGTGCCTCAGGAGCACGTGAGGAGTGACTGGAAAGAAGCACCAACATTAATGCGGCCGAGAGTACCGCCGAGAGTAAGGCCGAGTTATCTGGCGGGTCTCCATTGACACCAGGCTCGCAGGTGATCTACCACAAGGAAAAGAGTAAGCACTGATCTTGTCTCGCACTGTTTCGCATTGCGGTGTTCTGGTAGCATTGCTGGATCTTGGTGGCGGCCTAAGGGCCATGTCGGCAAGCCAGCCTCACCTTGATCCGTTCTTCCTTCGCTCAATCTAGCATTTGATCTATTGCTCGCTTCAATCGTACATGGCTCCTTCAGGGCATGCCACAGCTCTCCTTCACGTAGCAGTCGTTAGAGTCTGTGCAGAGTGCATGGTTCTAGCGTCGTTCCATGCAGCTTTCTGTGGAAATCTTGTTCCACAGTAGGTGTCGCCAGGGAACTGTCAGACAGCAGCAATACCCTGATGAAAGTCGACTTCAGGGGAGATGGAGAGTTTCATTCCTCATCAAAATTCAAGTGATCACACGGGTTGGCCATTGACGTCCAGCTTCGACATCGCATCTTCTGCCGTCTTGCCAACCTCGACCTGTTCCTTTCCCTTGCCTTCCACCGTACCATCTGGATTGGCCTTGACATTTCCTGCACCAGGGTACCTTGAACCCTTGTCCTTTGGTTGCTTCTTCTTCTTAGCAGGTTCTGCGGGAGGATAGGCCTTCTTCTCTATGTCCTGCCACTCTGGAGACGCCTGGTACTCTGCTTGGATGGGTGCCAACAAGTCGACCAAAGCCGCAGATGCGCCTGCCTTGAGCAACTGTGGCGTCAGCCTATCAGCCTTGTAATCGTCCTTCAACGTATCGATGTCGTGGTAGACAAGAGGCTCTCCCTCTCCCTCTCTTCTTTCGCATACAAAGCGGCCCTTGTGCTCTGGGTCCTGCAAGGCGCTGAAAGGCAGCAGAACATATTCGACAAAAGAGATGATGCCGTTGCCCTCGACTTCACGGGCTGCGGCGTAAGCTTTGCGCAGCTTCTTCTTGACGTTCTCAGCGCTGTCAAGGACGTCGATCTTGGAATCAGGGTCCGAAGCAGACATCTTGCCGCCGGCGAGACCAGGAACCATAGGGTTCATGAGATGAGCTCTTTCTTTGTAGCCAATTTTGGGCAGCGTCTCCTGAGCAAGAGCAAAGATCTTACGCTGGTCCACTCCTCCGAATTGGGCATCCACTTTCAGATGTTCTTCGTCGAGGGCCTGCATGAGCGGGTAGATCAAGCCAGACAGAGGGGCATTGTCGACTTGCTTGACCACTTCTGCACCGGCCTTTTTCGCGTCATGCTCGGTAACCACACTACTCAACCGGAAAATGTCCATGGTGTAGTCGGCACTCAATTGGTAGGATGAACCTAGAACAAACTCCAACTTTTCCAAGCTGACTCCCACAGCTCTGAGAAGAGCTTGGATGACGAACTTGTAATACTCGGCACGATATTTTACCAGCTCAATCGGCGCCTTGAGGTTGTCAAGGAAGCCGTGAATATCAGCCAGAAGAATCTTGACGTGACATCCTGCTCGCAGAAAGTGTGCAATCTTCATCATCGGGACAAAGTAACCGCAGTGAGGCCTGCCTGTCGTGGCAGATCCCCAGTAGAGGACCAGCGGTCGCTTCTGTTTGATTACCACATCTTCCAGGATATCCTTGTGTAGCACCTCTTGTAGTTGGTCTGTTATCAGAGCGAGCTTCTCTTCTGGCGACAATTCTCGGCCCGCCATGGTGGGCGAGATCAAAATTTGGAAGGGTCGTCCGTCAAACGTGCGATAGAAGGCGCAGGCAGTGTACTCGAGTAAAGTGATTCCAGTTGAGCAGCAGCTCAGATCCTCGTCGCGAGGTTTTAAGATGCAAGTCCCTTGGCGAGGGTCTGGTCCGAAGGGGGTTTCACTTTGTCGAATTGTCGAATTGTCGAATTATTGAATATGAGTCAATGCAGGCTCTCCAAAAATTTGGCCTGGCTGAGGCTCACTAGGCACTCCGAGTCCACCATAGGCGGTGAAATCGGTGAATCGCTTGGCTTCAGGTACAATCCGCCCCTCCAATCAAAGAATCGCGTTCAAAACGCCTCTCTAAACAGAAAAGGTAAACAACCATCTTACTAACTGTACAACCACCGCACTGCCTTTACAACCGCAGACTCCTTTCAGCTGACCAGTTGCTTGTCAAGAGCATGATTCAGCCATACTAACTCACAGGTTCTTAGTACTTGCATCTCTCGCAACCCTCTCGCCTCATCTTAAACCTCCGGGAAGTCCGTCCAGACCACCAATCGACCGACCCCTTTCTTTTTTTCGAGCGCTGCCCACGAGAAGGACCGCACTTGACAAATTGATGAACCAAGAATAACCTGGAGACAAAATGGAAAACTACCAGAAGATAGAAAAGATTGGTGAAGGTGAGATCTAGCTGTGTCGCGCCGCCAGACAATCGCTCATTTTGCATGCGTTCAGGGACATACGGTGTCGTCTACAAAGCCCGCGATCTGTCCAATGCCGGCCGCATTGTCGCTCTCAAGAAGATCCGCTTGGAGGCAGACGACGAGGGTGTTCCTAGTACAGCCATCCGCGAAATCTCTCTGCTGAAGGAAATGAACGATCCTAACATTGTGCGACTCTTAAACATCGTTCATGCTGATGGTCACAAACTCTACCTTGTCATGGAATTCCTCGACCTTGACCTCAAGAAATACATGGAGGCTCTGCCAGTGTCAGAGGGTGGTCGAGGCAAGGCACTTCCCGAAGGGTCGACCATGGACATGCAGAGACTCGGTTTGGGCAAGGATATGGTGAAAAAGTTCATGGCACAACTGGTTGAGGGTGTTCGCTATTGCCACAGCCATCGTATCTTGCACCGGGATCTGAAGCCTCAGAACTTGTTGATTGATCGAGAAGGCAATCTTAAGTTGGCGGATTTTGGTCTTGCTCGCGCTTTCGGTGTGCCATTAAGAACTTACACCCACGAGGTACGTATGAAATCAGGCGTTCTCTTCCCGCCTGCTGACACCGGTCTTAGGTCGTCACACTGTGGTACCGCGCTCCAGAAATCCTCCTTGGTGGCCGACAATACTCTACCGGCGTCGATATGTGGTCTGTCGGTGCCATCTTCGCCGAGATGTGTACACGAAAACCTTTGTTTCCTGGTGACTCCGAGATTGACGAGATCTTCAAGATCTTCAAGTATGTTATCCGTATCTTTCTCACACCCGGGTTGTGCTAACTCCAGCTAGACTGCTCGGTACACCCGACGAAAACACCTGGCCAGGCGTGACATCCTTTCCCGACTTCAAGACCTCGTTCCCTAAGTGGCGACGAGAACCAAGCAGCAAGATGGTTCCCAGCCTCGAACCTGCCGGTCTCGAGCTCCTAGAAGCCATGCTTGAATACGATCCTGCTCACCGTATCTCTGCGAAAGCAGCCTGCAACCACCCATACTTCGCAGCTGGATCAGCCGCGTATTCTCAGCGTACCAATGGTGCCCCTCGGATAAATGGGTTTCATTGAATCGGAAAGACGGGCAATGAGAAATGATGTTCGTGGGTTGAAGGCTTGTGTCACACCTGGCGTTTAAGGCTTGCATTGGACCGGGATGATTTATGCATGCGGCTTGCTTGGGATTTGGCTAGAGAAGAGGCAACGATTGACATGGGTGAAACGGCTGTTATTGAGTACAGGAATTTTCCTTTTTCTTATGCGAGGGGACATTATCCATTTGGACGCACGGGGGCTTTCGACAAGAGGTCTCCGTCTGTCGAGGCTGCGTGCACTGCACCGAGCTTCTCCTGTGTAAGATCTCATTCATAAAAAAGAAAGCAAGCAGAAAAGACACAAATCTGCGTTGAAAGCTCTCAACGACGTGATATGGTCGCTTTCCAGGGGCGATCCATGGCTACGGCAGAGTTTCGAAGACCTTGTCCATCAGAGCCCTGTGTTGATTAAAATGGTCTGCTTCTGCCCATGTGTGGCCAGGGTTGAACGCATGTCATCTTCATCTCCATCATCTCCCATTATCAACAGAACGACAATAGCAAGACATCATCACGCCCACCGCATTGAGGTAATTGACCAGGTTCTGTAGATCCACGCAAAAGGCTCAGTTCGCCCGGCTTCGGCTTCGGCTTCAGGTTCAATTCAGCTCAGCTACCCATCATCGCGTAGTAGCATCCATCCTCCTGAATCACTCGCTGCTTCCAGTTCACAGCTCACCGCGACCTCGGATTACATACACATGTACAGAGTATACTCCCAAGATTATCACGGCTGGGCCTCTCCTTTCTCCTCGGGCCTTTCCACACTCACGCTGCCACGGACACTGGCACTGACACTGCCCCTCTTGCCCTTGTATTCACTGATTTCGAGCATGTTCAGCCTATCCTCCTCGCTGTCCAACTTTTTAAAGTTCAACCAGAAACACACGCCACCCACCGCGGCCAGGACGGCGACGACGCCGTAATTCCAGACGAGCAGCGGGTCGGCCGAGAGACTGACCAAGGCCTGCGCGAGGGCGCTGCTGAAGGCGTTCATGAGCAGATTCAGTGCCATGACGAAGCTGCGCATGTTGGTCGGGGCCTTTGTGAAGGCGTATTCCAGGCTCGTGATGCTGGCCATGATCTCGGAGAATCCGATCAGCACGTACGGCACCGTCTGGACCCAGACGTTGATCGGGGCCGGGCCGGGACAGTCGGGGTCCGACGCGTGCGTGCCGCAAGGCGAGAGCCGGTAGATGTATACCTGTGTGACGCAGGCGGCGACCATGGCAAGCGAGGCCAGCCCAAAACCCAGGGCGATCCGCTTGATCGGGGTGAAGTTGATCTTGGCCTTGCGTAGTGCCGGGTAGATGAAGAAATCCATCAAGGGGATGAAGATGACGATGCTGATCGGGTTGAGATTCTGGATGATGTCGTTGGGGACCCCGTTAAGTTCCATTACCCTGTTACGTTCACGCTGTTAGTTTTCTGGCAGGGACAGTTGCATGGGATAGAGAGAGTTGCTCATGGGGGTTTTGCTTACGCAGCTTGAGATGTCAAGTTTCCTGTCTATTGGTTAATGTTAGCATTGGCATCCCACAAAAGCGAAACGAGGGTATTTTGAGAGGCTTACCATTTGGCCATATGCGAGCCAATAGAGTGGCAAATATAAAAATACAGTGCAGGCTTTGAGACCACGACGGACTTCGGCCACCCAGGCATCATCGAAGGTCATCCACCTGGGACGTTCACTAGCAGGAACGTTGGACGGTTTGACGCGGTCCCAGAAATCGGGCGCCGACAGGTTCTTGTACGTCCGGACTGGGTTGATGCTCCATTTGCCTTTGCATGCGTAGCTCCAAAGCTGGAAGAACTTGGCGAACACGGACCCGGTAGGTGGGAGGAGGACATAATGTTTCTTACAAACGACGAGGACGATCGGGGCGAATACGAACAGAACAGTGGGTAGCATGAAGGCCAGCCAAAAGCCGACGTACTTCTCGCAGTAGACCATGCCTTGGAATGATGTGTTAGTATTACCGAAAAAGAAGCGCGAAAGGGACCTCACATACCGATTTGTCCAACAAGCGAGCCGATGTTAATGCACATGTAAAAGTACAGAAAGATCCGGGAGGTGGTTACCGAGGGGTCGACGATGACACGTTCTCCCGATGGCAGCACCTTGATTCTCTTCTTAGTCTCGACTTGCTGTTCGGCAAGAAGCGGTGAGATGTTTGACTTGAAGCCGCCGGTTCCCACTCCCATGATGATTAGGCCGATGATGAAAGCAGCGAGAGCTGAGCCGTTGTGCTTAATGACGCTAGGAGCGGCGGAAGCAGTCAGGATAACGTGTCCGACAATCGCACAGACAATGGCCATATGGATTGTTTTGTAGCGACCGAAGTGCGCATCAGCTAGATAGCCACCAAGCTTGTAGTCGTTAGCGCTGTGTACATGCACGTTGCTTAATCTGACATACCAGAGGCATCACATAAGCCCAGAACTCGTTAAACATCTTGAGACCAGTCGAGGCTCGCTGACCCATGCCGAGTGCGCCCGACTGGCCTGAATACCCGGCGCCTGTGGATGAGCCTTCGGGGAGCGGCTGTTGGATGAAGTTGACGACTGTTACAACGTCAGTAATATTCTGATGGATGTTGTGATTGGACCCCGCTCTTGCAACATACAGACAACAGTGGTGCCATAGTAGGAGAATCGCTCGCACAGCTCCACAAAGGCAACCGTGAAGGCGGTCCACGGGATCTTGCCTGACACTCGACGAAGAGTTCTGAGGTCTTCATCCGTGACTTCGTCGTCATCGGAATCCTGGGTCAAATGTGATGCTCGCACCGAGTTGGCATTAATAGAACCTCGACCGAGGCGCTTCTCAGTTGCAGTGCCCGCGAGTGGAGCCTCGGCCACCGCTGCCTGCGCAATGACAGGTGCTTCGAGATTGGCGATATTGCTCATGTTGGCGAGGAATCTTGCCTATTGCCAGATGATGGGACTGGGGTTGAATAGGCTCTCCAGTTGTACTCGTACCAACACATTCTTATACCCTTGTATCGACTCGCCACCTGTAGGGCCATACTCACGCGCATCGTCGGACCAAGACACTGAAAAGGGAAGGTGTCGTGCGTCTCTTATCATAGTGAGTATCGACGTTGCAACAGTGATGTACCCCAAGCGCTTGGCGGACATGGTATAAAGATTCGAGAAGTCTTGGTATTTCCAAGCTCCGCTCACCTAGTCGCTGGGAGCTCGGTTACGCCCATAAGTGCGTGAAATTGGGGAAGGTAGCACAACTCTCACACTGGCAAGCCTTCTGCCGAGAAGCCTCTAGAGCTTAACTGAGAAGCAGTCAATGAGAAAAGGGGACATGGGGAGTTATCCAGGGCTCTTCTTAGGATGTTGGGCGCGTAGTAGAAGGAAGCACACCATCACACCAGCACCTACCGTGCGATCGCTCACTGCCAAGGTTCTCTCCTCCTCCTTCATGGTCAGAGGATTGTCTTGTGCATCCTCTCATGAGCGATGTAGGGTACCGTATCGACGGAAAAGGGCAGTGCTCAGAGACAGATCACGACAGATGTGTCCCTATCGTGTGTTATGTTACATTGAGAAACGAAGTGAAAGGAATGGATTGGATGGTGAGTGATTGTGAGTGGTTTCGGACGACACAAGGATCGACACCGCCAAGACGGAACGAGCGGGCGCCAGGAAACACCTAATGATAAGGGCGCCATCCACCTACGAGAACCCTCAGCACCCAGGTGCAGGGGACGCTGGGAGAGTCGCTGCCGCTGTTAACCGGGGATTTATAGATCTCTCTCCTCTCTACCTCCATATCCGACCTTTTGTACTCCGTATCGTCATCTCGATCATGGCCAATCAAGCAATCCTAACACCGCTTATCAGCCCGATGGAGTTCCTCGTGTAACCTCCAGATCCTGTGCACATGTGGTACGGCGAGTGGAGTCAGCGCTTGGAGGGCACTATCACGGCATGGAAAATTGATGCAGGAATCTGGTGATATGCTGCTGGCTACCCAGTATTATTGTTTCTGGTGCGATCAGGCGAACTTGAAGTGATAGCACTCCCCCTGACGGAGACGGACCTCGAAGTGCTTTTCGGTGGCTATCTGTATCCTGCGATGGGTTTGCACACATTCGTCCACACCGGCGGCCGTTATCTATATGTTCATCATCGAGCTATAAAACAAAGCTTTGATGAGTGCACGTAAGGTAGTAGTCATCACCAATGACTCCTGATCTTCTTTCGTGATTGGGCTTCATGCTGCCAGCTTCGTAACACATGGGCGAATGTCAACCATGGGGATTGAAGCAGCCAACTTTCGTCAGCATACATTGTTTTTTGCATTTGCATGCTTAGGCAAGAGAGTATTTCATTCTGGTAGTACGTCGATACAGCCTACTCATTTAGTCAGGTATAGTGTAGACTTGCAAGAAATCTAGGGATCCAGGCTGGGAGCTCATAGGATTTCCGATGGCTAAAGTGCCTGCGGGGGCGGGTGCTGAACTCAAGGCCCACGAGGCTGGGGGTCAGTGCGAAAGGGGGCATTCTCATTTGAACACAGTGAACAGGATGCTCGACCATATCGATTGTGAAGGCAAAATCCAAAGTAGTAGATCAATTTATTGATCACACGAGGCAATTGTCTGATCCGTATACTGCTTAAGTTACCTTATCTGCCAGCAGGAAACAGACGACCTGTATTTCAAGCTAATTTAACGGCCGATTCCAATCATTCCTGCGAGTTTACTCTTCTCACACCTCGGGCTGAGTGAAGTGGGTATCGGCGAGCTCCGATGGCCTCACTAGTCCGCCTCGAGGCTGTAAGTCTCCTGTGCATCCACATCTTTGAAGGACTGCCCTTGATAACCGAGCACGTCGGTGTTACTCATCCAACTCCTCAGTCCTAATGCGCCGTTGTACTCATGTCCTCAACCTTCGGTCTTTCTCTTCTTGTTCGGATGCCCATTGGAAGTATGCGAAGCGAGAGTCTGTTTGGCCTCCTTGAAGAACTCTGGAAGCTCGAGAGGGTGCTGGCCGGTAACGTCGTGGAAGGCAGTGGTGGAGATGTAGTTTGTTTTTCCTTCGCGGACGAGCGAGTAGTACTCAAGGAGGTACCGCAGTTCCGAGGGGTCGAGGTCCGATTGAGCTTTGAGGACTTTCTTCGCTTCGTTTCTACGTACACCGTGTTAGCGGGCCTTCTCTGATGCAAAGGGGCAACGATTCGGCGTACTCGGAGATATCTTCGAACTCGAACTCTTCGCCCAAAGCCTGACTTGCTGCGGTTGCGAGTTCTTGTCCTGCGCAGAGCATGGGACCTATTGATTATGAGCATGGACAACAATAACACGATGCCTAGTCAGCCATACCAGTGAGGACCATCAGTTGGCCACGGTGTTTGTCGCTGAATCCATGCTTGCCCTTGCCTGTGAGCACATTGGCGGCGACTTGCGCAAGATCCTGTCCTAGCGTCAATCTCTGCTTAGGCCACGACGGGGACTTCATCATACCCTAATTGCCATAGGCGCGAATTTGTGGTTTTGACCAATTGGAAGTGGAATGGTCTTCTCTTCCATCAACTGTGGCGCATACAGGAGCAGGTTCTCAGCATAGAATCCAGGCCGAATCACCACAGGAGAGTGGCCGGTCTCGGTACTGGAGTCGCCTTTCGCTGACATGACCAAGGTCTCGAGCTCGATGAACTCGCGAAGCAGAGGTTGTTTCTGGGGGTCGGCAAGGTCGCAACCAGCGGAGCTGATAAAGCACACGTTCGGGATGTTGGCTCGCTTGGTGGCTTCGATGAGCTCTTGAGTGATGTTGAACTTGTCTTCGTGTGCTGGTGGAATGAGGCAGACGGTGTCGGCGCCTGTGGACTGCATGGTGCTGACCATTTCCTTCATTCTGCCAGGTTTGTGCGGAACGACTTTGACGCCAAGTTTGGCAAGCTCTTTGGCATGGTTGGAGTTGGGTTTGAGCGCGAGGCCGGTGATGGTGCCGACCTTCTTCTTGAAGTTATCATTGTTGAGGATATATTCGGCGATGGCGGTGCCAGTGTGGCCATCGACGGCGGTGATGCAGATGTTGCGCGACATTTTGATGGATGGGTGGGTGTGATTGGTATGGTCGGTCGCAGAAGGAATGAGCAAGAAGTTTCAGAAGGAAGTCAATGTCACGACCACCTGCACTTATGAACGGGGTTGAATGAGTTTCTATCGACTCTGATAGGTATCGGCAGTCGTCACCTTCAGCGGGGGGTCGTCATGGTGACGGAAGCTTCCAGGGAGTCAATCCTAGTAGGTCTCTGAGGGTCCTTTCCCTTCTTCAGCCTTGAATGAAGGAATGACGAGTGACCAGATCTACCTTGTATCCAGCTACGGAGCATGTGACCAACTAGGATCTTGCATTACAACATGACTCTGTGCAAGGCCCAGCTCGTCGATCTCTACAGCAGTCTCGTACTCGTAGTTTTTCGAATCATGATCAAGCGAGCAATGGGAATCTTGCATCTTGTCACGCATCTTGCATGGGGTGCATCGACCATCCTAGAGATTTCCAGCTAGTTCGGCCCCCGGATTCGTGGAGACTAGCCCCGGATCTACATTCCGGTACCTGAAAAACAACGTCATTTCTGATGCCTTTATTGGGCTGTGACGGCCTCACGACTAGGACTAGGACCAGTACTACTAGTAGCCTCCTCACTGCCTCTCTGTCTCTGACCCGGAGTCAACTTCCGCTACAGTAACCTTCACGTCATGTCCATCCCGGGCATCCTCATGACTTGGGACATTCATTTACGCTCAGTTCAATATCACAAATTCGAAAGTAAGCCCGACACTACACTGACCGCCGAAACCCAACACCTTCAGTCAATCCAATATGCCTGAACACTACATCAACCCAGCGAAACCCAAGATTCGATTCTCATTGCTAGAATGCATCGCTATCGGTTTCGGCGCCGGAGTGGTTGGGGTCGCTGCGTAAGAGTCAAATGGGTAACACGAAGTCCGAAATACTGACAGGTCACCAGAATGACACTAGCCGAGAAGGCGGAGCAAGCCATTACACATCGACCAAATTCCGAGGTGCCTGGCAAGACCCTAGCTCGACTATTGAATGGTGACTTCCATTCTGCACCAACGACCTGGAACTGGTCCATGCACTGGGGACAAGGGATTCTCGCAGCCGGCATACGAGGCTTGATGAGCTACTCTGGCATTGTCGGTCCCTTTGGCAGTTTCTTGTTCATGGGCGTAAGATTGTGCATTGATCAGACGTTGGAGAATCTGACAGGCGTTGGTGCTCTGCCATGGTGTGCAACATCCAGTCAAGAAGACGATTCCAGAAGCTGACGTCGAGATAGGACTTGGCCCGTCCACGAACAGATCATTGACCTCATGCATAAGGCTATCTTTGCTGCAGTAACTGGATATGTTGCTGACCGTATGATTGTGGGGGAGGCGTTGAATGCATGAAATGCTACTTTGTTGAGCATTCCGGTGATGGGAACGACATCGACGGCTAGACTATGAACCAGCTTCTTTTCTCAGGTGCATAGGATTTCCTCATGCAACATTTGCTGGCCAGTACTCTGCGAGCTGAATGCACCGAGGGAGAAGATGTGAAATACGAGGAGACAGCCGCGGTAGCCGCCATTCCACGAATGCAACGAGGTGAGTGCGCGCAAGCAGTGTCATAAGGCTCGCCCACCGGAAGGCTGCAGCGATGAAGGCTCTTGGGGTTCCTTACAGTCGCTGGTCTTTCAGTGAGATACCACGTTTGACACAATACAGCTCATGTTCTTGACAAGGCTGGATAGTGATTCGTAACTTCGTTGGTCGCGCCGAAAACAATGGAGATAATCCAGCTCTTTGTTTTGGTCCTGTACAGAATACTCCCATCACTCCGTAGTCGCAGCCTCGCAGGATTATGTAACCGAGTGCTTGGCGCAGGCTCGCCTTTCGTTGCGCGTACCTGCGGATCTTTGAGTCGTGAATGAACAAAAGCCTCCGCAATAGCTACAACAATTATCTGACAAACTTCCTTTCAACCTTGACAGAAATCGTCTAATACTCACAGCCAAAGCTTGAACCATGGGCTCCGATCCTCAATTCGCCAAATACCCCGACCTCACCCTCGCTCAACACATCTTCTCTCTCGCAAACAATCCCCAGACTACTCAACCAACGTCATTAAACTACCTTCAAAATGCGATCAAACAACACAAGATGGCGCCACTGTATCGGCATCTGGCTCACCCTACCGAAGGTGTGCTGAACTCGGTCGGTGAAAGCACAGCTCAGCAAGTAACCCTGCCACAAAAACCTGCGGCCCGGAGAGCATCACTGGTGTCCAGCAATCTGTTACCACCTAAGAGACCTGTCCCCTCCGGCATCCTACCATGGGACGAATCTCTCTACGAGGAGCTGAAAGCCGACAACGAGAAAGAATTGGAAGAGTTCCAAAAAGAAGAGGAGGAGGCTGAAGAGAAGGCTGGTGAAACAGAAGTGCAGGCTGCCAGGAGCAAGCGAGCTGACTTCTGGGCTCGGGTTGGTGACAAGGTGAGAGAAGACGAAAAGTATTCCTGCAAGTTGAATGAAAAGACTGATTTAGCGACAGGACAAAGCAATTGCTGCCTACGAGACAGTGTTCGACAAGACCGGTCCTCTGGGGACCAAGATCGACATCGTTCTTGCAATCATCCGGATAGGCCTCTTCTTCAACGATAAAGCCTTTGTGAAGAGGCAGGTTGATCGTGCGAGCATACTGGTGGAAAGCGGCGGCGACTGGGATCGAAGAAACAGACTGAAGGCATACAAGGGGCTTCACCTCCTCACTGCGCGGTCCTACAACCTCGCCGCACCTCTACTACTCGACAGTCTTTCCACCTTCACGAGCTACGAGCTATGTAGCTACTCATCCCTCGTCGTCTATGCGGTACTTGCAGGTTCATTATCACTCAAGCGGGTCGATTTCAAGGCGAAGGTGGTTGATGCGCCTGAGATCAAGGCAATTCTAGGAGCCGGTGACGAGAAACCGGACGAGGAGATGAAAGACGTGTCTGCATCTACGGCTGAGCGTGCATCTGGGCTGGTCAACGTGGCAGCACTGGGCTCTGGTCCGGCGGTCGAGTCGCAAACCGAAGCGCCCGTAGATGTTTCGTCACTGGCACGCCTGGTCAACAGCTTGTACAGCGGCGACTATCAAAAATTCTTCCTGTCGCTGGCTACGGTGGAGGAGAACTTCCTGACGCAGGATCGGTACCTTTACGAGCACCGGGCATGGTTCGTGCGCGAGATGCGTCTGCGCGGCTACCAGCAACTTCTCCAGTCCTATCGAGTGGTTGGTCTGGCGACGATGGCTCAGGCTTTTGGAGTCAGTGTGGACTTCTTGGACAGAGACCTGGCCAAGTTCATTGCTGCCGGTCGAGTCAGCTGCACAATTGACAGAGTGCAAGGAACCATTGAGACGACCCGGTCTGACGACAAGAACAAGCAATATGCGGATGTTGTGAAACAGGGAGATGGGCTGATCACCAAGCTGCAAAAGTACGGCCAAGCTGTTAGACTACGGGGCAGTGAAAGAGCCTAGACAAGGCCTTCTTTATTGTCAGAATGGCTTGTACCTGGGTAGACAACAGCGCAAGGCGTTTGTGGCAGGCTGCGAAAAAGATTGCTGTATGATAAGTCAATTTCATCTGTGACAGAAGAAGGGCATGCAGGCACCCAGGTGTTGTTCAGTATTCGAGCCTTGATAAGGACATCATGGGCATGAGGATGATGAACGTGTCTCATCATCTTACAGGCGTGAAGGAAGCCGTGAAAGCTTAGAATCCATCAATCCAATGGATCTCTCGGCTTGCCTTGCCAGTCCCCCACACCTGACGATAAGATAGACGAGGGGGACCATGTTGCTTGCCAGCTGAATTTCTCGTTTCTCGATGATTGACGTCGGTGTAGATAGCTCGTGATAGCTATTTCTTTTGGCGCTCAATCTTTCTCCCGTGTTGTGTGCTCAGAAGTACCTGGTAGATTGAGCTCCCCGATGACGAGTGCACTTTTGGACAGCAGAGGCGGCCTCCGGTAACGCTTCGTGCTTCTCTCCTTCCTCGCGCCCAGTTCCGATCGACCCCCCACAGGACTAAGAGTCTAAGACGGTACTTCCTGCGCCCTTCTGAGGCCTCTCCAGAAATGCGGTCGCTCCATATCACGAGCCCTTCTGCACTCCTCATGCGAGCCCAGCTTTTTTCTGCAGAACTTACGACGGCGTGCAGGGCACTGTCGACTTCCACCAAGCCCGGTTTATCCTCGCGTTCGCGACGTGGCCGGATCTCCTCTGGTAAGAAAAGCAATGCACAGTCGCCTGGTGGTCTGCCCGTGCCTTGTGACTCACTCAATTTCTTGCTTCTGCTCGCATGACCTTTTGAAGTCTTCCAGGCTGATATCAAGATGGCACAGCTCCTTCCTCGGGCGTCCAGCTCCATTTTCCTTCTCGCACCATGTCGTCCACACCTAGACTGCACGGTTTGACCATCGACAACATCAACCCCCATGTCAAGGCGGCCGAGTACGCTGTGCGCGGCGAGCTCGCCATCAAGTCAGAAGAGTATCGACATAAGCTGAAGTATGGCGACCCTCCGACCCCCCCCGAGGAACCCCTACCTTTCGACTCTGTCATCTCTGCCAACATTGGCAACCCTCAACAGCTCGATCAGAAGCCTATCACCTTCTTTCGTGAAGTCCTCGCCCTTGTTGAACATCCAAAACTGTTGGAGAATGAACAAGCTTTGAAGACGCACTTTGGGTACAAGCAAGATGCGATAGATCGTGCTCGTTGGTTGCTAAAAGAGGTGGGCTCCGTGGGAGCCTATTCGCAGTCTATGGGAGCGCCAGGCATACGGCAGTCGGTGGCCAATTTTATCGAACATCGTGATGGGTTCCCAGCGGACAAGGGTGACATCTACCTTACTGCTGGTGCCTCTTCAGGAGTCCACACCCTGCTACATGTCCTCTGCGCCAAACCCACCACTGGTGTCATGATACCCATTCCACAATACCCCCTATACTCTGCGACGCTATCGCTCCTCGATGCTCGCCCAGTCCCATACTTGTTGGATGAGCAGCACGGCTGGGACACGAACATGACTGTCATCAAGGAGGCTTATGACAAGGCAGTCAGTGAAGGCACAGATGTTCGTGCTATAGTTGTTATCAACCCTGGCAATCCGACTGGTGCATCACTATCTGAGTGGGACGTTGAAGATGTCGTCAAGTTTGCTGCAGAGAAGAATCTGGTCATATTTGCAGACGAAGTCTACCAGACGAATGTCTTTATCGGAAAATTCCACTCTTTCAAGCGTGCCTTGCGGATACTGCAGCAGAAGGAACCCGGCGCCTATGATCATGTCGAGCTTGCTTCATTAAATTCGGTTTCAAAGGGTATGGTAGGCGAATGCGGACATCGTGCTGGCTATTTTGAGCTTGTTGGCTGGGATCCAGAAGTGCAGGCGCAGATCTACAAACTTGTCAGCATCATGCTTTGCCCGCCTGTCATAGGGCAGTGTCTCCTGGAAATGGTGGTGAACCCGCCCAAGAAAGGCGACCCCAGCTATCACCAATACCATGAGGAATACCATGCCATCAAGCATGGTCTGCAGCAAAGAGCTACTGCATTGTATGATGCTTTTGAACGGATGGAAGGTGTTGAAGTCGGTGAGCCTCAGGTACGTATCGACCGCCTTTGTATTATTTGACAGTTTCTGACGGGTGCAGGGCTCAATGTATCTCTTCCCTACGCTTCGTCTCCCGGAGAAGGCAATTGAAGCTGCGAAAGAAGCCGGCAAGAACCCAGACGACTTCTACTGCCTTCGTTTACTCGATGCAACAGGTATCTGCGTCGTACCTGGATCTGGGTTTGGTCAAAAGCCTGGTACACTACATCTGCGGACGACCTTCTTGGCTCCCGGTACAGAATGGGTGAACCGGTGGACGAAATTCCACCACGAGTTTATGGATAAATATAGATAAGCATACGCCCTCGTGAGCGCTTTCATCTGCCGTCAAGAATGACCGTCTTGCAGTGATCCCGTCGAGTCGGACTCTGAGGCCGGAGTCGATGTGAACCCATGTGCGACCTAGGACAATCATTTTGGTTTCTCCATATCACCTTAACGCGCCAAAAGTTGCTTGTGCGATTTTGATCTTAACCTCTTATGTCCCGTCATGATCGTGTGTCAAAAAGAATTTCAGCGTCATGTCTGATATATGCATCACATTGGTAGCGGGGGTTTACTCGTGCTGGCATGGAACGAGGGTATGCTTGCCAGTTGAAGCTGTTTCTTCGCTCAATACCTGTAGGAATGTGTATACGACCTTGAACTTGTCAACCCATATACCTTCTACCTAAGCTAAAGCGATCCCGTCTTGCGTACTCCGGGTTTGACGCTTGATTTTTCCTCGGAGCCTCGCGTACTGCATGTGAGCTTGCTCCTCGTCTACGTACCGTGGTGCCCCATGAGGACTCCTAATCTTGCAAGCATTGTCACGGCGGAGAGAAAGAGAGAGAGACCGTGGGACCGGTCAAAACTTCGTCCGAATCGCGGGCGTGTGGATATTGCCCTTTACATAGTAATTCCCGATGGAGTCTCCGTACGGAATACTACTATGTACTATGTACTATGGTATTTGACCTTAAACAAATAAATCATCAATGACTCCGAGGGCGGAGTTGATATGAGCCGAGATGATCAAGTGGTTATGGTATTCGTACGTCCCGCCATGCGAATACGCGAATAAGACGCACACCCTCGCTGTCGCATACATAAAGCCAGCCGTGGCCAGCCAGGGTACGAGCGTACTGTATGACTCGGGCCGTTCGTTCATTAAAGACAGCTACCTGGTATCTGGCAAGCTGGTACCCGTAGAGTTATTACATAGTAGCAACTCTCGGTTCCACCGCGATACAGTGATATCCGAGGTATACAGCTTCAGCGTGCCCGGACCATCTATCCCCCCCAGTGGCTCCCACACGAAGAACGACTCATCAGTCATCACAACCCTCAACTGTTGACGTTGAAAAGCCAACACGACCACTGTGACCAGAAGGACTGTGAAAGTTCAAGTACCAGTACTTCGTCTCGCAACCCAACCACCAATCGAACTACTAGTAAGTACCACACCGCCGGGTGCCGATATATCTTTATCAGGCGAAGATGGTACAACTCCCCTCACTCCCCGTGCCGGCCTCCGCCAAACCTCCCACCGCGGCGGCTCTCGATGCAGACCCCGAATTCGCCCCGCTCATGCCGGACAGCTACACGGCCTTCGAAACACTATGGTCCCTTGAGTTGGACGACTTCAAAGCCGCATGGGTCAGCGCGCCCGTCACGCTGCGCCCAGAGGTGCCGACTCTCGACGAGATCGACGTCCGCATAGAACGTGCGCCTGTCAGCGATGGCACCGAGCTCGAGATCCAGATATACGCGCCCAAAGACGCGGGCGAGAAGGCCTTGCCGCTCATGTTCGTCATGCATGGAGGTGGCTGGGTTATCGGGAATCATAGTATTGAGGAGAGTATGACGAGGAGCGTCTGTGTGAAGAACCAGGTCAGGGTGATCTCTGTCCTCTATCGGATGTAAGCCTAGTTCTTTCCTTCGGCCGGCTTCGTTTTTCCTCGAGTCGTCGATGAGCACTCAAGGGGAGAAGTATGAGATGTGAGCTGTGAGCTGTGAGCTAACGCATTTGACTTGAAGGGCGCCGGAGTTCAAATTCCCCTACGCGGTGAATGATTCGTGGGACGTTCTTGTTTGGGTATGTACCTGTTTCGTCTTCATCGAGGATTTGACAACGGGCCAGGAATGGCCCGTTGACCGGAAGTATCATGTGCTGAATGGCTGCGTGTTTGTAGTGTCAAAAGAACGCCAACAGGCTGAAGATCGATCCGAACCGAATCATTGTCGCTGGAGGTTCGGCCGGTGGCAATCTGGTACGTCCCTCGCACGATCAGAGGTGATCCGACGATGATGCTAATGCTGGCAAAGGCCGCCGTCATGGCCCAGCGTGCCAGAGATGAAGGGCTCCAGGGCGTCATAGGACAGGTTCTGAATATCCCCGTGACGTGCCATCCTGAGCTGTTTCCGAAGGACAAATACAAATACACGAGTTTCCAAGAGAATTTCAATGCTCCGATCATTGATGTTCCCAAGATGACGTGGTTCTGGAGTAAGCCCTGTCTTGGATCTGTGGAAAGTCCTCTTGGGGCTGATAAATACTGCAGATCAATACCTCCCAGATGTGACGGTCGATGCCAGGCATAGTCCACTACTTGCGAAGAGTCTGGAAGGACTGCCGCCGGCGTTGGTGCAGGTTGCTGGTAAGTCACCGCTTCAACCAAGAAAGGATTTTTGGCCATGCTGATACCACTCTCCCAGGGATGGATCCACTTCGTGACGAAGGCCTGGCATATGCTGAAGCGATGAAGAACGCCGGTGTCAATGTGACTCTCAAGACGTATCCTGGGGTTCCACATGGATTTGGCTTCTATCCGCAGCTGTCCAAAACTGCGGCATATGAGGACGGTATTGTTGGCTGGGTGGCCAGTCGACTATCCTGATCGTGTAGAGCAGCAAGCAATAGCATACTGGCTGGTGCCTCGAAGATTTATATTATGCTCGAGTGCCTTCTTTCAGGGAGGACAGTGCACCACTCGGCGTACTGTTCTCTCTATCAATTTCAAGAGCCTGGCTCATTATCCATTCCGTCCGCTCGTCTGGCGGTCTAAGCCACCATTTCGCAATCCGGTTGCTTTGCCCATGTGTGGTGCGGCACCGTGTGCAAGCAGCAGGTCGACTATGCACTCATGGCCTTGCCGTTCAGCCCATGACAAGGAGCGTTTCGCCGACAGGATCCACATATGCTGGATCAAGTCCTTCTTCCAGCAAGAGCTTGACCACACCTTCTCGACCATTGTCAATCGCGGCTCTCAGCATGTCACTGTGGACGATTCGCTCCTTGAGATGTTCGCTCTCAGCCATCAAGGCCCTCAAGACACAGTCATAACCTCTGGCAGCAGCGAGCTTGATGGAAATGGGTAATAATTCAACCTTATCTAAGCCTGCGTCTTGTTGCAGAAGTAGTTTCACCGCATCTTCGTCATTGTTTGTCACAGTCCGGTCCAACGGCTTGTAGCCACCAAATATTCTCTGGTAAGGAAGATCTGGACAATACTTCAGAAGCACATTGAGTATGTCATGGAAGCTTTCTCGTCCCCGATCAAGAGCATCGAGAATATCGAGGCCGCCTGTTTGTAGTGACTCCAGAATGGGTATCTGGTCTGTTTGTTTGATGGAACTTTGAAGCAAATTTGAGAAGGAACTCGACCACGTCTCCGCTACCGCCTGCTATAGCATACTTCAATGCTGTGGGCTCACAAAGCACAGCACGAGCCACGTCACCACCATACTCTGCAAACACTTCGAGAACTTTAAGGTGCGCTTGATGCAAAGCAAACATCACAGAAGACCGGAGTTTCCGGAGATCATCATCTCCGCATAGATGAGTGAGATGATTCAATAATATCATGACGGTCCCATAGTGCCCGTGCCTAATTGCGATTGCCAACGGCAGTCGACCGAGTTGAGTCTTTCTTATTACTTTTGCATCGTGCTCCAAGAGTTTCCTGACTATGATTGCATGGCCTTTCCCCGCAGCAGAGGTCAACGGTGTTTCCCCTGTGGTAATGTTGTAACAATCTGGATCAACACCTTTCTCCAGCAGCATGTTCACGACCGCCAGGTTACCATATGCTGCGGCTTCTTGCAAAGGACAAGTTTTGTGGTGTCTAACGCGCTGTTGTTGAATGCAAATCTTGCTCTCGACAATGTCGAATTGGGCAAGCCGTGGCTGACCCACAAACAACAGATTGGCATAGTCACCTCTTTCAAAACATGCTCCAACTTCCCCTTTGAGGTAGATTCCCACGACCGTGGTGCCCTTCGTGCACGGGAACAGGGCAAGATAGGTACCCGACCCCTCCTTTTCACGCTTGACGCGAAGTCTCACATGGACGCCTTCGCTGTCGACAGTCGCAGCATCTCCCGAACTCGTTGGACCAGGTACCGGAACAATGCCCGCTGACTTGGCGAAGGCTGATGGAGCAGATGCCAGTAGACCTCGTGCAGTTCGTGAATACGAGGTCCAGGCAAAGAGGCTATAATCGATGCAGACCTTGATGATCTCTTCCTGGAGTCTGATGAATGCTCGTTCACCTTCGCCATAAAGCAAGGGCATGTTGATATTGAAGATCCCCAGCAAGCAGTAAGCATGGTCCTCTACTCTCGTCGTCCGCCTAGTCGACGCCCATGACATCCTTGTAGCGACACTCTCTTGATCAAGGTCCCCGCCCAAAAGGACCGACTGTGGGATATATGTGAATGAGGATATGGATGCTGCCATGCTTGTTTTAGTCCCTAGCTCCTGCCAGGTCTGGTCAAAGAAGATGAGCACCGAAGGAGCAATCAATTATTGAAGAGTCCATCCTCTCGTGAACCATCTACTGCGACGGAATTCGCTGACCATTCTCTCGGGATCCTTCACTGGGTCGGAGCAGACGTCGTCAAGGTACGCGTAGCATACTATTGCGTTTTGATACCATCGATACATGGAATTGATTGCTTCAGAGAGCTCGGCGCTGCTCCTCTTGTCGATACAGCAAGTGTCGATCCATACATAATCGAAGCCATCCGCCGCGGCGCGGGCGCATGTGTTTTTCAGCTTGTCGAATCCTTGCCGACTTCTCAATCTGCCGGTTTCTAGGTTCTGCAAAGAGATTTCTCCTTTTCCCCAAGTATGAGAGAGTATGGCATAGAGTGGTCTATCCTGATCGCCAAACTCCTCCAGTATGAGGTTTGTGGTGTGAAGCAGGCGCATTGCTTGGGAAATGGAACAATGTGCCCGCCTTCTCAACCTGATGCGGTAGTGGCTGCTGAGGTGGCTCTGGGATGACCAAAGCACGACCTTCTTGACGGTCTTGATGATGAAACTGGCGTGCTTGATGCTGCGTTAATCAATTCACTTTCTAGAAGTGAAAGAACCACACGGTAGAGTACTAGTAGTCAAGGAAGAACATCAGGCTGATGATGAGGCGGAGGGATGCAAACGTTTGGAAGTGCCCGACGTGGCTTGGGACTAGCCAGAATGGGCTGAGCTCGACCAACACAGCCTGACCAGCACAGCCTCAGCTCAGCCCATTGCCAGATGTAAAATTGATGTCATGGCGGACATGGGAAGGTGTTAGGCTGGTTCCAGGATGAACAGTTGTGGCGGGCATGGTTTCAGGGCCGTTCGTTCCATTGACCTATGGAGCGTACTTCGTGCACGTATGATAATTTGTGAGCACCACGAGTTAAGGACAGTGAATCCGAAAAATAGAAGGTGAGAGAGAAAGAGCTGTTTGCTACTGCCTTCGATTTCATTGGCGCGAAGACCGAAAGAGCGGTGGCTTTTATATGTTATCTCAGCACATAAACATTGATTTGACTGGGACGACGTGACCAATCGGCATTTCCCCAACACTCTGTTGAGGAGCCGGCCAGCCTTTTGAAATGCTTTGGTCGAGTACGACTTGTCCTTTACCGACTGAGACGTACAGTATGTCCGTCGATCTGGCGAACGCAATTCGCTGCCCCAAGGAGGTGGGAACAAATCTCTGAGGCAATCCTCATGGTCTATCCAGACACCAGGCCGATGCTCATGAACAGGAGGCGAAGGACGTACCCGGAGCCGTATCAAGCAGACAACATGACCAAGTCCAAGCCAATGGAACACTATATGAGGATTCGATTCTCTCCTGGCCAGCTCGATGCGCAAGAGATTGTGTGGTGAATGACCCCGCCATTCTCCGCGGAACAAGTACCCGTGGCAGGGGGTGGCGCTGTTGCTTTCAAGGTGAAGTCTGGAGGCACAGGCTTCAAAGTCGGTGGCGCATTGCAATTAGCCTTGGTCAATGTAAAGCTGTGTGCACGAAGTTTGGACTTCCGTCGGCGTCATGGTTGGATCAACACGGCCATGATGCTAATCGCATCGCCGACACTTTCCTCACGGTTTTGCAGTCGATTGAAAAAGCCGTCGTCCAGTTGTTAGCCATGCTGAAGATGTAGTGCCGGTGTCTCATCCCTGATTGATGCGGAGGGAGGATGTGTCCGTAGCGTTACCAAAGCCGACCGCGTCTGACTCTGGGGAGATATGGCTGTGGGTGGTCCCGGGATACCACTTCTAGACGGTAGGTCAGCTTCACTCAGTAGCATACGCGAAATTTGCCTACATAGACGCCGTGATGGTGCGGTAAAATATCCAAGCTGGAGTCGTGGTATCGGGCTCGGCCTCGCGCTCCGGCGCGGGCAAAGCAATCCATTTCTCGCAGTATCGACCGCAAACTGGGCTCGACTTGAGATTCCGTTTCATGCAGACAGTAACGTTCAGGCTTTGGTGAAAGGTGTCGTCCTGCTGCTTTGCACAAGCACTGCTGCAAAGACCACTGCCCTCATATCCAGGCATTGCGAACGGTCCCAGCTGATCATAGCGCACAGCCCACCATTTCCACTCGGCCTCCCAGACTTTCCCAACTGCATGCGAAGACGCCAATGGTATAAAAGGGTTGTCAACGTTCATGTGGGCTGCTGCACTGGAGCGATGCGGCATAAAACTTGAAGTTGACAAGGCTGATGTTCGGCTGACCGTGACCGGTTGATCAGTCTTCGTGACGGTACAGGAAGAGGAGGTCGTTCCGTCCCAGGCGCAGGGAATCACCGTCGAGACCCAGGCGAAGGTCTGCATTGTGTATCCGGTTGTGCACTTGCCGCGGATGCATCCTGTAGACGGCGAGCACGTCGAGACGAGTTGATGCTGAGCTGTTACCGTGATGGGCTGAACATGCACAGACTTGGACGCGGCAGCACACGGCGTGAGGATTGTCAGGATTTCTGCGAAAGCACGACTCAAGCAGACCGCGAGCAGGGCCAGGCTGAAACACAAGGTCCTCATAGCATCGACAGTAGCGTATTCCGGACGCACATCTGGCGGTTAGAAGGTGTAGCTGACGACAGAAACTGAGAGGAGTTGTCAATGTATTTGCGTTCGGACCATTTGCAGACTCCTGGCTGTCTTTCAGCCTGCTCTTGCAGAATTCCCACTTAAAGCTCCGTACGAAGTCGGCCTGGGGCAATCTGCCATGGAGTCGTCGACCGCCATGGCGTCGACAGGAGGTGTCTGTCCGCGTCACGCAAGGGGTCGGACACTGTCATACTTGAGTGAAGCGCCCAATTACGACTCGCTCTGCGGACTCCATCTCAGCCTGAGACGGGGCGGACGGGCACTCCCTTGCAGCATGTTCAGGGGCCCTGGCCATCATGGACCATTATTCCGGATAGAAAAGGAAAAACCATACCGAACAGACAACACGTCCTGGGGAATCCGGGGTATGCCTAGCAGAAGGTTGGCTGGGGAAAGAAAATGGTCCCTCGCTTGCGAAATGATTATTGCCTTTAAGGAATAAGCCACAGTGACCTAGCCTGATGTGCCTGATGTTGCCCGCAGTCACCGCGCATTTGATGGCACCACTTAATTTCGCATGGTGACAGGTGTGAAGTCTTGGGCATGCTTGATTGGAATTGGACTTGTGTGACTCTCACAGCTGCGGGGGGTCTCCAGTGCCGGTCAACGGTTAGAACACCACGAGCAGGCTGGCTGTAAGGTAGACTAGCCGATCCCTTTACAGTAGGTTGCAAAGGCATCATCCTTGAGCCTTGGTCGCGTGCCCTCCGGTTAGTGAAAAGCTGTGCGCTCTTCTCCAGGCCTGGAAGAACTTGCATGATTTCAAGAAAGAGGGCTTCAGCGGCTCTACAAGGACCATGTGGGATGTGCCGGAAAAAGCCATCTCCTCTCAGGCAAGGCTGTCAGAACTCCAACCCGCACAGCACACCGAAGACTTCGCCTAACTACGGAGTAATGAGCCTGCACCGGCCCAAAGATGGGGAGAATTTGGTGATGGCCAACGGAGGGGAGGGAGGACGCTCCAAACGGCCCCCACGACCCCCACACCACACAGTGACACCGCAAGACCACAAGACCGGTATATCTGCCGCTACCGGAAACCGGCACAAGTGTCGCCGTCTACACTTTGAGACCTTAACCAGGTCATGCCAGGTGATTAAAAAAACCAACACATCTACCACTCACCCTCCTCGCAGTTCCAAGCCAAACACCATATAAACACCCTTGTCGAGGCAGAGGCACAGGCAGAGGCATAGACCCGCCGCACACAATGTCCGACTCGAAAATGCTGCATGGCCTCGAAGTTGCCAAACACGCCTCCCGCAACTCCTGCTGGGTCATCGTAAACGGCCGCGTGTACGACGTGACCGACTATCTCGACAAACACCCCGGCGGCTCACAAATCCTGCTGCAATACGGCGGCAAAGACGCGACCTCGATCTACGAGCCCAACCACCCACGCGGCACGATAGAAAAGGGCCTCCCGCAATCCAAACACCTCGGCCCCGTGGACCCAGCGACGATCGCCACCATCAAGAAACCCCAAGTGACCCGCGACCTGGACAAGACGGCGCGCATCCCGCTGACGCACTGCGTTAACCTCGACGACATCGAGCGCGCCGCCGAGCGCATCATCCCGCACGCAGCATGGGTCTACTTCCACTCCGCCGCCGACGACTTACGCTCGCTCGCCAACAACAAAGACGACTGGAAGAAAATCACGCTGCGACCACGTATCATGCGCAACGTACGGCGCGTCAACATGCAGCGCACCATGCTGGGCCAAAAGTCCCGGCTACCATTCTTCATCGCGCCCGCCGCGCGCGCCAAACTGGTCCATGACGACGGCGAACTGTGTCTTGCTCGCGGCGCTGCGAGGGCCGGCATCCCCTACTGTCCGAGCACCCATTCGACCGTGCCGCACGACGAGATCGCGAAAGTGTTTAACGCCACGACGACGAGCACAGACTCGGGCTCGAACGAGTGCGGCGGAGTGCTGTGGTTCCAACTCTACGTCGCACACGAAAAGTCACGAACATTAGAACTCATCAAAATCGCCCGGGATAACGGGTACAAAGCGCTCGTCATCACCGTGGATTCGCCCGTCGTCGGAAAGCGAGAAGAGGACGAGCGGTACCGAGCCGAACTCGCCACTGCCTCTGGTGATGACACGGTACTGACGGAATGGTACCGACCCCAGACCTCGGACGACGGGCCTCCGCTACGTGGCCACCACTCGTCGACACTGAACTGGGATGATCTGCCGTGGATACGCGAGGCGTGGGGGAAAGACACCGGCCCTATCGTCTTGAAGGGCATCCAATGTGCCGAGGACGCCGCGCTGGCATTTGAGCACGGCGTCGAAGGCATCTATCTCAGTAACCACGGCGGACGGCAAGTCGACGATGCTCCGAGTGGAATCCGTACGCTGCTTGAGATTCGCCGCTTCTATCCCCATCTGATCGGAAAGATGGAGATTTTCCTAGACGGCTGGGTGCGGCGCGGCACAGACATCATCAAGGCGCTATGTCTGGGCGCCACGGGTGTCTCCTTAGGCCGACCCTTCATGTACTCTGTCGCGTACGGCGACGAGGGCGTCATGAAAGTTATACAACGTAAGTCTTGCACCTTGCATTCTCCATGTGGAAGAGCGCAATACGTGTTTGCTGACCTTGTCTTGCAGTCTTGAGCGAGGAGATCGAGACGTCGATGAGGAATATGGGTGTCAACAGTCTGGATCAGCTGAATCCCTCATACGTTAACAGCAAGATCCTAGAAATGGAACTGCCGGATCACCTTAGGTTTGGAGCACAATGGCCGGAGCTCAAACCGAAATTATAGATTACGACTCTGATAGAATATACAACGCCTGGGACCTGGGGATTCTGGGGCCATTGCTGTTGCACCGGGTTCCATAGAAGGATGGTCGAAATCGAATATAATAATGACACCCCCTGATCTACCAGCCTTACTTACGCAAGGGAGACATTATGGCCGCAGCGACCAGTAGTGAAGCTTCTATTCTATACATTTCTTAAGGGTAATCGAGTGTTTCTATCGGGCCGCCTACTGATCAACGCCGAGCGCAGTATATCGTTGTAAGAACTACTTTTATCTCTCCCAGGCTCTTTGTTGATTTCTACAACCGCCGTTCGCTGACAATCTCATCGGCACCCTGAAGCACCGACCCGATGCGCCTTGTCTGCCCTCCTGACTCTGCATAAGCGGTACAGAATCGGCATCCGTTGCTTCCGTGATACCTATCCGGTCGATGGTCGATGGTTTACTTGATGGAGCAGTGGCAAAAGGACTGAAAAGATCCGAGGCCCTCGAAATCGCCGCTCAAGGTCTGCAAACTACGGCACGGCTGCTGCTTGAAGAACGGGATTGTCGACCTGAGACAATCCTCGAACGAATGTGTTCACCGAGAGGCGTGACAATACAGGCCGTCCTCACCGCTGAAGCGAGCAATCTGAGGAAAGTCGGGGCAGAAGCGGTAATCAATGGTACACAACATCTTCAGAAGATGTCGTGGTCAGCTTAAGTTAGATGAGGTTTTCTGCGTTTGAGCATCGTACTGTATCTCAAAAGTTGAAGCGAGCAGGTGGGTGCTTGCGGGGTAGGGAGTAGGGATGAACACAAAGAGAGTTATTGCCTATCAACCGCCCCGCAATGCCTATTTTGCCGAGGCGATAGGCCAGTGGCTAGGCTGGTGCAGGCTAAGAGCATCCCTGGTAAGCCCCCGATAGGAGCTTTAGGTGCCAAGCTGATTAAGCCCATTTTCTCCGCAATCCTCGACCTCTATCCAAGCTCCCGCCGTCTGCCGTTGATGGGCAATCTATTCCCACTTCCTATAGCATGACGGAGGAGGCCTCACAGACCGAATCACGACGTGTCTCTGCTGCGTGAGTGACGCTTCACACCGCTATTGCGCTATTCCCTGACTGAACAGCCTTCAGCTGTCGTTATTGCAGGCATAGCAAGCTGAAATGCTCCGGCACTCAGCCATGCGATCGATGCCAGAGGAGACGCCGAGAATGTATTTACGACGCGCGAGATGGCCGCAACGCAGATGAAGAGAGGTTTGTCGCTTGCAATAAACAACACTATGAGACTGACTCTACCGCAGGTTCGGATCTACGCCGAAGCGAGCGCGTCTCGACGACACAACTCCTCATCGGCGAAGACAGGATCAAGTACGGCCTTCTTTAGGAGAAGTCACTGCTCGAAGAACCGGCCTCACACCTCTGACCCCTTCACACGCCTCCGACGACCATGCTGCCTCTCCACACTTCTTGAAGAACAAACCGAACAAGCGCAAGCGATGGTGTAAGATGAGTCCCAGTATCTATGCTGAATACGAGGTTGAGATTCTTGTAGTGTATCTAGGGGCTTCTTCTACATGGTCCTACAACATCCGGGTGGCTACACTGATTAGGTCGGCTTTGAAGGACGACCCTACCAACACCAGCGAAGGCTTCACTCTGGACGGTGACGCATACACGCTCTCCCTGGGAAGAGCTGGCTCAGACAACCGTCTCGACTTGAGTCGGCTGCCCTCGTTGGACTACGCGATTTACCTCATCAACACTGTCAAGTTCCATCTCGGCGGTATTCTCAGGCTCTTTGATGAAGAAGAATTCCTACGTAATCTCCATGAGTTTTATTCGAAGGGCCCTGAAAAGGCAGGAACCCATCGGTTGTGGTACACACAATGTCTGCTGTTATTGGCTCTGGGAAAAGGTTTCTTGAACGTCAGACACTCGCCAGATAACACCTCGTCCGTCGACTTCTTTCTACGTGCTATGGCGATATTACCAGATACGATTGTCTTGCATGATGAGCCTGTTTTGGCGGCAGAAGTGCTTGCCACGATCGCACTATATTTTTATTGCTTGGACATGAGGCACAGTGCGTACTCTTATGTGAGTACCGAACGTGGATTCGTCGGGGCTTCCGCACTAAACAACTTGCCAATAGATAGGCCAAGCATTACGGCTCGTGTTGGTGGAAGGGTTACATGCGGATCTTCCAGTTGATCAATTCGGAGAGAGATTCGCAGAAAGGTGCCGAAATGTGTGGTGGACTGTCTACATCTTGGATCGCACATTGTCTTCTGCCGTCGGAGCGCCGGTATCTGTTCAAGATGATCACGTTCGTCAGCCACTGGGCTCTCCCAGGAGCTCTTCTCAGAGAGACGCAACACTGATCATGCACGTCAAGTTGTGCCGTGTTGTCTCCTACATTTTGACTGGTTTGTTCGACTCCTGCGTTCCGCCGGTATTTCTGTTAACCACATCCTCAGAACTTTATACCGCCGACGGTAGCCTGGAGCATTCGTATCTGAGCAAGGTCCGGTCAGTTTTGAGACGCATGGCGGAGATTGCAGAGGAGCTGGAAGACACTATCGACTTCAAGTTTAAGAGCTCTTTGGAGACTTTGTCCAAAGGTGCATTGTATTTGAGGATGCTTTATAATCAGGTTAGTCTCGGTACTTTTCCAAGGATTGGTGTTGACAAAACTGGACAGTGTATCATCCTTGTAACGAGACCACTCCTGATCTGCCTGCTTCAAGACATCCTTGGGTCGATTTCAAGCGAAGCCCGCACAAGAGTGGATATCCCTACTTCAATTCGTGATTTGCTGCAAACCTGCGTCGAGTCTGCGACGAAGACATTGAAAATGCTTGCTGCATTGAATAGTCACAATCTGCTGGGTATGCAAGCTAATTTTCGCGGACTTTAGGTCTAGTTCACTGACAAGTGCTGGTTGTAGATACCTTTCTCCCATTCGACCTGGAGTTTGCATGCTCGGCTTCGTCGGTATTAATCATGGTAGATGACGTCCTCCGAGGGACCAAGATCTCGCCTTCAGCCAAATCCTTGATCACCAGAGTCTTGGACGAAATCACCGCCGGTGGTAACAAAGCAGCTCCTCTGCGAAAACAGGAGCTTCAACAAATATCAAACCTGGCTGGTCGCTTGTGGGAAACCATAGATTCTCTTGAAAGAACGAATGCAGTATCGACCCAAGGTTATCAGCAAACCGATCAGCAGCCGAGATCGAACGGAGACTTGACCTATCACTTCGAGAACCCGAATTCTCAAAGCCCTGGCCCAGGTGACGCTAGGCCGACTGTTCCTCTGTTCAATTCACCACTTCCCAGTGGTGACGGGAACATTGCTCCGCTAGACGAGTCGGTAAACAATATGCCGCCATTGTCGACGACATCATCGGCTGACTTTGCACAAACCTTCGACTTCCCACAAGAACAAATGCTCTTCCTTGCCGACCATCTCGACGTGGATGCTTTGCCAACTTTGCTGGACTTTGGTAATCATGGATTAGATGAGTGGTTATGAGGAACCAAAGTCTGCATCTTGAGAGTCGGAGGGGAGAACAACGATATGACACTCATTTTCTGGCAGTTGCACCAATCTTGGGGAGAGTGTTGCTTTTACTGCTCAGCTCTCGATCACGTCCCCCAATCACTGGGATTGGATTGGGACAATTCCAGTCAGCCGGGAAATGGCTTACGGCTCCGAATCCTCGGATCCGATGATCAGCTCGTCAAGTAAGATAGAAAGGGGCTATCATAGGAGACAGCCTTATCCGTCAGTTCCTTCATTTCAAGGGATGCCGATTTCTATGCCGAGTCTTGAACGCCTTCCCGTGGGCACCAACAACGTCTTTGTTCAGTCACCGGTGATTTGGTGTTGCTGTGCTGATGCGATTGCGCCAGATACTCTCTCCGTCCGCAGAATTTTGTCCCCGACTGTGATAACAATTGTACCGTTGGATCATGAAAAGTAAAAATTATTGCCTAATCAGGTAGTCTGGCCTGCCTGTTTAGGCAATAATCTTAAGGTGACAACGAATGGCCCTACACTTCGTTACGACCAATCAAGACGGGATCTTCCTTTCTCATCCGCTCATTGACGATTTCGATCTGCTTTGCGAGTCGCCAGGGGATATCCAACCTGTCCATGAACACTTCTAGAAGCTGGATGTGACTGGGAGCCTTGTCTACAAACTCGGCCGAATCGAGAACCGTCTCCATCTCCTCTTTCGTACGTACCTGTCGAGTGCATTGGGCGCCGTCCCTGGCACCAAGGAATTGCAGCATGTGGCGATGGTCCCAGGTCGTGATGTCGTTGTAAGCTTCGTCTGGTCCATGAATGGCCCGCTCGATCGTGTAGCCATCGTTGTTGATCAGGAAACTATCCACAGTAAAACGCATGGGTCAGCATACAGCACACGGCATACAGCACACGGCATACAGCACACGGCAAAATACGATGGGATGGGATGGGATGGGATGGAATCGATGACCCGACGTACATGATAGGCTTCAATCCTTGTTTAATGATCGTGCCAATCTCCTGAACTGTCAACTGCAGGCTGCCATCACCAACGACAAGTATCAGCCGTCCACCCGAAGCCACTTTGCCCTCACTCTGCATCTCGCTCTGTGCCAGGCCCGCGCCAAGACAACAAGGCACAGAGTAACCGATACTTCCGTAGTATAACTGCGTGACGTAGGTAGCTTTGGAAGCAAACGTGGCTTCGGAGAGCCCGAACTGTGCTGTTCCGCATTCGCCGATGACAATGTCTCCTGGACGGGAGAACCGTCCTATCCTTTTCCAGATATAATTTTGCCTGACTTGCGGCGCTGTTTTGTCTGGACCTTGCGGCAGCGGTGGTAGCGTCGGGTTCGGCCGCTTTGGAAGTTGCGCGTCCTTGAGTGCGACCAGCAATTTGCAAAGCACTGCGCCAAATCGTCAACCTTCGCACCCTCGAAACTGAATGGACCAAGAGGAGAACTCACGCGGCCGCAAATAAACGTCTTTGGCTTGTTCTCCGAATACCTGGCCTCTCGTCAGGGTCCATTGTTAAAAGCATTGAGAGAAAAAAAGGAAAATGGAGCACGACATACCGTGCAGCCAGCTGGCTCGATGAGAATGACATGTTTTGGATCGATCTGCCGCGTATGTCCGCCACTATTACTGTCAGAGAGTAATGGTCCCAAGTTGAGGACACAGTCACTCCCCTCTACCTCCTCCTTGATGCCCGGATATGAGACGCTGCCGTTGTAGACACCACAATACCGAGAGTGAGTTTCGTCGACGATCGTCTTTCCCATCGGGGTCGTGAAAATCGGCAGATCAAGCAGGTCGCAAAGCTCTCTTGCCTCCTTTGTTGCTTCATGTCGAGCTGTGAGGCAGTCGACAAGTACGACCGGTCTCTTAGCCCGCACGACGGCGTCCTTGATCTTTTGTACGGTCGAGTCCTCGTTCACGACATTGACGGGATGCGATATGTCTACAGAGGTATTCAACGCCGCGATTGAAACGGGTAAGCGGACCATGTCCATTGGCACGAACAGATACACCGGTAATGAGTCGATCCAGCATTGACGAATGACTCGCTGATCAGAATTCTTAGTTAGCCAAAATACCAAACATGGGCCCTTCATAATTCGTCAGAACGTACATCAATCTCACTCAGTACGGTCTTCTCGTCGTCTAGCCATGCATGTGCACACCGAACTGGGGCGGACATCTTTTCGTAGATCTGGAGAGCATCGTCGTCAACAATGTACTCAACTCGGTGGATGGAGAAGCAACACACTTTATGATCCGGATTCGGTCCCATGCAGTGGTGGATCATGAGACGCTTTTCTTGCGCTGCCCTTGGTGTTGTGCCGACGACATGAATAACTTTGACTTGCTCGGTGTACGCTCCACCAATGCCATTGATCGCCGACAATTCGCCAACGCCCATGGTCGTTACAACTGTATCAATTGTTAGCGGACAATCCTTCACACATTCATCGTCAAACGTACGGACTCCCGGACAGCCTTTAATACGAGCATACCCATCGGCGGCATAGGCGGCATTCAACTCGTTTGCGTTTCCGACTGTGTGGTGGTCAACTGTGAATCGCGTCTCGCGCCGCCCAGGACATACTCCATTTCAGTCCTGGTACTTCTTTCACATAGTCCAATAATTCCAGATTCATATCTCCAGGCACGCCCATGATGGACCTTGTGCCCTGTTGATGTATCCTGCAAGAATGGTCAGGACCCTGATACTATCGATGTGGGGCTCTCGCGTGGTCGGTACCGCTTCCATAGATATAAACCTAAAGGTATTGTTTCGACCATTTCCGTTGTCTGAGGGTGTTTGGCAAGTGTTTGGCGAGGAAGAATGGGTTGAAAGGGAATTGGGAAAGCTTTACTAGTGATTAAGAATCTGGCCAGCTGACAGCGGTACTTACTGATCTTTGTGCATCAGTCGGATATTGAACACACCCGCTGATGCGCGGAACTCCTGCCGCAGCCATTCTGGCTAAGCTCCTCCCCCACAGACGTCTTTGGGCCTTTTGGGAGCTTGCAACGGGAATCAAAGGCCCGCCTCGACTGGAGAACGGAGCTTCTCGAACCCATTGGCCAGCAAGTCGAGGTAGCAGGTATCTTGCAAGGTCACGTTCGATTGAGAGGGAAGGCTCTCCACCTACCTTACTAGGCGTGGAAGCCAATAACTACCACTGTAGTCATGACACCATAACCTTTGTACAATCCTTCGACAACGCCCTTGCCGACCAGACATCACTGCAGCTGTGTGGGAGCTCTGAAGAATGATGAGAAAAGAAGACGTTGTAGATACAAGGAGTGGCCGGGTTGAGTGGGTGAGCAGAAAGTCAGGATCCTGTTCGACGTGCTCTTGTTGTGGCAGATAGAAAACTCGCGGACTTCGACGAAGTGAGGAGGTGAGGAAGTTGAGTGATGAAAACACCAGTTTTTTGCCTAATATGGTAAGCTATACTACCGCTATAGGAAATATTCCCTCTCCCTCTCTCTTCTCCCATTCTCCGACATCTGGCCAACAACCACTGTTCACTCGGGTCTGAGAGCAGCTCCAGCTTCTCTTCTACCTCTTCTACCTCCGCCTCCGCCCACCGTATCATTATCAGCATCCACGTATCCCTTGACCTGAACAAGAAAGTGTCATCTCCCTGACATGCCTCATTCATTCGCACGGCTCGTGTTCTAGCGCGCCAACACCTCGCTCAGCCCTCTTGGCACATGGTGGCGCGGCTTCAAACAATCCAATACTGTGGAGGAAACTCGTATTTACACCGGCTCGAACGAGTCGAGAGCTTTTCAGCTGGAAACTTTAACACGAACCCGTGGAAACGCATGTGACGGTCAGATATCGAATAAAAGAACTCTACTTCAGAGCGATTGACTTGAATCCCGTTCTCTTCTCTCCCACGCATCACATCACAATTCCTGATACCTTGCGTGCAACTGACTCTCGCATGCTTGACCATCATCCAATCTTCTTGATTCGTTCTCATTGTCCATCCAAAGAGTAGTCACACCTCATTCCACCATGTTAAACGGATCCTGCCTGTGTGGCGACATCACCTACACCTTCTCGGGCGAGCCCATTGCCAAGGTATTCCACCTTTCCCCGTGCATGCACCATGTTTGACCATCCTCTGTTCCTGCCCTCGCCTCGCCATAATGGCTCCGTATCCAGGAAGTTGAATGTTTGATATGTATTAAATCTAACCCCTCCTTCTCCACGCAGGCTTTGTGTCATTGCTTGACCTGCCGCAAATTCACCAGCAGCGCCTATGCGACATGCTTTCTCGTCCCCGACCCTGACGCGCATTCACCGGCTGAGACCTCAGCCCGGAAAACCGACTTCCAGCTCCAGTCCAGGACCAACACGCCTTTGCGGCAAACCTCGACCGTCCACGAAACCGGCATGGGCATTAACTTCTTTGGCTGCGCAAAATGCCCGAGCACGCTGTACAAGAAAGCCCCCGATGGCTTTCCTGGCGTGCTCGTTGTTTTCGCGGGCTGTCTTGACGGCGGCGAAGGCGACCTGAGGGCGAAAGGCGGGGCGGAAGAGCTCGGCGATCCGGAGGCGGAGCTGTGGGTCAAGCATAGGCTGCCGTGGGTGACGGAGTTGAAGGGGGCAAAGCAGTGTCAGGAGTTTGAATGAGTCCATGAGTCTTGCCTGTGCCCATCCGATGAATCGACGTCGTCGTCGTGTCTGGCGGGTACAGAGCTTTTCCGTTTGGCTTTCAACATTGGAAGGAAAAGTTTGCTCTTTGGTGGCTGTGGCTCCCTATCCTTGCTTTCTGATGGTTGGATTGCTCCTTATGTATGACGCTGGTCCTGCATAATGCCGTCTTGATGATCCCCAAGATGGGTTTGTGTATGCGGTCCTTGCCGCACATTATTCTGTATGCCAAAAGGGTTAGTTAGCCTTGCCCACGACTCATCACCGGCATTGCGTCGCTTTTGTAATCAGACTCTTTTAATCCGCATACCCGTCTCCATTCACCTCAATCTTCCCACCTTGGTCCAGCTTCAGCCGCTCCTCCTCCTCTTGTTGCTGCAACTCCTCATCCACCTTGTCCCCAAGATCCAAGTCGCCAAGAAACCTCCGCCCTCGGAGTTGCTCAGGCAGATACTCCTGGCTCACTCTACCATCGACGTAGTCCGGATTATACTTATACTCCTTCCCGTAGCCCAGTTCTTTCATCAACCTTGTTGGCGCGTTCCTCAGGTGCACCGGCACAGGCAGGCCTGCTACTCCGGGCTCCTGTAACGCGCTCATCGCACTCTCCAACCCCCTGTAGGCGCGTGTACTCTTCTTACTCAAACTCAGCGCGACGGCACAATGCGCGAGATTGATGCGCGCCTCCGGCATACCGATCATTTGCACAGCCGTGTACGTCGCCGTGGCAAGCGGTAACAAGCTTGGGTCCGCGAGCCCGACGTCCTCGCTCGCAATCACGACCATCCGCCGCGCGATATACAAAGGGTCTTCCCCCGACACGATCATCCGTGCGAGATAATACAGTGTGGCATCCGGATCGCTTCCGCGCACAGACTTGTGGAACGCACTGATCGTGTCGTAGTGCTGGTCACCCGCGCGGTCGTACACCATTGTCTTGGTCAGACTGCGTTTGAGCGTGTCCAGGGTCATGCCGGGCCGTGTCGAGAGGCCCATGGCCAGTTCGAGCAGATTGAGAGCGGTGCGGGCGTCACCATCCGCGAAGGACGCGAGGTACTTGAGTAGCTTGTCGTTGTTGACCAGGTCCAGCGCCGAGCCTGTTTCGTCCTCTCCGTCTCCTTCTGCGACTATACGCGAGGCTCCGTCGTTGGACGCGCCTTCTCCCGGCATCCGCAGTCCGTAATGGTGACCTTCCTGTCCCACAGCCCGCCTCAGGATCTCCAGAATATCTGCTTCAGACAGCTTCTTCAACACAAAGACCCTACACCGACTCAGCAGCGCCGACTGCACTCGAAAACTCGGGTTCTCCGTCGTCGCACCGACAAGAGTAACCGTGCCACTCTCCACTGGACCCAAAAATACGTCTTGCTGGCTCTTGGAGAACCGATGAATCTCGTCGCAGAAGATGATCGTCTTGCGGCCCGTCAGGCCCAACTCGGACTTTGCTTCGGTAAAGATCTTCTTACATTCGGCGACCCCAGAACTGGTGGAGTTGATCTCGACGAAGCGACTGCCCACCATCGACGCAATCACCCGTGCGATGGTCGTTTTCCCCGTGCCACTCGCGCCCCAGAGAATCATGCTCGGTACGCGATCCGATGTGATCAGGGAGGTCAAGACGCCAGATGGCCCGACAAGGTCCTGGCCGAGGATTGCGGTGAGGGTGCGGGGACGCATGCGTTCTGCTAAGGGTGCGGCCCTGTCATATGCGTTTGTCTTTGACTTCTTCGCTGGTGGTGGTTGCGCGATGTCGGTCGTGGTGGCGGTGGCAGAGGTTGCGCCGTTTTGTTGTTCGCTAGCAATCCCATTTTGAAGCGTCACTTCGTTTCGTGTATGTATGTGATCTTGACTATGGCCGTTCACAGGCTGCGTGGATGAGGCCAAAGTACCATCGAAGGATCGTTTCAGGGGCGTAGGGCGAGGAGGCTCACTGGGAGATGAGTGCACGGGTTGCGAGGAGGAGAAGAAAGGGAGGGACCCATCGCGTTTAGAGACGGGCGTCTTGAAGAACGACGAGACAGGAGTTGAGGCGAAGGTGGAAGGCTGGTCTTGTTCGATGTCTTCAATACAGTTCGAATCGATGTGGTTGTTGATGTTGGACTGTTTCACCGCTTTGCCGCAGATTGGACACGAGACCATTTTGGATGGTCCATCACTTGACAAGAGACGCTGAGAAAATAAACGATCGAGTACTATGGTGGATGCGCTTGTTCTGACTGCGGACTACAAGATGATGCGGAGGTGAATTAATCAAAGACGCGTCGCCTGGTTCAGCCTTGTCGTGACCCCGCGACGAGGCTGAATCTCCCTATCTCTACCCAGGTAGGTACCTACCGAGTCCAATTTTCCAACAAGTCCGCCATCAGGCCTCAGGCCTCATCAGGACTCATTAGGACTTGCGAAGAACTTGGAAACACTGAAAAGGGCATATCGTCCGGCGTGGCAGTGGTAACATCCGTGGTTTTCAACCCCATAATATAAGGTAGGTATCCATCTCTAATACCGAGGAAGGGTGCGGCATTTGCGAGGCTCTAGTTGTTCGTCTGTACACTTCTATGCCATCTTGGGTCGTGATAACACACACTAGCCCCTGGTTCTTCCCGTTTTCATGCCCCTTTTCTCGTGGGTACTGATCTAGCCTTCAGTGACAGCGACGACAGTACCACCAGTTGTCATCGTCTCAATTCATATACTTCTTCAATCCTCTCAACCGCTCCTTCGCCTTCTCCAGGACATCATCATTCTTACACACCGCAAACCTCATCCAATCCTCTGCCAAGTGCGCTCGTTCATCGGTGTAAAACTCACTCGGTGGTATTGCTGCCACGCCCAGCTCCATAATCAAAAACCACGACATCTTAAAGTCCCTGGGCCGGTCCTTGACGTGGTCCGGAAACTCGTACCCTTCAGGTAGCCTTACCTTGCTGAGATTCGCCAGAACAAAGTACCCGCCCTCGGGCACTGAGTACGGAATGCCCAACTCGTCAAAAACCTCACAGAACATGTCCATCTTCCCCTTCATCTCCGTGACCGCCTGGTCCCAGAACCCGACTTTGTCCGCCTGCTCGAATCCAATCGCCGCAGCCTCCTGTAGTGGAGACACGCTCGAATAGCATATCCGCGTATGTGCCGCGGCGACGTACTTGATCAATTCCGGCGGTCCGATCAGATAACCCACGCGCCAGCCGGTGGCGTAGAAATTCTTTCCTGCCGACCCGACCGTTAATGTGATCTTGGCGAGTTCTGGGGACAGCGTGGCGATCCTCGTGAAGGGAACGTAATACAGCCTGTCGTACACCTCGTCCGAGAGGATGATCACCTTGTGTTTCAAGCACAACTCGCCGATTTTTGTCAGCTCGTCACGGCTCAACACCTTGCCCACCGGATTATGAGGGGAGTTCAGCACGATCATTTTGGTCTTGTCGTTGAATGCCCGCTCCAGCTCATCCATGTCAATCCGCCAATTCGCAGCGCTGGACGTCCTCTCGGCGCCGTCTTCGGGTGGGTGCATGGGCACGTACCGGATCGTACCGCCGGGCATCTCGATATTACTCAGGTACTGATCGAAAAAAGGTTCAAAAATGATGACTTCGTCGCCTGGTTCGATGAAGCCCATGAAAGCGCTCAGCATGCCTGTTAACAATAATCAGCCATGACACGCTCTCTTGTCTCTTCCCGGACGGTGGCTTTTTCTGTCTCCGACTCCCATCTTTGCGTCCTGGCCGAACCGCCATCGCGAAATGTCGAAGAAGAGGTCCAACATACCCTCATTAGCCCCCGTCGTAATCGTAACTTCTGTCTCCGGATCCAAGGTTCTTCCGAAGAATGGACTGTATGCCTCTGCAATGGCCTTCTTCAGCCTCGGCCGCCCCTTCGTCGGGGAGTACTGGTTACACTCGACTCTATCCAAAGCGCTTTTCGCCGCGTCGATGATGAATTGTGGAGGATTGTAGCCGCTAGCACGCACAACCGCATCAGCCCATCCCTCGAAAAGTCATGCACTCCTTGTGAGGTTGGGTTATTCGTGCGTACTCACAAAAACCCTTGGCCCATGTTAACAATGGGCTGGACCGGACTTGCGGCCGCAGCCTCGTTAACTATACTCCATACATCCTGCTTTTGACCTGCAACGCGTTTGGCGGGAGCGTATTTGACGGACATTCTGGCAGACGAAGAGAGGCTGCGAGTAGGACTCCGATACTGGGAGTGGTTGTTCGTGACAGACAATCGGTCGCAGAGGGAAGTGAACGTAGGACAGATATCGGCGTTCGTGCGAAGGGTGGGACGGGTCGCAGATCGGATGAGTGCTGCTGTTGATGTTGACAGAGAGATTTTCATGAGGACTCGGTTCTAAACGAAAGATCGCATGTGATACGAGGTACTGGTGAAGAAGAATCCTAGGTGAGACTTGATTGACGAGCAAAAGGCGTGGGGAAATTGTGTATTGCGATTTCGGACGATGCACACGATGATGCCATTTCTTGGATCAGCGAACAGAGCAGCCTCAGCAGCCTCATTCACCTCCTTGAACTTGACCGAGATATCACGGCGCAGGATATCAAGAGTTCAAGTTTACTCGTAGAGATAAGGCACAATTTGTTGTGAATGGATTCTGTTCATTCAATTCGTCGTCACGGTCATGTTTTAAGTACAATCCAACACCATTCCAGGTTCCCATCTCTTGATGCCTACCCAATCGGACCCCAGGCACAATAACCAGCCTTGGACGCCAATGACAATGCCGATCATTCAACACCCATATGCACAGCTCTATCGCATCATGTACTCCAATACAAGATCCAATCGATCCCGAGGAGACATATCGACACTCACGCGCGACCCCGTCTTTTCCTGCTGTAAAACACCAACTTCCTGGAGTTGCAGTTTCCATCCTGTTCCTCCGAGACGGGAATCCATGCCTGCGATATCACCTCCTAAGCATATCGCACGCTGTTCCCTCTATTATTGCCACCGAACCCTCCAGCACCGCCGTAGCCTCCTTGAGGCCATTCATATTGCGGTGGTTGATTTGCCCAGTAACTTTGCGGCATCTGACTGGGCTGCGATATCCAGGCATTGCCATTGCTAGGGCCGTACCCGCGGTTTTGCATCTGTTGCGGCACCGGCGGGCCATCCCAGCCGCGATTTTGCCTCATATTTTGATTCCGCTGTGCAACTGCCGCCATTTGTTTACTCGACCTTGGTCGCCTGCATGCTCGGACGCAGCAGCCCAAAATGGCCAGAAGTAGAAGGCCACCCAGTGCACTGGCGAGGGCAATGACGAGCGTTTTGTTGTGGTCGATCCACGACTTCACTTCCCCGCCAACAGTGCTGCCTTTACATACGCCGTTTTCGCAATTTCCATCGCCTCCGCAAGGTGTCCCATCTAGAAAGTTTTGTTGCATGCTGTAACACACATTCGCTCCGAAGTCGGGACTCGCGCAGCTGATGGAACATGTCTGGCTGTTACAGGCATATGTGTCGTTGTCTGAGGTGTAACTGCCCATCAAGGTCTTACATTGCAGGTCACGGCTGGTACATTGACCACTCGCACATTTCAGGCCGGTCGTGTTTCCACTCGTGCAGCCAGTACCATCTGGAGCAGTCGTATCTGGAGGACATGTTCCATTGGTGCCCGAGCATGTCTCTGCGGGGTCACATACACCGGTGCTTGCACGGCACACCGTGCCTACACCAGCGAACTGACATTGAGATGTGCAGCATCCTTCGTTGCTGGGATCGCAGACTGCACCTGAATTGAACTTGCAGGTGGTGGGGTTGCAGCAGGTATTGCCACTGCAGCCTTCATCACCACCACAGTCGCAGTCTTCTCCTTCCTCGACGATACCGTTGCCGCACTGATTACCGGTGATAGTGACAACACCCTTGTTATCCGTAAGACAGCTCGACTGGACCGAGTTGCGACCCAACGCACTGCAGATGTTGCCAACCGAACAGGGCGAGAAAGTTGTGATACCAGGGCTCGAGTAAGGGTTCATCATGTACTGAGCATTGGCATCGCACGATGATGACGACAGAGGGCAGCATTGCCCAGAGTTGACAGTGTTGGCATCTGCACATGTGCTCGAGTCACAATCGTGAACAGCGCCAAAGGTGTGCCCCGATTCATGAGCAAACACCTGCCACTCAGTAGATGTCTTTGCAATGACATTAGCGCCCGTAACACTTTGAGAAGTGCCACTAGTATCTGTCTGAGAGGTCGAGCCGGTGTTGCAAAGCTGTCCGAGCCATGCGAGACCAACCTCGGCACCCGTATTGCAAGTCGTGAAAAGCGACCAGTAAGCATTGCTATCTCCTCGTTGACCTCGCCATTGCGAAAAGAGGTTCAGCCGTTGAGTCATGTCAGTACTGCCACTGCAGCCCACATTCCAGGGTGTCTGAGCAGCCGCCGTTCCGGGACACTCGGCATCAGATATGGTCAAATTTCTCAGACCCAATGTGATGTTGAAAGTCGCCTGATATAGATCGGACGCTGTGTTGACCTGGGTAATAATATTCTGTCGCACACTGTCCGTCGAATTAAAGCTGGCAGTGTAGGTGCAGTCAGTTGCAACACCAATCAAAGCTACCTTTCGTGTGGTAGGACAGCCGGCTGTGCTACCGATCGAGTCCTTAAGATTAACACCAGCCGAATTACCATTCCCAGCACCACCACCATCAATGTTCTGGCGCTTGCCAAGCAGGTTGGAGATGGACATGGAACCCCAATATCCGTCATCGCGCTTGAGCATCAGATCCCGAAAGAGAGGATGCTCAGGGTTCGTGTTGAAGGGAAGCTTGTCGGAAGCACAGGTGAGGTCGGCACTCCGCTTCAGATCTCGATGTGTTTGTCGGCTGACATCGGTATCCCGCCAAACGGCCATGTACTCGTCTTCGTCCTCTTGGAGCTCTGGGTCCAGCAGATGTTTGGTGGCCATGTAAGTGGACTTCATCTGGATGTGATGATGGTTGCCCATGATTGTGAAAGCGCCTTCGAATAATGGTCGTACGCCATCTCTTCTCACAACGACCCTTGCCCAACCAACGTGGGTAGAGAGGCCGTCCTCATCAACCACAAATGATCTGCCCTGAAAGACCTTGTAGTCCTCCCGCTGCATCTTCTCCACCTGTCTAACATTTCCATCTTTATCAACAAACTCGACGTACGACTCGTCATGGAGGATGTCATGATTCGGTTCTAAACTTAGGCGGACATGTTCGGAGTTTTTGTGAAGGTCAAAGGTAAGGTCGAAACGAGAGGAGGCATGGACTCGTTGTGACGGGGTATGTATCCGAGGGTTTTCAATTAATGTGAGGTAATTTAAAGGATTTCGTGACTTTGAGTGCGCATCAGTGAAAGGTGATAGGAGGAGTAATGATGTCGCTAAGGTAGCGAGCTGGTGAAAGAGGCGCATTGCGCCGGGGTTGTGAATGACTGTCGATGGTCAATTACGACTGCATGTGAGCGATGAAGCGCGTGATTTAGTGAGCGACAATAATGATGGCGTCGGTGAGAAAACTGGCGGGTTGACGGTGAATGTGAGGCCGTAAGGTGCGGTCAGATGGGATGAAAGGCTGAGGTCTCGGAAGGCTGGGGGATTTGGATATGGAACCTGAGACGGTTTGAGGATAAAGGAGTAAAAGAGGGAAGTTGTTGGCCGACTACATAGAATATTGAGAGACGAACAAACGATGGAGGGTCGGGCGAACAATGAGAGACAAGAATATGTCTACGAATGCCCAGGCGGATGAGTCGGGCTATTGTTGCAGACGTAGATGGTGAGGGTTGCAAAGGTGAGTGGAGGTAGAGACCGGACCAGGACGAGGAGGAGCAGTAGCCGTGTCCTTGCAGTGGCTTGCAGTCTGACCGAAACAGGCGGTGCAGTCTGTTCACAGGCACCGACGGCGCCTCCATCATTTGTCTCCATGACCACCGAGCCACCCACATCTAGGGCTAGTAGACTACCTGAACTAGGCTATTGAGGCTGAGCAACCCCCCAAAGGCTTGGCTCTTGACGAATCTGCGGTCCGGCCAAGAGACGCTAGGTAAGTACCATGATGGCACCATGATGGCACCATCGGTTCATCAATGCTAACCCGGATTTATGCAGCCTTTGGGATCATACAGTATATCATCAGGCCAGCCTTACTACAGTCACACATGATTACAATAATCATGGCTGATGTGAATCAAAATAGTATCCATATGGACCTACACAAACCCGAGTCTCTCTGCATACTACCTCCAACGTACCTCTCAGCCTTGCCAGCCGTTCCCGCAACTGTCACACTATCAATCAGTCTCCATAATTGATAGGTTTATACTCCATGATGCTCCGTATGCTGAGCATAAAGACTTGGTTTCAGGCTCTTCGAACCATTTTGACACACGGACCAGAGCACTTCCGCAAGCTAACCGCTAATCGTCGCCCATCATACTCCGTACAAAAGGAACCGATATCAGTATGGTCCATTACTACATTCATGATGCTATGATTTCTGCTATCTGTCCCTTCTGCGCCGTCATCGTCCACTTTATTAAGCCGCCTCGGTCTCGACGCCTGGTTCTCTTCCACCCAATCCACCCATACCAAGCCTCTTCTTGAGCTTGCTCATCCCGATCTTGGCCTCATCCGTTGCAAACCTGACGTTCCTCGCCGGTGTCCACTGCGCCAAGCCCCGATGCTTACGCTCTTCCGCTCGCTTTCCGGCTTTCTTTTCCCACTTGGAGTCTCTCCTTGCCACGGGCTGCACCGAGTTCGTCGATCCCTCGGTCATGGTGGTATAGTTGGTATCGGTCGTGGCCATGGTGTCACCACTGGGACGCGGCTGTCGATCTCCGTCGACATGACCATCCTGCACATTCTCACGTGCATTCTTTTGAAATCCACCCTCTGGAGCATTGCTGGCATCCGTTATGCCCAGATCAGAGGATGAACTCGAATCATAATCCACGTTATCGTTGTCCTCATCGTCTGACGGAGCATAAGGGTCGTGTGGTGGCTCATCTTTGCCAGGCTCGGCAATCTTCTCGTGGTTCTTGTTGGTATAAGCTCTGGGATCGTGACTGAAAGCACCTGACCAGTCCTCTCCGCTCTTGCTGAGCCACTTGCGCTTTTCCCTCTCGGAAATCTCTTGCTTGAGCACATCGCGACCTTCAGTCAATGAAGCCTCGTGCATCTGCTGAATGTTTTCAGGCACCTCGGCCTCGACCACGCGCTGTCGAACACCTTCAGTCAAGCAGCATTCAAAGGTTTCAAACGTCTCGCGGGAGTCGTTGTCGACAATGAAGTCCCGGTGAGATTCGTCCATACCCGCCTTGAAGCGCCCTCGGAATTGGAGTCTACCGACCTCCTCCAAGTCCTCGAGTCCACAGTCTTTGAAAGCATTCGCATTTTCCTCGGTAATGTAGTTCTGCACCAGTCGGTTCCCATTCTTGGTCTGCCAGATCGGAATATCAATGGGCACCTCCTCATTGTCCACCACGTTCTGTAGCCAGATACTTGAATATGCCGCGGCACCGCGCTTACCAGTAACGTGGAATTCAAAGATGACGGGTGACCGATAACGATATTTGACAGGCAGTCGGACATGGTGATTATTTTCGGGAGACACATCGAAATACACACCTTCGCCACTCTCAGTCTTATGGCATCGATCTCTTGGGATCTTGCCTATACTACCGCCAGTGCGCAGCTTGAGCTTCGTGTTGTGGTTCCAGCCCTTGGCGACAATTTGGCTGGAGAGGACCTCGAATGTGCCGACGTCCCATCCTAGCATGTTTGGAGGCAGCCGAGTCTCTACACTTCGGAACAGCAGAGAGATCCTAATCCGTCCGAAACCAATGCCACCGTCGAGTGGGTACCATCTTGTCACTTGAGAGCTGGTGGTCAGAATGTCAGACAAGCGAAGAGGGACAACACCCAAAATTGGGTCATGTTCACGATTTCGTTGGTCACGGACAGTGACGGTGACAATGCCAGATCTCCAGTCACGCATGAATCGCTCCGTGCCGGCGTTGAAGATGGGCTTGCTGCTGACTGCCTTGGCTCGAGTGCGGTAGACTAGAGCATCATTGATCAAAATCGTGCAGTACGAGGTGGGTAATTCTGTTCTTGTCAGCTTGACGTTGCTCGACTTCGGGGATGTACTCACTGCTTGATTCTTCATCAGTACCCTCTCCATACGGCTTGGCAGGTTCAAATTCTCGGCCCTTTCTGTTTCCTTCGCTACCCTTGATGTTCTCCAGTTCCAAGTTGACAATCTGGTGGACGATGACGCTCAGAACACCGCTTGGCCACAGTGGATCCGGGGGAGTATGTGCAACGGCATCGGCATCCTCGGTATCCAGGTTGCCCTTCTCATCTTGGAATTTGTCATCATGCTTGAGCTGATCAGGCAGGTTCTTGTCCTTGCCATCAGTTCGCAGAGCCGGTCGGAATTTGGGCTTGCCGAAGTAGCCAACTTCCCAGTGCAGCTCACCAGGCATCTCGGATCCGTCTTGGACACCAGCGAGTTTCGAGATCTGCGGGTACATCTTGCCGGGATGTTGAATCATTTTCTGCATGGACAGTTCGACTTTGCCGACCATGTCATCTGCGGAGTTACGGTCTGAATCCCACAGCTCAACACTGAGTTGTTCATCAGCTTTGACTAGGTCGGGTGTCACGAGCAGTGCTGTCGTCTCCTCCCATATTGGATTAAGGTCATCAGTGATGACACGAGTGCAGTACATCGGCTTGCCGTATTTGGAGAACGACAAATTGATATAGGGGTCGCTTCCGCCGTGCTTGCTGCCACGACGGTCTTGCTTGCTGAGTCCAATGGCACGATGAATTCGAATCCACATGACGCCAATAGCTTGGACGTCTTTGGTGATGTCATCTCCTTGCAAGATAGACTTGAGATCAATCTGCATCGACTTTGGGGCGACGTACATGCTGGCAGCCGCACCAATTGCATAGTTCACGAAGTTGGAAATCAGAGGCAAGTTGAGGATGTTAACCCCACGCTTCACCATCGGGATGCACCCTGCCTGAACATGGGGTACACCCATTAGCGTGAAAGTGAGGCTCTTCGCAAAAGGCGGCTCCGGTGTCATCTGTAGTCGGAGTCGAACAGTTCCGACAAGCTCCTGGAGTTCAACAAAGATTGGCAATGGCACGCCAACCAGCCCCTTGACGCCAAGATAGAAGACGAGGTTCATGTGCATGTTTCTTGCACGTGCAGATGTACTCTGGCCAGAGGGTTTGGCATGGTAAGCGAACGCGATTTCGAGGTTGTAGTAATCGCCACCTTCCTCGTCAGCCGCTGCTTCTTGGGGATCTTTTGTCTTCTTGTTCTCTTCGTGGATGCTCTTCTTGAGATCTCCCACTCTAGAGTCTGGGAGCGCGCGCAAGCTGAGGATTCGAATTGGATTATTGCCCTGGTCGATCTCTGCGACCCGGACATTGTTGATGACACCTGGCACCGATGCTTGCATGACATCTTCGAGGGTGTCAGCCACGGCGGCAAACATGTCGGGGTTGATCAGACCCCACACGACAGCGAGGAATGTGTTCATCCATTCGACCGATTCAGGTAGGAGGTTTGCAGTGGCCTGCGAAAATTAGCAGCTGGTAGATGTCAAAAGGTCGACGATGGTCGTACCGTTTCACCTCGACTTTGTTCACTAGACCATTCGACTTCGCGACCACTTCTGACAACCTCTTTCATCCACAGCCAGACGCCGGAGGCAAGAGACATGCCCAATGGTATCAAACCTTTGAGAGAGCCACCGAACATCTTGCCCAGGATGACAACGGAGAGTAGAATGGCAAGGCAAAGACCGCCAGCACGCTTCTCCAGAGCTTCGAACATTGGCTCATAGCTGACCGAAGGTGTAGGGTGGAATAGAATATTGGTCTTCTCCCCATGGATGGGCACGTCTGAAGTGCTACCCTCGGCAATTGGGTCTGGCGGTGCCGTAATGTCCTGCTTCTCTTTATACTCGGGATGCTTCTGGGATGCATCTGTTGCGACTGTTGTCGGTTTACCTAGATTCGCGTTGGGCACTGATAGCTGCGCCGAATTAGCAATTGAAAGCAGGACCTGGATGCCATCCGTACCTGAGGGTTATCTGCTCTTTTCATGTACTCTTTGCCGACATCTGCGATTACGATATCTTTTCCCGTGACTGGGTCTGTAACTGTTTTCCCCTCCTTCTTTGGCGCCTCGCTTTGATGAGGAGTGACTTCACTAGAGTACTGTGCATTTCGTTGTCCGGCGGTCTTTGAGTCAATCTCTTGGTCTCTTTTCGACTTGTCTCGGTCGAGGTTCGCAATGAATTGGTTGACGGTTGGGATTTTGTTTGTACCACTCCACGGCTTGCCCGACCTCTGCTGTTCGGCAGCCATATTGTGCTGGAATTGGCACCGGTACAGTCAAGCAAGGGGTTCAAAGGACAATTGAAAGTGTGATACCAATGATCATCTGCTTGAGAATGAACTCCAGGTGATGGATGGAGGACTGAAAGGAGTGAGAAGGGGAAGGAGAATGTGAAAAGAGCTTTGAAAGACAGACCAGGATTGTGAAATTGTCCGCAATGAATGGAAAAGGCTGCGTGTTCCTATGATGCAGGGTTGATCAGTTATACGTCAGTGACGTCAATGTACATTTTCAGCTGGAAAGGACACCAAGTGCGTCAAAGGGGGTGCCCAGTGGGTGCCCGGACGTGTAAACCAAGCCCCAAGAAGCCCCGCTACAGGCCTCTAAGGATGGCTAAACCACGCGTGGAATCTCGCTAGCCCGGCCATCGACAGCCGAAATCTTGAAATCAGTCGGCTTAGAGCTTTTAGACAAGCCCCTAAACCAGCCACGACATGCATGTGTTCTCCGCCAAAGCTTTAGCCACTGACATCGGTCGATTTGCCCTAAATGATCGTCGTCTAAGTGGTCCTCGTCTCGAGAACAGACGAGTAGACTCCCCGTTCGCAGCTTGCATACGTGATACTCCCGAACACCATAATCACGATTAATTGCCCATCCACATTAGCATATCATGAACTCGACGAGTCCGACCACACTCTGCTCCCACCCATCCATGTCTCTTGAACAAAACCCTCCTCATTCAAAACCACAAAGTCCGCCCTCCGCCCGGGTTCCAGCTTCCCTCTTTTACTCTCCGACATCATGTTGGCTATATTCTCCGTGACGCATTGCACGGCTTCAGCAAGATTGCACCCGCTGAAAGCCACCGCATTCCGAACACATTCATCAAGGGTACAGCAGCTGCCAATCAGCGTATCTGTGCCCTCCATGGTCACTTTGTTGCCCTGCCTGTACTGATTCCCAGATATCTGCCCATGTCCGGGATGCACGCCATCAGGCAGACCCGCTAGCTCAATACTGTCCGTGATAAAGACGCATTTCTGAGGCTCCGCTCGCATGCACAGTGTCAACACCGACGGATGCAGATGGATCCCGTCAGGAATGACCGAGAAGTAGCATTTGCCCGTCGTCATCAGCCCTGCGAGTCCCGGATTCCGGTGATGCAAAGGGCTCATGGCGTTGAAGACGTGAGTCAGCGCTCGAGCGCCCATCTGTACTGCGGCTAGGCCTTCTTCGTAGGTCCCTGCTGAATGTCCCAAGGAGATCACTATGTGCGGATAGTCTTCCTGTAGTTGGCCGATCAAGGCGGTGGCTCCTGGTAGTTCAGGAGCCAAGGTTATCAATTTGATGGTGTCGTGGAGATTACTGTCTTCGTATAATTTCGAAGGAGAAATCTCAGTAGGTATTTGCAAATAGCAAGCATTGTGTGCTCCTTTCTTGGACTTGTTGAGGAAAGGTCCTTCCACGTGGGCACCGAGCAAATCCGCTCCTGAGGCAAATGATCGTGGTCTCAGAACTGGGACTATCTTCACAGGTAGGGTCAGTTGCTGCACAACTGGCTGTTCCAGCTACTATGTTCCAGAGAGGGTAGAACAGAAGGAAAGGAGACAGATCTACCTGTTTCCATCTTTCCGCCGAAACCGTAGGTACCGTGGCCCACCAGCCAGTTACACCGAGAGAGCTCTCCATCTTGCCGACTGTCTCTAGCTTGCGCTCGTCTTCCTGCGGGTCACCGACCGCAGCCAGTTGCGTGAAATGAATACCTTGCATGCCATTGGTTTGTAGGTCCAGGTAGCCGGGAGCAACAATTCTGCCGTTTAGATCTATTCTCTCGACGCCGTCCTTCCGGTAGTAGTAGTTCGCTGTAATGATGCCTCTTTCGGAACTGAAGTAGAGGTCCTGGGCAACCAGTTCGCCGGAGATACAAAGAAGGCAGTTCGTGAAGCACTTCAAAGGCTCTTCCATAGCGAACACGGTTCAAAAGAGGTGGGCTTTAGATAATGGGAGACGGGTGACTTACAAAATGGCAAAGGTAGGATTTGTGCAGGGCGGAGATATTTATGCGGGAGAATAAGGCGGGGCATATTATAATCGACAACAGCAGTTTCTTGCACCCAGTTAAGCCATGTAGATGTACTTGTAGGATGCATCGTCAATGCAGGTCAATGCAATGTGACAGCACAACGAGCCGGTCCAATATGCAGGGAGCAGCAATGTGATATCATTGATCCCACAGAGGGTAGTAGAATTCTAGGTTGCCGCAGCCCGGTCGCTGGCCTCGATCTTCTCGGACCGTGGCGTCTTAGTCTCGAGAATCTCAACCCGAGGCTCTGTCTGTGACTGTATACTTTTGCTGTCGTCCTAAACATCCAGTCAGTCCTCCTCTACAGCCTTTGCAGGCCCCAGCATCCATTTTCCCATCGTCTCCTCTTCCGCTTACTTCTGCGCGCTGAAGTGCTTCTTGATCCCTTATTCCTGCCACGATCTAATCCGTCCGAGGTCGAGTCCGATACGGACAAGGTCTTTCTTTTCCTTCTTCCCCGCGTCGCAACTTCGTCCACATGGATTGTCATATCAACCTTGTCCTCCTCCCCTTCATCCGTCGAGCCGCTGCTCGATTCTTCGGCTTCAGAGGAGTTTGTCTCGTCTGAGGAAGAATTTATGTCCGAGTGGCGTATAGAATACTTGTGCGTGGTGATCTCTTCCTCCAATACTGCTCGAAACGTCACCTTCTTAGACGCGGGGAAGAACACCCGCCTACCAGGTATATCGGGGCTGGCACTGCTTGAGCAGACTGAGCGTCGACGTCCATATTGTAGCAGTGGAGAATTCTTGAGGATCGAATGTACACCGAATGGCAGGCACAAAGCGTATGGCATTTCAGGCGATCTATTTGTGGGCGAGCGTGATCGGCCAGGTGCCTTTGTCTGAGATCGTCTCGTTGGCGACGGGGCTGAAACGACTGGTGATGGTCTAAATGTCAGGTCGAAGGCATTGTTGAAGGTGTTCAACGTAGTGGGAGTCGCAGTATTGAGGTTGGTAGTAACTTGACCGCCGCTAAATCCATGGAAAGTAGGCGTCAAATTCGATGTCTGTAGTGACAACTTTGGCTTCTGTTGCTGTTTTCCTGGCGACATAGGCCCTGAAGCAGGCGCATTTTCGGGACAGAACACAGATGGAGGTGCCGAATTGACGTGAGATAGAAGGTGAGATATGGTTGCGGGCATTGATATCGTCAGCATAGTGGTTGTATTTTGGAAGCGGATCTGACGGCGCTGAATGGTCGCTCATCAAACGGCAGAGAATCAGCCTTCTTCCCAAAAGGCCATGCTCTTCCAAAAGCTCGTGACCAGGCGGAGCGGCTGACAGAACTCGCTCGCAAGGTAACTGTCTAGCAGCAAGGTGTAAGCACGAGGAACAGAGGTCTTTTATTTGACCTGGGCCCACCAGCGCCAGGCTCGAAGTAGTCCACTCAGGATCAACGAGTGCCCCAGATATCCGGTTGCCTCAGACTAAGCGTACCCAAGGCAAAACAGCAGCATAGGCAGCATTGTAAGTTGGATGGCGAGGGCATGAACCAGCTGATCTGGCTGGGGGCGCATATGAGACGTCATCCGGGCAAATGCCACGAAAAGTCGTCCTCATGCCGCCACACACGCTTGTGATGGCCATGGCCAAATTGGCATTGCCAACACCCGTCAGGTCCATTTTGGGCAACCGACGGACTTACCGTTTGCAAATGAATTCACGTTACCCAGCTGAGATCTGTACTTAGAAGACGGAAACTCAACAAATGGGGTAGGGACCGAACTAGTCGAAGGGAGGAAGCGACGAATTCAGGACCAAGCGGTCCGCAAGCACTAACCATTCTGGCGAAATGTGAGGTGTGCTTGCATGTCGTAACCGCCGAGGTCTATTTTCAGCATAGACTTTCCGGCTGCACGGCAATAGTTGAACGAAAATGGCGGCTATTGTGCAAGAACAGACGGGGGTCGTGAAAAGGGCGAAGAACGAGTGGCTGAGAGGATTGCAAGAGGTAGAATAGGCGAAGGATGAAAATAGGACAGCGAGTCAGCGACAGCCCCTGGCCCCTGCTTATCGACTGGTCGAGCCGACGAGGGCCTTATCAGTAGGCCAGCTTGCCAGCTCGCCAGCTCTCGGTGTAGGAAAAACTTGGGACCGAACGACGAATCATAGGAGACAGACAAGAAAGCCTCATTCGGAGTCGCCTTGAGGATTTCATAGCCACAGCCCAAGGGGCTGTGATTCTAGTTGCTCAACTGGTGGTATCTCTGATGGGCAGTCAATGCGAAGGATGGGATGACGTTGTGGCAGAGACTGCATCTTACCACTTCTTGAGTCTCGCTGTCCTCAGAATCCCATCCTTCAGCTACCTGAGTTTCGAAGTCGGCCTCATGCGGTTCAGCAACCCGAGAGCCAAGGTCGTTGGCGTCTTCAGAGTTGTCGGTGACTCTGAAGTCTCTGAGCACTTCATCCTGTCGACGAAACATTTTCCCGATATCTCGACCTTTGCTATCCTTCGTCTCCGCTGCCGTCTCTGCCATGTTGGTAGCTGCAACATTGATCAAGCTGAGGTTCCATCCTGCTTTTTCGTGGTGAAGCTTGCGAAACATTGGCACTAGCGCTTCTTCTACCAACCTCTCGGTGAGGGCCGAAGTCGTCTCGCTCAGACTAAAGACAAAAGTAGGCATGGGTGCTGACCGCGAGATGCGATGGAACGTCCTTGCTCGAACCCCATCAGGCCCAGGGGGTGGTCGAGGTCTTGTCGACAATCGTAATGTTCGTGGATGAGCCATCCACCGGCGAGAACGTGCCAAACCGTCATCACCAGCTTCTTCGTCATCCTCGAGAAGGTCCATGCGCATCCGGAGAAGCAATCTCTCTGCCAGCAGATGTAATTGCTTCTTGACCTGTTCAAATGTGTGGAGATACTTCATGTACGAGTCCTCTTGACTGATCTGCGACGGGATACGCTTGGCCTTCCCAACTTCGCTGTCGTCAATGCCGTGAATCAGTTCCCATACCTTCCAACCGATGCCCTTGAACGAGCCAGGGCCACCCAGGATATCTTCAAGCAGTTCCGGACCCATGCCCGGGTGGGAGCGAACGTCACGCACACTCACTGACTCCTTGGTCCCTCCGTAGAGGAGACCTTGAGAAAAGTGCCCGTCCCGGCCCAGAATTTGTGCTCTGATCTTCTGCGCCAGCTTGAAGCCAATCCCAGGTATTTTTCCAATATCATGACCATCGACAAACTGGGTCACACTGCTTGCAGTGGCTCCGACAGGTTCGAAAGGCGGCATAATTGTAGTTTGATTCTTCGGCTTATTGGCGTTGCCCACCAGCTTTGACAGCGTTTTATTCGTAGCAATCCCTACAGTCGAGGTGTATCCTTTCTGTGATTCCAGCTCATGGCGAAGATACCTCGCTAGATGTGAGCCTAGTGTAAGTCGTAACCGCAAGCGTTTTTCGTTCTCAGACAGACGTGCCGAATTCGGCGGTTCGCAGGGGTACGTCGGACCGAAGACGTGAGAAGCATCGTAGTCGAAGCCGGCAGTGGGATCCGCCCGGTCCAGGCAGAAGTAAGAATGGGAGAGGTCGTTGTGGTTCAAGAGGCTCAGGTTGTAGTCGACCATGTCCGTGCAATCTAGCCTGCAGCATCTGTCAGGAGTGAGTCGTCGTAAAAGGCAGCCACGTCACCTACCAGACCTCATCAAATCCCAGCCTCTCTGCCCTTCCACTCCATACACTTGACTGGAGGAAGCCGTAAAGGTCCTTTGACGCATCTCGAAATCGTGTCAAATCCTCACCGAGCACGATCACCGCTTCTGGGCAGACCTTCTTGGCTTCAGTAATCAACTGCAACTTGCGCAGACCGCGGCGTCGAGCCTCATAATTGCATGTCACCACGATCTGTTTCTGTTGGATAGCCAAGGGCACCGACTTCAGCGCAGGATTTTCATTTTCGACAACTGAAGCATAGAAGCAGTCATAGTCAAAATGGATGATTATCCGGCTGTCATGTCGCTGAAGCTTTCTGGCCATTTGCATGGTCTCTCGACGACGATGACGACGATGACGACGACAACATCATCATCGTTGTTGACGGGCATGCATTATGGGCGCATCTCACCAGTCGTCGCCGCAAACTTGGGAGGTGCGGCTGTTCTGATATCGAATGGAGATGGATGTGATCACAGATCTCCGAAAGGCGGAGAGGAATTTATCAACGGCGGCCACCGGCCGATCGCGTCGCGAAGCACGCGCCTCGGCCTAAATACCAGCAGGGTAAACATTGACATTTTCCACCGTCAATCCATATCTCTCACGATAAAAAGAACCTTCATGAAGTCGCGAAGTCCTTGGAGCTGACATATGCGCTTGCCCGCCGCTTTCAATATCTTCAATGTCTCAGGCGAATCCTTCATTCCCCGGCCGAAACGTTTATGCTTCGTCGAGTAAACTGCCCGATCGCACAGGATCTAAGCCTCCAGGACCCGCTGCTCCTCCACAGACATACACTCAATCAACCTTCGGGAGGCGCCCTGAACAGTCATATCCGTTCGGGCAGTCGACAGCGACTCACGCGCAGCATGGCGGGCAAGGCGTACGACAGAGTATGGAAAAAGAACCGAATGCGCTGAGCGAACTCAGCGAGGAACAAAGGGATGAGATCAATGAAGCAGTAGGCGTGGACCAGTTACTATTCTCAATTCGCGTCACTGACCTGGTGTTCTCTAGTTTTCTTTATTCGACCTTGACCGCGATCGACATTTAGACTACCAAGAGATGCGAATAGCTCTGCGCTCGTTGGGGTTCACCATCCCGAGACCCGAAGTTTCTCAAATAATGCACGCGCATGGCGTTCCGAAGCCGCAATTTAAGAGAGGGCCACCGGGGAAAGGACAAACAGCGTACCATTCAAGTCAGCTACTACTTCCTCAGAACGCGTTCCAGCGCGTCGCTGCGCAAAAGGTGTTCGAACGAGATCCCTCGGACGAGGTCGAACGCGCGCTGCTTCTGTTTGATCCAGACCAAAGGGGCTACATCGAAGTGGAAGACATACGGAGGGTGGCTCGAGAGCTTGGAGAGACCGGACTCGAGGACGAAGAACTACACGCCATGGTAGAGGAGTTTGACTACGACGGCACGGGCAGCGTTGCAAAGGAAGCGTTTTATACCATTTGTCTGCAGTGACGATTGCGATTGTTCGACTCCAGCGATAACGAAGCGATGATTTACCACGATCTGGACAACTGGCTCGGATTTCTGGTCTACTCATACCACTGGGAGCATTTGGTACTCCCTAATCTGTACGAATCTAGCTGTGTTGGATTCACAAAGGATGAAAGACCATCTTGCACTGTCTCACCATGGTAGCTGAACAGGACCTTCCTTTGCAGTCTCTTCGCCCATCACGACGTCCCAGTTCCCAATGTCGCTGGTCCCCCTTGGTGCCCAGTAGGAGCCGGTTATCTCTAGAGAGAAATCTTTCTCGATCCACTCGGCCAAAATACGGGCAGCATCTTTGGGGTCCAAGGCGCCACCGGCATCCCAGAATTTGTCGAAACCAACACCTTTGGTCATTTCAGTCCTCATGAAACTACGGATGTCAGCTTGGTCAAGAAGCAAATGTGACTCCTGATCTTGTGGCAAGATCTTACCTGGGATGGACGGATACTACAGCTATGCCTCGAGTTTTCAGATCGAAAGACAACTGCTTGGCGATCATATTCAAAGCCGCTTTTGAGCCATGGTGACCGAAATTACCTCCGCCCTCTTGTTCGTGTCTCAGGGTGATGGAGCCCGATTCCGAAGAGACCAGAACCACTTTGCCTCCTTTTGTCAATATGGAGGATTTTACCAGTTCTTGCACCACAAACACTGGCGCGACAGAAGAGAGGGTGTACATCTTTACTTCCTTTTCCCAATCTGCGTGGCCAAAGTCTTCTGTCGCAAAATATCCGGCAGTTATTATGCAAGTATTGATGATCTTGCCTTTGAGTGAAGAAGCCAGATCCAGGCCACAGCTGGGCTTCGACAGGTCGATGTTTGGGATCCAGGTGACATTATCACCGCCGAAGCCTGGAGGGGGATTGGACGACCTAGAGGTGGCATATACATTGTGGGAAAGGTTGTCGGCGTAATATAATGCCAGCTCCTTTCCCAGGCCACGTGTTGCACCTACGATCAATGTCGACGACATGGTGGATGGAGGAGTGCAGAACGTACTTTTTCAGAGCCACTGGGATGACAGACTCACCAGCTGAAATGTCAATTGCAATGGATGGCAGCATTGTTGAACGTCCTTATCTACGAGAATTGAATAATTGCGTGCTCCGATCGCGTAAACTGTGTGGTTCCTCTCAAGTGATATGTCCATGGACAATTACGTCAGACCCGCGCCGCGCTGATATGTGGAGATGGTCTCAGGTGCCTGAGGTGTCTGAGGACATGTTGTGAGGAACCAAACTGCAGCCAGTTTGTACAGTAACAAAAGATTTCGTAAAACACTAGACACTATCCTGGTTTGACCTGATCGATGAATGCGTGACACATTTCTTCCACGTCAACAATAATATCTTCGCGCTTCTGGACTGTCACACCAAGCCTCAATTGCTCCGATCCAGACCTTCCTTCCTCTAGACTATTGTCCTCAAGCCGAGAACAAACCTCTAGCAACGCTCCCTACGTCGCTCACGGACAGTTCCTTCCTAAGTGCAATACAGCGGACACAAGATGGCGGAAGCAGAGGAGACACCAGCACAAAGACAAGCCAGAATCCGGCGGCAAAAGCGAGAAGCGAAGATCACTGGTGCAGCAGCGGAAAGACTTGACAAAATCACTAGACTGAGCGGAAGGACTCCAGAGAGCAGTAAGCACATTCTGCAGACATCTCGCAAAATCAGCGAGAGTCTACCGACATTGTGCGCAAGCAACGACTGACCCGTAAATCTACAGTGCGAAATGACTCTCCTCTTGCTACGCCGCCTCGGTCATCAACACCGTCACAAGTTTCTGCTCCTGCATACTCGGCACAGAACGCCTCTGCAAACGCCACACCAGAACAAGTGAGGGCACAGGAAGAATTTCTCAAGGCAATGCTAAGACAACCCATGGAACAAGATGGGCAGACCCCACGACAAGAACCAGAGGACCCAATGTTCAAGATGCTACAGGCCATGATGGGAGGCATGGATGGCGCGTACGACCCAAACGTGCCTGGAGGGGGCGGAATGGGCAGCGGCTCCGGCATATCTCCCGATGACATATCAAAGATGACAGGAGTTCCATCCTTCCTGACCAACATGCTCATGGGAGGACAAAAGGCACCACCGACTCAAGCGGAAGCGCAAGCGACGAGGCTGTGGAAGGTGTTGCATGTCATTTTCGCGGTGATGGCTGGTCTTTATCTGGTCTTTTGCATCAAGAAAGCGACCGAGGCGTTTGGCGAGAATCCTCCGGCGCCAGCAACCTTCCAGAATCCCTTCATTGTGTTTGCGACAGGTGAACTACTCGTCCAAGGGAGCAGGGTACTTAGTAGCGGCCACTCGGGCAAAAGCGGAATCAGTCTGTGGATACAGATGCTCAGGGAAATTATCGGAGATGGAGCGATTGTGGTGTTCATGTTGGGTATAGCGTGCTGGTGGAAAGGAAGTATATAACACAGAGATATGATTCCGGAGATGTACCCGTAACAATCATGCACTGTGGCAGACAAAGCCGGCACATTCCTAGTAGGAAGCCGGTAAGATTTCGATGAAGCCTTGCCTGTGACAAATACGAGGAGAGAACATCTGAGTGGGAAGTCAATCAGACCACGGTGGTCCCCGGATCCTGCACATGGCTTGGAGGGATTTGCGGGCTTCTAGACCCTGGTGATGGGATCCAATCGCGGACCACTGGCAAGGAGCACCAGTTTGGGGGACGGATGGCAAGGCCAAGGAAGTTGGTTCTGGGTTCGCACTCGTGCTGTAGAGATATTCTTGGGTTGGGTGCAGGGATTTGACGGTGGACACCCGGAGGCTGAAATATGGTCGCCTCAGGCTCGGAGGCTTGATGCAAGCGGAGTGCTTGCCGTCGCCCGAAAAGAAATCCTTGCAGGGCCGCCAGGACGATCTCTCGAGGGGATCACCTACTACGTACCCACGTACTCGTACCTGACTGTAGTGCTGTAAAGGAAAAATGTATTGTGTAGCGACTTCAATTCGACCTGGTGAAGGACCGACATCTCAAGGTCTGAGGAGCATTGCCGTTGCTACTCGTGGGAGGCTGGCTTGGCAGACCAAGCCACCTACAAGCCAGCAACTTTGGTCACGATCATGCGCCTGCAATAAGGCAGTGTGAGCAGTCGACGATGGCGCAGGCCAAGGAGCAGTTCACGGATGAAAGGACGGATTGGAGGGTTGGAGGGGCACTGAAGGGCAAGTGGACGAGTTGAAATGCATCAATTTGCAGAGCTCCAGCTTTCCCCGCAGCGTGAATTGCAGCGCCCACCCGGCTCGAATCTTGGTCTGACGAAAGCTCGATGCAAATCCCACATACAAGCCGTTACCGCACTGGCGGTCTCACAAGTCACTCGACCTTTTCGCAGACAAGCACGTCCATCCTTTTCCACTCTCGCTTGACGCTCTTCTCGCACCTCGTCATCCATCGGCACGCACACCTGCCTATATTAGACCTTCTGCCATCCTCCCCGGATCCTGGTCCGCTTTTTCTGCTACATCCTGGCCGGCCACCCGTAGTATAAACAGAAGCACATCTCTCACCCCTCTACGTCCTCTCCCTTTCTGAGCCTTTATTCTGTCCCTATACTGTCCCTGGCCACTTCTGCTGCATTAGCCACCATGTCTGAAGGCGATACACAACCTCCAAAGCCCGTTGTGGTAAGCATAGCTCTCCGCTACCCCTCCATGCACTGTCGCTGACCATGCCCAGGCCGAAGCCCACCAAGTCGACACCTTCCAGTATGTCTCCAAGCTGCCGAACTCGCTCAAGAAGTAGAGTTATTGACCTACTCGCAGTGTCCCCAAACCCTTCTTCCAGAAAGGCCCTGGAAAGGCCCACATCAAGGATCTCGATGAATACTGGGCCATGTACAAGGAGTCGATTGAACAGCCGGATAAGTTCTGGGGAAAGATGGCTCGAGAGCTTCTGTCGTGGCAGCAAGACTTCCAGACAGTGCGCTCCGGTACCCTGACAAACGGTGACAGTGCTTGGTTTCTGGAGGGTCGATTGAACGCTTGCTACAACTGCGTCGACCGTCACGCCATCAAGAACCCAGACAAGCCGGCCATCATCTACGAGGCGGATGAGCCGGGCGAGGGCCGTGTCCTTACTTACGGCGAGCTGCTGCGCGAGGTCTCCCGGGTTGCTTACACTCTCAAACAAATGGGCGTGAAAAAGGGGGACACTGTGGCCATCTACCTGCCCATGATTCCAGAAGCCTTAATCTCTTTCCTGGCCATCACCCGTATTGGCGCCGTTCATTCCGTCGTCTTCGCCGGGTTCTCTTCTGGCTCATTGGCCGACCGTATCATCGACGCGGAAAGCAAGGTCGTCATTACCACAGACGAGGGGAAACGTGGTGGTAAGCTGATCGGCACGAAGAAGATTGTCGATGAGGCGCTCAAGAAATGCCCCGACGTCACTCGTGTCTTGGTTTACAAGAGGACTGGCGCAGACGTGCCCTGGACCAAAGGCCGAGACTTCTGGTGGCACGAGGAGGTTGAGAAGTACCCGAACTACATTGCACCAGAGTCGATGAACTCGGAAGATCCACTGTTCTTACTCTACACCTCTGGTTCGACAGGTAAACCCAAAGGTGTCATGCACTCAACAGCGGGATACCTCCTAGGAGCAGCAGCAACCGGGAAATACGTATTTGACATCCACGATGACGACGTCTTCTTCTGCGGTGGTGATGTGGGTTGGATCACAGGACACACATACGTTGTGTATGCTCCGCTACTACTCGGTGTCGCAACCGTCGTCTTCGAGGGTACCCCTGCCTACCCGAACTTCTCCCGCTACTGGGACGTCATCGACAAGCACAACGTCACCCAATTCTATGTCGCGCCAACTGCGCTGCGTCTATTGAAGAGGGCTGGTGACGAGCACATTCACCACAAAATGCATAAATTGCGAGTCTTGGGCTCGGTCGGTGAGCCCATTGCCGCCGAAGTCTGGAAGTGGTATTTCGAATCCGTCGGTAAAGAGGAGGCACACATTGTTGATACATACTGGCAAACTGAGACTGGCTCACATGTCATCACACCTCTCGCCGGTGTTACACCCACCAAGCCTGGTTCTGCTTCCCTGCCGTTCTTCGGTATTGAGCCAGCCATCATCGATCCCGTCTCTGGTGAGGAGATTGAGGGCAACGATGTCGAGGGTGTGTTGGCATTCAAGCAAGCTTGGCCGAGTATGGCACGCACAGTATGGGGTGCTCACAAGCGATATATGGACACATACCTGAATGTGTACAAGGGCTACTATGTAAGATCTCCGCGCCGCACGAGCAGTATTGGTACGAAGGGCTAACCTGATGACAGTTTACTGGCGATGGCGCCGGCCGCGACCACGAGGGATACTATTGGATCCGTGGACGTGTCGACGATGTCGTCAATGTCTCCGGACATCGTTTGTCAACTGCCGAGATTGAAGCTGCCTTGATCGAGCATGACGGTGTCGCTGAAGCTGCAGTCGTTGGCATCAACGATGAACTTACCGGTCAGGCTGTCAATGCCTTTGTGTCACTCAAAGATGGTGTCGACCCAGGTGAAAGCACCCGCAAGGACCTGGTCCTGCAAGTGCGTAAGCAGATTGGTCCGTTCGCGGCACCCAAGGCTATCTTCATCGTCGATGATCTGCCCAAGACCCGATCTGGTAAGATCATGAGGAGAATCTTGAGAAAGATCTTGAGTGGAGAGGAGGACAGCCTCGGAGATACATCGACGCTCAGCGACCCTGGCGTCGTTGACAGGATTATCGAAACTGTGAAGGCTTCCAAAAAGAAGTGATCGGAGATTAGAGCGCAAATAGGATCTTGTGTCGATATACCCTCGGTTAGCGAGATGTTGGGGACCGAAATCATGTAACAAATTTCGTAGGCGCGAATTTAACAGGATGTCACCACCGTATCCAAGTATCTTCGACTGTGAGCTCTCGCATGTCTGCCTGGAAGGAAACGTAGTCACGGTGGCCATGTAGCTCCGCCTGCTGGCTTCATTGTGTGCCTATCGTGTTCGACAACCGCGCGGCAATATACGCCCCTCACCTCTCACCTAGATGGCTCTCGATCTTGGGTAAAGACATTGAAAGTGATCGTACTCGTAGGTAGTTAGTTGAACGATGGTGGTTACCAGCGAATCATCTGTTGTAATGGCCTGCTGACTCATCCTCACTCGGTTCTGCCTTGGCACGAAACTAAATCGCCAGCGCAGTCCAGTATGGCCTCTCTACCCAATTCATTCGCAGGCGCGTCGACCTTTTTATGTTTTAAGCCCGCCACAATTCAACTCGGGTCTTCTGGGAGCTCGATCGTACTCGAGTGTCGGGTCTCTGAGCCTTTAAAACACAAAGGATCTGCAGAGGACTGCTGCCTGTTGTCCTCATTGACTCGACCACCCTCTCACCCGCGGCGCGTCACGAGCTTCCCTGACCACATTTAATTACTACATCATTGTTTCCTACACTCGTTAACCAATTTTTTCCTGGTTCAATATCCGAAAATTGCGCAACGACGGTCTTCGATACCCTCCAACATGTCGTTTGGCAGTGGAGGCGGTTTCTCGTTCGGTTCGAACACCACCCCCCAGAACACCGGCTTTGGTGGATTCGGAAGCAATAGCAATACTGGTGAGTCAATGTCTTTTTGCAAAACCCTCAGCGCTTTGTCAAATCTGACACTTTCAATCTCGGCCTAGGCTTCGGTACGAGCACCAGTAACACTGGATTTGGATCCAGCACAGCTGCCTCAAACCCGTTCGGTGGTGGTGCCAGCGGTGGCAGTGGCAGCACATTTGGCTCAGGTACTGGAGGTGGGTGAATCAGATTCGCTTTGTCGTGACTTCTTCCATGCGCTGCTTCACTTGAGGTGGCCTCGTCGAGAATATGCTGTTCTAATGGTCTCGACTCCATACGACTGGGAACATCGCCTCCACCAGAGAATCCGACGTGATGGCTTTTCGTTCCAAGAAGCCCTTCCTTCCTTCCACACACGCTACATCCTCTCTTTCCAGCATCAACGAAATGGACGAGCTAACACGTCTCCCTACAGGCTTCGGCGGCAACACCAACACATCCGGTTCCCTCTTTGGCAATAAGCCAGCATCGAATCCCTTCAGCTCGAGCACCAACACTGGTGGTGGCTTGTTTGGAAATTCTACGCAGCAGAACACTGGCTTCGGAAGCTCAACAGGAGGATTTGGCAATGCCACAAACACTGGAGGATTCAGCAGTAACACTGGCGGTTCATCCTTCAGCTTCGGCGCTAACAAACCCGCATTTGGCTCGTCCAGCGGTTCTACCCCTCTGTTCGGTCAAGGTGGCTCAGGAACTACTGGTGGCTTCAACGCAGGAGCGTTTGGCGCAGCTGGTTCTGGCACAGCTTTGAGCAACCAGCCAGTCCCTCCTTCAGACGGAACCGCATCTACGCCGTACGCTCCGACATTGGACAAAGATGCATCAGGCCAACAGAGCAACTATCAGAGCATCAATTTCATGCAACCTTACCAAAAATATTCTTTCGAAGAATTGCGCTTAGCAGACTACAATGCTGGACGTCGCTATGGTAGTGCAACGGGGACTTCAGGCGGTTTCGGATCTAGTACATTCGGCGGCTTCGGCGCCAGCAGTACCCCGGCGTTTGGTGGTGGTGGTGGTGGTGGCGGCACGACCGGTGGCCTCTTTGGGCAAACAACCACATCCTCCACCGGCTTCGGCAGCGGCACTCAGACTACAGGCTTTGGTGGCGGAGGCCTCTTCGGAAACAAGCCAGCAGGAGGTGGTCTCTTTGGCCAGCAACAATCGTCAGGGACCTCTACCGGAGGACTGTTTGGCACTGCTGGCAGTACTGGTGGTGGCTTTGGATCTGCACCTTCAGGCGGATTCGGATCCGGAAATAGTAGCGCTGGTGGCCTTTTCGGTCAACAGCAGAACAAGCCAGGTGGTTTGTTTGGCGGCAGCACCACTACCAGCGCCCCATCATTTTCATTCGGCAGCACAGCTCCTGCAAGTGGAGGTACTGGCCTGTTCGGTGGCAGCGGTCAACAACAACAGCAACAACCACAACAGCCACAACAGTCTGGTGGTTTGTTCGGCACCGCTACTCAACAAAAGCCACTCTTTGGTGGTACATCTGGAGGTTTTGGCACGTCGGCAACTCAAAGCCAGCCTTCTGGAGGACTATTCGGGACTGCCGCCACTCAAGGCGGAGGCGGCCTTTTCGGCGGCAACGCCCCTGCAAGCGGCGGCACCGGGACGGGATTGTTCGGGTCCACTGGCGGTACAGCAGGTACTCCAATGTTCGGGCAGCAGCAGCAGAAGCCCGGTGGCCTATTTGGTGGAAGCACTTTCGGAACCAGCCAGCCAAGTACTGGCGGAGGTCTGTTCGGCACCAGTGGGACAAACACTCAACAACAAGGCGGCGGATTCTCGTTTGGGGGTGCTGCCCAGAAGCCTGCGACAACCTCTCTATTCGGCACCACTGGCTCACAGCAACAAGGAGGGCTCTTTGGCCAGTCCGGTGGGACGAGTCTCTTTGGCACATCACAGACGGCCCAACAAGGTCAACAACAGCAACCAGACTTCAAGCAGTCGTCTCTGAATGACCCAAACCCATACGGTCAGACTTCAATCTGGACAGGCTTGCCAGTACCCACGCCCGAAACTGCAAAGCCGCTCTTCACGCCGTTGTCAGCAACTCAGAAGATGAAGGAAAGTCAAGCGAAACCACCACCAAGTCTCCGACTCAGTCAGTCACGATACATGACCCCACCTCGACGCTCAGGCTTTGGCTTTTCTTACTCCACTTACGGAACTCCTAATAGTGCTGCGAGTACCCCTGGCGCCAGTGGTTTGACCGGCAGCATGTACGGCAGCAGAAGCTTTACTGGTGGCAGCTTCGGACGTTCATTTGGGAAGAGCGCCTCTGCTAGCAACCTGAGATCCCAGTTCTCTGGAGATGGCGATGGCGTCTTGAGCCCCAGCGCATTCGCACCTAGCGCTGGCCGATGGTCTGGCGGCAATATGCGTCGTCTCACTATTGATCGGAGCATCAGAAACGATCTGTTCAGCCGACCGGCACTTCCTGCCCTTCCAGCAAGCGCGCCTGAGAAACCTACTGGCACTCAAGATGAAGCAGTGGTGATCAACGGTGCCGAGTCCTCGACCGAGCCAAGCAAACTGAAAAAGCGTGTCAGTTTCGACAAGGGCACTATCGGCGGCCAGGAAGGGACCTTGAATGGCGAAAATGGGGCCCTGGTACGTACCGAAGCCGATGGAGAAGCATCAGAACGTGGCAGAACGGTCAACGGGAGTGCCACTCCGGAAGCCGAACCTGCTCGAGGGAATGAGCTTGCTGTGGTTCCAGAAGATCGCGAGTCTGACCACGTGACTTCTTCCAAGAACGCGGTTCAGGCGAAAACAGATCCACAACCCGGTGATTACTGGATGAAACCCAGCAGAGCCGAACTCAGCAAGATGCCACGTGAAAGATTGCAGAAGTTCGTCGGCTTCGAGGTTGGCCGCAAGGGTTGTGGTAAGGTCGTTTTCAACGGCCCTGTTGATCTGACCGCCTTGCCTCTGGATGATCTGTATGAGAAGATTGTCGAGATTCGTCTTCGGTCAGTCACTGTCTACCCTGATGCGAGCTCGAAACCACCTGTCGGCAAAGGTCTCAATGTTCCGTCCACGATCTCGATTGAGAATTCCTGGCCTCGCTCCCGTGGTCAGCCGTCTTCTGCTACGACTGGTCCCATCTTTGATAAACACGTCAACCGACTCAAGAAGATGCATGGTACTGAATTTGTCAACTACGAGGTCTCGACTGGTGTTTGGACATTCAGAGTCCCTCACTACACCCGCTATGGGTTGGATTATGATGAAGACGAGGAGCTCAGCCAGAGTCAGATGTCTGTGCCTCCTGACTCCATAAGCGGGTCTCAACCAGGCAATGTCTCGGCCATGGAGGTTGATAGCGAAGATCAGGACGATACCCAAGACGAAGACGACACTTTTGCTTTCAAACAGAAGACCGTCCCCGGAGGGTTTGGCCGACGCTCTGCAATCGATGACGACACTGATGTTCCGACGGCACAGACGATCGAGGAGGACGTCCATGACTCTGACATCGCAGCACAGTCTGAAAGTGAGGATACTGATCACGAAGTCAGCATGGTCGGCTCGTTCCCTCCGCCGGGAGCGCAGGCTCTCCTCAGCCCAAACAAGCCAATCTTGAGAGCGAGCCGGCTGGGCACGCCCGGCAAAGGCCTAAACAGTCTCGATGGTGATTGGGCAGAACAACTTCAACGCACAATCAGCCCTCGCAAGCAGAATCGAGACGCTCTACGAGACGTCCAGAACAAAGTTCTTCTGGACCGCGCCTACGAACCCATGAAGCCTAAGTCTCACAACAAAAATGAGTTTCGCACCAGCATCGATATTATGAATTCCTTGTTCAGCAGACATGAAGAGAGAATGGCAAAGGGGAGGAAAGGACAGGCAGGGCCGGATCTTGAGGTTTGATACTCCCCTTCCTCTTTCTGTTCCTGTTTGCCTCTTCTTGATGATGAACCCTGGATGGATTATATCTGGATGGATGAAGTTATGCATGTCGGAGCAGCAGAAAAGGCAGTGCCAGATGATTACGAACGGGAAATTCCTCCCCAGGGTTCACACTGAGTCTCACATAGCAAGTAGGTAGTTTATGGAATGAATGAAATTGGCTAAACCTTTTGTGTCTTTCTAGTTTCCTTATGCAAAACGCGCGAAGACCTTTGATGATGACGACTCCGACATGACTGAAAACGATAAATTGTGGCACGCTTCTTTCAAGCCTCATTTCACGGAAGGAAACAAGCTCATCTACAAGACCAGTGGTGCGAGTGAAGCCGATGCTGCCTGGGTGGATAATGTTTTGATCGAAAGTGGAGTTGAAAAGTTATGCCTTACTTCACTTCGACCTGCGATTGTGAGTGATTATCTTGTACAGCGTCGATTGTGACTTCTTTTCTCACTCATTGGCAGGTCAACATGGAGGCGAGCACGCTTATGGCAGACATTCAAATCAAGCTCGTTGAAAACGTCCCCTTTGCTAAGCACAATACTGTCCCGCTGTCACAAGCCAGAGACCAAGTCATGGAGCAAGGCGCCAGCACCGACCAACTTGACGTCTACGAGCTCGCGCACGTTCTATTCGATGATTACGACGATGAATTCACTTTTGGCCTAAGCCGTCAGCAGAAACGCGAATTCCACCAGCGTATCCAGAAAGATCGCCTGTCAAAGTTCCTTGCCGCCTTAGTCTGGCGCCGACACGCTGAGAAGATACAGGCATCCGAAAAAGGTAGTGCAGCAGCAGCGGCAATCCTTCATCTCACGGCCAAGAATGTCAAGGCCGCGTGTGATGCGTTGATGCGCGAAAAGGACATCCATCTGAGTCTGTTGGTTGCGCAGATCGAACAGGCCGACGACACTTTTCAAAACGACCTGACTGACCAGATTGGTGCGTGGAGACAGCAGGGTGTTCTGTCCGAGATGTCGGAAGAGATTCGTGCTGTGTATGAGCTTCTCGCAGGCAATACGACGATCGCGCAAGGCAAGCAGAATGTTCCGGTCGAAGACAAGGCCAGTACCTTTGCCATCTCAGAAAAGTTCGAGCTCGATTGGGTGCAGGCATTCAGCCTCTGTCTGTGGTATGGACGGCAGAAGAACGGGGACGTCGCAAGTGCAGTCTGTGATTTTGAAGAGAAAGTGGTGACACGTCAAGAGGCAATGAGCCCAGTCGGTGAGGACGGGAGGGAAGATCCGTTATGGGTTATCCTGAAGTTGTTGGCCAGCATGACGCAGGGAATGGGCGTCGAGGCGCCCGTGTTCCCGCAAGCATTGTCGGCATTGTCACAGCCTTGGAACTCGATGAACGCATTTCAACTACATCACACCATCGCCGCTGCCGTGCCAGCTGCCAAGATCGAACACGATCAGGCTGATAATTTGGCTCTGGCTCTTGCCTTTGAACATTCGGCACGAGGCAACATCATTGGCGCGGTGTGGGCACTAGTACATATCTCCAACTCACGCATACGCGGCTATCAGATCCGGGAATTCCTCAACAAGCATGCCGCTGTCTTACCATCGCCGCCAGACATGGAGCAGTCGGATGCCCAGAGTCAAGGACAAGGACAACTGTGGTCAGATTTGACGGCTCGGCTCAAAGTGCCGGGAGCATGGATATGTCACGCCAAAGCACTTTACGCACGCTCATGCAACGATCCGCTCGTGGAACTGGCTTATCTCCTTCGGGCAGACGAATATGAGCATGCGCACAAGTGTCTACTCAAGCGCGTGGCGCCACGGCTTGTTATTGACGAAGACTGGGACACTTTACGTGCGGTGCTGGCAAAGTTCGGCGAGAATCCCGAGGACAACGTCGACACCACGGAGTGGAAGTCTGGAGGCCAAGTTTACGCGGACTTCGTCCTTTTGATGGACACGAACTCGTCAGCCGGGCACGGAGCCAGAAGACCGAGCAACGCTGAAGCCGAGACTAGACGGAAGACGATATTGCAGCGATTGCAGACCGCGTTGATCGGCTTGAATGGTCAGTTCGCTGGTAAAGGCAAAGCGCTCGCCCTGGACAAGGATAAAGAGAATCTCGAGCAGCGGGTGGCTCTGTGTGAAATGGGTAGGGCGGTGGGGAGGGCCATTGAGATGGATGCTCAAGAGGGTCTGGGTGGCAAGGTATGTGCTCACTCTTTCTCCCTCTCTTTCTCTTCCTTGCTTTCTGTTTTCCTCCTTCTGGTGGACTCCATGTACGCACAGGCTGACTTTTCTTCTGCCCTGCAGAAATCGATTCTCGATCTCCCACTCACCGCGGACGCGAGGCTGATTCACGCCCGGGCGCTGGGCGTGGAGTATTATCGTGGTGTTATGGCTACGGCGAGATGAGCTTCCCATCTTTCCCCTGCTCAGCTCATCTGGGACTCAAAAGGCTGTGCCCACAGATGGTCGCGTGTGGACTCCGACTTGGGAGAGAAAAAATGGTCTCGACTTGGGGAATTTGGGGATTTGGTTTGGGCGTCTTTCATCCTCGTCACAAAAGATGTACCAGTATGATTCACTTTATGCCTCGCGCTCGGGTTCTAAACGGTTAATCAGACCACTGGCTTCGAAGAGTGGTTATGATCGTGGACATTGAAGAAATCCAAGTATGAATATCAACACGGTTGTGGGCTCGTAGGAGGCTTGGTATCCGGGACCTGGACTGGATCTGTGTGATGTTCCCAACACCCGACAACGGTGCTAGTGACGACCGACAATAACTTGGTGACGTGGCATAACCGAGCTGGCCGCCGAGCTGCGCCGAGCTTTTGGATTGTGGTTACCTACCTAAGGTACCTAAGGTCGATAGGCAGGTGTGATGAAGGCAAGAGAGAAAAGAAAGGAGAGCGAGGAGAGTGAAAGAAAGAGAGAATAGTTGGTACTACCGAGAATGACTCATCGGGGGTCGTGCTCATGCCTCGTTATTATTGAACCACAAGAATGCCAGTCTTTGTTGCACGAGTACCAGAATGATAGAAAGTATCTGTAAACATTCACCGTATTTTCCGGTTTTGAGGCCTGGTCTTGCAAGCGTTTCAGCTACTCGTACTTGTATGTGTTTGCATTACAAGAACAGATTGGCTAATGAAATGAGTCACCCGTGGTTACCAAATGGTCGAGATCTATGGTTCTCCTCTACCTCACACCTTGTCATGATGTCGCTTTGTGTTTGCATTTGTGTGTCTAGGACAGTAAGTATGGAGCCTCTGCCGGCGGCGTTCAGTCACCAGCAATAACCGACCTTGTGAAGCACCGTACTCGTGGCTGTCGTGCCCTCTGTGCCTAACCTTTGAGGTCTGAACAGAGTTTTTCCTGCCGGCCTGCGCTCATCTCTAAAGGAATTGCCGTGTATGGGGCGGGCTCCACAGCCTCGTAAACGCTGATACCCTCACCGCCGTTGAAGGCGACAGCACACAAACATCTATGGATGTCCAATAGGGAGGTGTACCCTGAGATCGTTGCGGACCGAGAATTTGGTAAACCTTCCGATGGCCTGGCTAGGCGTCATCCAAGTACTGTTAGGGCTCGTACCGGGAGATCGCCCCAGTCTCCCAATGCACCCGACAGCCATGATGGCCCCATGGCACGACGATCTATCTCGGGTTTCGCCTGTTGAACCGTTAACTTAAAAATCAAGAGGGTTGTTCAAAGCTTGGTTTTGGAGGACACCCAAGCCCTTTCTCATCCACATTCCGCCGAGATCGGTGGTACGCTCGCATGACTCGTACTTGTAGAGTCATGTCAGGTAGTATTTTCTGTGCGCATACTGTGTAGACTTTTCCACAGGTTGGAGCCACTGGACCCTGTCGTAGATTTTGCGGTTATCTGTGCAAATCCCTCAGGGAGATCTAGAAGGCATTGAAAATTTCCAGAAAAAGATCTTGCTCGGCCTCAACGGCACTGGATGCCCAAGTGATTGGCGCGCTAGTGGATGCGAGAGATTTGTGCTCCGCAATAGGAACGCCGGAACCCCCTATTATATTCAACTTGGTCCAGCCTCGTCCAGCCACCCTTTCTAGTGGCAGTGAAGCATACTTGCGGTAAGCGAGTGTCTGCCACCCTGGCGACCTAACTCGGAAGATGGCCCTTGTCGATGTGAGCATTTTCTCCAACGCCATGATTTCCATCGTCGAAAGCGCTTGCATAGGCTCGCATTGTAGCCTCGATCCCATAACATCGAGCAGAAGTGGCCACTTCCGGAGCTCTGCAGCTCTTGATGATGGACAGGGCACGGCAGGGATAGAACCTCGTGGCTGCCGCGCTTGGCTCATGGGACCTTTTGCTGCACGAGCGAGACAACAGAAAATCGCTGCTAACCAGTGCAAAGATTTTGCAGCCTGTCTCATTCGTGCTGTTCAAAGCCGTTGGCTCGTATTGCTTCCAATTGAGATCCGCAACCCATACCGAGTGGTCTATGACTGTTTCGACCCTTCACCGGAGATATGCCACACCCCAAGTGGCAGTGGGATTGTATGTCGACGCAATGCCAATGTGTGCACCTTCACAAAAATCTTGCGTTGTGTTGAGTAATGTCTCCTTTATTGACAGTGGAAGTACATCTTGTGCCTCACAAACTACCTTGGGGCTTCTCGTTGAGAGACTCATGAGTCAGGCAGTCATTCCCGACCACCCTGCTGTAGGGCCTTGTGGATTCTTGCAGCTGCAGTTGTCGTCGAAAGATAGTAGCAACCTTCCGTTGGAAGAGGAGGAAAGGGCAGAGAACCAGAAGCGCAGTTTGTGAATGAAGTGCTAGTGAAGCAAGCATCCTGGGGGTAGCAGCGGTGTGGGAGCAATGTACTGTGCGAGTGCGCTTCTGCAAGAGCAATTATGGCCAAGGATCCTTCGAGCTTACCATTGGGCACGATGAACTGCATGCTCAGATGCAAGTGGTGCTTAAGCTCGGAGGAAGGTATGAGTCATATGGTTGCGGCAGGCGCAGGCATGGTATCCTTCTTCCACCTGCCTTCCGTTCTCCCGTCACAGGTGCTGCTTCCCTAGCCTGCCGGGATGTTGTCGTCTTCGTACCTTTCTAGAGCATACTGGAGGGAGGTCTCGTTCTTGTTGCTGGTTGCCTCATCAAACCGCCCTCGTGGAAGTATTGAGAGCCTTCACTGAGCAGCATGAGGTAGGACTCGGTGGTTGAATGACAAAAGGGAAGGGGCAAAAAGACGTGAAGATCAAAGCAGAGGTGGGTAGACTCCAAGGCCAGATCCATGAGACTACTGCCTGCTCCGTTGTTGGCAGTCTCCTCACTTGAACGATTTCCTTTCATGGGTGATCGAGTCGTGTCCTCGAGGAAAGGCCTGTGGCCCACCTGCACAGCCCTTAGCAAACTGACATAGTCATGAGAGCGACTCTGAAAGAGAGTCCTTGTTTCCTTGGAGAAGAACTGTCAACCATGATGGTGCGACTGGAGACACTGTTTTCGAGTGGCTTAAGTTAGTCCCTTGTCTTAGGAGCAATTGGTTCCGAAACTCTGACTTCAACGAGGATGCGTCTCCCATAGCTCCATTGGATCTCTTCAACTTTGTTCAGGGTAAATGAGGATGAGGCCTGGAATGTCAAAGAAAAAAGGATGACTGGCCGTTGAGTATGCCTGTGATTCATTGCTTTGTAAACGTCGGCATATCAATGTACTTGCTGTTGGGGTATGCTGTCGCTACCGTAAGAGACGTCGAGGTGGAAGAGAGATGTAATGTGGAAAGTGTATAAGTAGCCGAGCCAGATTAGACAGGAGGCAACATACATCGCTCTATCCTTGATTCGCTGTGAATGGGTGGTTTGCATGGTCCACGTACAGTACCAAAGCTAACTCGGCGGAACCACCAGTCACCTACCAGTGGGCCCTCAACACCCTTCTGATGTTGAGTACCAATCATTTTTTCGTTTTTCACTCCCTTGGTTTATCTCTTCATTCATATCCATTCGTGCATCTGGAAGCAACTGTTACGAAGACTTTACCTGAGCACTTCGGCCGATGGATCCAGGTCCGATAAAAGACGTTCACCGGAGAAGATTTGGTCCTAAATCTTAAAACACGACATCCTGAAGGTTCGTATGCGGGAATCATCATGCTGAGCCGAGACAAAAATTCTCACCTGGCATATATAAATGAAGTTCCCTTCTGGCTTGCTGTGATTCTCTTTTCGTCCCCCCAACAAGGACATCATGACTCTTCTCGGTCCTTCAGCCTATCTCTCCTCCGCAACTCGATGGATCCGTACTGACGAACATCTGCAAGGGAGTTGATGTCTGGGTTGATTGTTGAGATGACTGATGGATACTTGATAAAGAGGGAATGAAGGGAGAGGCAGACAATTCGTAGTAAGAAACAAATCCTCGCCAAGACCCATAACAAAGCTAACCGTATTAGGACTAGATAATTTTCTTCTCGCTGACGACCAGATGCATACTGAGGACGAGCAATGGCCAAAGGCGAAGACATTAATCACATATGAATACTATATCAACATGCAGAAACCCGTCAGGAGACTTCCCTATGGTCGTCTTGTTGCTCTTCCCGAGCTACCCAGACCTTCCGGAATTTATCCAGTCCATCTCGATGTCCAACTCCAAAAAGATTCCAACTCCTAATGTCCGAAAAGGTATCTCCAAGAACTTGATCCTGTCATTGTCCACTCGCGATCTGGAGGACTTTCACAGCTCTACTGTGACCAGTAGGTGCCATACGCATCGACAAAGTTGAAGTCGGCGAACATACCAGTGCCGAAATTGACTGGCACGGCGACACTGGTGCTCATGGCTGGTGCTTGGGAGACCTTGACACCATTCTCAGCGGGTGCCACTTGGGTGGTACTGGCACCGTTCTCCGCGGGTGCCACTTGGGCGGTATTGGCACCGTCATGCGCCACTGGTGCTTTGGGCACGTTAGATCCGGTCTTCTTGTTTTGCCGATTAGGACGATCGGACCCGGTGGATGTGGCTGGTGTCTGAAAAGTGCCGGCACCATTGCACATGTTTGGAACCTGGCCGCCTACGGCACCGCTGTTCATTGGTGGGACCTGATATGTGCCAACACCATTGTACGTGTTTGGCATCTGACCGCCAAGGTTGTACATGTTCGGCGCTTGAACGAGATTGTACATATTTGGCACCTGCATGGTACCAGCCTGCAGGGCACGGAGGTCGGCAGGACCGTATAGCGAAAAAGGACTGGCACCGCTGCTCAAAGGTGTCGCCTGGAAGGTATCGGCACGAGTGTATAGGGGAAAGGCCTCGGCACTGTTGGTCACAGGTGCTGCCTGGAAGGTGCCGGCATTCCACGCGGCAGCGGCACCGTTGTTCATGTCATGGTAAGTCATGCGGTGGCGCATGTCCTCGCCATGACTGTGGGCTGGTGCTGGCGCCGCGAAACCGGTGTTCATGCGGTGGCTTATGTCCTCGCCATGACTGTGGACTGGTGCTGGCGCCGGACGACCAGTGTTCATGCGTTGGTGCGTGTACGACAAGCGGCGAGTAATGTCGACGCTGTTGTTTGGGGCTGGCGCCACGGCACCGGTTTGCACGGGCAGAGCCCTGTAAGTGGGATGGTTGACCGGGTTGCTACCGGCGACGACATTTCCTGAAGTACGATCTGCGGTCCAGACGTCTGTTTGCGATTTGCGTCTGCTGTACAGGAATCAGCTCAACCGCTTTCCAGCATGAAAGCAGCAGACAACTCACCGAACAGACTCCTTCTTGAGCTTCACCTTGACACCTTGATCGTGAAGATCTCTCGTCAACTTTGTGGACGCTCTGGTAGGTGCCGCCGCTTTGTCTGCGCTGACTGTTGGCATGTGTCAGGTTCTGAAATCTGCAAAAGTCATGTGGCAAAGACATACCCTGCATGACACCGCCATAAATCTCTGCAACTTTCTCCGCATACAGGCCGCTGAAACTATTGCATCGGTCAGAGACTGAAGCGTCAAACAAAAGATGCAGTTCGACTTACCCTTGGCGCATCTCAAAAACGTGGCATCTGAGCCGGTACATTCCCGGATATTTGATGAAAAGGGCATGAAAAACGAAGACACATTGTTCTGCGACATCATGTCATTGAAAGCCCCAGAGAGGGTATCGACATGGACCATCTCTTACCTTGGCCATCTGGCAGCCTGAACTTGTGCAACGACGAACTCAGGCGGCCTGACAAAGTGTCTGGCTCTGTAGCTTGTTGTGGATCGAGGGATTCGACGGTCACCATGCTGAATATGTATGGGCTGGCTCGGTGAAACTGGCTGGGATCGTTATTATTGAGGGTGTATGCAACGGTGAGTGCAGGTTCCAGTGGGAATACACCCTTGTTTCTGGCTATGTCAAAGTTAGCATGCCGTCAGCCGATGGTGATATGACGATCTTACCAGTCGTGGTCTTGCTGTCGTCGTGGTCTTGTGGTGTCGACTTTGTTATGCGGCCAATCTGCGGTTGCTGAAGGATTTGCAGCCGATGAGGTTGAAGACCACTGTTACGCGCTTCTGTCAGTTCTACGACTCGCAAAGGCGGCAAATTCTGCATCTTGAGTGTAGTCTATCGCAAAAACCGACCTCTGCTCATACACCTGCTTTCGGTTGACTATTTCCAGTAGTTTTTGGTTGAATCTGGGGTCGTCCCGCATCGCAGTATTGATGGGTTTTGGGCGCTGCTTTGGCGAAAACCTAGCCCTCATCGTCAGGAGAGGTAAGAGCTATGGATGATAACAAGATGACCGAGGCAACAGAATAAGTAACGCCAAAAGATGGGAGGTGGAGAATCCGTCTCGGATTCAAGGATATCCAAAGTGGAAATGCTGTGTATGTGTGTTTGCGGCGAATGTATGAGTAAGGTGAATAGAAAAGTGGGAGAAAGGCCAGTTTTATGACAGGAGACAAGAGTGTGTGAGGACCTGAGCTCTTGGCCGTCGTTACCATCAAGGTTTGAGACCTTTTGCGTCAATTAATGCGCAGAGTTCGAAACGTCGTATGAGAGAGCTCGACCGGTCGTCGATGGTACCGGTGGAATGGTAGATGACTTTGGTGTTGTGGACACCCAAAATGCAACCACATCAAATTCGAAAATTATAGCTTCAGCCTTATGGGAACGAAGCAAGCGACACAGCAGAGTCGGCCGCAATCCTCGTCGTGGCCAGAGGCGTGGTATGGGGTTGTTGACCGTCGTGAAGATGTCCTGGCTGTCGATGAGCCTGATCAATGCTCGTCGTTGTCGGTCTTGCAATCTAAGTTGGGTTTGGACCTTCCTCGTCGACGTAGTATATTTCAGTGGTTGCCTTGAGAGCGGTGGTCTCTACTGCTACAACACCTTTTTCAGCGTTGCGGCTTGCGGGATGCCAGGGAGATTATTCGAGCGATATGCAGCAGGACACATGGATGCTGTTATCAGCATGTCGACTTGGCCCGTTGATGGGAGGATGACTGGCTCATAGATGCGCTTTGCAGGAGAACCCAAGTTCTGTATTTGTGGCCATGAGAATTTCTGTCGTGATATGAAGAATTCTTTAGCTGTGATCGCTGTTTTGATGACTAGCAGTGGCCGACCAGGATTAATTCGAGTGAGAAGGAGATGGTGCTGGTCGGGAACTTGATGCACTTATGGATGCAACCACTGCAACTGTACCTTGACGTACTGGGACTGAGGAGTGTCGTGTCAAGACTGATGCAGTTAATAGCGAAAAATGGAGGCGGTATTTGGTTCGCAGCAAGGCCAATGGCAGAGATGCTGTTGCTACCGATCAATACCAGCGATGCAGGGTAACCCTCCCTCAGGGAATTGTCGCCATACACACTTCTCACTCCGATCGTGCCCTGGTGCTCATGAATGCGGCGTCCACTTCTCAGACCAATGCAAGCCTCTTTCCTTTGCCCTAAATCGATCCGCAAGCAGACAGTCAACTCAGTCGGCTTCTTCTCACAACGCCCCTGCCACCGAAATGACACATTTGACCAGATCTTGGTCCGATCGATCCGAGCCTCATGAACACGCGATTAGGAGTGTCATGCAGAAGGAGGGACAAACAACAGATCCGTCGCAGCCAATGACGAGGTACGGACCTGGTGATCTCTATATCGTGGGCAGGTGGGGGGTCCAAAAGCGACGATGGCGCAGGGAAACAAAAGCCGGTTGAGCAAATGTCCCTTTGCTCATTTCAGCGAGGCAGGCAGGAGGTGCATGCTTGCAAAGATGGCACAGACAGCAGAACAACGGATATCACGGATCACAAGCCTTGCGATCGAGATCGATACCGTTGCCGTACAGCCTGCAATCTTGGGGTCTCCATGCCACAGATTGATGCTGGAGGAGATTTCGCACAGTCCTGCAGCACCAGAATACAACTTTGCAGGCTGGGAGGGAAGGAAGCTTCAAGCGAGCTTCCCTCGCTTCACTGCCTCCTATACAAGGGTCAAGCGGACTTCTAAGAAGTCCTTGTGTAACTGGATTCCATAAGCAGAATATACCTGGCTGAACGACCGATCGAATAAGATGGAGCAGGGGTATTTCGACCTCATCTAGGACGAGCAGGAGACAATGGTGGCCCAAGAAGCGTTGTTCCTGACTCGGACAGGTTTAGTGTCTGGCTGGTGCTGCAAGGGTGTTGCAGCTGGCCTCAAGAGGCGACACCTGCCGCAGAGAATCCGAGGTTTTACGTCTCTTCTGTGGGACACTGAAAGCTGTGCAACGTATCTGCTTGACTCGAGGAGGACCCGCTACTAGGGTTGTGTGCTGCAGGAGCGTGGGTACCATGTGAGCCTCCCATGTCAGGAAGACGGGACGATATCAAACAAGATCCTTGGATGGCCCCCTTGACTCTCTGAGCCTCTAATCAAAGAGAAGGAGCTGGAGGACATTCGCCACCTTGAGCTACCCCAACGAGAAATGCTATACGTGGCCTTGCTGAAGGTATCCGAGGTTCGCCGAAACAGGGTTTTGCACATTGTGTGCTTCGACTGGTCATTTATGTGGTCAATACTGGGTTTCTGAATTCAATTGCCCAGGGAGCAAAATGTGTCCGAACGGCTGCCGAAGTAATAGGCTCTGGGCGCTCTGAAAGGGTCGAACTAGCGTTGAGGATATGCAGTCAACAAAAGTAGCTCCCTCCGATTTGAGTGACAACTGGGCCATGGGCAATTGGGCTGGCGTTGACAGCTCCAAGCGAGTGGCATTGGCATGGATGAACCCAAAAGAGATTGTTTAAGGGGGCCCCAGCAGCGCTCCACGAAGGTGCATCGACATCCTCAGGTTCTTTCAGGCGAAGAAATCGATCATTATTGACAGTGGGCTACGATATCCCACTAGCACTGATGCACCACACACTGCTTAGAACCCCCGAGTCAAGATTGACGAGGGCGGAAACAGCCCACGATTTCCGATTTGACGGTGTATGATGGCGTGGACGGCTAAAGGGCCCTTACCGAGCCTGCAACTTGATACTCCACTAACTTATAAAGTGTGGAAGTAACTACAAGTATTGGCCAGGTGTGGAGCTGCTGATGACCTCCCACAAGTCCCCCGGGCTCACTAGGCTTGCTCAGTGACGACTTCGCTTAACTAGCCGTCGGCATTCTACTAGGACGGCTTCGACACTCTGCGCACAAAGAGATGTTCGCCTTCTTTCCAACTTCGTCTGACTTTCCTGTGGCTTCGCGCTGCGATATAATAGCAGACTCACCTCCGGGAGGGACTCAAAAAATTCCACATTCTGGAGTCAAAAGTTACTGTCATGGGTGCTCGCAGACTTGTCACATGGAACCCGGGTATGAACAAAGGCTCCCGAAGGCTGAGTCTCCGACGTGTACACATGCAATGTACAGACAAGCCCATGCGCACTTTTACTGGCTACATAGTACAAGTGTGTTCCAGCGAACGATTCGGATGCATCTGCACACACTCAAACCGCGATGATGTCAACAACCCCAGATGTTGGAGGACCGGAGATCAATCAGGTCGGTGCTGTGCAAAAATGCTTGCTAGGATGTCTGCTGGACATCGTTACGAGTTTGGCAGCCACAGTCTACGACTATTTGCCAGCCTTGAATGAGCGGTATGATCACAGCACCAAGGCATGAGGAACTCCTCTCTCGGTGCTTGTCTCCCATGCGAATCGCCGCATTGTTTGGCTCCTCAAGGCTTCCCTCAGAGGGTGCCTTCAGCGGGCTCGATCGCAATTGACATTCAATCGCGCCTTGCTGTACCAAGAAGTTGAAACATTCAAGCCGACATCTGCAGTGGCGGAACGGTGAAACTCGTCCTAAAATTGGAATATGGTCGAGTCGACGGCGTTCTAGGCCAGCCACCACGCACGAATCTCGCCCCATCCAGACTTTTGAAGGTAGCACAAGTTGTTGGCCACGTTTTTGCGAGCGACAGGATGCCCGAAATCCTGGGTTTGGCATCTCCACATTTTCTCGTGTCCGTCGATAGAGCCATCAATGTCGGATCCAACCCACAACCTCGATTGGGCATGTTGCATACATGTTGTGCCACTGCATCTTCCCTTTCGGGCTGTCCAGAATACTTAGAAGTGTCAAACTTTCGCCAATGGGCGACTATGAGCACGTCTGCCAGCCTGTCTCAACACAGAACCAGAGCAGAGCGCCCATAGGCCCATAGCTGAACGCACGATGCACAGGTCACCACAGCCGCAGTCAGCGAACGAGCTCAGCCCCCCTGCCCCCTTTGCAAAAGCTACTTCGGATGCCCCAGAGCTTCGATCAAGATCAAAACAATATTTTCTTCCACGTGGCTACAGGGTGCAGATCCACGTGGTGCTGATGGGCGTTAATCACCTAGAACCCTGCAACCCATATCGACAGACTCTGCACTTTCGCATGATGGCAGTTCTTGACGACACATGCCTGCTTGGAGCTTGGAGCGTCCTTTATTTCGGTGCCATCAATCTGCTTCGGCTCCTGCTTTGGAAGGCGACTAAGCAAAGAACCTACCCGCTCAAACGCCCGTGGAGGATCATCAGCGAACGACGTCTTCTCTTTCACTAGAGCTGGATGTGAGTATGTACCTAGGTCGTGCTAGGTATATTCGTTGATCACGTATGGCTCGTGCTCCGACCTGGCTGCGGCCGGGGAAAAGCGACAAGGGTGAGCTGCTTGCAACCGGCCTGCATTCAGCAGTTCCCCTTTGCAGGTGTCGAGTGCAGCCGAAGGGGGCCATGTGGGCGACCCTGGTAGACCTCTTGACCCAGATCTGGCAAAATGCTGCATCTCGGTTCGGTCGGCAGCCGTCAAACATGTGCCATCCCAACTTCGTGACCCGGGTTTATGTCTGGCCTGAGTATGCAGAACAGGGATGCTTTGTTGAATTCACGTCGTCGTCGCGAAACGAGTGCCTCTGTCAATACCACGTGTGCATGTGCATACTTTGTACTCTCTTTGGACGACAATGGCTACCATGCTTTCATCATTGCGATCCCGCTAGTTTCATGCCTGCTTTACTAACACTGGAATCTTGTTCCACGAATTTCAAGATCCATGACGATTTTGGTTGCATCTGTTCGACCTCTACTGTCTCATACTTCTTATGCCTAGTCGATCTGGCTGACCAAAGACTAGTTGGCACCGATCTGAACGGTACCCTGACATCCATCTTTTGGACCACCATCGACAGTCCGCGCTTGTTCACCAATAGGTCTCTCTCCCGTCCATCCTCTCCATGTTCGGCTATTGTCGGATCCTGACCGCGCTGGTCCTGCACGATACGATCCTTGTGACCTCGTGAGGTGCAAAAGGACAAAGGGCTCGGGAACAAAAAAAAAGAGGATGCATAGAAGCGAAAACTTGGTGGAAAAAAGATCATAGAACTCGGTCTGATGATATGAACTGCAGATTGTTAAAAAGCTGTCTCGGCTTTTTGGCGACGGTACATACGAGAGTGGGATTCGAACCCACGCGGGTTGCCCCATCAGGAAACGTGGTGTTAAGACTGAAGCCTTAACCTGACGCCATAACCAAGCTCGGCCATCTCTCCATGAAGCTGAGCAGCAAGATTGTTTTACTGATCATGTGACCAAAATCTGACAACTTCAATATATAATATTCTAAAAAAAAGGAGACTTGAAGTGCCGAAATTTGTGTGATCCACCACTAATGGAATAGGCACCAATAAGGCTCGTAGGGTCACAGCACTTGGCAATTTCGGAGAATCCAAGCGCCCGACAGCAGTTGATGGTGACGCTGCCACTTCTTCCCTAGATGATTGATGTCTGCACACCAACTCTGGACAACGACCGTGCATGATGAAGACTAAGACACTGTTACAGTACGGACATGAGCATCCCATCGTGTCGTTGTCTACGATCTTTGTCGTTTGGAAGTCTGTCATTTTCTTGACCGCTTTAGCCAGTCCAGGAGTCGGCTATGACACATGTGCCAGTCTTCTATGGTTCGATAAGAATGCCACTGCACCCTTTCAGAACACCCCGGTTCAACTCCAAAGCCAATGGCTGAAATTTGTGAGATGGGATGCAATATATTTTACTCACATGGCCGAATACGGACATGTCTATGAGCAGGAGTGGGCTTTTGGCATCGGCTTGTCCTCAACAATATCTTGGATTGCCAAATGTGAGCTTCCCACCCGACCCAACGACTCAACGCTGAATATGTAGTAGTACTCGAAGGGTCGAGCATCGTCAGCAGGTCGACCTCCTTCGCCCTGGCAGGGATTCTGTTATCCCATGCAGCTCACTGGCTAGCCGTCATCCAGTTGTGGGCGATAGCTACCACTCTCGGTGGGAAAGGGCAGTCACAATCTGCCATACCATTCGTTGCTGCGACGCTTCATGTATTCTCGCCAGCGGGAATATTCTTATCGGCTCCATACACCGAGAGCGTATTTGCTTGCCTTTCATTCTCCGGGTTCCTGGCTTTCCTGTGGGCCCATCAATATTTCAACCATGCTAGACCATTTGCCGGATGCTTCAATATGGTCATCGCGGGCTCGGCTTTTGGGTTGGCCACTCTCATCAGGAGTAATGGCATATTGGCGGGCATCCCATTTCTCATCGAAGCCGTCACTACCCTGCTTGCATTGCTTTCTCAAGGCTTCTCCTTGACTCGAATTGTTCGGTTGGGCTCCGTCGGCCTTGGAGGAATCCTGGTGGCAGTTGGGATGTTTTTGCCGCAAGTCCTTGCGTTTCAGGTATATTGTGCTGGCCGAAGTCCCGGAGACCGGCGTGAATGGTGCCAGTGGACATTGCCCTCCATCTTCACCTTTGTTCAGTCTCACTACTGGTAAGCACCTTTTCCCATGACTTCGACCACAACTGACAGCCTACAGGAATGTTGGCCCTTTTCGCTACTGGACCTTGTCAAATCTTCCGCTGTTCCTCCTGGCTGCGCCAACCTTATGGCTTCTGGTCCAGTCCGCTAGTGACACTCTCCGCAACCCTGAGGTGCTTCGGGGCAAGGTGGCTGCTAGTCCTTCTGCTTCTGACAGAGCGAGCATTCACCCCAAATTGGTCACGGCGAGTTTGGCCTTGCCACAGCTTGTGCTTTCGGTGCTAGCGTTGACAAGCTATCATGTCCAGATCATTGCACGAATCTCTTCCGGTTATCCCCTGTGGTACATCTGGTTAGCAGCAAGCGCTAGGGACCGGCCGAAATGCGCATCTGTCATTATACGTTGGATGATTCTCTACGCGCTCATTCAAGCTGGGCTATATGCATCCTTCTTGCCGCCAGCTTGACAAAGTTGCTGTTCGCGGATCAATGCTGGAGTATCAAGGGGCTTGCAACTTCGACTTCAGTCCTATCTACATCGTATACATGAATGTTTCATGGACTACCGACCGCCTTTAGGCCCCATCACCTTAGTAATAGGGCATGGGTTTAGTCGACATTGTGCTACTTCTCAACCGACTTCACCTTCACCCTGATACCTTTGGTGTCCAGCTTCACTGTCGGCACAAAGTAATCATGAGCAAGAATTGTATCCGACACGTCGGTCTCATACAACTCGAAAGAAAATTTCCTGAAGACAGCTGCAAGACCCATGTACAATACCGCCTGGGCAAGACTGCTACGTGTCAGCATACAAGATGATGAGGGCTGGAAGAAACGTACTTCAGACCAATACACGACCTGGCACCTTTCCCGAAGCCGACGAAATACCTGTCCAGACTCTGACCATCTTTTGTCGTCGGATTATTCAGCCAGCGCTCGGGGATGAACGATCGTGACTGTGGGAAGACCTCTTCATCGTGGTTCATGTCCACAATCGTCATGGAAACCGGCGTACCGGCCGGGATTGTCCATTCCTTGTACTTCAAGTCTGTCCGTGCTACGCGAGGCAGACGTGATGCGATGCCATAGGCTAGGCGAATCCCTTCTTTGATACATCCATTCAAATATGGCAGGTGTTCGAGGTTCTGCCAATCCGGTTTTGTGTTCGGGTCAGGGATCGCTTCTTCGAGTTCGGCCCTCAACTCGTTGAATATGGCCGGATTGTTGATGATGTGGAAACTTGCAACGGCCGCGGCCCAGGAGGTGGTCAGGATGGCGGCCCCAATAATGACTTGTGCTTCTTGTACCATGCGGCTGACGGATTTCTCCTTGGGTGAGAGATCACTGTTGAGCATTTCGTGGAAGAGGGTGGCATGGTCTACGGACTTATGGGTCTCGTCATGGTCTTGTTTCAGTGCCGAAATGGTGCGCTCGAAGTCCTAAGCACGTCGGTAACTGAGAGAACGTATACAAGGTTTGCTGGTACTTACGTGCTGCACCTGGATGTGCATGTGCATCTTTGGTTCGACCCGTACAACTACCCAGTCCGGCAAGCTGTTCATTATGGGCCACAGCCATGGAAATTGCATCAGCACGCTGGACGATTCGCATGCAGCATGCATAGGCTCGTGGAAGGTCTCCTCAAAATCCGGCGAGTCAAGGTGATTGTATGCTTTGGCGAAGCAGAATTCCGTCACAACATCTCCAGTCAATGCAGTCCAAGCCCGGTGCAGGGGCAGTACTCTGTCTGTTCCAGCGTACTCGGCAATCTTGGAGCAGAGTGTGTCCAACTTGGCACGAATGACTGGTTGGAAGTCCATGATCTTGCGCTTGGAGAAGTAGGGCGCGACTGAGTTGCGCAGTCGGCGGTGATACTCGTGAGATGGTGCCGTGAAGAAAGTGTCGTCGGTACCAAATCGAGCTGAAAACGGAGCATATTTGTCCAGTTTGCCAGACTTGACGTAGAGTTCTTCGAAATAGTCGGAGTCAAGCACATGTAGTTCATTTGGTGTTACTCGGACTATCGGGCCTGTAGTGACGGTCAGGATCGATCAATCATGTGAGATGATTTATGAGTGAGTTCTTACCATATTTCTTATGGAGTTCTTGAATGTGAAATGTCATCTGGCCTTTCTTGACCAGCTCGTAGTAGAACTCGTACCATCTTGTCAGACCGGCGAGCTTGGGACCTGGAAAGTGCGCAATGGGATGGAAGTATAGACGGTAGACGGAAAGCACAAAGACATAGATGATGAGGGATGTGCTGGTGATTGTGAGAAGAGCCAGAGATGGGCTGGTGGGGAGATATCTTCGCAGCGACAGGATGTCCATCGTAGAGAATGGACCAGGATATCGAGGAGATGGCTTCCAAGTGTTCAAGAACAGCTTTGGTTCAACGATTCATTCAGTCTTGCTTGTACGGATAACATGGCTCAAGCAAAAATCTGTAATGGACGACTGAATTCAACGAGCATACTGTGTCAGTAGTTAGACACAGATCCCCATCCCCATGAAGACAGCTCCCCACCACGCCACGGGTATCTTCATAGCCGCGGTCGAAAAAGACATGAGGCATGCGAGAATCTCACCTGGACCAATGATCTCGGGCACAATATCAACCTGGCCTGAGTCTAGAGGTCCGCCTAGACTTAGCGAGGGCTCAATGAGGGTTTGCGCGCCGAACGCCCACGAAACCAACGATGATGCAAGTGGGACGTGTGAACATTTATTAGGCGTATAAGAGCTGGGCCTCACTAGCCTGGTGCGCCTTCTTCAACGGGAACCAACGGGCACCAACAGGCTTCTGACTTCTGGTAGTTTGGCTCTTTGGCCGGGAACCTCCGCCAACCTTTTTTGTTCGGGCCGCTTACCGGCACCTAAGGAAGTCAAACCACGAAGTTTCGAAGGCCCTAGGCATGTTGACCGTCGACCTGGCTTGCTGGCTGTTTCCCTTGTTATTACAGTAGTATTCCACCCACACCATCAGGACACCCATGCCGAGCCACGTATACTACGATGCATCCGTCTTCCCCGTCCGCTTCTTTCTTCTCTCGTTGGCTCTCTTTATTGGTTGGGCCATATAGAGTCACTGACATCCCACCAACGTCGATACCGACAATCACAAACCGAATCGGCCCGCTGGATCCTCCCACTATCTGGCGACATTAACTTGGACTCTGGTCTACGAGTAGCGAGGGTGGTCCCTTCTCTGACTTCTTCCCTTCTTCATCCTGGACCTTTGTCTCTGTGCTATATGTGTCTTGTTGCATTATCAACACATCAAGCCGTGTAAGCTCATCCAAAGAGCATTGACCAAGCGCGACATCGACCATGTGCGTGGACGAGGCTCAATCCGCCAATCCGACAGCGCAGCCACCTGGTAGCCACCAACCGGCACTCTTACCTGATGTATGCATTGCCTCACCCTCATTTGACCGTCTTACTCGTATGTAGCTTGTTCCTAAGCTAACCCTAGGGATAGTCCGATCACAGCGACGCTGATTCTGCATTTGGCGGATCTGCCGATGGCTCGTGGACGGCATCTCTGGCTAGCTCAGTCTTGAACTACAAGTACGAGAATGGCCGAAGGTACCACGCATATCGTGAAGGACAATATATTCTACCGAACGATGAGGACGAGCAGGATCGACTCGATATGCTTCACCACATTTACAAGATGATTTTAGGTGGAGCTTTATATCGGGCTCCGCTCAAAGAGCCACAGCGGGTTCTCGACATGGGTTGTGGTACAGGCTTATACTGTATTGAATTCGGCGACGAGCACCCCGCATCGATTGTTGTTGGTGTAGACCTCAGTCCGATTCAACCAGAGTTTGTCCCTCCAAACGTCAAGTTTTACGTCGACGATATCGAGAGCGAGTGGACATACCCCCCTTCGGAGCATTTTGATTTTATTCACGGCCGAGCTCTCTGTGGGAGCGTAGCCGACTGGCCGAAGCTGTTCAAGCAGTCACTCCAAAACCTGAAGACTGGTGGCTGGATGGAGATGCAAGAGTATCAGTGTCATGTCTGGAGCGACGATGGCACAGTTGATGAGGCCATTTACCTCAAAGACTGGGTGGAGCAAATGAATGAAGCAAGCAAGAAATTCGGCAAACAGTTGAAGACAGCTGTTGCCTTGAAGGCGCACATGCAGGACGCTGGCTTTGTGGATGTTCATGAAGAAATATATAAAGTACCAATCGGGCCGTGGGCGAAGGGTAAGAAGTATAAGGAGCTTGGCACTTTCTATCGAGCTCAATTTCTCGATGCCGTCGAGCCGTTTACGCTGGCTTTATTCACCAGAGTCCTGGGATATAGTGCGGATGAAGCGAAGATTGTCATCGCCAGAGTTAAGAGGGATCTGGTCAACCCAAAGTTGCACATGTATGTGCACTTCCACTTTGTATGGGGGCGGAAAGCCGCTGAGCCAAGGGCAAGTGAAGGCTGAAAAATGGCAAAACGATTTATGGCTGCGGAAGCCAATGAAAGATTGAAAGCGGAAAGGCACGAATTTACCTTCGTTTAGCCGCAAGGACGGCGGCGCAGTACCAGGGACCGTCGACCGATACCAACGAGGACCCGAGATGGAAGCTCACATGCTAGGTTTGATGCAATGAAGACTGTCACAGCGAGGAAAGTTGTTCTGAAGCGCTGCTGATGGTGTTTTACCAGGATCTTCAAGGAGGACTAAAGGCAAGTCCAGAAGATGGCGAAGGTGTCGTAAAAGAGAGACTTGCATGATGAATCTCTCGGGAGTCACTGCTTTCGGCATTTTCCTGCCATCGACGAGTGGGCTGCACGACAAGGCGTTTTCAGGGCTGTTGTGCTCTCCTGATGAAGGGACGATGTGCCTGCCCAACCTGGAAGAGCCCAAAGGCGGGTCTGAGGCCAATGTGAGATATCATAATACCAAAAGTTTATGGAATGTTCAGCATCAAGTTGCAAAGAAGCAGTGCCTTTCCGGAAGAGATGACCTTGCCAACGGACACGCAACGGGTAAAGATGGGATTTGAGATGTGATGGACTTCCTGGTGTACTACAGTTACTAGTAGTTCGTTTATTCCAGTCCTCCGCCGCCCGGACTTTAGGACATTGATTATTTTATCCGAGAAAGGCGTCGCCAAGCGCATGCAGACTCGAGACTCCGTGTCGTGTGCAATTGAGCAAACAAACCCTCGCTTCAGCATAGCTCTCACTCGTGCCTAGAGAAGGCATCGAATCACTTTTACGATCCAGTCCAGTGCTTGTCGCAGTCCATTGCCCCACCGACACCTCCGAGCAGGCAGGCATAAAGGTGACGTAGCAAGGCTGCGATTTGGCTTGCTAAGCGCTTCGTCCATCGAGTTCCTACAAAGCACATCGACAGCCTTCTGCCGCCACCACGCTCCTCAACCCTTCTGGTCTTTCGGACGTCCTCTCCTACTGGTATCGATGCTGTGGGACGCTCCAATCGAGACCGATATCCTTTGAAACCCCCTAGATCCCCATGAGTCTCCGTACGACTTGATCGAACGATGGAAAGTCATAAACACCATCACATTGAAGAGCTGATGAACGGCAGTCACGGCAAACATGGATCAGAAATATCAAGAGCTACATCTCCAGCTGGTGCGGTCACCATGGACCATGGCGCTGTTGATGGCGAAGACCCGGTCAAGCGCAACAGACCAAGGACCTACCCTTATTTCACATCGCTGCCATACTCCGTTGAGGATGAGCCCACGAGACAACGAGATCTAGCAGAAATCCTGAAACATCTCTACATTGCCATACAGTCCAGTGATTTCACACCGGGGGCAGTGCATTGGACCAGAGAACTGCGCAGTTGGCTGTCTCTAAAGTTCGACCCCTCAAAGGAAGATCGTGTGAAGCTCGTCAAGCTCTACTATGAACTCGCTCTGGCTCCTGGCATCGACCCCAGCGTGGGCGAACGTTTTGCCAGCATGTTCATGCTCCTCACAAAGTACGTTCTCGCCGCATCTCCTTGCTATGCTGTTCGTCACTGACCCTACCGCAGGCGGAAGCACTACCTACGACCTCATAAAGACCTCACACTCGATTGGCGTCCCTTGTACCGAGAACTGAAAGTGTTTGTCCTCCCAAGCGAGTCGGGATTGATGCAGACCACCAATATGAGGAGAAATATCAAGACCTTGACCAAGATCGCCTCGTTTTCACAGTTGTACTTCGACCCAGAGGATACTCTGGCGATGTTGGAAGAGCTGCTACCACACTTCACAATGTCATCTGCTGAGGGAGCTTTCGTCGTAATTGGGTTGCTGAATATGCTTCTCCCAACAGCACCACCTCCGCCTAATCGCTCCGATCTGGTGCCACAGCAATTCCTACCGACTTTTTTTCATCTATGGTCCTTGGTCAGCCGGTCTCGGACGGTGGATGTAGCATTTCTTGATTTGTTCTCGCGAATGGCGCGGGACTCCTTACCGAGTAAGCATATCAATTTCTCGGAATTCGGGATCTTCACGCCGGAGCAATCTACCCTGATGACAACCGCCATTCTGAGATTGCTGGAGATTCCAGTCGGTCAGTCTACCTCGCCTTACAGCGCCCTTGTCGACTTGTCGGCTGGAATGGGTATCCTGCTGGACAGAGATTCTAGGAAGCATCCAGTGTCGCATCATATTGCCCGCTGGTTTGTGATGTCTCTGTCACCAGCCTGCCTAGAGCACAAGACTTCGGTCCTCTCTCTTCTCGAGAACCTCATCCAAGCAATTGAGACCTTTTTTCATCCCTCAAATTCCGGTTCGTGGACCAGAACTCTGGCTCAGCTGGTCTTCTATCTTGCAGACTTCTTTGTCATGCGGTGGAACCGAGAACGCAATGGAGAAATGGAAGTGCCAGAGGAGAGAAGGCTCAACGACGCTCTTCGGAAGCGTTTCGTCTTATGCCTGCGCGAAGTCATCTTCATGGGTATCTATGCAAAGAGCGGCACAGCGATGAGCTACTCATTATCTACTCTGCAAGCTCTTGCGTTCCTCGAGCCCGACCTGATTTTGCCAGGTGCGTTACAGCGCATCTATCCTTCGATGCAAGGGCTTGTTGAAGTCCACCGCACGATATCGTCATTGCGTTCTCTCCAGATTTTGGCGAGAACTATGATCAGAACGAAAGGCTACCGGTGCCATATTACAGCTCTACTTGGTCTTGCTCTACCTGGTATCGACGCCAACGATCTGGAAAAGACACTCTACACACTCTCGTTCTTTGCCAATGTATGCTACAACATTCCATTTGAGGACCTTTCTCAGGGCCGTGAAGATGTTCAAGGCAATATGTTGGCTATGGAATGGATCACTGGCGAAATGGAACGAATGGAGCAAGAAGGAGCAAGTGTGGAGCTCAACTATGCAAACCTGAACGAGAAGGATGAAGAGATGATTCTTGCTTCATCGACTGCTGGGTTCGGCGAGTTTGTCTCATCCTTTGTGGGCAGGGTTTTCACACTTTTAGAGAATCTGCCAGACGCCGCGCGAATACGGAGCGGATCACCTGAAGAGAACATTGTCAACACATTACCTGCCGCGTTCATGCCTCTGTTGGCGTCTCTGTCTCCGGAGCTTTTCGACATGGCTTTGAACAAGATTGTGGATTTTGTTGCGAACCACGTCATCCACCAGTCCAGAGATGCCATGGCCTTCATTTGCAACTGTCTCTGCAAAGTCGATCCCGAAAAAGCGCTAGCCAAATTTGTCCCTGTGTTAATCAGCGCTATCCGCACGGAGATTGATGAAAATGGAGCAGGGTCAACCAGAAATGCTGCCTCTGATGTTCTCCCTCGAGACCGAGGGCTTGTCTGGAATATCAGCATGCTCAGTATGTGTGTGGTCCATGTGGGTTCTGCCGTCCTGAAGTACAAGCAAGAGCTGTTTGATATTGCAGTCTATATGCAACAGAAATGCAAGGGTATGCCGACCGTGCACGTCTCAAATTACGTGCATCACCTGCTACTCAATCTCACAGTGACGTACACAGCGGACTATGCTTTGTATGAACCAGACAAGCTTAAGAATGGCATAACGGCTGAGCTATGGGGCGTTGCGGAGCCTCCAGCATCCATCAAACCGAAATGGCACGTCCCATCCAAGGAGGAGATCGACTTCGCCATCGAGCTATTCCAGAACCAAGCCGAAAGTGCGCTGAAGCACCTCAGAGGTCTGATCCGAGGGTCTTCTAGCATTAAGCGAGATGGCAGCGGCAAGGAATGGTCAGATGAAGTGTCCCGCAATCTTGTATTGCTACGTCTGCTCCTCGCTGGGGTGTCAGTATTGTTTGACTCCAATGGTGTCAATGAAGGCCTGAAAACTACAGCCGCCGGCGTTGATGCTGAAAAATCCATGTCACAAGCCAATGGCCATGCCCCTGAGGGCAGCGACATCGACAATGAGAGCCAGGAAATGAGCGAAAGTGAGACGTCTCTCGATGGCACCGATGAAACTTCCCTCAAACCATCCTTTCAGTATCCCAGTGGGCAAATCCTGAAACCCGGCGATAGTGGATACCAAGAGCTTCATTCCCTCCGACAAGAGATTGGACGTGTCCTTCATGAAGTGCACGGATTCCTTACTCGCGAGGGAGAGGATGATGTTTCTTCTTTCGCACCTTTGTATACGGCGTATAGATCATGGTTCGTTGACGTCGGCATCGAAAGATCAGCACACGTCCTCGACCGGGTCACACGCTTGCTGCATGCGGATGAGCAACCCTACAAAGTCAGTGGCGTGAGAAAGGACTATCCTCGTTCGATTCTCGTACGCCGAGCAAATGTCTACCACACTCAGAGAATGCGACATAATGCCACGCCCCGACCCCGTTCAGAGCTGGATGAGCAGCTTCTTCTCGATCTCGCCCAGTCATCTGTGTCTCTGTATACCGAGGTCCGTAGAAATGCTCAGAGTGCTGGAGAGTCAGCGTTGAAGGTTGTCTTTGGCGCTCGACTGTTTGTCATCCCGCCGCTACTGGCAGCGTTCCGAGCGGCTGTAAAGAGCAACAACTTCCCTCGTATTAAAGGTGGCTTGTTCGCCCTCTTATTCGGCAGTCTTGCAAAGACGGTTGGCCGACACTGGAAGTACACTCCTGATGTGATCCGGACGTTTATCGAGGCCAGTACAGCAGACAAGCCCTCGATACAGAAGCTCTGCAGTGGTGGCTTGTTTCAAATCATGGAATATGGTCGTCCGGGAGACCGCATGGCCATCATTGATCGAACCTATGTCGACCTTTTCACGCCAGACGAGGATGTGGAAGACAAAATACAAAAGAAGAAACAGTTTGTCCTGAGCAAACGCGCCAACATCGAGCGGAAGAAAGCTGAACTGGCCGAAGAGCTTATCGAGCTGGTCCGTGTGTCTCACTGGAAGAAGGCAACTCGAGTTGCTACCGTTGTCATGTCATTAGGAATGCGATTCGATCACATCGCTTCAGACAACATGATCGATCTCATTACTCGCGGTACAATTGATCCTCATCCCGGGCTTCGAGGACTTTACTCGCAAGGTCTGGTGGCTCTCTTCACCATGACTGATGTTCGAGCCGTGTGCAACCATGACTATGCAAACTATATCCAAGCATTGCAGGAGTTTCCCGCGAAAGTTAAGGTCGAGACACACGCCGAGGATCCAGCATGGACAGACGGCTATCTCAAGGCTTTCTCCCAACCAGAAGCTGACGTCTACATCGATCACGACTACCCAGGTTGGCTGGTTTGGTCAAAGACCATGCCCGGTTACAAGGCCAACGTCAAGAATGACATCGTTTACGATGAACTTGAATGGAAGAAGCGTACAATCATCGGAAAGCTACTTGATCGAGAATGGTTTGTCACATTTTTCAAGTACCTCAAACAGGAACCGCGAGATCAGTCTGCAGATAAGTTCCGCATGGCCAGCGCCGCGATGTTGACATACGCGTTCGAGCTGATCATTAGGGACGGCCTGGCCGTTGCCACGTTCGAAGAAATCAAGGAGGAGACACTGAAAGTTTTCGAAGATGGAAGTGACAAACACCAGCATCGCGCTACTGCCGAGATCCTCGCTGGAATGGTCACATCTGTCATGGATAATTCGATTGAGCGACGAACAATGGTGTGGGAGTTCGCTTTCCCCATCATTCAGCGCGTCTTCTCGGATGGATTGACGCCTGAGAACTCTGGCTACTGGACAACATTCCTGCACATGATTTTACAGGCGCGAGACCCACGTCGAGCCTGGCCGCTGGTCGAGTGGCTGGCAAATTTTCGTCTGGACATGGGCTCCAATGCTGCGTTCAAAGAAAGTTCGAAGATACATCTCTTACACCAAGTCATCATGGACGCGGGCTGGCATTTCCAACTTGACAGACCAATTACGGAGGACTTCCTCGATCATATCGATCACCCATATAAAGGTGTTCGGGAGGCTATGGCCCATACGCTTGCGACTATCTTCCGAACCCGATATCATGAATCTTTCAAGGATGTCAGAGAACTCATCCAAGCCCAAAAGACTGCTGGATCCATTGGCGAACAGCCGTACTTGCCCACTGAAGAGTTCGATGGCACCATGCACGAGATCTTTGGGCGATTGGAGAAATGGCGGCAAGAACGGACCCCAGGTCAGCAAACACCCTCGGCCTACACATCTGGAAGCAAGACAGTCTTACTGTGGCTCGACTCGATGCTTTCATCCTACGAGTGTACCCAGCTTCTCAAATACTTCCCGGACCTGTTCACTGAACAATTCTTGCACATGATGGATGTGAAGGAAGATCCGGAGTTGCAGTCTCTGGCATATCATGTCTTCCGTCATCTGCCAAACATTCCCCATCGCATTGGAGAAGACAAGAAACTGGTGGATTCGCTGATACGCATTGGGAGAACCTCACCTTCTTGGCATCAACGCCTTCGAGTCATGATCAACATGCAAATCATCTTTTTCAGGCGACTGTTCTTGTTGTCTGAGGATAGCAAACAGAAGCTGTTTGATTGCGTCGCTGGTATGCTTGAAGATACTCAGCACGAGGTCCGTGCTGGCGCTGCCACTACCTTGTCCGGCATGATACGATGTTCTCCTGTGGAGTGGAGAGATAGCATGATCATCAAATTGCGCGATCGCTTTACACAGATGCTCATCGATAATCCTCTTCCGAAGAAACCAAAGGGCCAGCTGGCAGGCTTGTCGTCAGCACGCACTTCAGGGACGAACACACCAACACCAGAAGCTCAGCGATTGGTTGTTGTCCGACATGCTGCGGTCCTGGGACTAGGTGCTTTGATCCAGGCATTTCCATACTCAAGCCCACCACCACCGTGGATGCCAGACGTGCTCGTGACACTGAGCAGCAAAGCTGCCAATGACCCTGCAACTGTCGGTAACAGCGTAAAGAGCATCATTAGCGACTTCAAAAAGACGAGGCAGGATACTTGGCATATTGATGTAAAGGTATGGTTTCTCGGGTTGTTTTCACCTTCATTCATGCTAACTGAGTCCGCAGGCGTTCAAACCAGAACAAATCGAAGATCTCGCGGGCGTCTTATGGAAGAGTTATTTCGCTTGAACGAGCGGAGCCTTTTTGGGTTGGCATAGCGTCGGGTGCCTATTTTTTATCGTTGCCAGGCAAATATCCCCTGGGGGTGTCGGTCCTGATAGAAGATAATTATCACTTTTTTTTTCATCCTTGTGTGAGTATTTTCGGCGCGTGCAACCGCGACGGCGGCTTCGGTCCGCTACGATTGGGTATTGGTAGAGATGAAGGGAACGAGAACACAGGCCGAAATATTTGGGGTTGGAGACGAAAATGGAAAAGCGATAAAAACGAAGCAATGCCCTGTAGACCAATACAGACCGAATCCGAAAGAAGAATTGAGGAGGAATAGTGAGTGGTTGCTGCCAAAAATAATCCACCATGATCGTGTCTTCTCAGTACTTCATCCTGAGAGTACCAGAAGACGCCCGAAACCCTTTCTCACTGAGCACCAGACTCGAGTTGTCCAGTCGACGTAGTCTGGCTCGTCCGATGTAGGTCAGGTGTATGTTCTAAGGTAACCATCGTTCAACCACTCTAGGTATCTCGCTCCGTCCATCTTCCGCCGGCTTTTTTTCCCCCAAGGTTAAGATTCCATATCCTGAAAGTGCCCGCTCGCTTTTACAGCGATAGTCAAAGCACGTCGCGACACAGCCACTCGATCTCCTTTTCCTTTTCACCTTACTGTACTGTACATCACATGGCCCGTCCCTTTGCGTTCTTCCCCCTACGAGCTCCTTTGAGAGAGGAACCAGAGCGCCTCCAATCCTGCAGGCTTTTTACCGGACCTTCTCCTGCTCGAATGTTCGTGCGAGCTTGCTATACCTCCGGAGCCTGGGCCCGAAGAAGAAGAGCACATAGACCAGCGCGACCAATCCGAAACTGACAAAGCCCAGGGTGGCAAAGGCCCATTTCGTGTTCATGTTGGCGAACATAGCCACGCCGGCGTGCGCGAGGGCCGCCGCGATCAGAAAGCTGGGGATCAGGAATGCGGCGATCGCGCTCGCCGCGACGTTGGGATAACTGTCCGTGATGTAGTTCAGCATGGCGAGCCACAGGAGCGGATCGCAGAAGCCCAGGACGGCGCCGGCGACGACGCAAGACCAGTACGACACCGACCCGTCGCAGGTGAAGGCGAACCACAACAGCGACACAGGGAAGAGCCAGACGGTGACGAGGGATGTGAGGAAGCGCGCTTCGGGTCGGTGGTAGCCGTGCTTCAACCGGTCGCGCCGGAAGAGGTATGTTTGCACGGGCACGAAGCAGAACGTCACGGTGACGCCTGTTGACTTGATTAGCATCCGGCAACCAGAGCACAGCCGGAGGAGAGACAGGTGACAGGACAACGGAGGTGAGAGATGGGGATTACGTACCAACGCAGAAGTTAAGATATGTCAGGTCGGCACCGATATAGCTTAAGCCGTTGTTGAACACAAAAACGTCAAAGACACCGTCGAGGTACAGGAAAAGCAGGCCATACGCGAATCCGTTGTATCTAGGTTCCCCTCGCGTCAGCCTGTCCGAATGTTCCAAATATGAGGTGTGAACAGAGAAGTGACTTACAGCCCCAACGAGATGACGATTGGCTCCGTAAACATGATCCGTAAGGCCATGGTCGTGACGAACTTGAACTCCTGCATGACGGACAACTTGCTCGAGCCCAGCGCGATGTCGACGGCATTTTGGTCGACACTGCCTCGTCGTTTTACGGCTCGAGAGATGACGACTCGGGGGAGTGTTTCGGGGACGAAACAGAGAATGAAGGCGAAAGCGCCGCCGATGATGATGTTGATGTAAAAGACTTGGACATTGTCAATTATTCGAATGTGGACAGGGCCGGGCAGGACGTACTCCATCGCCAACCTAGACTAGGATTCTCAGCGATCCATTCGCCAATCGGCGAGCCCAGACTAGGGCCGAAATTGGCGCTCAAGACGAATAGGGCCATGGGTTGCGCGGCGTTGTCGGCATCCTGAAGGAGGGCAGATGTCAGTGTTGATGCATTTTGTGAATTTCCAGGGAAGTGACGGGAACAGCACATACCCCAAAGAGATCGGAAATGGTGCCTGCGACGTTATTCAAAGCGACCGAGCCGGCCACGCCGATCAAGAAGCAGAAAATGACCAGCATGGGAAAGTTGTCTGCCAAAGCGGTACCGATGTTCAAAATCGCATAAAGGAGGACTGCAATATTTTTAGCATTGCCGCATCTCTCACACATTGAAGGAGTTCCGAAAGGGCAAATCATACTCGACCCGACATAAACCCATTTCCGTCCACCAATATCAGACAATGGACCTACAAAGCGTCAACTGCAGTCCTGGAAACATCCACTGCTGGGACGATTTCGCACCCAAAAATGCAGGACCAACGGCTGTCCCAATGATGAACATCGACTGGCCCAGAGTCGTGACTTGAGCGCCCGTGCCCCATTTCTCTTCGATCAAGAACTCAACAGAGACATAGGTTGTTGATGTGAGGGTGACGAACAGTTGCAGAAGGCAATAAACAAACGTAATCAGCCATTTCTTCCACACAGGCCAGCGGATGGGATGTGCGTCGTCGTTGGCTCGTATTTTCTCGAGCAAGGCCAGGGGATCTTGGCTGCCCTTGCGTGCGCCTTCGATGTCGGTCGTTGGAGGGAGAGTTTCCTGCTTCTTTTCGGACGTTATTTCTGGCTGAATAGCTGCCGGATCGGTTGTGCCGGTCATGGTTGCGACTCGGAAAGAAAATGCACGAGGCTTTGAAGGAAGGAGTCAGAATTGACAAACGGACCAAAGTCTCCGTACAATTAGAAGTACAAAATGAAGACGACGTCAAACAAGATCGGAAATCGAGAATAGCCACAGGGAAGAACCTGAATCAAATATGATCGAAGAAGGTTGATCCATGGCTTGGAAAAAATTGTGGAGCGACTCAATGCTGGCCATCACGATAGGTCATAGCTGGCATTTTGGCATTATCGCGAGGCTTGCCTGTAGCCAGTGATATGGCTCAGCAGGTGCAAGATAACCGACCACTCTCCTTGAGGCGGAGAAAACGTATGGGAGCGACAGTTGTTATCGGCAGGGTGCGAAGTGGCCAGTGACAGACCGGGAAGGCACCCAGATGGTGTGGTGTAGTTATCCATCAAGGCCGGGCACGTTGCGGATCCATCGGATTGCAACCTTTTGATGAGGATTTTGCCTCCATGTCCCATGATGGTGGATGACGAAGGTGGGAGAAACGACGATGATGGAGAAAAGTAACAGAGGAGGAACAAATGAGAAGCTGAATGTGTGGCCGAGGTTCAACTAAGCTTTCCCGAAGCGTGTTAGCCCCGTTGGCTTAGTAGCTTATCCACGCTTATCTTCTTAGTACGAGCCACACGAGCCCTTACCTAGATACTTGGTCGATTCATGCTGTAAGCAGGTCGGGGCCAGCACCCTATGGAGAGAATGCTTTATCTGAAGTGATCAGCCTTGCATCGCTTATCTCTCGTGCTGACGTTCGTATAACAAAAGGGTCATCGGCAGCGCCCGATCCCGAGCGACGACACGAAAACACAGTTGTCTTCTGGCGGCGCCGAGACCGAATACCTATGTACTTCAACATGAACGGAACGCGACCAGACAAACGCTCATGTGAACATCGCTAATTTCAAGAAAGTATCCAACTATGATCCTTTAAGAGCCTTGACTTCAGCCACGAGTTCGGTCAGCGTTTGTGTCAGACTGCTGAGTTGTCGAGATTGTTGAGCCATCATGGCCTTCATGTTCTTCATTTCTCGTTCCATCGATTGCGAGGAGGCGTCATCAGTCGCACTACCAGACTCATCGCCGGCAAGCTTTGGAGACTTGAGATCTGGAACGGTTGTCTGCTCCATGTCAGCGTAAAAACTTGAAATCCTGTCTCTGAAACTTGCCTTCGGACTTTCGGTAGCCCTTGTCTCAGTCTCAAAGTCTTCAGCGTCTGCCTGGGCTTTGCTCGTAGCTGGCGTCGGTTCCTCTTTGCTCTCTTCTGCAACGGCAGGCTTAACCGCAGACGTTCTCTCAGCCGGCTTTTGAACTTCCTCGAAGCTCGAATCATCATCTCCATCTTCTTCCACTGGCTCGCTATCTTGGAATTTGGTGGCTGCTGCCATCATTGTGGCGCCTTGGTCTTTCATGGATGGAGGTGGAGATCGTATCGTTGGAGTTGCGGCTGGCGATGGTTCAGCAACCTCAGGTTTCGGTTCTGGAGCTTTGACAGGTTCAGGAGCCTTCTTGACAGGTTTGGGCGCGTCAGCAGGGACCTCTTTTATGCCTTGACCCTCATACAGGCTCTCCAATGAGATCTTTGGTGGCAGCCCTGAGGCACCCTCAAACCATTCGTTGCTGCTCATGGCTGGTTTCAAACCAACAGTAGGCGGGTAGATGTCTTCTTGGAAGGATTCTGCTCGCCGTGGTACAATGAAGGAGATTGGCTCGATATAGTTGTCGTTGACAGTCTTGTATGCTCGCATTACTTCGTTCTCGTGCATGTTGACGCCTCTCTTTGGCACAAAAGCAACTCCTCGTTGTGGATCCGAAGACTTGTACTCCGACAGATACTCGAACTTGTCGTGCTCATACTCGTAGTACCGAATGTTACCGTCGCCTTTGCCTGCCAGGTACAGACATTGCGTGCCATCATCCCAGAAGGGCATGCATACTCCAGATATCGAGTCGAGCATCTGGAATCCATCGACAGGCTGCTGAGGAGCTCTGATGTCCCAAAGCGCAAGCTGACGATCACTCATTCTTGAGAAGCCCGTGGTCGCGACTCTGTCATGTTCACCCATCCACACCGCTCGGCTGTTTTTGGCACCTGCGTGACCGGCAACTTCATGGGCCGGCTTCTCTTGTCTTGTATCCCATATTCTCAGCTTTTTGTCCCGGGATGTTGTAACCATCAGAGACCCGTCTGCGCTCCATGACATGGATTGGATAACCTCGCCCACCTTCAAATTGAGCTTGGCTGAGCCGGATTCGATATCCCAGAGCTTGACCGTGAAATCTCCAGCAGCTGATGCCAAAACGTTCTCGGCCGCAGGGTTGAATAGCACATGTCCCACTTTTCTAAGAGAGGTCAGCTCGTGCCGCGCTTGTTACTGCCTTGCATCTTACTTGGGGTGACCACTCAGCTTGCCGACCGGACTGACATCCTGAACTTCATCTGCCGGCACATCGAGATGCAGCGTAAAGTCATCTGGCACTCTCCAGAGGAATACCTGAGACGGTCAGAGTCCTGCATACCGAATTTCAGCACGAGCCATACCTTGCCATCGTCGGATCCAGATGCGATCAGAGAGTCATTGAAAGGGTTCCTTCTGTTGTCAGCCCTGTAACTATGCCTGCGCGCCCGGGATTGCCCACCAATCTGTATCTAATACCACAGCAGTATGGCCTCGGAAAAGCGGTATCCTTTCCGGTAATCGGCCTCGTTCGTTCACAGGAATGACCGCGAATGCTCCGCCGCCGCTACTGTCCCAGTTCACGGAGAGGTATTCGGGGTTGGCCTACAAGGTCAGCGCCGGCCTCTGACGACGAGGTGCCAAACGTACCTTGATCAAGTTGGTATCCCAAGCATTTTTCGATATCCTTATATTGTCATAGCATTGTTCCTAGGTCCCTTAGCCGCCATGCTCTTTCACAATTATGCATCGGATCTGCACCTTTCGAGTCGGGCGACCGAACACGTGCCGATATTTGGAGGAACGGACGAAGCGATTCGCCATGGTGTTCTGAGCAGTGAAGATCACTGATGGATGAGAGATTCGGAGGAGAAACAAGACCGAGCCCGCAGTCTTTGAGACAGGAAAGTGCCCCAAACACAGCAACCGCAATGGAGCTGAAGCAACCAACGTTTCATTGTATCCTTTGTTAGCTGACTGCGTCGTGCTGCGCCCAGCCCATTGCTTGAGATACTCCACCGAAGAAATAGCACAGTTTATACGGCGAGCTACATTGCACCAAAGTGCAGAAACTAACTTACTACAAGTACGTGGCAACGCTCCAATTGGAACAAGCTCATCGACTAAATACTTATGCATAGGCATAGAAGGCTCAACAAAAGGAGTCACCAAGTAGCGTGTTTTCTGTTCGTCGCCATCGGTTTGGTGAACGATCTCAAGAAACAGAAAGTAAGCGGAGAAGGCCCGAAAACAAGGATAGAATATAAACAGAAACTAAATTCGGTCGGTACTGTCGAACCACCATGGGTATCCAAGTCGAAAGCAGGGTCGTAATATCGTGGTTCATAGCTTCGTCTCCAAGTGGCCAGGTTGATAAAGACAACAAATGCGACGTAGACCGTTTCGATCCCGACCATAAAGCCGCACTGTGAGCAGTCCATGCGTCGAAAACTTGCGAACTCGCCAACTCGCCCTAGTCCGCCGTGTGAGAAGTGGTAGAAAGTCCAACCTTCGCGCTCACGTTCATGTCGGTGCCATCTCTCTGACATAGACCGCGGGAAAGACGCCGGTATCTCCAGCATAGACTCCAAACCACCAATCTTCGTTGACTTCCTCAATCTCACGCACTTCGGCATGCTTAGGGAACATCAGCTCGCCCTTCCCTTCCTCGCCCTCTTCAGGATAATAACTCCAAAGCGCACGACAGACTTTACCGACCCCGCCGTCCGGAGGATATTTTGCAGACGCAGGAAGAGATACAGTTCTTGCACGAGTAGCACGACGCGTGCCAGTCGCGTCCTCGCGCCACACCCATTGCCCTCGACCTGTAGCTCCTGTAGCTGGGTCGGCGGATTGAGTATTGCCGAGATGAGTTCTCGCAAGCTTCCATGCAGCCATATCTGCCTCGGTCATCTTAGCGCCTCCAACCAGGTCACGGGTGATGACTCTCCTCTGGCCGCCATCACTATCAAATTCGAACGTAACGGCAACCATGCGATGTCCACTTGGACATAAACGCCAGCCATCGGGACCGTCTTCGCGCTTCATGCGCCCGGTTTTGACCAGCCTGAGGTAACAGATGTTGCATAGATCAAAATCACCCTTCTGGTTAGGTTTCTCCACCGATGGTGTCGGATGTTCTGGACAATGATATCGAATTTCCTCGGGGGAGATAGGTCTTGAGCAGATGTCACAGTTCGTTGTTATTGCCAATGGAACGAAGTCGAGATGAACTCCACAAGTAGCTCCGTTCGCAGAAGTCGCACTTGAAGGAGCACTCTGAGCGGGTGACGGAGCTCCTCCAGCAGCACTGTATGGATTCAGTGTGAGGGCGCCCGACTGTGTCAAAGGTCCTCCTTGCCGTAGAGCAGGGTTGGGAACCGTTGACTTGTGGGCGACGGGCAAAAGAGCGTGCTTGCAACAATGATTGGTGTTGACGCAGTCGTTGCAAAAGCCCCATTCACCATCATTGCAGTAATCACAAGACCAGAAACAATCATTAGCAAAGGCCCCACATCGATCACAGAAGTTGCCCTCACGTAAACGAGAGTTTTGGTCGGATGTTGTCATGGCGGAATGTCCAGAAAGTAGCTCAGCTGATGGTGACGGCGTCTGGTATTGTCGACCAATGAGTAGATGAGGTAATTCAATAGCTTGACTTGTTCTCTGAGGGTGGGATGAGTCAAATTTGAATATTGCGGCATGTCCAAAGCCAAACCAATGGTTACATCCCCGACCGGCCCTGTAACACCTCGAGCAGAGATCGAGATTGCAGGGAGCGCAATGTCTGTGCACCTCATATTGGATATTAGGTCGTGAACATCTTGCACAAGAAATAGAAGGTTCCTCAAATCTTGTTGAAACCATGGCCGACGAGGATGCTGCTGGCGCAGGCGCAGATATAGTAGGATCCGACCCGGGGATTGTTGTAGGGACCGGCGCATTATTTACGCCTGACATTACGACCCTTGGAGATTGTGGTGCAGGAGAGCCAATCTGGGGCGGGCTGGCGAGTGGGCGGCCAGAAGCTTGCCAGACTTCAGATGCTCGTGGTGTACTTCTCGGCTCAGTATTCGACCTGTTGGTATTTGTCAAGCCGCGCGGACGTTCCGAAGCCGTCGAGCTGGACTGGGGTCTTTCAGATAGATCTGTCGCAGATCTTCGACCTGCTCTAGTCGCTGACTGTTCACTTCTACCGCTCTCATTAGAGGTTCTTCGTTGATGGGTTCTATCCTGCGGTGTTGTCAATGCTGGCTCAGTCGTTGTCTGCGGGAAGGCCGACGGTGGTCGTTGCCCCAAACCACCGATCACCACATTACGACGTGGACTAGGCTGAACCTCGTGTCTTTGGCTGCTCCTAGACGAACCACGTGTACGGTGATCTGCTTCCTCGGTCTGTGCTTCTGGCTGCGCTGCTGGTTGTCCCAGACTGTCATGGCTCTCCCAATTGGAGGGTGCTCCTCGAGTTCTCTCTGGGTGCAACTGCCTATACCGCTCAGCTATGATCTCGCTAAGTTCATCCTGCTCGGCTTCAGTCAATTCATCCACGTTGATGCCATCCAACAAGCCTTCAGCCAAAATCTCTTGCATCACCTGCGCTTCATTGAGACTACTGCCAGTTCCGGTGCCGCTCTCAGAAGCGCTGACCAGGGATCGTAAGCTAGCTTGGTGAGCAACAGTGCGTGCGCCTCTTTGACGTGCTTCCACCGCGTCGGGATGTCTAGGCGAGCCGGGCGGCGGAGACAAAGATGATAAATCTGTAGAACTGGAGGAGCCGCCTGTTCGAGGACGTGAGACCACGACGTCGGCGCTTGTTTGACGTTGGTGTCTCTCCTGGCGTTCAGACATTCCCGAGCCGTCCAATCCTTGCCGGCGCTCACGGCTCCTACTACTTCCACTGGTGGAACGAGGGGCTTGTCTGGTATTTGCGGAGGAAGGGTGTAATTGTCGCTCTCGTCTGCTTCTGTCGCGTTGTCCATCATCTTGTGCCCTCCACGCTCTCGCCGTAATCTCCTCTTCCTCACGCCTTCTTGGCTCTCTCCGTCTACGAGTCTCGATCTTGGGAAGTATTTCGTCGCCAGGTTTGTAGACCTGCGCCATCTCTGCCTTCTCCTCTAGTGACCTGTCCTTCGCCGGGTTTGCTGCCAGGAACATGTCTAACAACGTGTTGATCATAGCATTGTGCTGGACGTCTTTGACAGGGGCACGACATGTTGGACAAGTGTAGGAGATGGCGGCGGCGGAGTGGGAGTGCAGAGCTTTACGATGTTGATGAGAGAACCATTCTTTGAGACAAGAACCGCAGAAGGTATGTAGACAGTCAAGGAGAGTGAGAGGCTGGTAGAGGATCTCCGTGCAGATGAAGCAGACGAGTTCCTTTTCTAAGTTGAGCAGACCCGTTGAGGAGGATTCGGTAGTTACAGCCATTGAGTCGTTGAGGTCATGTTCTGGAGGTCGGTTATGAGTACGGCTTGTAAATTCCGGTCTGGTAGATGCATGCTTCAAGGACTCATCAGCATGAGAGCGCCATGAAAGTGTGGATATAACGGATCGAGAGTCACCAACGAGAAAATTTGCTCTGTTCACAGCTGCAGCTGAAATGGGAGACTGAGAAGTGATGCATCGTTACCAAGAGTCACGCCCGAGACTTACGAGATGCGCCTAACACTCTTTACGGGCGCCTCTTCTCGAGCTAACTAGCCGAAAGGCAACTTCAGCCGCCTTCTGACGGGCTCGATGGGTGACAGCTGCTCTCCTTCTATAATTAGTCCAGCAACGTCGGCCGTTGTGTCAACCGCAGAACTGAGTTTCAACTGCATGTCGTCTTACAGTGCCATCCACTGGGTACCTACCTATCTTCTAGGCTGGTACTACGGCGCAACTGGTCGCCCACACAATTACAATGCGTCGATATTGCCTTCATCAAGATAGACAACAACCGGGCGCACCACCTTCTGCCCATCCGCGAATCGTGTACCGACAGTCACACCAAGCACTTCGGCATAAATCACACGGCTGTTGAAGTAGGCATATGCCCCGTATCTGACCATAGAGCGGTCGTGAGCGGTCTAATTGCGGTGCACGGTTGTTCATTTCATGATCTCTCAAGATCACGAACTAATATAGCTAACTCATATACTCAAGTCTCTTAGCATTCTGGTTGATATTCTCGCTCCGACGTTCCTCAGACACTGAGGACCACGGTTTCAAAGACAGGTCGTCCCCTGGTTGCCCCCCTTGCGGCCTCCCCTTTTTGTGGGCAACTGTGACATGCTATCAAGTGTCGCCAGCTCCCTTGCCGTCGGGATCAAGACGAGCTGGGCCTTTCCGTCGAGGTGACTCACGCAGCCTCATGCTTCTCCACTTGGTGGGTTTGCGGAGCGCCTTCAGCAACATCATGGACTTTGTTCTCATGGTGGTGACCACCCAGACTCAACTTCTTCTCCAGGTCGACCTCACCCTGTTCCTCCCTCCTGACGCGGTGAAAGTCCACGTGAGTGTTCCATGGCTTGATATTGCTACTGAAGATCTCGTCAACTTCTTCAAGAGTCCTACCAGCGGTCTCGGGGAAGCAGAAGAAGACGTGGATGGTCATGGCAGTGCAGAAACAACCAAAGACGAGATAAGTCTTCCACTTGATGTTTTCCTACTAAGAGTTAGCTTCCTTCTTGCCAATGGAATCGGCAACGCCTCTTACAAATGCAGGGGGGACAAAGTACGACAGAGCAAAATTGAAGATCCAGTTAGAAGCAGTGGTGACGGCAACAGCCTTGCCTCGAACTCGGAGAGGGAACAACTCCGGCGGATATATCCATGATACCGGCCCCCAAGTAGGGGCGAATGAGGCGACGAAGAGATATGTGCAGGCGATGACTGCTCTTGCCGGCGCGCCATGGATTTGCCAGGATTCTTCGGGGACGCCGTCAACTCCTCCCGGCGGTGCTGGCTTGCCGTAGGAGGCAAGGAGACCAGCATTCGCCCACATCCAGATACCCATGAAGGTGGACCCTATCAATAGAGGCCATCGGCGTCCCCAGCGGTCGATGAAGACGAGCGCAAAAATGGTCATGCCGACATTGATCACCTTCCACCGTCAGTACTGAAGGTTTTCGATTTCGCTTGTGCTTACATATTGAATGCTGCTGGCGATCAAGTTGGTATTGCCCGTTAAGCCAGCCATGCCAAAGACGTAAGTAATATAGTACATCATCACGTTCATGCCTGTTCCAAGTTATCACTTATGAACCAGATATCTGGCCTTTTTAGCTTCATACCTGTCAACTGACTCCAAATCTGGGTAAAGACACCAACGTGGAGCCGGTAGATCATGTTTGGCTTGACCAGCTCGAGGTAGGATACATCCTTATTACGTGCCTCGAACTCGACAAATTCGCGGATTTCTTGGAGCTCCTTCAGGACAAATGGGGCATTTCGATTACCCTTGGCATGGACGAGAGCTGATGTTAGTTGTATTAGCGGTTGGACATTTGGGGACTGTTGATGTCGGAGGCAAGGTGGAAATACCTAGAACCGCGTGGCACTCCTCCCAACGGTCTTTACGAGCCAGCCATCTGCCTAGCGGTCAGCACTGTGAATCGCAGTGTTGTCGAAACAGAAACATACCTGGGAGACTCGGGAGTAAGGAAGAGTGCGAAACCGAGAATGATAGCAGGAATCATTTGCAACCCCCATGGAACACGGAACGCCGCAGGTCCGTCAATGAAGCTGCAGCCATACGAGATATAGAACATGATCAAAATACCCCATGTGATCGCCCACTGCTGGGCACCGACGACACGACCACGTTTGCTGGGAGGAGCAAGTTCGGCAACATACACGGGGACTATGCCTAGCATTAGCGACGCAGGCGTGAGGTGGCAGGGCCAGTATACCTTGAGCTGAGCAAATGCCTACACTGACACCGTTGATGAACCGGCCAGCCACGAGCATGCCAATGTTCTGAGAGGCGCACACAATGATGCAACCAATGCACCAGATGATAGCACCGATTTGAATGGCTCGCTTACGACCAAAAATATCGGTCAACTGGACCAGATTAGAAGGAAATCAATGCTGTGCGGTGAGTGACATACAAAACCGGAGGCGAGGGCACCGACGAAGGAACCACCAGGCATTGAAGCGGTGATGCCACCCTGTGTGTCTGAATGAGGGCCAGAGCAATTCGGAGGGCCGTCTCCCTCATTGAAGTAGCTGCCAGGGGAAGACTCAGTGAGACATGAACGAACGAGCCTGACCGGTCATAGGCTTACCATTTGTACTGGTCAGTACCAATGATGGCACTCATGGACGAAATATCGAAACCAAACAGGCCACCACCGATGACGGCGATGGCCGTGATGAAGTAGATATTGCCAATCTGATACATGTTGACTATCGTTCTTACCGAGAGACGGTAAGTACTATTGCCTGGGATGCTGCAGGAAGGAGTGTCACCTTGGGTGGGCGACCAGTCTTCTTGTACTTTCGCAAGAACCCCATGAAGACGGAGGCATCGACAGATCGGTTTAGTCCAGCAAAAATGTGACCTGTGTCCCTGTGTGGTGTACACCTTGTGATCATCCTAGCTGGCCCCCAAGAGGGGAGAGTTACATGCGCATCGTCTGACAAGGAGTGGCCCAGGCGGGCATTTCGCCAGCAGTAGGCATGTACGTAGTACTTGTAGGTACTAGTACTACGTAGTAGTATATGATCTGTGGGGAAGGATGGAAAGAGAGGCCGAGCACCTGCAAGGAATGATAGAAGTGGGCACGCTTGAGGCTTGCCGTTGCGGAAATGGGGTTCCTGGTGGCTGCTGCTGTCCTTGTTGTTGTCTATCCAATCCTGGTTTGTATAGCTTCGTTAGGCGCCTGTCCACGGATGCTTGCCCTAGCTTAATTGGATGCAAGGATGATCAAGAAAGGCGCCACTGACAGCATCTTGACTGAAGTTGGACGACCACTGACGACCTGCGCGTTGCTGCCGATGCTGCCGTTCAACCTTGAAATTGAGGCCTGAATGCGACAAAATCTGCTGATCATTTACTACTCTCATATACCACCACTACCCACCTGGAAACCCACACCAATCGCCATCTAGTAAAGGATGCTTCCTCAATGCAACGTCGCAAGTTTCAGGATCAAATCATGGCCACATTTGCTGCCCGTCCTCGACTGTGCAAAGGAAGGGATTGGGGTGATATTCTTCCTTGTGCTTCGGATCATCACCGGGCGACGCACATATATCATTCTCATCCAGCGGACCAACACTTGGCCGATGCACAACCGACAGGCGAATGGACTTCCAAGGTGGGCTCACCAGGCTCATAGCTCTGGCAGGATCGCCCACACGTGTTACGAGTCTATTGCTGATCATGTTGCGCATCTTTGAAACCTCTCCGAAGTACGGATACGATAGCACCAGACGTGACTGGATCATCCCATTCCCTCCAGATACCTCCACATGGTTTCTCGGTTGCGCGAAGAGGGATCTCCAGCCGAAATTTCATGGTTGCGTGAGGCTGATGAGGCCTGCTTGTCTTCAAGTTACGCCTGTACTCGGTCTTTGCGGACTGGCCTAGTGGTTTCATGGTGCGCTCGTTCGCCAGTCATTGATGGTAGGTCCTTTGTCGGTTCAGTCGGCACGCAGATACTGTGCTCCTTGAGGTATGCCAGGACCAAAGCTCATGCGATCCTCTGCGGGGGTATGCATGGCTGTCCGTACTTGGATCTGTCTTGCCCGTAGTCCGGAAATGGACGAACGACGGGAAAGATGCAAAGATGCGTACTAGACAACGCAGCGCGGAGATGACTGATGGCTATCCTCAGAAACCACACTCTCTTCTCGTGGCTGCCGGGAATATCGACCCTTGATCATCTCGAACTTCCGTGCTACAGATCGGACAGAGCTCAGTCTATCGCAAACACGTGCTGCCATGTCCCTCATTACGGCCCACGATGCGTCCGTGTTATTGCAACCCTCGTTCAGCGTTGTTGCGACTGTGACTCAACAGGACCCGACAGTTGCTGATTCGTCGTGAGACATTACATGCAACAACGCCCTCAAGCGTCCAACATACCTCGGTACCTCCATGTTGTAATTCGTCCAAATCTGTGCCACCTCTTGTGCCTCTCATAGTATTGGAGCTCGGTCAAAGCGATGCCCTTTAGCATCGGGTGAAAGATGCGTAGACTTCTTATGCTTGCCCATTTCGCCTGCTCCGCATTGCGACCTATCTCATGATCGGTCGTGGCCGTACGCGGAAAAAGAAAAACCTCAGAGCTGCGAGAGAGTAGATCCGTAATGGGCGACAGTCGAAAACACACTGGCTTCTTGGATGCCATATCCGAGGATGACCGATCATTGGCTGAAGAGTCCGATTGATTTATGACTCAATGCAGTCGACAAAGTATCTAGCGACATGACACTGTTGTCAACTCTTGCTCTGGGAGTCGATCGTGGCATACGCCACTCAGCTGTTCAAGACCTCATTCTGGGCCATCAGCATATGGACTTGCTGGGCCAGAAGTACAAACAAGGGTCGGCCCATATTCTAGTACTCAACAACAAAGTCGGGATCAACTCTAGCCATTCTGTGCTGGTGCACAACTACTTCGCCGCGAACATCAGCAGGGTGCTAGCTTCATCCTACCAGGAGCGTCTCTCCCTTTGGCTCGCAAGAGACGCACGTCAAGCTTGCACGGCGATACCACTACCCAGAATTTGTTCTTGTATCTGTTAGTCGAACGCTCGAGAAGCACGTACTGGGACCATGTCACCGACAGCACATGTACCACTGGACTCAACCTCACCTCCTCCTCCAAACACAATCAAGTACATCATCAAGCCCATAACATCCGAATCTGACATTCCAACGCTGTCATACCTTTCAGACCTCGCCCTGAAACCCGATGGCTTCCACGCGTACCGGGAGCGCTACGCTCCGCTGAACGTGTACGATGACTGCTTCGACAAATTGACCAAAGCCTTCCGCAACACAAGAGCCCAGAGTGCTCTCTTCAAAGTTGTGCTGGTTCCAAACTCAGACGATGGAGAGGTCGAGGAGACCATCATCGGCTTCTCGCAGTGGAAGCTCGGGTACGCAGAGGTGCCGAAAGTTGATCCTTTTGCAGTCAAAAGAAAACCTCGCGAGGACGCCGTTGTTGAGCAGAGCATGTCTGGTGTAGTGGTCGCTGAATCGAGTGTTGAAGGAGAACCGCCCAGGATAGAGACTCGCCCGACCAAAGAGGAGAAGCTCAAGCCCAAACCTTTCTATTCTGACCCCTTCGAGGAACTGGCGCGGAAATTGTTCAACTGCTATCTCAGCAACATCCGGGGAAAGAGGCATCTGTGTAAGTTCTGCGCCTCACAGCTCTTGCCCGACTAGTTCCTGTTTCTGCCCCGACCCCTGAGTCGCCCCTGCCGGTGGATGTGAATCTGTCTGACCCCAGTCTTCCATTTCTTGCAGATCTGCATCGATTGATCGTCCACCCGACCTATCAACGTCAAGGAATCGGACAAAAGTTGATAGAATGTTGTACGGAGGTTGCGGACCGCGAAAATGTCGTGAGTTGGCTGTTTGCTCGACCTGCCGGGTCGGAGTTGTACAAGAGGAACGGTTGGAAACCCTTGGACATTATAGAGATCGACGTGCCAGACTTGGAAGTGGAACCCATGCTTCCGATGCTAAGGCTGCCTGGTCATCGAAAGGGAGGGTGACACAGCCTTTTAACGACACTGCATAGATTCCAACTATTCGTTGGATGCCTATGGCACAAGCCCATGTTGCCCGCACGAAGCGACACATTGTCAACGTGTCCCAGGTCGAACACCGTGGTTCTGCTGGCTGCGGAAAGAAACGAAGAGGGAGAAAGGCAGCCACTGCTGGGGGGAGTTCGACGAGGAGCACATAAACCTCGAATAGCACTTCCATAGGTAGTCGGTAGGGCCGCAGCCGTTGCTCGCCAAGCGATCTGTAGCTTTCCCACTGACTACTCTCACTTTCTCTTGTTAGCCGACGTGACACTGCTCGAAGCCTTGAATGTTTCGTGAATCTCGTCGTACGCCACGTATAGCACCCAGAACGGTACGAAGACCCCTATCATGTTATTAGTATTATCCTGTTGGAAGACCGACTGACACATACACAGCATATTGAAGAATACCAGGTACAGCCACAGATAGACCGGGTCGTCGCCAGCTAGACTATGATTGCCACTGAGCCACTCAGGTGCGAATGTATAGAAGCCGCCCACCAACTCAAGGGTTGCAACCACGATCGCGACAAACCACAGCCGTGCCTCATGTTGACCTTTCAGCGCGGCTTCTTTCCCGTTGGCAATCTTTGCTATTAGGTAGCAGATGTATACCGCTCCTGGCCCATCGAGAAACACGGTAATCAGCTCGATGGAGATGACCATGAGATCTGCTCCTCCCCATCTTGAATCCGCTTTGGCATATTCTGCCCAGAGACGAGCCATGGGTCCAGAGGAGTAGAAGGCTCCATATCTGCGGTCAGGTCTATCGAAAAGCACCAGTGTTTGACTACCACCTCTTGATGGCTCTGAGCCTTCTGTCACGGCTAATTGGATATAGGAGAAGAAACAGTGGTACAGGAAGCTTCCTTCGATGAGGAAATGGGTAAGGAAATCTAGAGAACAACAAGGGTCAGCATATCTGAACGGACATGTCTGCAGAGTCAGTCACATACCATATGCATGCCAGAGGAACAACCAGTAATACTTCCGCGGAGTCGTCGAGGGCAGGACAAAGGCAGCCAGACCTTGAGCTAGGGGCATCAGAGAAAACGCGATCCCGAGAGAGATGACGGTCCCGGTGTCGAGCTTAAACGGAGGCGGCACAGCATTTGCCAGAGTGTCCGCCATACTGGCATGAGATTGTAAGGACGGGGCCAAGCAAGAGAATCGGGATATGAGATTTTGGTTGTGGCCAGAAGAAAGTGTTGATCTTCAAGCTAAGATGGTCCGGGACGGTTCTCTGGCTACGACTGCCGCTTAGGGACGTCGAGGACGTCTCAGCACCACTTTTCCCGCCCGCCTACCGCCTAGCTTTCCCCAGCTTTTTCCTACCTCTTAGGTGCCTCTTGGGTACCTCTTCTGAATGGATGGCAATTGACAGACACCCACCCTCGGCTATTGAATTGCACCCTCAATGGGTCGTGCCTCTTCCCAGTCCCATCAGTCCTTTCACTCAAAAGACTGTTATGGGGCTGACAGCCTACAACCTACCCAACGCATGCGAGTACCAATGCTCTTTTTCCTCGGCTCCTTGGCTGAAAACCTTTCCAGCTGACGAGGCTTCGATCTCAACGATACCTAAGGTATACCAAGACCTTTGCGACTGCGGAAGCTTGGTTGTAACCCCGCATCATCTCAACATGGCACGCGGACAGCATCTTCTCGTCGGATCTGCTCTCAAAACTATGACATCGTCGCTCGATACCGGCGCATGACTCGCTAACGAGGCAACAACCTCTCCTGCGACACTCGGCCCTTTCTGACGGCTCGTCGCCGGTCTCAGTCGTGGTATTCCTCAATGGCCGAGTCCAATGAGGACCATTCTGGAGAACCAGCAACACCCGACTCGCTCCTCCCCTGCGATGCCTGCAGGCGCCGGAAAGTCCGCTGTTCTAAGACCGAGCCATGCCACAGGTGTGTCTCGTCTGGTCTGAGATGTACAAGAGATATTGCCCGGAAAAAGAGGGGACCAAAGAAAGGATCAGGCTCAGTGATTGCTCGGCTAAGGGACGAAGGACACCAGCTATTGCCGCAAGACGGGAGTCTACCAGCATTCGACCTCTCGCAGCTACAATTGCAGATGCCATCGCTGAATAGGACAATCAGCAATGACAGTCCACTTGGATCGCAACTGACCTCTCCTTTGTCATCGCCAACCAACTCAAACCCTGGCGACCCCTTTGGACCAACATCAGATCCCGCCGGCGTGCCTCGATCCGTTCCCAGTCTACAGAATGGCACTGCGTTCGAACCGACCTCGCATACAGCCTTCGCACAAGCAGGCATCCAATTCCCAGCCTCATGGCAAATGCAACCATCGGAACTGCTACAATTCCAAGCACCCATCTCCCCTTCCGACTACATGACCATCAGCGACCTGGCCCAGCAGATCTTCCATGAAGCACCTCTCTCGATGGGGACCGTGCTCCCACCACCTCGATCATCTCAACGCTCTCCGTCCCGCGCATCCACTCCTCTCACCAAACCAATCTCCCTCGACGCTGTGCTCACCAACACCAATGGCGCACCATCACCCGCGACAACAACCAGCTCCCCAATGCCCCTCCTGGGCCCCAAGTTCCTCTACCGAAGCGACTCGCATTCCTCTCCCATCGAACCCCAGATCCAGTCGCTGGCCGCCGAATTTGGCCTCTCTGCGCTTCTCATGTCCCAATGCATCAGCCAATACTTTCGTCATCTATACTCTATCCGTCCCATCATCCACGAACCCAGCTTCCTTTCACGTCTACACTCTCCCAAAGACTTGTCCGTCGAAGAAAAGATTCTCGTCCTCTCCCTCTGCGCCACAACCGTCTTACACGCGGCCCCTCAATCTGACCTTCAACTCGACAAAAAGCTCTCCCTCGGACGGCACTTTGTCGAACTATGTCTTCATCTCCGCCAAGTAGCAGACTGGGCCGAAAACACCACTCTTCTCTCTATCCAGGCATCCTACCACATCGCTGTTGCACTCTTTGAGCTCAAACGCCCTCGAGCCCATGCCTTCTACCTGCGCGAGGCTGTTGGGATGGCCCTCGACCAGGGCCTGCACCTCGAATCAACCTATCACACCATGGACGACGTACGAGCGATATGCTCGCGACGGACAGTGGCCTTACTCTTCATCACCGAACGCGGGCTTGCCATTCTGCGCAACAAGCCCACGCAAATGACGCGCCTCCCGCGCCTGTCGACAGAGTACTTTGATGAGACGGACGGTATCGTGCTCGCCGGCTTTTCGGCCTTGGCCACTCTCTTTTCCATTCTGGACGAGAAATTCGTACGACTCTGGTCCGGCGACCCCAACGGCGAGCCGGTGGATAATATCGCTAGTCTCCAGCACGCGCTGAACGAAATGTCTTTTGATACGCCGCAGGGCAACTTCGCCATGACGGACGTCCAAAGAGCCGACGTGCTCATTACACATCAATGGCTGCGTCTTATTTTCTGGCAGGCGAGCATGCGTCAGGGCCTGATAAGCTACTCGGCCAACAACCCCATCTTCTCAGCTCTATATCCGATTACGATCGCCAAGGACTTGTGCGACTGCGTAGGCCTCGATGACGCCAGTTCGTACGATGCGATCCTCGTGCATGGCATGGGAATTTTCGAAAAAATCTTCGAGGTCGCGTACACGCTCATGGATGCATTGACGATTGCGAATCAGAATTGGAGTGAAAGTTGGGAACTTCGATGTTTGTTCAATGTGCTGAGCGCGAGTCCGAATAGCCAGAGTACGTATGTGAAGATGCTGAGGACTAAGCTTGAGAGTGAGAGAAGTCCGCCGCAGAGTCCGCCTTTGAATAGCTAGCGCAGTACGTTACAATGGATTGGGTGGTGATCTGGTACGGATATGGCTGAAGGTGGCGCGCGGTATGGTTACAGTATATAATCGGTCTATTTATTGTACATACGGCCTGGATAGGAAGATGAGAGATGTATTTGAGGTGCTATACGACCAGGAAATACCCGTGTTGAAATGTCCACCATGCTTTGGGAGGATTGGTTTCATCGTTCTCCTGATCTAAGATACAGTCTCACTTGATTCTGCTCTTTCACCCACCGGCGTTCATCCACCATCAACTGCCAAAATTGCGCCAGCAACAGAGATCGCCATGTTTTCAGCGAGAAAGACACGAATATCAACTACCTCGTCAGACTGACTGGCCAACCCGGTTCATCGGATATTCGCACAAGGGCGTTCGTCTCCAGCCAAGCCCTGACTTCTGGCTTCGGGTTTGTCATCGGCGAATTTGAAAACAATAGGCAAGATATCGTTCAGGCGAATCCGGTCTACAGCATCGTCGATCGCATCGGAGGCGCGTTATCGTTAACACACCCTGCTTTTGCGCCACTGCACACCCTGGAAATATGGACATCGTATACAGTGCCAGGGCGGAGGGGTTGTTGACGAACGAATCCCACGCTGGACGCGGTAAGGCGGGATGTGGGTATCTGGATATCTGAATAATCTGCTGAGTCGAGTCCTTGAAAACACATGATCTTATCAAGCATGGCCTCGCGCGAGCAGGCCACTGCCTCTCTGATGTTGAGGACAGACGATTCATGTGCAGTCGGACGGCCCCGAATGCAAGGGCTGTGGCGCAGTCACCTCATAATTCAAGTCGAAACGACGTTCGATAGAGAAGAGCCTAGTAGGAGTTGTTGGTCAATGTTGACATACTGTACCAAAGGCGGCACTAGTGGTTTAAGCGACGCCTGGAACATCAACTTTCTCAGCCATGAGAACTCCGTTGTTGCAGAGACGAGATTCGATAGGGTTCAAATGATTTCCGTCCGTGGTCAAAGGTGGTGTGTCTGAGAGGAGAGCCACCTGTCTGAATCATGAAATATCGTGTCATAATGCCGCACATAAGAATACCGAGATGCCAGCTTGTGCATATAATGTGTGTGCAGCTGTCAGCTCCTCGTATACTGATCTGGCTGCGTCTGCTTCCCCGTGGATGATAAGGCCAAGAATGGTGCCAGAACTTCATCCGCATCCGCCCATTTCAGCTCAGGGCAAGAACTCAACTCTGCCAGAGACCGAAGCGCCTGCGTGCTGGGGATGGACGAGGCTCTTGGGATACCGTTCGAAGCGATCTTCCGCTCAGAAGAAATCGTCGTCGTCATCATGTCTGCGCGCTGGTTGCATAGGCGTTTGTCGTTTCGGCGCTGACAACTGTCGACCCAGCGTTCCGGTAAAATCTTTGATGGTTTGACTCATAGAGCCGCATCCTCTGTCAGTATATGCATCTAATGCTTGTGGCATCCACTGCTTCAGTGTTTCGCTGCGGTTATAATTGCTAGGGTGGGTCGATAAGAACTGAGGGGGCTCATACTGCTCGGCTTTTCTCATTCGTTCCCAAAAGCCAACAGCCTCCCTAGGATCATAGCAAGCTTCAGCCATCATCAGAAGTCCAATGTGATCAGCTTCGGTCTCCTGAGTCCTCGAGTGGGGAAGTTCCAAGAGCAGACTGACGACGGAGGATGAGGCACCACTCCCCAGGTCAAAGACTAACTGGAGGAGAATGGAGGCAATGGATAACGGTAATTGGCTTGACATCCTTTCAGCCGCATGATGCGCGACGTTGTGAGCGATCTCATGCCCGAGAACAGAAGCAATACCTGACTCGGTTTGACAGATGGGAAGGATGCCAGTGAAGACGAAAACTTTCCCTCCTGGCACAACAAATGCGTTCTTCTGGGTAGCGTCATCAATAACATGGACCTGCCAGTCATCGCCTGCTAGTCCACGCGTTGTTGGCAGTAGGCGTTCGACGACACGAGCCACCAGCTCGGTATATGGATGGTTAGGTGGGAGTATCTTGCCGCCGAATTCTTGCAGCAGTGCTTGATATTGTTGCGGGCCTCCCGCTAGTGATTTCTCGGTTTCTGGGGAGTAAATATTGAAACGTCGGCGATGTGTAATAGGAACCTCCTCCAGATTGTACACATAAAACGCTCCGCTGCCCACGCCGACAGCCAGGATTTTATTTGGGTGGTTTCTCCAAAGGTATTGCACCCTGCGCACTGGACCGAACCGGCTCCATTGTTGCTGCCGACCACTCTTGTCTGCGAACTGTGTGTACCGTGGTCTGTTTGTGAAAGGACGGGACCGAGGAATGGATCTGAAGAGAATGGGCGACACAGGAAGCGAGCGGACCGATCTTGCAGCTGGCCTGAACCCAAGTCTCGCGGCCAACATGGCTGGCTCAGGGAGCTCTAGAGGTATGGAAGTCTGTAGCGCTCGACTAGAAGAGGGAGGGCGAGGTGTAAGGAAGCGAGAAGGCGAAGAAAGCGCAGGAGGAGATGCAGAAGTACAGATAGCTCGTAGTTCTGGTTGCCTTCAAGTCTTGAGTCTTGTAGCCAAATAAATGGACGTCATTTTGACCCCAGAATATCAGAATTTCGGAGATCCATCCGCATCTCACCAGGAACTCGCCCATACATTCTTTCTCTCAATTCACGATCAAACTGCCAAAGACAATCAACCCCACGCACTTCCGTCACCATGTCCCTGGTGACATATTCTGATTCAGAAGCGTCCGATGACGAAAAGCCTCAGTTCAAAGCCGCACCACCGAATCCTTCGACTGCGCCCACAAACAGCAGTTTTACAGTCAACAAAGCAAATCCGAGAAAGATTCAAGTCAAACTACATGACACTCCTAGTAACGGCGACACCGATGGCGAACCAGCGGCCAAAAGACCACGCGTTGGAGCTGGGGCCTTCAGTGGCTTCAACGCACTGCTTCCTCCCCCAAAACGGGATGCAGACATAAAGACAACCCCGAAGCCAGCCGCCAGGAAAGTGTTCAGTCTCAAGACAGGTGCCGAGCCAGGATTCAGTCGAGAGGCGGATGCGGAAATGCGGCAATTCTTTGCTGAACAAGACACCGGCGATCAGGATGATACAATACCTTCAGTCACTAAGAAAAGCGTGGGTGTCGAGGAAAACGGATCAATAGCACAGCCACCAAAAGGCAATGCATTCATGTTCAAACCTCTCTCAGTGGCTCGGAACAACAAAAAACCAAAGCGGAAAGCAGATACTGCAAAAATTGTTGTCCCGAAGGGTGCTGATGGCCTGACAACGTCTTCCCCAAGTGTTGTCCGGCCGCCGGCAGTTGATGTAACTGCACCTGCTCCAGCACCCAAGAAAGTCAGCCTATTTGGTATGGGTACCGACGCTGTACCTGAAGTCGTCTCTGAGCAGCCAGACGAAGAAGACGAGATCGTGGAAGTCCTAGACGAGCCGGAGCCGGCCTTCGACAATTTCTCATCTACATCAAACGCAGTACCTTCAGCGAGCTCTGCAGCTAATCAAGGCCAATCCCTGGACTCAATCGCCTCAGATCTAGGTCTCTCCAAAGCCGACCGCCGACAACTCTTCGGCCGGCGAGGAGACTCTGGAGGAACAGCCATCAACGTCTTCAACTTCAACACAGACCAGGAATATGCAGCCAATGAAGAACTACGAGCGAGTGGCGAACAGGTGCAGCATAATCCTGTTCGCGGCATCGCTCCGGGCAAACATAGTCTCAAACAACTACTTAGCGCCGCCACGACTCAAAAAGACGCCCTAGAAGAGAGCTTCGCTACTGGGCGAAAGAACAAGAAGGAAGCTGGATCAAAATATGGTTGGTAATGGTAATCGACCGTATCGAGCAGGCTTTGACCTCATGACAACCGTCTCATAATACATACACATCTTATCGGCCACCTCCTCGGCGACGACTGAACTCTCTGTCTCCTTGCTTCAACGGTCTTCGTGCTTTCCAATCCGGACACCAAGACGTTGCGATCTGGACGCGTTCAATCCTCACAATAGGCTTACTCGTCGCCATGCAACATCTCTTCATCGTGCTCTTCATCTTCTTCTCGATCGACGTCGTCCCCGACCTGTTCTTCATCTCCATCTTCAGCATCGACATCGTCCCCGTCCTCTTCTTCTTCTTCATCTGCACTCGAACTGGCGACCTCCTCATCCTCACTTTCGTTCTGCCCTCCCTGTTCAACTGCATCCGCCGCCCGTCTCACTGGCGCATCGAGCTGCCCAATGACTGTTTCGGAGGTGCAGTCTCCATGTGGTGGGTTGGCATTGAGGCCCCCATCAGACGTATACACATCATGGGGACCCCAATTCATTTCCGGAAAGCGCGCCGGAGACTGGCCGCCCATGCTGTTTGTCATGTTGTTCGTTGCAGTGATGATGGGCGTCATGATCATCGCAGGGTTTATTGCTGGCTGGAATGTCAAACTTCCATCTGGCAAAAGACGGAACTCCTGTCGAGCGATTTCGACGACATTAGTCGACATGAACATTGGAGGAGGCATTAGGTCATGCGAGAGGCCTCCTTGACGAGGTGCATTGCGCTGTGGAATAGGAGAGCGATTTCGACGACGAGCCATCGCGTTGGAATGGTTCAAGTCCAACGCTATCCGTGGCTGAGGGTCCAGGTTGCTCTGGCTTGGTGCTGGCTGGTCTGGGTGTCCTGATGCTCGGAGAGGGAGACAGTGGGCTTGAGAAGCTTGAAACCCAGCCGCTTGACTGGTATGGCACTGTAAGCCGACGCCTTGAGCCTGAATACCCGTCATGCCTTGCACGACTTGCATCTGTGGTGGCATATATTGTTGTCGGGTGGCCATTGAAGGGATTGGCTGCATCGCATGTGGTGCAAGTGGATGTATTATTGCATTTGGAGCGCCTGCAAGAGTGTTGCTGGGATTGTTGCCCGCTTGCTCGCGTGCATCAGCAGCAGCAGCAGCAATATGAGCCTGTCGCATGCGGGACAGGTGATGGCTTAGCTCTCGTACGTACAATGGAGGAGTAAGTCGAGCAGGTTGTGCTGTTGTGGAAGGAGACGCCGTGGCAGCCGATGTATTCATGTTGCTGTTGTTGTTATCGCCATTCTGTTGACCTCCAGCGCCAGAAGCCGTGTCCGTCTGTTGTCTCCTCATATCTTCGAGCTGTCGTCGGGTTGGATTGCCTTGTGGATACACGCAATCGTACTTGTGGTGTCTACTGCTAACGCAGTACCCGCATACAGGTCTTACTCCGTCGCACTTCTTCTTGTGGATGATACACCGCACACAGCGGTTTCCCGAGGCAGTGGACCTCGCGTACACCTTGTGAGGAGGTTGCGGTGCTTGCGGTGCTTGAGGAGGATCGTTCCCGCGCTGATCACCGCCGTCGCCACTGGTGTTGGTGCTAGTTGCGAAGGAGGCAAAGGAGGAAGAGCAAGAGGAGGGGAAGGAGTTGCCAGTTCCAGAGTTTGAGAGATCCAGCGCGCTTTGAGCCATAAAGGCGAGAGATGCCTTGTTTGACACGGCAGGATGTGAAGACGAGATGTCCTTGTGGCCAATCAGGCTGTCCAAGGCTGGCGCATCAGGGGCCGCACGGCCACCACGCTCATCACTCTGGCCATTCATTGTTTACATCGATGATGTCGCGAGCAGAAGGAAGAATTAGGACGAACGAAACCACGACTCGGATGGTGAAAGGAAAAAGGGTGTGAGAAAGTCGCGATTGAATTTACTGCTGCAGTGCTATGTTTTGGTTCTCCGTTCCTTTCTGCCACACCGGGACGGCCAGCGCGGTCAAGGCAGTGAGAGTGACTACACAGGTCACGGGCATTTTTCTTCACCGCACACGCGGCATGCTGGACGAGAGGACTCCCATAGAAAGCCAGCTGACTGTGCACGAAGAGGTGTGTACAACGGGCACCAAGTAGTCCATGATGCCGACGCAAGGCGTTGGAAAGCAACCTGTATTTCTCAGAGATATGATGCTTTTTTTTTCGGCCGGGAAACCACTTCTCCAGGGAAGTCACTTAACGTCAGCCAGACCTCTCAGCTCAAGATGGTATCCGGATTCTCCTTATGCCTAGGCCAGAACCTAGCCTCGATTTCAGGTGTACAATCAATACCGGGCACCGAAAAGGCAATCCGCTTGTTTACGATTTAAGACACGGCCTGTGTTCTCCAAGGGCGATAAAGCACTATTCAACCTTTGAGCTTTTCACTTGAGGACTTCGCTCTGCAAAAAGGGTTCCTGGACTACGTCGGTTGCCTGCTCACAGCTACGATACGCGCATGACCTTGAACAGCGTGCTGCCCGAAATGCTGACGGAGCACTTGTACTTTGCGAGCCTTTAAGACAGCTTGCAAAAGGTAGTATTTCTTCAGGAGAATAAACAAAATGTTGATTCACCTATCCCTCTCCCATGACAATTCACTGCACATCGACCACGCTTCCGAACCACCCCTTCAGCGCCGTCGCCAACACACCGGGCAGATCTCGCACATCCCTTACGACAAGATAATACGGAAATGGAAACCCCTCCAGATACCGTTTCGTCCTCAACCTCATCTCCCCAGCATTGACCGCCAACGGATCCGGCTCATACACAGCCTCCTGCAAATCGAGAATACTATCCTGCCCAGCATCCACAATGACAAAGACGATTATGATCTTCTCGGCCTGTGCCTGCCGCACGAGTCTTGCAATACCCTCATGGTTCGAACAGTGTCCATCGCTAACGATGAGTTGCAATTGCCAGAGATCTTCAGACGAGCTGTGGCCCTTGAGTCGCGCGTCGCTGAAGAGCTGGATACTTTCTCTGACAAGATTTTTCACGTTCGTACCTCGTTGATTGAAGCCGAATGAGCGAAACACATTCACACCGGACTCGGCTGGCGAGAAGGGCGTACCGAATGGATGGGCCACGCGGATGTGCTCTTCATCACCAAATCCGACGACACAGATTTCGCCGACCTCGAGCATCGACAGTGCTTTGGTGAGCATGGCTAGTGTTTCGAAGGCAAGAAGATCCGCGCCCGACTCACTCATGGATTTGCTGTCGTCCACAGCTATCATGATCTGGTAATTTCGCTTGCTGGGCACAGAACGTCGCATCCAAATCTTGTCCCGCTTGTAGTTCGACGCGATGTAAGGAATGATGCGTTTGATGTTAAGCCGTTTGCCCGTGCGATAGTCCCCGCGAAGTTTGGTCGCTGTCGTGGGAGAGAGAATGAGACGAAGTTGTTCGGTCAGTATGAGCGAGAATTGGTGTGTCGTGGCCGAGCATTGATTCCACAGCTGAGCAGCATCGGACATGCTTGTTGGCGGAGATGTAGGAGCAGAGTCTTGTTGATCCAGCTCCAAAAGCTCGATATCAGGAGACAGGTCATCTGAAGCTGCATCCATGTCTTGTTTCTCGCTGGCATGTTGGTTGTTCTGGAGTTGATTGCGTGGTATGAAGGCCCCATTCTCTTTCGCTTCTCCTGCTGCCTTTGCTTGAGCTTGAAGACGATTGAATCTCTCGGCTAGGTTCTCTTGCATCTCGGGCTCCAAAGTATCAAGGATATCTATGTCGTCATCGACAGGCATATTGTCGTCCTCAATCACTTTGCTTTGGTCGAGATTGCGAGCCTGATCGCCGGCAGCAGCACCCAAAGCTTGTGCGTCCCCTTCGTCTTCTTCTTGGACATGCTCGAAATCGACATCCGCCATGTCCACATCTGGATCTTGATCTCCTTGAGGCTGCTCTTCTGAGGCTGGTAGTATCTCGCGACGATTATGCCAGTGATCCAGAACATCTGCAAGCTTCTTCAACGCTTCGTTCTGCTGATGCTCAATGGTTTCCATTCGACCCGCACCAACCTCGGCAGCTCCTTTTCCATTGTCGCCTTGATCTTGATCGTCGGAGGCTTTTCCAGGTTGAGATTGCTGAGGATTGGGCTCCTGATCAGCCTCGTTCATGCCTTCAGTGTTTTGTTCCTGTTTGTCTGTGTCTTGGCGAGCGTTGGCGGCACCAGTTTCACCTCCAGCATGTTCGTCTTGCTCTTGTGCCGCATCATCTTCGCGAGTAGCATGATCGAGTTGTTCATCTTCCTCTTGTTCAGCAGGTTGATCCTCCATGACTTCATCGTCCTGGGCAATTCCGTTTTCAGCTTCTTCTTGCTCTTCGAGGTCGCCATTCTCGTCTTCCCGATCAAAAGGCTTGTCGACCTTTTCATCATCCAACTCAGCATTTTCGACTTCCTCAGTCGGCTGCTCGATATCAGACAATTCATCCATCCCATCATCCGAAATGTCGTCTTCCTTGGCCTCCTCTTCTCCAGCCAACTGCAGCTCATCAGGCAAATCCAGAGCCTCTTGGTTGTCAGTGTGCGGGTCCATATTCTCCGCCTCAGGTCTTTCGGCTCCCTCGCCCTCCTCTCCATCTTCCTCGTCAACCTGTTCTTCCCCTTCAAGGCCTTCCATGTCTTCCTGGTCTGCCTTCTCTCCATCTGCTGCAGTCTGATCATCTGACTTCTCACCCTTCGCTTTATCATTCTTCAGTTCCTTGTCTTCCGACTCGTTCTTCATGTCGTCCCACATCTTCTCGTCGACCGCAGTAGGATCGAGATCATCCACTGATCCAGTCTCTTCATCGATATCATTGCCTTCTTCATCTTCAGATCGATCATCACCATCCTCATCAGATTTTCGCTCATCATAGTCTTCCATCTCACCCTCAAGATCGTCGTTGCCCATGTCAACAGCATCTTCGGCGTTCTCGATTTCTCCATCCTGTTCTTCCTTTTCGCGGGACTGAGCGAGCTCAGTGAGGTCTTCATCCTCACTGACATCTTTGCTGATATCCTCTGCGCCTTCACCTTCACCGAGGCCGGTGCCGCTTTCAAGCTTGCCGGATTGTTCTTGGCCGTCTGCCGGTTCCGAAGGACGACAGAACCCTTGAGTGAGCAGCGTGTTGACCGACGTAGCCAATTGAAGAGCAAGACGGCAAGATTCCAGATGAACGGCCTTTTGTTGCGTATGTAAGTGCTCCAGGATGAAAAAGTATTGTTCGATGATAGGAGACGCCACCCGAAGCAAATGACATCCATAAATAAAATCTTGCGGACTCAAATGATGAAGTTGCTCCAACAGCGATCTCAGGGCATCGCAGATGAAGCTGGCTTGCATCGACCGCACTGCCTGAGCAGCGCATTTTTCCGTTTTGCTGAGCCAGCCTTGGTCATCGATCGAATTTGGCATCTCTTTCTGGACTGGAGATAATCTCTGCAGCGCGACGAAAATCAAATCCGCAATCGTTCTGAGGCTCTCATCAAACCTCGCGAGATCTAAAGTCCGGGACCCATCCTGATTGCCGTTCGAAGCCACAGATGACGCTTCGGTCCAGGGCATGATCTGTCGCAAGACAAACTCAACGCGAGGCTCCTTGACTTGCCATTTCTCGAGGGAATGTCTAAGTTCGGATAGTGTCTGTTCTGTCTGGGCCTTCAAGGTCTCGCCCTCGTGACTTACCAAACCATGTGGGAGTATGAGCAGGCCATCCAGTTTGGATCGGAGCTCCTTGAACCGGTTGCTGTAGGATCTGACGCTGTCCAATAACTCCTGCACGACAATCTTGGCATGTTGCGTTTGGAAGTTCAAGATTTGGCAGGCCAAAACTAGGATCTCGGCCAGCCAGGCCAGACGGCGAGACAGCGCTTGATAATCTTCCTGGAAGATCGAAGACTGTGAGATCTCTTCGGGTACGTAGGTCAGACAATTGTGTAGAAGCGACAGCTGTCCTTTCAGGTCGGAAACACTACCAGCGAGCGAGGCGATGGTCTGGCGTTGATTGAGAACGACAGAGAGGAGTCCTTCTAGTAGACCGAGACTTCGCCCGACCTCGCCTTCGGTCAGGTCGTCCGAGTGACCAGTCCGACCCGCTCGGACTTGGGACATGATATCGAGCAATTCGTGGAAGGTGGCGTTTGCATGCGAAATGGACGATGACGGATCAGCGATTGTGAGGTTGGGCGAAGAGGCGAGAACAACGGCACTCGAAGACTGCTTTTCGAGCTCAGAGGTCGGCAAGTTCTTCCTAACACCCATTTGTATGACTGCTTTCAGGGTGTCCGCAAGGAGGCGTCTCTTTCTCTCCTGAAGATGACGCACCATGGCAGTGTTCTCCTCTGTCAATGTCGAAGGAGTCTCGGATCTCAACTGCTTGATGGTTTCTTGCAGATCTTCTCGGAAGGAGGCTAGCTCCAAGTGTACTGCAAGTTCACTCTTGACTCCCATGTACAAATATCGCATGCTCTTGGCTGCACCGAGGGTGTTTGTCAGTCTGTCGGGTCGCTTGTCCCAGTCAGGAAGATTCTCGCTGCATTGCTTCTGCGCCGCTTCAAGTCTGTGCGACGACGATGAGACTTCGGTGAGCTCGAAAGAAGCTGTGGCTTCGGTGATTTCGGCTGGTCGGCTGGTGGATTTAAAGACTGTGACAGATTGGTTCAAGAGGCTACGATATTTCTTCACGATCTTGAACAATTTGTGGTGTGATCGGCGCGCGCTGTCCCGAAGTGCAGTGATGTTCGTATCCTTCCAGCTTGCCATTTTGATCTGGTCTTTCAAGGCTGTTTCGAGACCAGCACGACCGCTCTGAAGCGAGGCCTCGATAGTAGATTCATATCTCCGGTAGTGCTCGATAATGTTGGTGACGCAAGTGTGAATAGGAAGCATGTTTTTGTCCTGTCTTGTAATATCCCCAAGAGTGCCGTTCAAGGCATCGAGGAGCCTGATACGGGCAGAATATTGGCCAAGGGTAGAGGTCTTGAAGAAGCTTTCCAGAGTTCTTGCGAGTCCCTTAGTATGAATCTGCATATCTTCGCCATCGGCGAGCAGTCTCCCAGAGTTGTGCAGCACTGACTCGTACGCAATGAAGTACCACGCTTGCGCATCCTCCTCATGCCTCCGTTTCTCTTCGTTAAGGAGTCCGGACCAAGAGAGCAGTTCCAAGCGTCTCCAGCTGACTATAAGAGATGTAAGTTGATCAAGAAGTGGCGTGACGGACCATTCTCTGCTTGCGACGCTCTGCCACTGTGATATTATCTCGTACAGCTTCTCGGTCTTGGTCATAAGCTTCGCGATCGGATCGCTGATGCTCAAATGCAGGACTTCTTTGCAGAAAGAAAGTGTTTCTGCGGGGACAGCATGTTCGGGCCATCTTTGTGCGATAGCAGTGAATCGGACTTGCACCTGACGTACCATCTGGAAGAGTTTCTCGCTTTCCGCAACATCTGAATCGCTGTAGATGTTGAGTTGTCGAGTGTGGCCTGTCTCGTCCATTCCTGCCACCTTTTTCTCCATCAAGAGCAGAATTGCAGGCAAGAGATCTGTGAAAGAGGATTCGGACTGTCCGCCGCTGGCGCGCTTTTTGCATGCTGCGACCTCTTCGAGAGCGCCCAAGATAATCTTCTGCATAGTCTCCTGCGGATCTTGCACGGTGTAGAGTTTCTGATGTAGTGAAGCCAACTTGACTGTGACAGCGCGAGCATCATATTTCGCCTCAAGACCATCTGTCTCTGAGATTTGCTCATCAAAGGCTGGAAACATTTCCTGCATTTCATGAATGTCGGCTTCTTCTTCCTTGGCCCCATCGCCACGATACGCGTAATACCGAGATTGACTCTCTGCTTCGAATTGGTCTTTTGTCAAACGAGTCTTCCATTCCAGATAGAACTGGTCAAGAACGGCAATCAAGTCTTTGCTGGCGCCATTTTCATCCTTTTGGACTAAGCTCTTGGTCAGGCCGACGTGTTCGAGCCACTGAAACCTGGCGGACGGTCGGGAGTTTTCATTCACCGGTGCAGTCCATGACTGTAGGCTGACAGGGCTTGCGCCCAGCATCGGAGTGCGACGAACGACTTCTGCGATATCGCCAGTATCGCCCTGTTCGGTCGATTGTAGTGGAACAAGATCCAGACCCTGAGAGAGGCACCTCAAGAACCAGAGGATCGGTTTGACAAAGTCATCGTAAGCCCGATTGGACCTCTCGAGCCGCTCGGTAATCGTCCGCAAGTTCAGCCGGCCTTGATCAGACGTCCATTGCTTTAACCATTCTGAACCGATCATGTTGTCCTCAGTGGCTGGCTGACCTTTCAATAGAACATGAGCAATCCTCGTGAATATCTCCTGGAGTTTACTGAGCTCTGACTTGCCCGGCCTGAGTACCTCCGGTGGTGGTGGAACACTCCCAAGAGCAAGAAGTGCATTTTGCAAGATCCGAATCACCATGCTTGTTTCTTGTCCCATAGTTCGGTGGTGAAATTCAACTTGGCCTTGGATCTTAGACTCCACCTCATTGAGTCTTCTTTGGTGCAGTTGGAACGCGACGTTTGGGTAGATAGCCGGATCCATGGTTCTGTCTGGTACCATCAATTTGAGACCAGCGAGGGACAAACTGATCAGACACCTTGCAAGCTCTTCTGGCACAGTATGATCTCCATGAGCAAGCGAGACCACGCTCTCATAGATATAATTGTGATAGATCTCAGCGAAGTAACCCTGACCGTGACCGGTCAGGACGGCGTTGTCGCGAGGTACCTGCGCAAGCTGGACAACATCAACCCAGCCGCCCTGAGATAAACATGACTTGGCCTGCTCAGTCAGAAGTTCCGAGTGAGCGTGCAGTATGCCGAAGAGCACAATGCCAAGATTTGCAAACAAGGGTTTCATCCAGCCATCGAAGGCATTCGTGTGAGAAGTCAATTCTCGTACCACCAAAGACAACTCTTCCTTGGCATGGGCGAGCATACCAAGGGGCTGCTCTTGCACCGAGGTCATTTTCACCACGAGGTCGACTCCGATCGAGTTCTGATGGAACAGCATGGAAGTATCCAGCGAAGCAAGCTGACTGAGACAGAGTGGTACTTCAAGATCCGTTGAAGTGGGCAGCAAGGCTCTTCGTGCGCTTTTCGTGAACATTGCCACCAATTCCAGCTCGGCGCGATCTGCATCGCGTCCTTGGAGAGTGACAATTTGATGAATGTAATCCATCACATGTTGGAATTTCCCCTCGAGCACGAAGCCGTCAAGCGACTGCATTTCAAGGTCCGCAACAGCTGCTTGAAGAGGGCCCAGTAATGTCGGCGCTTGATCGGAGTCCAGGATAGAAGCATAAGCCTGCTGCAGCTTGGACCTCAAGGCGGACAGCGACGCTCGAGATTGAGCCAGAGACTGACATACCCGGTCAAATCTGGCAATGAGTTCTTCGAGAGCTACTTGTGTTTCCAGTTGCAATTCTGTTCGTGCTGTCTTCGGCTGAAATAGTGGCCACATGAGCTGAAGCCCCAACCCGGTTGTAAGTGTATGGTCCTGAGCCGATACCACTGCCAGGGACTTCTGGAAAAGAGCCGCCAAGTCAGGGAACTTAGCCTGCACATGACGAACAATGTCCGTTCCAATCTGCACAGTGGCATTTAGATGTGCAGAGTCCAACGATCTGACATTTGAAACGAACATCATATACCTCACCAGTGCGAGAATATGCTCGATAGCTACCAGTAGTTGCGGGTCTGCCAATCCTGCTGGAAAAGCCGTTGCGAGCTTGGAGATAAAAGTTTGGGCAAAGGCGTAGACGTGAGGTACGTCTGCGGGGAGTTTCGACTGACCTGCCATGGCGGCAGAAGACTTCTCAAGGACAGTTCTTTCTTTGGCAGGAACGGTGCGTGTACGATTCCTCGCGGCCTTGAGACCATCCTCGATCTCGGCCAGCTGTCGAGTGACATACCATGTTCGCGTAAACAGTTCCGCCGTTGTGAAAAACCAAATTCTCCCGGCAAGGGGGCGCTGGAGTTGGATCAAAGGCTCGTTGAGTGCTACGAGCTGCGGTAGATCTGAGTGCACCACGTTTGTGGACAAGCATGACAACCGGTAAGCCTCAGTGAAGTCGAAGCTCTTTCGGATGGATACCTCCTTCTCGAGGATCTCAGTGCCAGGTAAAGCGGGTTCATGGCCATGAAAGAGTGTCATTTCTCTAGCGGAGAGGTTGTCGACAAATGCCTCAATGGCTTCAGGTTTGAAACTTTCGCAAGATGCTTCGGATAGCTGCCTCAGCCGAGCAACGGAGGATGTATATGGGTACTGAATCTGATGTGGCCCGAAGTCGTCGTCGCTAAGAACCGGCATAGAGATCTCTAAGGAGCGATTACGCATAGCTCGTGACAGCTCTCCATATCGAGGATCCATCGTCAAAAATATGCGAAAGTTGGGATGCGGCTTGATAACTCTGGTGTTGCCGGCATTGTGATGCTCGCTTACTGCGAGCAGTCCATTTGGTTCGAGGAGCGAGTTGAGTCGATCGAGTACGGATGGATTGCAGAGGTTCGCATTGTCGAGAACTAGCCAGCAGCCTTTCTCAACAGCATCAACAAGGATGCCGTCATTCCATACAAAACGCGACCGCATATTGTCGGCCGAGCTCAGCAGCTTGGAAAACGCTTCGATGGAGCTGGCAAAGTCCGGTAGGAGTCCCGATAAAGTAGGCAAAAGTCGTGAGAGGTCGTCAAGTTTCGCCTCATCTGAATCTAACTTTTGCCACAAGCCGAGCAGGTATGCATGGTTTCTGTTGGGAGATTGTGGTCCCATTGCAAGTGCAATTCTTTGCCGAAGAGCATCTCTCACTCTGCGCTGAAAATCCACGATCTCTCGGCGGACATCATATTGCTCAAAGCCGCCAACAAGGTCCATAGTGTCCACATCGGCGTTCATCGAGAATTCAACAAGTTCGATACCGCACATAGCTGCAAGCGATTGAACAAGGGTTGTCTTGCCAGAGCCAGGAGGTCCACTCAGGATCACTGGCCAGTTGCTGTTGACTGCCGTAATCACTGAATTTGCTGGAGGCAGATGTGAGACGGCAACGGTCACGTTGGATCCTTTGGCTCGTTGGAGTATACCATCTCTGGCAAGAAACGCGGTTCCAACTTGCAAAGACGTCGATGATATGCATGTGTAAAAGTTCTCCAGAAATGGTGACTGCCACACATTCTCGCAGACCTTGAGAGACAAGTCTCTCTGGGAAGTTGTGCGAAATCGTCCTGTCACAATAGTGCGAAAGTGAGCTGACGCAGGGAGTGTAGGCTGTGTCTCGCAGAGCGCCAACCATCGACTGACATCACGAAGATTCAGCTCCCAAGGGCCTCCTTGACTGAACGGTGGCGCTTGCGAGACGAGTTGATCGATCTGTGTAGCCGTCTCAACCACGCCCTTGAGCTGATCCGCAGGAACGCTAGGGAACTTGCGCTGGCAGATGCAAATAAGATCCTCCTGTTTGAAAGCATCGGCGTACACCACGGTAAATCGATTCACAAAAGACGCCGGCAGACCTTTTCTTCCACCGCCTTGATGGTGTGGATTTTGAGCGGCGAACAATGTAAATTCGGGGTGACAAGTGAAAGACTTGTCCAACTCAGCGATGTAAACTTCTCTTCGGTGGTCCAGGCAAGAGTTTAAGCCTTCCAGGACAGATTGAGAGGCCAAGTTCATCTCGTCTAGGAGAACCCAGCCGCCACTCTGCATAGCTTCCAGTAGAGGTCCGTTCTGCCAGGAGAATTTGCCCATCTGTTCGGTTTCAGAAGGTGCATCTGCACCGAACAAATCCATGAGATCTGTTTGGTCCGACAGATTGATGCGGGTTAATTGTCTGCCTGAGGCTTGGGCCAAAGCTGTCACAATCGCAGTCTTGCCAACACCTGGACTACCTTCAAGAAGGATCGGCCTGGCCATCTGTAGAGCACGTACAATTCTCATGGTATTCTGCAAAGTTGTCGGAGCGTCAAAAACCAGGTCCGGCATATCGTCGATCCCTTTCCGGGTTCGAGGCAAGGAAAAGGGCCCAATCGCAAGAGCATTGTCGGCAGCTTCGAGCTTGGGAGTCTCGAAATAGTGCCTGAAGACGTCAACGGTCGCGAGGCTTTGGAGCTGCTCTAAGCATTTACGTCTCGAATCGTGGATGTCCATTGCACCCGTCGAAGTCATGCCAGCAGGATTGGCTCCGATAGAATCGACATAGATCATGAAAGCTCCTTGGATGAATGCAACTTTAGCCCCTAGGGACAAGGCACGGTTGATGAATTCTGCCCACGCCAGCAAATCGCGGAGAGAAACAACGTCCGAGGCAACGTTGTGAAATGTTTGGCGAAACCAGGTCGCGAATGTTAGCATGCCTCGCGCCACGTCCTCCTGGTTTGAAGCCAGCTTGTTTTGGACGATCGGCAGAATGTCCGCTTCTTGTGACAAAGGAGGAACCCAGATCTCTGTCAATCGGTTTCGAAGAGCAGCCGACAATTCTCGTTTGCCATAATCACCACCCGGATTCATCGTCGCCAAGAATTGGAAACTTGGATGAGCGACAACAAGATTGTCCATGGAGCCTTTCTCTGCAAGCAGGATGGTTCTTGACGGCTCGAGGACGCTATTCAATCGTTCTAGGACCGAGTCATCAGCTAGTGAGATCTCGTCCAGCAAGAAATGATTGCCTGTCTTCATAGCTCTGACAAGGCTCCCATCACCCCAGGCGAACAGGGCCTGATATGCTCCGATACTTGCACGTGTCCGTGCCACGGCCTCAGGCTCAAAGGTCGAAACATCCATGGTAGAGAATCGCTGTATCAATTGATCAACATCGAGTTCCTCGATCGAGAGCCCATTCCTCTGCGGATCGATCAATTTTTGCCAATTTTTTCGAATGCGCAACTCCAGCTCAGACCGGTTTCGGACAGGTCGTTGAGAGCCAATGAGATCGCCGGTTTCGGTATTTGTGTGGGCGTTGTATATGTCAAGAGGTCGATCGAAGGCCGCCGCAATGACTTGACAGATTTGCGTCTTTCCGCATCCCGTTTCGCCAACAAGCAGAACAGGCTCGTTGTGCTTCAGAGCTTGGGAGACCAGGACGAAGAGCCTTCGCATAGCTAAGGTCCAGACAACTCCATTGGATTGCTGTACGCTATTGGGTATCGCTGGTAGCCCGTACAGCACGCTCTCATCAATGGCGACTTTCATGGTCTCTTCAATAGTCTTCTTTACAACGGCACGCTCGGCGGGTTCTCTTACTCTTTCAGCCAGGAGCATGAACCCATGATTGGCAAGCTGCTGCCTATCATCCACGGTTCTTGACGCCCATCGAAACAAATCTCTCAAAGTCGCAAAGCTGTTCCGCTGTTCAAACAGTCTCGAAGATTGCCTCTGCAGCGAAAGCTTTTTGTACACAGCGACAATTTGAGTGCAAAAGGAAGGGGCAATCTGTGCTCGTTCTCGTAGGATAATCTCAAGCTCATCTTCGGGGATATCGTCGAAATGAAGTTCAAGGAAGCGATTTCTGAAGGCACGTGAAAGGCGCTTTCGTCCACCATAGAGTCCAGCAGGATTTTGTGTCGCAAAAAGCATGAAGTTGGGATGTGGTCGAACAATTTCTTGAGACTCGGGTATCAACAACTCTCGATTGTCGTCAAGCAGGCGGTTCAGTGCCTCCAGGACATCACTAGGAGCCAGATTCAGTTCGTCCAGTACGATCCAGTGGCCCTGTCGGAGAGCGGCCACAAGCACACCTTCCCGGTATTGTAGCTTTCCATCGGCATCAGAGACGTAGCTGCCGAGATACTCTTGGAGGTCGGTATGTTCATGATTGTTGATTCTGACGAATTTGTTGCCAGACAGCTTTGCGAGATACTCCACCATGCTGGTCTTTCCAGCGGAAGTAGGACCTTGGAGAAGTATCGGGAAGCGGCGCATCGATGCGGCTCGGGCCAGATTGAGAAGATTGCGTTCCACCGAAGGAGTTCTGATGTAGTGAGGCTGGAAATCAGGACTCATTGGTCCTTTCTTTACAAGATGGTGTCTGAAGGCAATGAATTCTTCTCCATTAAAAGGCATCTTGGGCTGCTGGCTGAGGAAAGATTTCCGGTTTTTGACGTTAGATAGAAGATGCTTTTCGAGGCACGGAAGAGCCAGGGTTTCGGACGCTCTGCTGAGCACCGTGAAGAAGCTCATTGCAAAGCCTTCAAACATGGCTCGCCTCAGTCCGTGGCTTGCGCTATGTTGCAGGACGTACAACAGGCAGCGGACAAGGGATCGGATACTGAAGTGAGGAACATCGCCGGCTCCATCTGTCAACTTGTGCTCCTGGTTGAGCTTCTTGAGATCAAGGTAGGTCTTAGCCAGATCCTGCGCCGCACGTTTATCGTTGTCAAGCTGGCTTCCCAGGTATGACTGAATTATCTTCGTGAGGTCTTCCAGGCTACTGTCGCCAGAAGGGACGTAGATTTCCGTGAAGCGAGACCGCAGGCCTGAGGGAAGATCCTTCTTTCCAGCATCTGTGGCTGGGTTCATAGCAGCAAAAATTCTGAAATTTGGATGCGCGATGATCGTCTCGATGCTCCCAGCTTCGGCGAGAAGAAGTGAGGGTCTCTCATCGTCACCATTGTGAAGGAGACTTACAATGTAGTCAAGTGTATCTGCTGTTGCCAAATTTATCTCATCAAGCAGAACCCACTCCCCTTCTCGGACCGCCCGCACGAGTCGCCCTTCAACAAAGGCAAAGGTATGGTTCTTGTCCCCATGTTCGACCTGTGAACGAATCTTCTTGCAACTCTCTTCAAATTCTGCCCACCTGCTGCGCAAAGCATCGTACTTGGGCGTTGCAAGCTTCCTTCTCTTCGCGGCACGAAGAGGATCGTCGGGTCTGGGTGAGTCTGAAATTGTCGCCAGCGAATCGGCCGCAAGCTGAATGGCTTCGTTCCATAAGATCATCAACCTTGACCAGTTCTGCTTCGTAACTGCTTTTGTAATTGCTATTTGAAACTTCTCATTCCTCCTGGATGAGAACGTGTCGTCAAACAAGGAGTGGAACGTTTCGACTAGAGGCAAAATGATCGAACGTGTGGTCACGGGCTTCAACCCACCTAGAAGATCACTGACCTCACTCTGCTGCGATAGGTTCACAACAGTAAGTTTCTGACTCACGAGGTTTGCAATGTGCTGGACTAGAGTAGTTTTCCCCACACCTGTCTCGCCCACCAGGAGACAAGGTTCTGAACAGCTTGCACCGGCGGCAATGCGGTCAAGTGTTCGTTGAGCATATCTCGTGAGCGCAAATGGTGTTTTCTGAGGCTGTCGCCGACGGCTTGCTACTTTGTGGAGTGTGCTTCGACCGATCTGGATGGCATTACCGCTGTCTGAAATGTTTCCAAATCCTTCATCCAAGCAATGCCGCATCTGCTGCGGCGAGATTCCCATCTCCCGAGCTATAGAGGCAGCTACAACGTCATGGAGCTCATCGTCGCTGATATAGCTAGCATAGCAGTCAACCGCATCTTTGAAGATGTGGAATTTCGTCGCTTGCGCTAGAGGTTTCGAGGCTGACACCTGTTCAGAGTCAGGAAGCCTCCGCACTATCCGTCGTGTCCACTTCAGCAAGTCTCGCAGGGAAGGCGACCTTGTTTGCAAGCTCTTGAAACGCGTGTCGTCACTATACAGTTCTGAAATTTGCTTGTGGACCTCCAAAACCGTAGAAAGGAAGATATCGGCAGCAGAGTATCTCGAGCGTAGCAAGGCCTCGATTTCGGACGGGTCGTAGGTGGCGACCTCAACTATGGACCATAGCCGAGGGTTCAAAAGCCAGGACTGCCGCGAGCCGGCCGTCAGAGGGGATGAGCGACCTGAAGACTTGATGGTGGCAAGAATGCGAAATCCGTCTTTGGGCCGGATGGTCTCCTTGCGGCTGGGCAGAAACAATTCACCATTTTCAAGGATAGGACGAAGCACGCCCATGACCTCGGCTGGAGCCCGGTCAATATCTTCGATCAATACCCATCGTCCTTGCTGGATTGCCTTCGTCAGAACCCCGGCCTGCCAGGTGAAAGAATCGCCATCCGGAGAGGAGGTGTAGACCCCTAACAAGCTCTTCGCGTCTGTCTGTTCATTCAGATGTAGAGTGATCATCGTTGACAGCTTGTTCAGCAACCTGGCCGCTTCGTGTACGACGGCAGTTTTGCTTGAGCCCGGTGGACCAGAGAGCAGAACCGGCTTTTCTGTCAGCAGACATTGGCCGACTTGCTGTAGATTTCTTGTTGCGGTGGAGGTGAGGACGAAGCTTGAATTCGACGACTCGAGCACGCTCGCTCGAGGTAGGAGCACGCCTCCAAGACTTGCAGTTGTCGGGCTAAGATCACTGGCGTGTAAAGTCCGTACCTGGGTTAAGGGCACAGCTTTTTGGAGTCGACTTTCCACGTCTGTCAATGCTTTTGATTGCTCCTTCCATCGATACTCCTCCCAAATCTTCAGTATTCGGTAGTCGATTTGTCTGGTCTCCCAGTCACCCAAGATTGGGTCTTTGCCGATATACGTTTCGACCATTTGCTCGGCAAAATCATCTGCAAAATGCATCACCAAGCAAAGGCATTGGATGGCCATGTATCGGATTGGCAGTGATGAGTGGTAAAGGAACGACGACAGATATGTGGGAGCAGCAGTCTCGGCGAGGAGGTCTCGGTCAAAGGACAGAACGCGAAACAAGGCGAGTAGTAGTGACTGCAAGTCTTGGTCATCAACTTGGAATGAAGTGCCTTCTGCTTCACGTAACCGCGTGAACAAGGATTGCGAAAGTATGACATCTCTGACATGGCGACGAAGATACGTGGCAAAAGGTAGTAACCGGGCTAGACATGAAATTGAGTGGACGAGTTCACTGACGGGTGGTGTTGAGGTGAACGTCGTCCATCGTGCCACAAGCTCTGGGTAAAGTGGTTTGTACAGCGGAAACAATATGTCTGCATATTGTGGTGATGTCGTCGCCGCGTTGGCGAGTGTCTGGAAATACTCTGATCCAGTTGATCGAAGGATTATGGATCGAAGTTCGGCCGGAAGTCTCGCGTCTTCTGTCAGTTGCGCATCAGACCACGAGCAGTACACTGCTATATCTTGCATGGTGCGAATTCTGATGCGATAGATTGAGAGAACCCTCTCAGATCAAATGAGATCTTGGTCGTGTTGAAGAAACATCGAAGATGAAATCTCAAGTCGAGGTTTGCCTTCCAATGTCGAATCTTGGCATCAAAAAAAGTCGAGGGTGGCTCAACTTCGGATGTGGCGCAAGGCTGTGCAAGGCTGTACGAGGCTGCGCGAGGCTGTGCAAGGCTGAAATCTCAAACTGGCATGGCATAGCATTAGGACATGTACAATATTATCATTAATACTCCGTGTATCTCGGCTCGTTGAACTTTTCTCCTTATCCAACTCATAATGCCACTAAGCGGATCGCAAATCCTGCGACAATCATCAACGTCGTCCAACCAACTACACCTCTCGTCGCAAGATTCTCGCTTCCATTTCCGCTTCCACTTCCTGATCCTGATCCTGATCCATCATCATCAAACGACGAGTCTGATATGCCATTACTGACCAACGCCGAACACCCCGGCCTCGTATCCATAGCCACCTGATCTCCGTCACCCCGCACATACTCCGTCGCAACACCACACCCACTCTCATCACAACTCTTCAGCAGCACACTCTTCGGCACAAATGTCTTGACACCCCTCGTCGAGGAGTTTCGGAGTCCATTACCTTCGCTGTCCAACGCCTCCACCAAGCCAAACTCCCAATAACCGTCTACCTGATAACTCATTTCAAACCCATCCTTATCCACCGTCCCGAACTCAGTCCAGTCTGCATTACAACTCCCGCGGCCATACACCCTCCATCTCGCAACTTCGGTCGCACCATTCCAAGACATATAAAACACTGTGGGACCACTATCCGAGCTGCGTGCGTATGTGTACAGCGCCGGATTTTCTCTCGGGTTCGTCGTGAGATTGAACTTGAACGCGCGGTAATTCATAGGCCCATCTGCATTTACATTCGCTTGGTAGATTACGGTCCCATTTGGTAAGTGCTCCGTGACATACGGCTGCGAGCCCCAACCGATAAACGCGTTCGAAGTCGCCCAGTCCGAGTTGTTCCCCAGCAATTGCACGTTGCCTTGTGATGATGATATTGTAATCCCTTCCGGAGCCGGGAACGACTGGAGCAACGTCGCCCGAGGAGGGTCGGTGGAGTGATTGAGCTTGATGATCATCCCGCTCGACGCTTCGGCTGTGGACTCATACCCATTCGAGGCGTTGTCGAACAGCGTAATGATGTCAGTGCTAGCATTCGACGATTTCCAGCGCGCATCATGCTGAGAACTGAAGATGAAATCCTCGAGCTCAAAGTCGGAGTGTTTCCCACCCAGACGCCAGATTACACTCCCATCCTCTCCGCTGACCTTGAAGACTGTATTGACATGTCTGGCCGAAATGAGGACATCGCCATCGTCGTTCTCATCCGCCGAATTCACGTGGATGTAGTCCCATGGCGATGCCGCAGAGAAGCCAGTGCCAGCAACTTCAGACGCATTCGGCAGAACGTACGACTCGGCCAACGCCACATGCTCGATCGCAGACCACTCCCAGAGTAAAGCACCCGTCGCAATGTCAATCCTCTGAACGATGACGTTCTGGATCCAGCCTTCGCCAGTGGTGATGTCGTAGTCGCTCAGGTCGTAGCGCTCGGGGTGGTACGACGTGACGTAAATCGACTTTCCGTTGCTGGTGAGTCTGTTCTCGTGCATGTCGAGGTTCGCCATGCCATTCTGAGCTCTGACGGCGGCAACAGAGGTAAAGTTGGTATTGAAGACCTCGATGTGGCCTCTACCATAGCCTTGGCCTTGTTCGCCATTGAAGAAGCAGAGATGATCGGTTTGTTTGTAGTTGCAGACGTGAAACGCTTGCACGTTGCCTCCGCCAGTGACACCATACCCGCTCCAGATCAGTTGTCCCTTTATATCATAAATCACGGCCGAGTCCTGCTCAGTCTGGTAAGGCGCCATAAAGATGTATCCTGGAACAGTGCCATCCTCGGAGATGCTAACGTGCAGGGCAGGTGGAGTCAAATCGGGTCTTGAATAGAACCATAAGGTGTCGCCATCGTCCTGAGCATTGACGAGTCGCAGTATGAAACAGGTTAGAATTGTAAGCGACAACAGGCTTCGACTGTTTATTTTCAAGGCCATCCTGTTCTAGCCGAGCATATTGTCATGACCCAAAGGGAATAAGCATGAACAGGATACAGCACGGTTGAAACTCGGGCCTACCTGTCGAAGCTGAACGCTGCCCGAACCAGAACTCCAAACTGGGGGTTTTCACAGTATTTGAGCGTCAGCCACAAGGAGATCCAACTTAACCTCCCCTACTTGAAGCCGGCTAACCGGTCCAGAGACTTTCCTAGCCGGCCAAAATCATGGTTGATGTTGAGAGGTGACGACTCCTCATGCATTGGGAGGTCGAATGTATGTGTCATTGGCCATGCAAACAGCGGAAAGACGGCACGTATCTTGAGGACCTTGAGATTGTCCGGGTCGACCATGATCAGGCGACCTTGGCGAAGAGACTAGGACCACAGAACATGGACCTTTCATGGGGAGATCAGCCTCATTGTCGGTGGAATGCATCGTGATAGGCTGTGGACCCGAACATAGCGAACCGCCAGGCCCAAGCGTAGGTTGGAGCGTTTGGTGGTTGGTACCTGGATGGTGGTAGTTGCAATTCCCTCGAAAAGGTATTTTTGCTTAGCCGCTTCAAAGATTTCCACGTGCGGGATTGAGCCAGGAGCAGGAGCAGAAGCAGGTTGACAGGGTGACAGGCCATGGAGCACGCGACAGTGCAGGGCCGTGATAGAAACACCATCATCACCTTGCTTTCACAAGGAGGAAAATCTCCATCTACCCACGTTAAGCACATGGGGCATGTCCAGATAAGATCTCGCCTTCTCAACAGTCCTCTGAAATGAATTATCAAGCCATCTATTCAGGCCATCGCAATACTATGCACGAGCATATATAGTAGTCTATCTGAATAAGTCGCTGATCTGCTGGTCCACCGATAACAACCCATCGTAGAAGGAGTTGCTTCTCCGCCACAGCAAGAAGGGGTATTCTGCTCCAAGAAAAAAACAAAGGGCAGCGAAGCGGTACAAGCCGCTCAGGAATTTTTCTCCATAGTTGCGACTCGATGCCTCCCGAATCTTCACATGAAAGGTTCCACGCCGGACATAAACATCGAGACTGTGACAACAAATAACTAGACATCAAAACTCACAGAATATGGAACAAAGTCTGTACAACATAAAACTCGTATCGTCAAGATTCATTACTCCTCGGTCAACGCATCGTCGGCCACCTCTCGCCATTCTCGCGAGTAGTCAGTCAGTCGTTTGACCCCGGACACTCGCTCCGCCCAGATGGACTCGGACGCCGACCGGAAGGTGTAAGCTCGTTGCGAGGAGATGACGCCGATAGCCTGGAGCACGGCTTTGCGAGAGTCGCGTGAGAAAACTGCGGGGTGGTTGATCCATTCCAGGCTCGATTCAATGTCGGCGTCGAGAGCGTTCATAGTCGCGTGGTCCACGCCCGTCGTCCGCGGGATGGGCGTGCTGGCGTCCGAGTGAGGGCTTTGATCGCGCTGGCGATCGGGTGTTTCACTCCTGGGGCTGCTACTCTTGGCAGGTGGTGTATGCCTCTTGTTGCCCGGGGCGCCAGTGGGGAGAGGAGGGAGGCCTCCTTTGCCGAGGCCCTTCAGGATGGTTCTGGTTTCGTTCAAGAGGTGAGCTGCGCGCTCATGTTGTCCACGAGAAACCAGCGTGAGCGCGCGACTGAGCATATCGGAAGTCAACAATTCCATGCGTCGCTGAACAATCATCGGGTGAGGTGGAATAGGGGGTGAGGACGGTCGGCCGCCGCTCGAACGAGAACGCGGATTGGCCGGCAGCATGGTGATGGCCAACAAGGATGGTCGAGGTAGCTGCATGATAGAGCCCTCTCTGAGAAGGTCACCATAGGAGAGATCGGCTTGAAGAAGTGGCAGCTCCTCGACACTTTGGACACGCTGGTCTTCATTGTCGAGAGACCCACCCAAGGCTTCGAGGCCAGACACGATTGACTCCCATGGATCCTGGGGTGCAGGTTCCTGCGACGAAATATCCGGGTCAATGGCCAATTGTACCAGGATATCCCGTTTGTCTCCAAAGTGAAGATCTCCCAACGTAGCTTCGGCGTCTCTTCCAGTAGCTCTCTTGGTGGTTTGCAGGGCGCCTTGGATCTTGACAAACTTGGCGGGCGAGCCTTCAGGTAATTTCAGCTTCAGCTTCACGTTCTGATGTGACATGGACTGGAGAGCGCCTAGAACACCCGCAGCGCACTCACGCAGCATCATCCAGTCCTTGACATAGAGGTATGACGCTTTGGTGCGAGTTGACAGCTCGATCATGCTTTCAGGTTTGTGGGTGAGGCCGAGACCAAAAGAGTAGATGCCGACCCTAGCCAAATTAGCATTCAGTATGTTTAGAAGGAGGAGGAAAGGCTTACTTGGCAGCTTCAGCTCTTTGAACAACGAAATCGACACTGTCGCTGTCGGAGCTTGAAGAGTCACTGATCAGGAGTATGGTCGAGATCGGGTTCGCAGCCTTCCGCTGCATCAAGAGGTCCATGGCCACGTTCGCACCCTCGACCACGTCTGCACGCAGGCTCTTTTGTCCCACCGGTCGTATTGAGTTGAGGACTTTGTTCCAACCTTGCCAGGTCTTGGTGGTCATTCCAACCACAGGCACCCCTCCACCACTGGATCCGAACGTCACCAAGCCCATTCGATCTCGCTCGCCCAGATTAGCGACCAGAAACCGCAAACTATCTTTCAGTAATGATATCTTCAAACCTTGCATCGAAGAAGACACAGGGATCACGACCACCACATCGATGGGAACATGTAGGGAAGGAGGGATCTTTCGATCGACAACTGGGCGGTGCATCGAATACTCGGTGGCTGCAGTCGTTGCAGACTTTGGCGCCCCATACGACGATGCGACGGATGGCACGCGTCGGACGGTTCGATTTTGTCGACCATATTCTTCTTCATCGGTACCGGAAGTATCCTGCTCGTAATCGGGTTGATAATGTGAGAAGCTGTCCGACGATCGCAGATCCCGAAGAGCTCGTTGCCACAGTTCGAGTTTCTCTCTCTCCTGGAACAGGAGGTGAAAAGTCGGCAGCTCCGCGACGGACAAGTTCAGAGTGAGGATGTTCTCCTCCAAGGAAGCATGCACCTGCCTCAGGTGCTTCTTGATCAGGATCGAACCTTTCAGCGTGCAACGCGTCAACTTCTGACCCGATCCGAGGATCACCGGAGGATGGGCGTTCTTTTTCTCCTTGACACAAATCAACATTTCTCCGAACAGGTAGCATTCTAGCTCCTGCCACGAATGTCGATCTTTTCCGACGCGTATCACGCCGTGCAGGCGCAAATTTCCAAATCGCTGAAACTCCAGACCGTGCCAATTGTCTACACGGATACGGAGTTCTTCGGTGATCTCGTCTAGCACTTCAGGAGACTCGTAGACCAAAGGCCCCGGTTGAGGTTCCGACTTTTGTCTCCCAGGAATGCTGATTCCAGAGTCTGTCGGAATGGGAGGGACAGGAGGTGTCTGTGCTTCATCGAGTTGTGATTGCCATTTGATCTCGGGTACCTCAATTGTCACCAAGCAGGTAAGACTCTGCTGTTGTCGGGATCTGGTCAGGGTAGGGTATTCGCTACGGACGGTAACGATTGGGGAGGGTATCGTCTGCTTCGTGTCTTTCAGTTGCGAATTTGAGACGGTGGTTTCCATGGCGTGAAGGTCGTAATCATGCTTTCGCGAGTGAGTGACAGGATCATTGGCGAAGTCTGTCGACGAGGCATTGCCGCCACTGTCGTTGCGTGTGTGGCTTGGAGCTGCAGTGCTGGTTGAGCGTCCCTGTCCTTGTCCGTGAGCGTGTGCTTGTCCTTGTGCCTGTCCTTGTGCCTGTCCTTGTGCCTGACCAATACCCAAGCGCTCTATCCGCATTCTCTGGCTGTCTCGACTATCTCGATTCGAATTTTCACGGCTATGTCGGTTGGGAACTTCTCGAGTGCTGAATGTGTCTTCCTGGGTTGTTTGCCTGTCCCAAGGCATGGGAGTATTCTGAGAGCTTCTTGGCGACCCTGAGTCCTTTTGTGCGACAGCTCGGACCATGTTGCTCAACTTGCCTGTGCTCGACGTTAGCGGTCTCCAACCAGGGTACACAGGTCAAGACCCACTCAGATCCAGTATACTGCCACCACGAAAGGAATCCAAGCCCAGCGGAGCGTCGCATGTCGGGCAGTATTGCGCGTCCGAGTCTTTGATGTATTCATAGAAACAAGCCTCATGAGCCACATGGCCGCATGAAAACTGCAGAACCCTCTCTCCTCTCAATGTGTGTTCCAACAACTCCTCACAAGCCGCACATTCCCCGCCAACGAACGTCCTCTCTCGTCTCGAGCGTGCGCGGTCGGAGTCAAGCATGCCGGCCATGGGATGTCCGGCCCCGGGAACACTTGTGGCCGGCGAAGCAGGAGGTCGTTGATCTCTGGTGCGAGGGCGACTTTCGTTGGGCGTGTGTGGTCTGCCCAAGGTGCCGGAAGAGATGCTGGACTGCTTGAAGTTCGTATTAAGAGTCGCACCGCTCAATGAAGAGCCCGCGCGAGGAGGGTAGCCGTCAAACCGGGCTCGCGGGTGGTGATGGTCTGCGACATGTAAAACCATGTGTCAGTATGTGATCTTGGTCCGTGCCGAAACAGTCTTGAATCTAAAGCGCAGGAATCAAAATCTTTGTTCAGGAAGGTCTTACACTGCGCCGTCTTGGAACTTTTCGTGCTGGACGAGGACCTGAAATCAGGACGGTTGAGGAGTCCCAGCTCGTAGAGGTTTTCGGCGGTCGCTTTGGTCACCTCGGTGCTGGCGAAGGATCGGTCGTGTTTGGTCATGAAGAGATGCCCGGACAGGCAGTGCTCCTGGATTAGGTGCAGTAGCGTTGTCGGGCAATCTCGTAAATCATCAGAGCAGAGGGATGAGAGAAGGAATCTGAGGTGCGAAGGAGGTCGATAGCCACGTGGAGACGCTTCCCGCTCCTGTTCTTCAGTGGATTCTCGCGAGGACGGGGACCCAAAAGGTGAGGACCAGAAGGGGTTGCAGCGCAATAAAAGGTTAGACAAAATATGAACCTGGTGGCCCCTGGCCGCAACGTAGCAGCAGCAGTAACGATGTTGCTCTTATTACAGACTGTTTTGCGGGCTTCGGTTCTGGTAAAGAGACGGTGCGAGTTCTGGGTGGATTTCGCGGGCCTCAGACAAGTTCGGGTTCAAAGTGCTGGTGGGGAACTTTGGGATGATTGATTCTCAGACCTTGGAGGGATGATCGATTGCGACCGGCGTAGTCGACGCATGGCATGGCGCAACATCAGCCTGGGCTACTACTGAGGATCGTGGGCATTCAACTGGCGGCTCGTCTCTTTGGCTGCCGTTAATTGCTGGAGGCACAGTACCTAGCACTCCATCCGAGTAGCCTCCAGGCCTGCAGGCAGTTGCGGCAGTAGTGGATCTGGATAGACTTCGTCGGGCAAAAAATAAAGGCGCTTGTAAAACTTCGAAGGACCAGGGTCTGGTATGGTGTTGCACCCGCCGCCTGAGACCATACCTGTGATGGAAACGCTTGAAGCCGGTGCAATGGGGACCCGCAATGGATACATTAGCCGCAGTGAACAAAGCAAGGGCCACTTTCCAGGGGTGCCCTGAGCCTGGTGAGCCCTCTGTGGCCCTCTATCTCTCTCACCCGCTGTCGCGTTGCCATCTCTGCTCGGTATGCCGAAAGATCAGCGTGCAGGCTTGCCCTGAAGGGAAGCAGCCACTGGCGGGGTGACTGGCAGTCAACTCGAGGTGATGCAAGTTAGAGACAAGGTCGGTTAGCCACCGCCTGAGAACAGTGGGACATGACTTGTCAACCTCGTGTTTTTCTTTTCCACTGCGAGGCTTGCAGGGTCAGGCACCCACAGGCACCACAAGCATGTGTGCAGTCTCTTTGTTCGCATTTGTGTCCCGCAGCAGCAAGTGGATGACAGTGTAGGGCAACAAAGAAGCTACGTCACTTTCTGGTATGTGGGAGAGCTCATACGGAGTAGACAACAACGTCAAATAAGTTGTAATGAAGAAATTGGCTGGTTTGTTCCGATTGACACCCAGGTGACTCTACGCAGTCAACGAGACTCAGCGCCGTTCATCACAGGGCCCGGACATGTTCAGGGCAGGTTCCACATGGATCAGTGCCTTTCTACCAGCTTGAGGCTTGGACTTCTGCGGGAACGAGTTGAACCTGTGAGTACATGGTATCTCTTGCAAGGCAGGAGGTGACTAGAACATCACTTCCATGGAAGGGTGAAGCAGCACCTGCAGCTTCCGGGATAACAAACGAGCCAAATCACATTGTTGATGCTGGCAGGCCGCGTACCGCCACACATATGTCGAATACCGGCATTTATGGCACTTTCACAATCGGTCGGATTCAGGGATCAAGCTGCTCGTGCTGTTCCCCTATCACTGATGCATCCGCCAAATCCGTTTCCAACGAGCGCTGTGCAATTAGCTGTTCATCATCCCTGTGGCCAGCAATGGTGACGCCTTCGTGCGCCTTCCATAAGCCAATGCCGTCATTTGGAGGGCGATCCCCGACCCAAACACGAGGTTCTGGCACTTTCTTGAGGTCTTCCCTTCTTCTGGGACGCTGGGATGTCCCATGTCAAGTCCTTGCATGTGTCGCACCAGGTACAAAACGTCTTCGTGGCCTTCGCAGTGTCAGGACTCGAGGATGGTTACACAAGACCAGGGTTCGCCAGTAGATCCCTTGAGTCCAGCATCGCACCCCTTAAGCCTGTCAATTGGACGTTTTTCCGGAAGATCTAAGTGGCCCCGATACAAGCCAAATTTCGAAACGTGGTCACTGGCGTATTGAGGGGCCGTTGTGCCTGAGCACTCAGCACTGGCCACGCGAGCCACAGATGCAACGGCACATGTTGTCTCCCATGAAAGGGAAGGTCAAATGCAAAGGGACCTGAGCGACTATGCAGTAAACATACCGTCCTAGACATCCACAATTGATTGCTCCATTCGAAACTGTCGTAAATTTCCAGACATTGGCAGCTCACGCAACCTGGTGTGCGCCTGTATTATTTGGCGAAGGTCTAGACTCTTGAAAGTACCCTGCACATCATTGTTCCACGCTTGTCAACTGTCAAAAAAAAAAAAGAGTGGCCGCCGTTCCTCGGTAAGCAAACGACGCCATTTTTGGGTTCGCAGCAAGAGATGTCTTTTTCGTTCCGCTGTCACCGCTTTCTAGTGTGACATCTCAGAGCATGGTCGAACCCATCTGCTCGGCTCCCGTCCGTGACATGGACCTCTGAGACCCAAATGGCTCGTGCCAGTGGCTCGGCACCCGGGGAAGATGCTAGCACTTCAGGTATCCATCTGAAATTATCTTTCTATTCGAGAAAATTGACCGGGATGCCCTACCAGGAACATTTGAAGTGCTGCAAGTCTCAGGATTCTCACTCCCGAAGCAGTTCGTTGGTTCGTTTCACATTTCCCAGTCAGCAAAGAGCAGAGGCTGTGCGCTAGGTGCATGCTGCAGTCACAGAAAATTCAAGAACAGCTGTTCCCTCACTCAAGGTTGCTGGATTAGCAGTTCGCTAGCATCATAGTAAAAGGGAACAGGACATTGGGGAGGTCCTAAGTGATTAGCGATCGGGGACTGGGATCGTACAAGTCGTCCACGTATAGGCCCCTTCACCCAGTCCATCACTGCTTTGTGGCATGTATTCAGTAAGGTCGCAGCCGTTAAAACCCACCATACCAGCCGACATGGTAGCAGGAATTTGCCCAACAGGCTGCAGCTCTATAGTCCAGGGCGGAGCTGGCCAATACAGAAAGATATGGTCATCCAGAAACAAGTCTTTTGCTTCTCGCATCTAGCTATCTTGGAAAAGAGGCATACTCTTGCAATTGGTGAGCACCTCAGGGACCGTTCGGGAGCTGTTCCTGCATCGCGGCCAGCCTTGTATTGATCTATTGGCCCTAGCGACATATCTCAAGCACTCGAATAGTGCAATTCGCGTCGAGCCGTCGAAAGCACGCTAATCTTTTTTGACCTCTCGCGTGGTGTCTCTTGGCTGCAGGAGGAATCCTTCCTTCGGCTGTGACATTTCAATCTCGGTCCAGCGTCTTGGAAAAGGAATGTGGGCTTTAACTCCGGTTCTTACCAAATCGAAACCATACTCAGTGATCAGGCCACGCCACGATCCGGTGCTTGACACGGAAGACAATGACTTCGGATCCCACGAGGTCCATGGGATATTTCCTTGGACAAGAGGCGTCACATCAGCCAGCGTCATTGTGTGTTATGATGATATTCGAGATGTTGTACGTCAAAATGCAGTGATCGACAACCGGATGGAGAGATGACGATGAGACCAATGCAACGGACATCAGGTTCCATTGCCGCGGCTCAAGGACCTGCACGATTATTGTGACTGGTTCCCAATTCGCATCAGTAGCTCCTAAGCAAACTCAAGCAGCCAAAGTGTCACGATAGAAGAAAGCCACGTTCTTTGAAAACGAGACTAATTCCGCGCACAGGGGTTTATGCGGATCCTTATCGCAAGCCACAGTTGCAAGTCTGCCACTGGCAACTGCTGCCTTTGCCGTTCGATGGGTTATCAAGCCTTGTCCTTCCCAGTCGAGTGTGCTTCAAGCAGACTAAAGGACCGGAAACAACAATGAAGACGGAGCAAAGTCAATTCGTGCCTCTGAGTTTGTAGATGATCCTTGAGATTGACCAGGCGATTAACGGACAGTCACTCATTCCACTGCATCTTGCTTCTCAGCGACCCCCAAGTAACCAAGGTTGTAATCATTCACTCCCTAAGGAGGACTCTCCTTGACAATAATGGTGATCGGGACACGGCTGTTCTGATGAGCTCATGTGGGAAGCGTGAAGTCCCCGACACATGATTCTGACTGAGTGGTTTCCGTTTGACTTTCGCTTGTCATTGTGCCTATCCTTCGCATCGCGCTAGAAGCCGGGGAAAGCCAATGTAAGCACCTAGCGTCTCGTGGCTCGCGTGGTATGAAGATCATTGCTCAATATAGGGGATAGATAGCTTGAAGCTGCAGCAATGAAAAAAAAACCACCATCCTTCTCGTCGAAGAGGACTTGCAGTCTCTATACCCACAGCTGTGCACGGCTTCTGGTCAGTGCGGCGCAGTCTACTGCACCCTTTTTAAAATGAAACATCCGAAAGAGCTAGTCGCCCAGCCCAATCGCGTCAATTGGACAGGTGAACAACTTCGTATGTACGTAGTACCTCTCTCTGAGTATTCTAGGCCGCACGGACGTTCTCGTTTGGGCAAGTCCTCGGTGGTAAGAGACCAATACGATGCCCTCCGATCCAAGGCTCTCATGAGAGCAGTACGGAATACTGTGTACGCAGTGTCGAAGGCCTTTGAAATCACATAAGTCACCGTCCAAGGACCACACGGGTATTCCTTCTCCGCATGACAGACAGAGTAGCAGATGCGGGATGCGAAGATCATCACCTAACCACAGGATGGTCGATCATGAAATTCTGAAAACCTCATCGGCCTCGAGCCCTGCTTTGCGATCAACTTCGACAGCCGAAGGGATCGGCAGGAGAGCAAAACAAACTGCCGAGCACCAGACTTGGCATTTCGCCTTTGGATAATCTCGTCTCCCTCGTGCCAACTCACTATCGTTTCCCTGATCCTCCTTTGAAGCAAGGGCCCCAATCGACAGCTGCGCCGGGCGATATTGCGTCTTTACCTCGTGGTTGCAGGGTAAGTTCGCTGATTGTCTGCTTGCCTCGTAGCCGATTTCTAAGCTCTTTTTGGTGAGGATCACCATTGCATGGAAGCTGGATGTGTTGATGGTTAGGCCCATGATGGCCCCCACTCTGTTCCCTACCAAGCCCTTGAAAAATAGTTGAACTAGATGCACAGTGTTGTAGCCGAGTTGACTATTGAGCAAGTTCCGACGAAAAGGCTTTGCAAAATCTCGTGAAGTGGCCTGACATCCCAACGCCTAAAAGGATCCGGGGCTGTGCCTTTCAGACGAGATGCCCCATGTTCCGCTCCAGTTGTTCGTCGCTTTCGAGGGACGGCACGTCCACTCGGTGCCGGAAGATCACCTTTCTTTACAGACAATCGGTACAACGCTCCTCGGTCGTGAAGTATGGGGCAATAGTTCTGGACACTGGAAGGTAAGTACTCCGTAGGCAGGTCCAGAGAATGTGTAAGGACATGAAGACAGGTTCTTAACTTGACACGATATGCTGCTCAAGGCCTCCGTTTTCCTGCTGAAGGAGACTCCTCGCCTCATCAGGTCCATTGTCCTCTTCAGCGTCATCTCGGAGTACTCCAGCGCCTGCGACGAATTTTTCCCTTTTCGCTCCGTCTTCGGCTGCGGACAGGATCCACCAGACGTCCTTTTTGGTCAGCATGCCTCGAAAAGCTCCCCGTTCGACAAAGAGGAGGTATCGTAATCCGAGATTCTGGAACATGTGCACTGCGAGCTGAAGCGAGGTATTTACGTTTAAAGTAATTGGTGTCTGATTCATCCAGGGTCGTAGATCAATCCCACGTCCAGAGATGATGTCGACATGATAATTGAAATAGCAGGGCGTCTGCGAAGGGAGATCGTGGGAGCCCGCAGTAGAGCTTGGAACTTTGGTCACTCGGTCCAGTGCGTACGCGAGCTCCGTCCGTGAGATATACCCTAGAAAAGTATTCTCGCGTGGTGAATGTGGTCGGCTTGAGGGCATGTCAATTACGTCGGATGTGACATGCTTGAAAGCCACCACAGGAAATCCTCTAAATGTCGTCGCGCGGAGAATTCTGCGCAGCTTCTCGACTGGATATGCTTGGTTCCCATCCAAACATGTCATCTCCTCTACCCTTGTCATAACGTTAGATACCGAAATGTGCGGAATGGTCGCATCATCCCTGTTTTCCAGGTATGGGTACTCGTTGAATTGCATCCAGGACTCGTAGATGCCTCTGGTCGAGAAGGCATCGCCAATCCATTTGGCAAGCATGACAGCAATCATTATCGGTAAGACATACGTGAGAGCTCCCGTCAGCTCAAACATAATGACCACGATTGAGACTGTCATTCGTGTTACACCAGCTAATGCTGAAGCTGCGCCAACAATCGCATAAGTCCCTGGAGTTACACACGGACCATCTGGCTCGCATGCTGCAAAGATCAATGAGGTTGAAAAGTGCTTGTGTAGCAATTCTACCAGGACACCGAGAGTCCTACCGTAGAGGGCACCGATCGCAAGAGAAGGTAAGATGATACCGGCTGGGATCTGCAGGCCAAATGTGATGCTGGCCAAGAGGAATCCGAGAACGGAAGCGGCGATCAGCAGCCATGCCATCGATAAAGCTCCAGCAGTTGTGGCTTTACACAAGCCAAATATGTCATTGTTGCCAATAGTAGCGCATTCCGCGAAGAGGTAATAGACTAGCTCTGAAAGTTGAGCTCGCATAAAGGTGTTTGGGAAGTTGACAATTGCGGAGATCGCGGCAACAATGAACACTTCGAGAAGAGGTTTGTCTCGAAGCGGATAACTACCAGACTTTCGCATGCGTGCGATTAGCATGTTGAGCTTGATGAACATACCGCCATAGATTCCTCCCGTAAATCCAAGTAGAATGAACGGTACGACTTCGAAGCTGTGCCATCCTGTGGTGTAGGTGACTTGATAGAGGACAATCTTGCCGGTATGAAACGGATTCAAAGCCTGCAGCGTGACTGCAGCCACCATGGCGCAGACAAATGACTGCCACATTGTCTTGTCTGGAAAGTAGTATGACAATTGCTCGAGCGAGAACAGCACACCGCCAATGGGAGCGCCAAAAGCGACCGAAATGCCCGAAGCAGCGGCTGCGGACAACACCTCTCGTTTTCGAGCTTCGTTCTGGCTGAGAGACTCAAACGGCTTCATGATAATATTGGCACAGCAGCAAGCGAGATGGACAAAAGGTCCTTCTTTACCAAGCCACATCCCAGATGAGACTGTCAGACACTGAGCGAGATTAGCCAGTACACGAGGGAATAGAAGCAGTTACGTACCAGCCCTAGAGACTTTGTGAGTAGAGTCCAGCCTCCCAAGAAGCGTCTGATCACAAAGCCTCCGAGTACCGTCTTTATTTCCGGGATGCCACTATGTCGGGCGTATATCGAGTAGTGCTGGACGAGTACGGCAGCAGAGACAGCAAAAAGAACCTGTTCCCATATATTGTCAGCCGCAATCTTAGGCAAAGAGATGTGCTACATACCGCGAAAACAATGAAGAAAATGTAACTTATCACATATTGTCCACCCACTGGACCTACACCCAACGCCGAGGGCCAGGGTGTCCAGTCCTGGCACTGAGAGAAGTCATCATGTCCCCAACAGCAGAACTGCTTGTTCAAGTAAAATTGCCCACCACCGGTGCCTTTCTTGCAGTAGCCAGTCTTGATATCGCCCAGCCAGTCAGAAGCAATATTGATCAATGCTGCGACGCACCCAACAGAAATACCACTTGCCACAAGGACGAGCCAGACGTGACTGGCGTCGAACAATTGTCTCAACTGCCCTGAAAGACCTGGATTGAGTGCAAGTAGCCTCCTCAGGCGCTGGCGCTCTTTTGTGTACTCATAGATCCAATCGATTGCCGTCAAATCATCGTAACCCACGCGCCGGCCTGGTCCTTCGATGTACCAGTCTGACGAGAGCTCATCTTTCTGGCCTCGACTGTACGCACTTTCCTGGGCAAAATCTCCATAGCCATCTTCTTGACCTCGTGCATCTTGATCTGTAGGCGATGAACTGGACTGAGCCCCAAAACCTGCCGTGTTCGAAGGAGGAAGAATACGAGTGGCAGGACTTGTTGCATGAGAGGACGTCCCACGTTCCACGCTCTTCTGACGTCTAGTACATCATCTTCAGTCAACGCGGACCAGAAAGCAGATTTGTACCTACATCAAGGAGATGTCGGCGCCCTCTTCTGTGGACAACAGACCACGGTCTGCACGGTTGCCGTTATCAACACGCGAGGCTGCCATGATGGTTAGGCACAATTCTCTCTCCCACCAATATACCCTCGCTGCGGGATCAAGATCGTCATACTACACATACTGTCGAGTCCATAACACGTAGTAGCAGATACTCGAATTGACAGGAAGACGAGTTGAAAGGAGTCCGCTCAGTCGCAGTCGACCGACCTTGGCGTCACATCTCCGCAGCCTTGCAGACTGCGACCGGCTCGAAAATATATTTCAGGCTCTCCCGCATTCATATTTCATTGTCCACCAACACCACCCACCGTTCACTCTACAATGTCGCTAACGATACCCCAGGCCTCTCAGGCCGGCCTATTCAAGCCTGGTTATACCAGCTACGATGCCGAAGATGGCGCCGTGATCCGGAATGTACGTAGAATCTCCGCCTGATCACACCATTTTCTAACAACTTCCAGATTGACGCTTGCAGAACGATAGCTCAGACCGTACAAACGTCCTTAGGACCGTACGGACGAAACAAAATCGTCATCAACCACCTGCAAAAGATGATCCTGACCTCCGACGCCGCCACCATCCTGCGCGAACTAGAAGTCGTTCACCCCGCTGCGAAACTCCTCGTCATGGCCAGTCAACAGCAAGAGGCCGAGATGGGTGACGGGACGAACATGGTCATAGTACTGGCAGGAGAGCTGCTCAAGAAGGCGGAAGAACTAATACGGATGGGCCTCAAGACCAGCGACATTGTATCCGGCTACGAAAAAGCACAAGCCTACGCCTTGACGTGCCTAGAAGACCTCGAAGTCGACAGCGTCTCAGACCTGCGATCGCCGGAAGAACTCACCAAAGCTCTGCGCACAGTCGTTGCGGCGAAACAATCTGGCTCCGAGGACGCCATATCACAATTGATTGCCGAAGCCGTCCTCGCGGTCCTGCCCAAGAATCCAGTCAACTTCAATGTAGACAACATCCGCGTGGTCAAGATCATGGGCGGAGACCTATCATCATCCAGAGTTGTCAAGGGCATGGTCCTCGGCCGTGAACCTGATGGGATCGTAAAACGTGCGAAGAACGCCAAAGTCGGCGTCTTCTCTTGCCCCATCGACACCTCCCAGACCGAGACCAAGGGTACCGTCCTCCTCAAGAACGCCCAAGAAATGATGGATTTCTCAAAGGGCGAAGAATCCCAACTCGAGGCCGCCATCAAAGAGCTCTACGACTCCGGTCTACGCGTAGTCGTTGCCGGCTCAACCATCGGCGAATTGGCCCTCCACTACCTCAACAGAATGGGCATTCTCGTGATCAAGATCCTTTCTAAATTCGAACTCCGCCGCCTCTGTCGGGTTTGCAATGCCACGCCCCTCGCCCGCCTCGGCGCCCCAATGCCTGATGAGGTGGGCAACATCGATGTTGTCGAGACCGCCGAGATCGGCGGCGACCGCGTCACCGTCTTCCGCCAGGAGTCCGAGACCGCAACGACACGAACTGCGACCATTGTCCTCAGAGGAGCCACGCAGAACCATCTCGACGACGTCGAACGCGCGATCGACGACGGCGTCAATGTCATCAAAGCCGTGACCAAGGACTCGCGCCTCGTCCCCGGCGCCGGCGCCACAGAAATGCAACTCGTTGAGCGCATTTCCCATTTTGCGGACAAAACGCCCGGCCTGCCACAGTACGCTATCCGCAAATACGCCGAGGCGTTCGAGGTCATTCCACGCACGCTCGCCGAGAGCGCCGGGCTCGATGCTACAGAGGTCCTGGCGAGACTCTACACCGCACACCAGCAGCGCCTGAACACGAGCGAAGTCAAGCGCCGCAAGGCCAAGGAGGAGAGTGACGAGAGCTCGTCGGGCGAGGAAGAAGAAGAAGACGACGACGAAGGTTCGTCCAGCAGCACATCCGAAGAGGAGCCGTACTGGACGACGGGCGTGGACCTGGAAGGCTCGGATTCAACGGGCGTGCTGGACGCCGTGGATGAGCAGATCCTCGATCTGCTGGTGACTAAGAGCTGGGCCATCAGATTAGCAACGGAGGCCGCACGAACGGTGCTGAGTGTCGACCAGATCATCGTGGCAAGACAGGCTGGTGGGCCCAAGCCGCCGGGCCCGAATCCGAACTGGGATGAGGACTAGCGTGGAGGAAATGGACAAAATACATGAGCCATAAAACGCTTCAACTCGCTGACGAGGTAATGTGCCTGAAAGAGATCGAGGACGGAGAAAATGGCCTGAAGGTGGAGAGGTAGTTTCCAGTGTCGGGATATGCCTTCATAGCATCGGCACTGTGAGCTGCTCGCAGGTCAAGAGGACGCAGAAGGCTACGAGGCGTGGGAGCAAAGAGGATATCAAAGTTCGTTGTGGCAAAGGCTGCACAACTGTCGTCCAGTACCGGGGTGCATACGCTGCTCTGGACAGTCCACACATTCCTGGTGGCCAACGTGCGTTTCGCATCACAGTCGATCTACCACATCAAGATAAAAGGGTCTCCAGAGGCGGACGTTGTTTGACGCGTCGTCTCGCAAAGACCCGAGGCGTGCGAACACAATCGTACAAAAAAATGCCGAATGAAACCACTTGAAATCTGAAAGGTCATTGCAATGTTCTTAAGAATAAACTCCGGTCTGCCCAACCATGCACTGTGCGTACACTGAGCTTTGCTTGTACTCGAGTAGGCTGCTTCCCTGCCGCCATAATAGCTATGACCTGCCATATCTCCAGGCATCATTCATTTGCTCGTTAAACCTAACCTACTCGAAGCCCATGATAATGCTATCGATATCTCAAGAAGCATGGTAACAACCGAGGAATGCCTTGTTTGCCTTGTAAACCGTTCACAAATCTCCGTGCTCAAAATGCAGCACTGTGAGCACTGTATCCGAGTTCCATATCAAGGCCGGATTACCCACGCATCAGTGACCGGTCTGGGTTTTTTGTCATCATAGTACGGGGACGGGCTCGATTAATCCCCAATGCTCGTCTAGCCTCCGGATCGGCTGCTGTAACAGACTGGAAATATTGCTTTTTGCGCGGCCACTTCTCCGGGTCAACCATATACGTGGGAGTTGGTGACATCGACGGTTGCGGTTGAAAGATGTTCCGTGGTTGAGGTGGAAGCATGTCCAGTAGTGGCTGTGGAAGCATATTTGGTCGTAGCGGTCCTATACCCATGCCAGACAAAACCTATGAGTTGACAGTGGGAAATCCGCCAGAAGCCTCGCGCCGGGTAGCCCTCTTATAGGCATCCATGGCAGCGGTGTACTCAGTCATTTGATCCTGGTATCTGACCTCCCAGAGCCTTCTATTTTCAGGACTCAACCCGTCCCACTCAGCTTGGATCCTGTCTGGTATGTGTTCTGGGGCCTCCTGGTTAGCCTCAAGCTGCGGTCTCATATGTGCGGTGAACTGAAGGTAAGGTGGCTCTGGTCGCTGCGGTCGATGAGTGACTGCGCCAGAGCGACCGATTCCGTTTCCATCGACATTGTTAGCAACCATGCCTGGTGGCACTTGGTAGGGGCTCTGGTATTGAGGCATTCCTAGCTGCTGATTGCTGGGGACTGGAGATGATTCTCCATAATGTGGCTCTCCCCCAGAAGGAGGTTGAAAGCTTGGGGTCCCTGTAGCTTGGGGTGTGGCAGATGAGACACGGAAGGAGGAAGTCAGGGTCGTCGGATCGTGAGGGGGCGCTGGTGAAAATGAGTTCGCTGGGGCAAGATTTGGTAACGATGACTGTTGATACATGTTTGAGATGGGCTCGCCTGGGACAGTGTTCATGATGGTTTCACGGTAATTGTTGTTCACTCTTCTTCTTCTTTCGGGTCTTTCTAGAGGCTGGGTCGAATGAGCGCATGCTGTTGGGAGCAAGGGCCAGTCTCACCTCGGGTTCATCCTCGTCACTTTCTTCTGAGCTGTCGTCCAGCAATCCTTCTCCCTCGGGTCTTGTATGGGGTGGTTCCAAGGTGATGCCGCTGCCAGCCAACTCGGCAAGGTTTGCGTGGCCATTGGCCAGGACCCCGATCTTCTCGAGTTGTTCCGGTGTCAGCCGTTTGGCTGGGGCACTCATTATCTCCTGCAGGTGATTGAGGAGGATGGCGCGCATGAGGCGCATCTTCTGGACATGTTCTGTCTCTTGCATGATCCTTTTGCGTGTCGAGTCATTGTTGGCTTCGATCTCAGCGAGACGTCGCTTGAGCTGAATGCATTTCTTCCTGTAAGCCAGCTCCTGTGTGGGTGCTAGGGGTGCGTTGCGGTGGACGGGGACTTCGCTGGCCGGAGGGAAGGACGTGTCTTTGGAGGAATCCATCGCGCAAATGCGCAAGCGAACGACAAAAGTGAGCGGTTCGGCCGTGCAAAGGAGTGAGACAGGACAGCGGCTCAGCTTCTTATTGCAAGACCACTAGATTGCGTCTTTGGTTTCTGGACATGAAGAATTGCTTGGAGGTTCTGTAACTTTGACCTGAAATGGCGTTTGTAGATCTTTAAGAAAGAGAGGGAGCCACTCCATGAGAAGGCGGTCTGGTCTGCACGTGATCTGTATCTCTACCACTCCATGTCAGAAGGGAAGGTTGGCCGGAGGTGACTGAGAGCCTGCAAAGATTCATCCACCACCCTGTATCTGAAACTATAAAACATGTGAAATGGGATATATGGCTAGTCTGTCGTCGATTGCCCACCTTCTGCAACAGATCGACGTCCGTCACTGATTGCTCGCACATTTGGCTTTGTTATGTTGTCGTATGCTGCCCGACGTGCGAGAAAAAAGGGACACTCAGGCTCCACGGTCTCCATGCCTCAGCTTTGCCTGGATAGTGGAATCAGGATACCTGTATCATGATACGCGGATGTGCCTCCCTCGCCGGATAATTTCATGCGTAATATGCTGCCTCCCACAAGCTTCTAGGTCGCCCGGGGCCAAGTCCTTGGGGAGAATACCCTCTGAAGGTCCCAACCACTCCGTTCTTGTCATTCCTTAACAACTTATTCAAGCCACAAAGAGGAAATGAAGGCATAAAGAAACCCGGCGCTGGCGCTGATTCGTTGCAATCCCCGGATGTGCTTCGCCTACCCCTGGAAGCATGATTTTGCCCGTTGCAGGAAATGTCCGAAAGAGTGCCTTGCAGGTTGATAGATGACTGATGTCAGCCGGAGGCATAATTTGACCGCCTTGAATGAATAACGGAGCAATCCAGTCCTCTTTGGGGGTCAGAGATCAGCAACGACTCAGCATCAGTAACTCATTGCAATCTTGGGACGCATTCGCGATCATCAAGGACTCGCCCTTTTCTTGCACATCAGTCTTTGTGGCTGAAGCAGCACCTCCCACGGGGCCAAAGTAAAATGCGATGGCTTGCAGATTGCATGAACTCTCGGGGATGTGGAGGTTGGGCACCTCGTGTCCTCTTCAAACCAGCCCGGTCGGCTAGGTGATCTATCACCATTTCCAGACGGTGACTCTCCTGAAAAAAGGACCTCTTGTTCCATTCAGGCATAGTTATTGGCCCTCATGTGTGTGCTGCATGAACAGGAGGGGAAGAAAAGGGAAACAGCCACTTCGTCAGATGAAGCAGACATCGATACAGTCTACTACGAGGTACTCGTATCATCCCGCGTCAAAGCCTGTTCTTGTTTCGGCGGCTCATATTCCCGGCAGACGTAAGGCGGAACCTCGTGGCGGAAGTGTGAGGAGTGAACGCTGCTGGGATCACCGTGGATCATGGATTGCCCAGAGGGAATTTCGACTGGATTGGAAGAACTAAATTGAGGATCAAGCGCCAATCAAGCCTCTGGACGGCGGAATTCCCAAGTGTGGGCGGGTGGCAGGCCGTTCAGGGGCCGCTCTGGCCGTGCCAAGAAGCCCGATTCGGACGCAGCCAGTTCGCGCTAATCGTGGTATTTCGACTTTCTCGCGTGTCCTTGGTCAATCTTCCAACCGCGTTCACACCACAGATGCGCTCGATCACGCACCTCTAGTCGATGTCCCCCATGTGCCCCATTTAGCAGGGTATGCAGATGAGCAGGACTCAGTCATGACCGGGTTCGACATTGGTCACTTTCTTGAGAATTGTAACACCTCATTCCCCAACAACCCGGACAAACACGATGTGCCACACTACAGGATAGGTAGGTGGTCTGGAGCGCCGTTGAGCAGGTCCCGTTGCATCAGGGTTCAGTCTCTTATAGTAACGGCATCCCTTTGTCGGAATCGAAATACACAGCCTGAGTGCAAAATCTCTGTCCTTCGTTTTTGTATGAAATAGCGCTGTCGATTCTCGTCCTGGAGGATCTTTTGCAAGTTTTAGCCGCTGTCCATTTGTTGAGCGTTCAAGCCAATTCCTGCCCTGCTCCTCGTGCAAGGCGGCCCTCTTCCATCTGTAGACCTTCAACATGAGCATCACGAACCCCGATCAATTTCACGGGGAGTTTTTACCCCACGATTCCCTGACCGGAGAATTGAAGACATTGAACATCTGCTTCATTGCTGTCACCTCAGTATTCATCGGCCTCCGACTAATTGTGCGGGCCTTTGTCGTCAAGCATGTTGCCGCGGATGACTACCTCATGGTGGCAGCTGGGCTGTTTGCCACCGCATTCTCTGCCATGGCTATAGTCGGTGAGTCACACTCACCACCAGCAGATGTCAATCCACTCACGAGCCGTCTAGGGGTACGGTATGGCCTTGGGAGGCATGTATGGGACCTACCACAGGATCTGGATCTCGTCGAGAAGATCAAGAAGACCATCCAAGTCAGTCCGCCTCTTGCACGTCTTGAAGCACCACTAACAATAAACAGACACTGTGGATATGCCAGGTCATGTACGTGACGGCCCTCATGCTTGTCAAGATGAGCATCGTCGTCTCCTACATTCGTGTCTTCCCTACGACGACCTTCCGAAGAACCATGTACGCTCTCAGCGCCGCCATCCTTGGTGTATGGATCTGCAGTATCCTGGTCACCATCTTCCAATGCAAGCCGGTCCAGGGCGCGTGGGACTTCACACTGCCGAGAAACTGTCTCCCAATCGTCAACTTCTACTACTTCTCGACTGCGTTCTCCATCTTCACCGACTTCTTGCTCTGTACCCTACCGTTGCCCGTGTTCTGGAGACTCAACCTACCACGGCGGCAGAAGTACGTGGTGTCAATGCTCTTCGCGATCGGCCTTTTCGCGACCGTGGCCTCGGCCCTGCGCATCAGTGTTCTCGAGGGGGTCGAGAGTCTCGACGTGACGCAAGGCTCGGTACCCACAATGAAGTGGTCCGTTGTCGAAGTGGGCACAGGCATCATCTGCGCCTGCATCCCTTGTTTCAAACCTCTCTTCAAGAATTGGCTGCCAGACAGAACCTCGCACAACGGCTCAGCAGGCCGTGTCAGTGGACGCGCCAACCATTCCCCCAGGCTCGGCACAAGTCATTCAGAGGCCCACGAGCTTACCAAGGCCCCAGAAGGTTGGTCGTCTTTACCACCAGCCGCCACAAGGATCAAAGCCGGTCCTGTTGTCACGACCAAGAATTTCATCTGAGCACACAGAATCAAGAGCCTAGCGATGTGGCGGAGGCGGAATTTGCATCCAGCACTTACAACTGTTCAGCGTTGTGCATCACGCAATTTCAGAAAACATGTCGAAAAGCACTGGCGCACTTCTTTCATAAGACTTTTTTTTTATCGCGCAAGCGCCTGGACAATGGAGGTCCGTTACGGCAGGACCGACACTCACTTCCCATCGTTTTACGGGTTCCAACTGCCTCCCTCGTCCGCCGAGCCACAGCGTCATTCGAACATCCTACCCAGATGGCAATGTAGTCAACCACAATATCACGAGCTTCACGAACCTTTGCATGACGGAACGAGATGATGACACAAACACAATATCATCGCAGATGTTTAAGGATATTGCTTCTTGGCAACGTAACAGATTGGTTCGCCTTTTTCCCTTTTCCTTCGTCTTGGTTCATTGCGTTTTCTTTTTTCTTTCTATGTGCTGCTATAGTTCTGCATGGCGGTTTATCTGAGCCATCTAAGAATCTTCGCGCAGGCGAAGTTGTACGCAAGGAGGATTTTTTGTCTCATTTACACCTTTGCTGCGAACATAACCTTGGGAGGAACTGAAAGGACTTGAACGGTGCTCTTCTTGTGGTCCGAAGTTTCTCTCGATCCGTATGTCTTTTCATGAAGATGATGTTTCCCTCCAAAACCGATGACCACGCGACACTAATCTATACGTTCGAGAGCGGTAGTTATTAGAAATACCTCCATTCCTCACTTCCATGCTCTTATTAAGTTCCAGATGTATGATTAGCGTTCAGTCTTATTCTTCCCAAGTCAACATTAGTCCCGTCCGTCCTATCACTCTGTTCAGAAGTTTCCCACGCACACATCTATGGCGCCAAAGACGACTTGACATCACAACTGTCTCCGTCCGGACAAACGGCCCTCCGACCCAGGCTCTTATCCCTCGGCCCTGTCGGTCCGGCAACATATTTCTTCTCTCCAAAAACATCGATCTGTCCTGGTGTCGAGTCCGGCAACTCATTATCGCCCCAACGCCCAGCGAAACCCAACCAAGCCGTCGGATCCACGCCATTATACGCAGCGAACACTCCCGTACTGTTATCATAACTATACAAATAGGCCGACACGAGCGGGTCCCAAAACGGGCCTTTGTCCGTGTGATCGGTCAGCGGGCCCGCTTCTGTATTCAGATTCGGAATCGTATGATCATGAGGGCCGACGGTGGCGTAGTTTGCATGCGTCCCGTTCGCGACGTACACCACCGGACGCACACCGTCGGGCCCTTTCTCTGTAGTGGCGTATGTGAAGGCCTCGCCGCCGCTATGCTGCGAGTAGTATACGGCCGTTGGCGCACCGCTGACGAACCGAACCATCGTGTGCTCCCAGTCGCCGACGTGATCTCCAAACTCGAGCGCGGGAGAGCCCAACACCCAATTCCCCTGGTTGTACGCGTAGAAGTAGAAGTAAAAGGCGTCGACGATGTCGTTGGGCTTGGACACTGTGACAATGGCACTGGCGACGGTCGATGGAGTGCTGCCGTCCGACTGAGGGCGAGTGCCGCGGAACCACGATGGCAAGGCCTGGATGCCTTCATTCGAAGTCAAATAGACGTTCGTCCCCGAATCGGCAAAGGCATTCAGGCTGTCGAGGTTGGACAGCGTCAATGCCGCAGGAGGTGTGATGGTCGCGCCCGAGGCATCTTCTGGGTGCGTGTGGGCAATTTGCGCTCCAATGTCGCTGGGAAAGTAGATCTCCGTGGAGCAGAGATACGCAACCGGTGCTAGAGTTGCGGTTAGTACTGAGCGTTGTATGCGGAGGAGTAGGACATTACCATATTGACGCACAAAATCAGGGACATCACGCTTGTTGATGCTGGTCAGAGGGAATGACAGGGAACAACCGACATAAAGCAGGAGAATAGGGCGTACAGAGAACATCTTGCTTGCACCCTGGTACCTTGGCCATTAAATCCTACCAGAGGGGGGTTGCAACTTATAGATATACTTATAGATATATTTGCACATCCAGGCGAGATTAAATTGTGATAGAACTAGACGTTATGGAGTCGTCTCGTACAGAGAACATTAGTAGTGCGAAGCATCTGGATGGGTTCGAAATGAGCACGAACTCGGGCGCGCGTCTGAAGACCTGTGGTCGTCCGGTGAAGGCATTCCAGCGTCTTAGAAAAGCAAAATCGCCGAGCAAAAGAGAGCACGAGGTGAAGTCGCATGGTCTTTCTGGACGGACCTTGGGATCTGGGAAGTCAGCGGTCCAGGTTAACAAGGGTTGGCCTTGACTCGTCAATACTATGTAAGCGTGCCATTCACAGGTGTTGTTTCTGGTTTTGCTTCATCGACCAATCTCCGACACTGCCACCAATCATCATGCAGAAATGGACAATCGTGGGAAGATCATTCTTGGAGACGGGGTGGTGACTGGCATATAATACCAACGTGCTCGCCACAACCATTTCGATTCGCAGTATGAGCCAAGTGCATGATAAACCCAATTTTGCTCGTGGACTCAACGTCCCAAGGATCCAAAATCGGTGAATACCACCGCCGTCCTCCCAAGAACTTCGTCCACATGGCAGGCTGGTGACGTGGAGGACCTGCAGCCTCAAGGCCACAGCCTTCAGGCGAAGCAAGAAACTTGTGAGTTCTATGAGTCGGCATTAAGACCTCAAGGCAGAGGTCGAAAGTAACATCACGATGAATGCGAACGGTGTAAAGTTGGCGTGGCCGGGCAATTTTCTTCGAGTTTGACTGCGACTGCGCGATACATATGTACAATAAGTCTTAGCGGACCGCTCACGCCCTCTGCCCCACGGTCAATCCGGTACCGGCCTGAAACCTGCACACAGTCTACCAGAGTGTCTTGTGACCGAAAACCATGCGAGTCATTCCGTACACCGCGTACGTGAAGGAGCCGACCAACATGGTGTAGTAAGGGTAGAGGATATAAGGGCTTCGGGACGTCTGCAAGAAAGAAAGTCAGCAAGGTCAACGTAGAACTTTGGCGCAAACTTCAAGAGAAAAAGGGTCATGCGACGTCGTGGCTCGAATGGGTCTGATGGATCAAGGTCCTCGGCTATGCCCCCTTGAGCCACGAGTGGTTCCGTGATCGAGCGTTTCATCTCTGAAAGTCTGGCGCAGGCTCATAGACAGCACTTATGAGTGCCATGTGTAGCTCGATGGCGCATCCAGCTCAGACGATGTGGATGCACGACGGAGGCCCCCCGCCCAAAGTGCCATTTCCAAAGTGTTGCCAATTCGCTTGTTATTGCCTAAAGTCGACTCCGGTACATCGAATGAGGCTGAAGAGTTTCCTTGAACATCCGGAGCGGTATGCAGGAAACTCGTGTGCCGAAGGCGAGCATTGAGACAGCGTTGGAGGAGTCGGCGGACCGTTGAACAAAACCCATTGTTAAATTGACATATCCGCCTCTTCATACTCATCCGCGAGAGAGGAAGCTCGTAGATCAAGGGACGAAAAGTTGCTAAAATTCCAGTAAGACAAAACTAACCTTCCACCATTGTCGTTTTCCATCATGGCTCTGAAAAAGGCGTTGGTAGAAGGGCACTCGGTTTTCGCGGTAGACGAATCTAGAAGCGCACAAGTCAGCACAATCAACAAGCTCATATTTGATGAATCCATGTGACCATCCCAGGCGTGGTGGTGTAGAATAACCGCTAAAGAATGACTGACCCTTTCAATTGAGCTGGAGATGGTCTAAACATGCGAGCTCGGGTGGCCTGCATCATGCGGGCAGCTGTAGGGGTGACCATTGTGTCGACTCCGCAGGTCTTCGGTCGAGTTTGATCAATGTTGAGGCTGTAGCAGCTTAGAAAACCAACTGCGGCGGAAGTGAAGTCGAGATCAATCAGAAGGAGCTCGCGCCAAGCTCTTTGACTAGCACACGTGACCAGCCGGTATCGACTGTATTGAAATCTCCTGATCCTTTTCTTTCTTCGACCACATTGGTCATCGTTGGAACATGCATCTACTATCCCCGATTTGATGTCAGTCATTTCACGCGCTCGTTGAGGATCATCTGTTCAACGCGTTTGGTGTTCGCTACATGCGATTAAGTTGGCGAGGACTTGTCAGATGGCCTAGGATATTCCACTTCCGAATACTGTCCCCGCAGGCGTGGTTATATCAGGAGGAGCTTGGAGCCTCTGGCAGTGCAAATGGTCATATCAAAATTCAACCATGGGGCCCGCGTCTCAAACGAAGTGTTTCGACTTTGCCTGCGTCAAGAGTGAATCTCACTTATCATGGCGAGGAACGGGAAGTTCGTCCATGGCCTACTTCCAACCAAGATTCGAATCACGAGGAATGGGAGGCTGTACTGGCAGATGCATTCATCCATGGCATCCGAACCAAAGACCAACTCTGCTTCGAAGCGGATGTTGGGCATCAGTCAGACATTGGGTCCCGTCTGATTGACAAACTCCCAGGACGCCAAAATATTGAACTTTGGCACATCCTAATAAGAGCTCAAGCTCTTATGAACGGGCACGAAGGCATCAAAGCTATCTGGCGTGCAACCATGCATCGTGGAAAAGCTGTGCGCTTCGATGACAAGGACCCTCGAGTGAATGCTCTTTGGTTTACCTTCCTTTCCGCCGGAAGCAATGATCAACCTTTCCTTTCGAAGCTCTGCAAAAGAGCCATCGGACACAAATTTGACCGACCCGCTCTGTTCGCGGAAGTTATAGGGACGAGTCTAGAAGGTGATCAACCAGACAAAGCTGCAAAAATTGCAAGTTGGCTGCTTGAGCCACAGGTCCGGATATATCGAGGACGGGAAGATCTATTGAGCGCTTTTTCAGCTGCTTGTCTCTCAAATGCACCCACTGCTATGCGAGCATTTTGCAATGTCTACGATCTTCTACCGAATGCCCATATCTATAGCGAAGTCACTTCCGGTCTCTGGCAGCATAATCGCGCTTCCGACGCTTTTATGATGCACTCATACCTGATTTCGAGGCGAGATCTACCTGCCAAATTCGAAGACCTCTTGCCTTTTGTCAATCATCTGGCAGCTGATGACAGGCAGGTCAATAGCTTTTTAGCCCCTATGAATGCTGCTGGTGCATCCTTCGACGCCCAGGCCCATCGGGCATGGTCAAGGGAAAGAAGTAGGGTCAGGGGCTTCTCTGCAGAGTCCCTAAACGTTGTTGCGAGCAATACCTTAGGTGTCGCTCCAAAGAAGCTGAGCGATGAGTTCGTGGCTCGAGGCTTTGCAACCCGTTCATTCTCGTTTGATTTTGCCGTCAACAGTCTCAGAATCATTGGTTTGATTGAGGTGGGCCCACTCGCCGTTCGACAAATGGTAATCACGGCACCAGATAATGCTACATTGCAGGCCAGATTCAACAGACTGGCAGAACTCGGCATCGACACTGGATCTTCGGTGTTTGTCCAAGTCATCAAGAAATTGTGTCATGCTGGCCACTGGGACATGGTTCAAGCACTTGTTGACAGTGATATGCACCACGAAGTTTTCGAGGATGCAGAACTGCAAGAAAGGCTGCTGACAGAATACTGTCGCACCGGAGATTGGAAGCAGATAAATCGGACTCTTACAATTTTGTGCAAGGGAGAACTTGACCAACAAGCCCGACTGCGTTCCGCCACGATGGTAATCAAAGCCATGCTGCTTCTCGGCAACTGGCCCGCCGCTGTCAATATCGCCAGGAGCCTGCAGGGACGTGGAAGCGAAAGTATCACCACAGCGCTGCCGCTGGCTATTACAAGCATACTTCGGCTCACAAGAGTGACAGAATTAACCCGAGCAGAAAGAATTGATCAGACTGCACTCCTGATCGGAATGCTTCAACATCTTTTGGCGTCCGGCGTCCACTTTCCAATCAAGTACTGGCGGGGGCCATTGAGAGCGCTAGGTCAATCGGGTCGTATGAAGGAACTCGAAAGTCTCGTCTACTGGATAGCAGAGACGTACAGAGCGACTGGGCTGTATGAACAAGTGCACCACACCAGGCTATCCTACGGTGAATCAAACCTGAATGCCCTATTCAACGAAACATTCCAAAAAGCTCTGATGACGTGGTGTTTTAAAACTCGCAGAGGAATGCGCGCTGTATCACCAGAGCAATGTCTTCGTTGGACGCGCATACTGAAGAGATTGCGTGATACCTATGGGATCCAGATCAGGGAACACTTCATTCGCTGGACTTTTATACGTGGCCTGCGGTGGATTTTTGGCGTCGGAATGTATACCAAGCCGGAAGGGTGGATGCGACGGTACAAAGTCATCTCGCTCAAGCGGTACTGGAATATGTATGACAGCATGTGGGACATGAGGCCTAGCAGGATCATCGATGCGTATGATCGCGTAGCTGTAGTGCTTCGTGGTGGGAAGCGGAGAACCAGGCCTCATGGCAAACGCCAGAGGTTACTGCCTTTCACAGATGCAGGAAGGGCTCCAACACCGCACGAGAGTATGCCGGAGGATATTGTTATGTACAGGGACATGTTCCATCCCTCATGGGAGGACTATAGAAAGTGAATGGGACCATGAGCAAGCACATTTGTGCCACACCCCTTTGTATTGTTTAGAGCAGCACCACTTCATTCTTGCCAAGTACGGGAAATTGGTGTCGGGATGGAGCACGAAAGCACGCTGCTTTTGGGCTTTACCAGTCTCCTAGCAACGGCCGCCACACGGCTTTATCCGACGCTAACTTAACAAGGATTAGACTCCTAGATTCACATTCAAAAGTTCCATACTGGTAAGCCTGAACTTCTCTTCGTCAAATATTGTGAGACACTTTCAAGATGGCGGATCCCGAGGCGCTCAGCCTGCTGGAAAACCAGAAACGACCGAATCGCCGCTCGGATAAGACCTATGGCAAGAAGAAAGGGCCCAAGGCGCGAGCAATGCACTTTGATCTGTTTGGAGGCGACGACGAGAATGACATTACGGAGAGGATGAGCCAACTAACGGCCGAGGATGATAGAGACAAGACCGTCCAGCCTGTCCAGCAGCCTCCAGTGCCAATCGGAAAACCACCAGCCCACCATAATCCACGACTGCGAGGACGACGAAAACCAACATCAAGGAAAATGGCGGTCAGTCACCTCAAGACGACTTCACAGGCAAAGACCTCCGTAGGCTGACATCTTCCTCCAGGCACTCGGACACGAAAAGCTCGAAGCACTCACACCTCTGCTATCTCTGGTTCAGCGGGGAGTACAAGACTTTCAAGAATTCGGTAGAAGCCTCGGAAAGAGATATGTCTGTACCAAACTTGGAGAAGGCTCCTTTGCCGATGTCTTTGAGCTCAGACCGAAAGAAAGCGAAGAGGCCATCAAAGTCGAAGAGCGCGGAGGCCTGGTAATAAAGGTCATTGCTTTCGACGTCGAGAAGTCAGACGAAGCAGACGGCATCGCCGACATGGAATCCATAATCCGAGAAGTCCGAGTCTTGTTGGCTCTTGATCAGATGCATGGCTTCGCCCGCTGCAGAGGTGTCCACGTTGTCAGTGGGAAATATCCTGATGTACTCCTCGAGGCATTTGAAAACTTCAAGGACACAAACGGCAGTGAAGCACAGAACTTGAACCCGACGAACCTTTCTGAACACCAAACGTACGTGATCATCGAAATGGATCACGCTGGGATGCCACTTGCCAAGTTGAGCAGTTTGTCCGCGTTCCAAGCTTATGACATCTTCTGGAAAACCGCCATGATACTCGCCAATGCTGAAGAGTCACTCGAATTTGAACACAGAGACTTGCACAACGGCAATCTCTGCTGCCGACCACGGTCCACGAACGTTGCAATGGACGTCGCTGACGAACTTGTACAAAACATGACTGAGGAGCCCCTGACCAAGTTAGGTCTGTCAAACCTCCGAGTCACGATAATAGATTACACTATTTCGCGAGCCAAAATCAGCAGCGAGTCCGAAAAAGAAGTCATCATCTTCGATACAATCAAGTTCTGGGAAGACAATGACAGCTCCAGCTCACATCCATCCGACCAGCGCCAGTACGACACTTACCGGAAGGTACGAGACTGGGCCAAGGCAGTGGGGGCCAAGGTGGAGGCGCTGGCTGAGATTGAGGAGGACTACGACCATGAAGCGGTCGATAAGTACGCAAGGTTCCTACCAAAGTCAAACGTCATGTGGCTGTTATATGTGGCGAGAGAACTTCTGTGGAGACGCGCTGATGGTAGAGGTGCGATTGTGACAGGAAGCAGCAAGGTTGCCAGGAGGCTGCAGTTGCTCTTGTGGAGGAAGCTGGAGGCAGTGGCCGCCTACCTCGACGGTAGCCCCATGCTGATCCCTGAGAGCGCCGCAGACCTCCTGGCGACCGCTGTCCAACTCGAGTGGTTGAGTAGGGAGGACATGGTGGCGTTCCGAGCCGAGTTGGAGGAGTAGAGGGGCAATCGAGGACGAGGAGATCTTTGTGTCTGTTTGAGTATAGCAAGGCGTTCAGGAACGGCGGACGACAAGTCATGAACATTGACCGTCATTTATTCTGACATACAACATGTTTTCTAGTCCCTTCTCGGCTCTTTACGTGACCAGTCTGTGAGGACGATGGACGTGGCACGAGGTGGATAATGGCCAAGCTACTCCGTACTTAAGAGCCGTACAGAGCCGGCGCGTCCATTGAATGGACTGCGGGATCCGCCGTTGTGTCTCTACGGTGCATCACCTAGGCTCATAAGCTTCATTCATCTGGTGACTTCCCGCTGCCCTTTCTTGCCAACGTGACAACGTTGTTCAGTTGCACAGGGAGTATCTCGTGACTAGGAGAGCACCCGTTCCGCATCGAAAATGACATCTTAGACAACATTTTCTGACGGCAGTGTCTGTCGTATTTAATGCCGCAAACTGCGCACAGCCAGCACCAAACGTTCGAACTGCAGGAATTGTCCAACATGGGTTGGATCCAGAGTCTGTTCCGTCCAAGGCAGGACTACGAGCCTCTCCAGAATGGCACAGAAAGAGATGATGACAGCGCAGAGGATGAGGTGGAAGGGGGCACGACCGAGACCCCCTTCTCGTGGCTCGAATACGCGATCTTTTTTCTACTTGGGATAGCCATGCTATGGGCCTGGTATGTTTCGCAGTCCAGCATTGTCGGTGAGGTGATTAATATATGGACAGGAACATGTTTCTTGCCGCAGCCTCCTACTTCCAGCACCGTTTTCGCACAAGCCAATGGATTGTGAACCACTTCCAAGCTGCCGAGATCTCTGTGTCGACCGTGACGAACCTCACTTCGATGATTGTATTGACGACCCTGCAAAAGGGGGCATCATATCCAAAGCGAATAGCAGCATCACTAGCTATCAACACGGTGGTCTTTGGTATTTTGTCCCTATCGACACTGGTCCGGACACCCGCAGGAGTATACTTCGGCTTCTTGCTCCTAGCAATATTTATCGCGAGCTTTTCGACAGGACTTATCCAAAATGGACTGTTTTCATTCGCATCGGGATTTGGCAGAAGCGAATATACGCAAGCAATCATGACTGGCCAGGCTGTGGCAGGAGTGCTCCCACCACTGGCTCAGATTATCTCGGTTATGGCAGTGCCTCCCAAAGGTCGAGATGGCGCAGACAGTGCAGATGCTTCTCCGACTTCTGCGTTGATATATTTCCTGACTGCGACTCTCATTTCGGTCTTCTCTCTCTTGGCTTTCTTCTATCTCCTGAGGCGGCATCCGCACCATAAAAGCCTTGATTCAGCAGCCAAATCCTCGGTTGATGACACGTCCGAAGCAGATGTCCTGACCGGTAATGCCAGTTCCACAACTGACAGTACAGTAGATGTCGAAGCAGATGAACGTCCCTCCGTGGCTCTTACTACCCTGTTTCTCAAGATGCCATTTCTCGCAGCAGCAGTCTTTGTCTGCTTTGCGGTCACGATGGTCTTTCCGGTCTTCACTGCTTCCATTCAATCTGTTAGCGGAGTTGACTCTGCCATCTTTATCCCCGCCGCGTTCTTGGTATGGAATTTCGGAGATCTCCTTGGCCGGCTGTCGACTCTGTGGAAACCGATATCTCTGACGCACTATCCTTTCGCGCTGTTTTGCCTGGCCATGGCCAGACTGCTCTTCATTCCTCTCTATTTCTTGTGCAATATCAAGGGGAAGGGTGCAGTTCTAAGCAGTGACTTATTCTACTTGGTCATTGTGCAGTTCCTCTTCGGCCTCACGAACGGTTATCTCGGCAGTGAGTGTATGATGGGCGCAGGGGACTGGGTGGCCCCTGAGGAGCGACAGGCTGCTGGTGGCTTCATGGGACTCATGCTCGTCAGTGGACTTACGGTTGGCAGTCTGCTCAGCTTTTTACTCGGAGACGTGTAGAAGGATTGAGACATGTCTCGGCAAAATCATGACACGTCATGCTGGTGGCTTTGTACCCTGGAGCTGCTCTATACGTGGCGCGAACCTGATCTCGGGCAGGTACACAGCCTCGCTCTCAGCACAGCAGTTACTTGGCCATTGTGTTGACGAGGTTCTCGCTGTGTCTTACACTTGGGCCATCCAGAGGTCTGAACAAGCTTGCTCAGGCCAGCCCTGTGCGCGCACGGACACGGCACTTTGGAGGTTCAGCCGATGAAGCCGATGACGTACCAGGTAAAAGGTGGAATACCCCTGAGAAACATCTGGAGGAGCAACGACACGTACAAGCCATGAGCGTACAAGTAGCACAAGGTGCTACGGCATAAGATGTTGAATTGCTGTACGACTCGGAGAATTTGGACTGGAACAAAATCTCGCGGACATGCTTCGATGAAACAGAAACATGTTGTGCGACGATTTAGTCATGATTGCATGATCCAAGGCAGTCTGTCAATGATGACATCGAGAATGACTCAAACGGGTACATAGTACAGCCTCGTGGGTTGTTGCGGCTGGTGTATGACAACAGCGTCAAAGTGCAGTTGCCGAGATTGTGACAGCTTGACAAAACCCGAAACGGGAGGCATCTTGGGAGAGAGGTCTCTAGAGGATTTTTGGAGCAAATTTCGAAAGGACAGGATGATTTCAAACTGCAACACACGCTCAGCCTCCCACTCCCTGAGGCTTTCGTAGATGTTGTCTGTGATCAGACACAGCATGCTGTAGTGCCTGTCCGATGGAATCCACGATCATCAATTCATTATTAGGGGAACGCGTCGACCAAAGTCTATTACAGACTTGGGGAGTGCAATCAAATAATATCACGTGAGTTCGCACAGCTAGCGCCGGACAGTCGGCGGCCGTACCTCCGTAGCGCAGCAAAATAGCGTTTGACTAAGATCAGGAACACCAATAGCGTTTATTAGCCACGGCTAGCTTGCGCAACCTCGATCCCTTGTTGTCCTCCAGGCCACCAGGCTTCAGCCCTGAGCGTGAGAGGGGAATGAAAATCCCAACTTGGCTCTTGTCCGACTGGAGGGGAAGAGCGCGCGTTCGTACAGGGGGCGCAGGGTGAAACGCAGCTCAACCCCTGAAATCACGCACAACAAAATGCCATGTCGTGCTCTCGGCAATACCATTACGAACTTCGAACAGACGAGCAACGTGCATACAGTAGTAGTAAACTCTTGCTGGGCATGTCACCATCGTACCTAGTTCCGAGTACTCACTTGGGTGCGCACAGTGACATGGATCGGGAGCAGCCAAGGACGGGCTGCCAGCAAATGCAATTCGTAAGTCAAAGAGCAAGTCCAAGAGCAAGAACCGCCGCTTAGCTGGTGATCGGAGCCTGTACCTTGTCAAAAGGACCCTCACAACCGTCTAATAAGGAGGTAGACAAGTATCCCCGGTCTTGGACGCGGTCACAGTAGCCCATGGACGCCCATGATGGCCCCCTGCATCCAATCACCGCGGCCTGTCAGTCTTTCAGCTTGGGCTTTTTTACACTTTGGCGAGAGTCGATGTTTCTATTCTTTCTTGAGCCTGAACGACGCGCAAACGGACAAAAGATGATCAACAGATCCATTCTCACACGTCTCCACCAACCAAGTCCCTGATTCCCCATCCCCAAGACGAGGCTAAACCCAGCGTTTCAGTCAGTCTTCAGCAGAGCAAGAAGCGCCCACTTGCAAGCTGCTCTCCGCGCCCTCATGGTCTATTCTCCGTCGCTCCTGCTGGCGTCGTGCCACCTGAGGAGGCCTAAACTTGATCAGAGCATCCCAAAGAACTGACCCAATCCAGCTACTCCGCGTGTCATTCTCGTGAGCTTCTTTTCTCATCTCTGATCCTTCTACTGCAGTCCTTCCTCACCCCGTTTCCTTACTTCAATTCAAACAAGTGCTTACGACTCGACTCCTGCTCTCGAACACTTCCCACCCCCTAGACTCTCGCTTTCGTGAGTACTAGTACTCCTCCAGTTTCTCAATACTATCTTTTCTGGACCTTGTCCGACCACCTCTATACCCGACGTTCTCTTCTGTGATCGCTGGTCGAAGACGACATTCAAGCGTCAATCGCAGAGCACCCTCAAACACTCGTTCTCGAACAAGAGAAGCCAGATTACACACCAACCATCATGCCTCAACTCCAAACACCGACCGTCCTCCTTACTCTTCTCCTGACCGCCCTCCCTTCGATGACCTTCGCTATGCCTATAACTCACCTCTACAAACGCGACCTCACCACCGGTGCCAAAGCTGGTCTCGGTGTCGGCATCGCCGTTGCAGCAGTCCTCGTTGTCCTCCTGGCCGTCTTCTTCGCAATTCACCTCCGCCGCGCTCGACACCTGGCGCAGATCAACAAAGAGCGAGCCATCCTCGCCGGCGAGAAAAACAAAGATGGATCAGACAAGCCAGACAAATTTGTTCCTGAACCAGTCCAGTCTGCGATTCCCAGGCGAAACAAGTCTGTCAAAGACCGCCTGATGGGCCCTTTGTACCGAGGTAGCACGATCGATCTGATGCCTGTCCCGAGAGCCCACATGCACGGCGAGAACCGACAGAGCACCATGACCCTCGGTGATGGAGAGTCATTCCTGCACAAGCCTTGGGCCAAGGGTGAGAGCTCGCCCAGGCCGAGTTTCAGCAGCAAGCGAGCCACGAGAATGATGATGATGATGTGAGCAGACTCATGTGACGTTCGTCATTTCTCATCGCAGTTGACTGCCGTTCTGCTTTGCTCTTTAAGTTGCACAATGACTACAAAAGTAGCTTGACGGTGCATTTATACTATACCCTGTTGAACCTTGACTGTCTCTCAGTTGGGAGAACCGGAAGGATTTTGGTTATGTTTGGCGCAGGCAGGAGCTTGGGCGTTGGTCGTCTATCGAGAAGAAATGGACACGGCTGGCTTTCCTACACCCAACGGAATATCCGCGGGGGTTAGCCGTGTTGCACGTCGAGTCATATTGTCGATTTGTACTGGTCAGAAGACGCCAGAGAGATCAAAGAGGTATGGGATATATCGGCGGCCGCAGGGTTTATTTACCTATCTAACACAGACATATACTATGATATATCAAATCAAAGACACGTGGATCCCGAATGCTGCAGATTTCACTGCTTGCCTTGAATACCAGTGCCAAGTTATCCTCCTTGCATTGGGTTTCAGAACAAATTCTTCTTGGTCTCCATTGAGGAGTGACGGACGTACAAGGCTGCAAAGTCCTCACAAAGCAGGGAAAGTCCCCCCTTGAGATTAGCAGATCCGACACCAAAAGGTTACATGCCTATTCGACGGCGAAATTTTGATGGACTGAGAGCAGCCTTGGCCGTGTCAGATGTGTGTAAGAAGTGGACAAATGCGTGAGCCCCCATGCGAAGAGCGGCCTCACGTTCATTGAGACTCTAAGCTGCCTCGCAATCAATTCACTAAACAGACGATGTCTGGCCACATCGAGCATCGTGAATGTGACAGTAAGATGCGGGCTGGGTGGAGGTTACACAGAATTCTCGAGGTCTCCAGCTTGGCTGTGTGATTTGTTTCCCTGCATTAAATACCCCTTACGGAGTAAAGGCTGCTGAAGATATTCGTCCAACATACTATGTAGTACATTAATCCACTGGAAGATCTTCCGTGATATAGAGCCTAATTATTGAGTTCTTCTTGTCGAGCTAAGTCATTCGACTGTGACGAATAGTTTTTGCCTTTTTCTCTCAAAGAGGGAGATTTCTCCGAAAGGAAAAGCGCCTCTAGTCGGCGGCATGCTGTTCAATCCAAGGCATGATTTTCAATCCGGCGATACGAGTAGCAGGACCTGCATTTCAGGCCTTCTGAAGTCTCGGCAACCTCTTCTTGGGACGAGTACATCTCCGTGTTTGGAAGGCTTGCCTATTGTCCAGAGTGACGGTTCTTTTTTGAGTTTTTGCCTAAGAGAGAAGGCTTTAGATATCAAAAGTCTGAACCGCATTTAAATTCACGGCATTCGCAACCCTTGATTCAAAGACGTTTTTCTTCTACGACTCTTACCTAGGTAATCATTGTAGACAACTCGCTCATCGACATGCCTGGTCCAAAGCTCAAAATCGCCATCGCTGGTCTCGGCCGCATGGGAGCCCGACATGCTCATCATTTCTATGCCTTGACTCCGCGAGCAGATCTGGTCGCCGCTTCATCACCAGAGCCTCTCGAGTTGACATGGGCTGAGAAGAACCTTGAAGGAGTCAGAACCTACCTCGACTACGATGATATGTTGGAACAGGAATGCGCCAATGGCTTGCAAGCCGTCATTATTGCCAGCGCCACTGCTGTGCACGCTGAGCAGGCCATCAAGGCCATCAAGCGTGGCCTGCACGTCTTGTGTGAGAAGCCTCTTAGCACTGGTGTCGAAAAGGTATACCAATCACTATCGGATCTCGCTGGATCCCGTACTGACATCATATTGATCAGTCCCAAGCCGTGGTCGACGCCTACAGACAATCCCAAGGCCAGTTCCCATCACAGAAAGTTATCTGCGGCTTCTCACGACGATTCGATGCTTCATACCGCGACGCGTTCGAGAAAATGAGTTCTGGCATGATCGGTGTCCCTTCGGTCTTCCGAAGTCAGACTTGCGACAAACTCGACCCTTCCGGTTTCTTCGTCGAGTACGCCCAATTCTCCGGCGGCATTTTCGTTGACTGCTCGATTCATGACATCGACCTGGCCCTTTGGTTCTTCGGCGAGGACAGCCGTGTCAAGAGCGTCAGCGCTGTCGGCATCACTGCAGTCGAGCCCGGCCTCAGAAAATACAACGACCGTGACAATGCACTTGGTCTGGTCGAGTTTTATGGCGGCAAGATCGCTCAGCTGTTTTGCTCCAGAATGATGGCTGCCGGGCAGGAGGATTGTATGTCTTTGATCGTCCGTCGTAGGCCGCATGTCGCTGACGTTGCAATCTATAGCCACCGAAATCACCGGCACAAAGGGCAAACTCGCCATCAACACACAGCCACAGACCAACTTGGTCCACATCTACGAGCCAAGCGGTATTCGTCGCGAGATCCCGCCTCATTATTACGGACGATTCAGAGATGCTTTCATCAACGAGGCTAACGAGTTCACGGCCTGCTGTCTAGACGACACGCCTCCTCCGATGAAGCTTGAAGGTGCGGTCAACGCGGTGCGCATCGGCTGTGCCCTGCAAGAAGCCCTCATCACTGGCAAGAAGATCGAGTTCGATGAGCAGGGTCGTCGGATGAATGCTGGCCAAGAGCAAGGAGAGCTCAGGGCTAGGTTGTAAGCGAGGAGAATTCAGCCTAATGGGCATCCCCGCGGAGGCAGCCTTGCGACGACATCGATGATTCGAACACAGGTTGTTACGGAGTCTTCATTGTTGGTATGAGATATATTGACTGGACAATTAGAGGGAGTCTTAGATGCATAAACAGGATGAAGGTAGGAGTACTCACTGTGACCAAATTCCACGGTACAGCTACTGCGTCCTTCAGTTTCTTCCTTTCACATTCGGTGTTCTGCTCTTCAGCTGTTGCTCTGATTAGTTGATCCTTCTCCCTCCACACACTTCCCCTCAAACCGAAAAGACTGACGGATCCCACTTCGCCCTACGACATCGAAGCGCGTACTCGAAATGTCCCGGCAAAACGGCTGCTGGTTAAATTCCAAGGTTAGATCTCTCGAATTCCGATGCCATTGGTCTGGGATAAATTGATGACCTGAAGAGCCTCAATCGTTGGTTCGGAGGTGCCGAAGGACCGCGTCGGAAAGGCCGTTTCCCTAAAGCACTTGGACACATCGACGAGTATCCAGCCATCATGCTTGATCGGCGTGAGATGGCCTTCCCAGACTTCAGAAGTGGCCCGCCATGCCGAACTGCTTATATTGAGGGTACTGCTCTCGCATTCTCTTACATGGGTTCCAGCACTTTCACAGTCGGCGTCCGGGCCTGTTCGCTCTTCCGACTCGACCCAGCAGCCGACATGCTAGGTATTTGTAGGGCCTGTGAGGCCTGGTATTTTCGATAAGTACCAAAGCATGTCGGCGCCCTGGTGCCGTGTTCAAGGTAGAAGGATCACGAAAGTTTGGAATCTCGCTCCTACAGCATCTCACCACAACGGCACCACCACTGACATGCCTCAACCACTGCAAATATCACATCCAAACTCTATACTTCATGAAGGGCAAGCCTCGCCTGAGTCTACGAGCATAACGTGAGTGCCAATTTCCCTAGCGGTACGGAACCTTACGCTGACGATTGTATTCACAGGCCACAGAACGAGAGTCTTTTCGCCTCTGAACCACTCGAGGTTCCTGTGTTTGCTTCTGCTCCTAGTCCCGAAGCCAAGGCAGTGGAGGCTGAAGAGCCTCAGGTTCATGGCTATGAGTTTAGGGACATCACAAATGCCGATGGGGAAGTCAAGCTGTACAAGATGGTCGTTTTCGGCCCTGCTGATCCAGACAACCCAAAGAACTTTTCAAAGACACGCAAATGGGTCATCACCATGACTCTTAGCTGGGTGTGCTTTGCTGTGGCGTTCTCCTCTGCGGTCATCACACCCGGTATACTGGGTGTAGCAGAGCACTTTCATACCTCCGAAGAGGTGGCACTGCTCACTATCACGCTGTTCGTTATCGGCTTCGGCATTGGACGTACGTCAACCCACACATAAAGTCCCCGTCGTTTGCTGATGGTCGTCCAGCTCTGGTGTTTAGCCCTCTCTCGGAACTCTATGGTCGGTGGATCGTCTACATGACCACTTTCGGAGTCGCGATCATCTTCATGGTTCCTTGCGCTGTGGCCAAAAACATTCAGACTTTGCTCGTATGCCGAGCAATCGATGGCATTGCTATCAGTGTACCCGTGGCCAATGTACGTCCTCTCTTCCTTTGAATGGTGTCTCATGGTCATGTACTAATCAAAGAGCCACAGTTGGGCGGGAGTCTGGCAGATTTATGGCATGCCGACGAGCGGGGTGTCCCGATGTCTATATTCTCTGGTGCACCATTTTTGGGCCCTATCATGGGCAAGTCCTCGCATGAGAGTGTAAAACAAGTCTGTCGATGTCTGACTTCTGTGATAGGTCCACTGATCGGAGGCTTCACGTATGAAAACCTAGGTTGGCGATGGCTGTACTATTTACAGGTCATCCTTGCCGGTTTCCTTTATGTCTGTGTAAGTGCACCAGTGCGTGACAGGCTAGAGATTCCATACATGGTTTCTTCTCTGCAGACTGACAACATTAGAGCTGTCCGCTGACGTTATGCAGATGCTTCTCTTCGTGCCAGAGACTTGTGCACCGGTCATCCTTGCGCGACGGGCGAAACGGCTACGGGAAAGCACTGGCGACAATACTTATATCGCCGAGCACGACCTCACCCGACGCTCACTCAGGAACGTTGTTCAAGTATACCTTGCTCGACCTCTGCGACTGTTACTCACCGAGCCGATTGTGACCTTGTTCTCTCTTTATGCAGCAGTGCTTTATGGTCTGCTCTACATGTATTTCGTGGCGTAAGTGTCTATCCCAGTATTTGCCGTCCGACCCACTGAGTCAGTCAGATACCCCATTGTGTTCCAAGAAGGTAAAGGCATGTCGCCAGGGATGACGGGGTTGATGTTTCTTCCTCTCATGGGCGGCATCATTGTTGGACTAGTTGGTTCTCCTTTCGTCAACCGTCATTACCTGACTCTCCGCGCAAAATACGAAGGCCTGCCTCCGCCAGAATTGCGGCTGATTCCCATGATCTATGGTTGCTGGCTGATTCCGATCGGCGTCTTCATTTTTGCCTGGTCGAGTTATCCACATCTGAGCTGGGCTGGACCATGTTTCGCCGGATTGCCTATCGGTGTGGGATTCGTCCTGGTGTACAACTCCTTCAATAACTACATCGTCGACTCCTATCAGCACACTGCAGCTTCCGCACTAGCTGCGAAGACCCTCATTCGATCCATATGGGGTGGCTGCACCGTGCTGTTTACCTCGCAGATGTAGGCGACGTTCGTGACATCCGCACCGATTGATCATTTAGGCTGACTGTCTTCATATATAGGTATCATAGCCTAGGGTATCAGTGGGCTTCGACGCTGCTTGGTTTCATTGCGCTCGCTTGTTGTCTAATCCCTCTGGGCTTTTACAGATACGGAGCAGCAATACGCAAGCACTCGAAATATGCATATTCGGGAAAGGAGTGAAAATCATTGCTTTGTCGTACTGTCGGGACATGAGTGATCTACCTGAGAAGTTCTACATGTTATCAGTGCTGCTACAGAAAAGGACATAAACCCTCTTGCATGTGCAGTAAATGCCGAGTGGTAGACTCAGACTACTAAGGCTGAATGAAATACGAGTGAGTCGTGGAGTACCAGAGTCACCTTGGGGCATAGTCCCTAGGATCTAACGCAGTCCCTCGCTCAGTGCGCCTTTCTTTGTTTCCTATGCATCTACCATGAGCAGGCTGGGGAGTGCTATGCTAGCATCGAATTGGATGTCTGGGTCTGGGATTGATTGGTTCAAGGTCTTCGGGCTTCGCGCTCTCGGAACTTCCGAAAGTCACTGGCAGACGACATACGTCAGCCGGTGTAGCCGCTCTTCCTCTAGTGTGAGAAGCGACCAGCACAAGGAGACTCGCAAGATCTTATGAAATAAGACGTGAAGAATCTTTAAAGTTTCGGATCCCATTCTGCGTTCTCAAGCAATGGATCCTACGACGAGAGGATTCATGATCGGAAAAGAACATTGGTGTCAGTGAGCCATCGAAACTGGGAATGCAGATCAATGGCGGACAAGCAGGCGCCGCATACCATCAGAGCCTGTGTGGCATGTAAAGAGAAGAAACTTCGCTGCTTGATGAGCAACAGTCCTCCATGGACCTGCCAAAGGTATGTAGGATACTTGGGGAAAGTGCCGACCTGGAAAACTGATCGCCAGATGTTTGTCCGCCAGAGCCGATTAGCAGCTGATGTGCTCGTTCGACAGGTGTACGCAGAAGAGACTGGAGTGCATAATCCCTGAACATCGTCCTCGCCAACGCAAGAAGAAAGGTGAGAGATACAATGGGATGATATCTGCCGTCGCAAGCTTGACTCACCAAATCCTTCTTGACGTTAACTAGTGCACTACGAGCGACGGATCGAACAACTCGAGCACAACATTGAAAGGGTTATAGCCCTCCTTCCCAAACCGAGGACTGATTCCGAGGTGGAAGTGGTTCCCAAGTCACACATACCAGCCAAACCGACAAGCTCAGTATCCGTCTCCGATGTTATCAGTGACAAGGTACTGTCTCGCACGCAGGCAGAGCTTTTACTTGCCGAGTACCGACTACAATTCGCCGACAGCTTCCCTTACGTTGTCCTTACCGATCGAACAACTCTCTCAGACCTGAGACAGGACGGCCCGATGTTACTGTTGGCGATCCTGGTCACCACGTCCTGGAAGGATCGGACCCTGCAAGAAGTCCTGAACCAAGTCTTCCTGAAAAGGTTGAGCTCGGAACTCATAGTGCGAGGCAAACGCGACTTGGACCTGTTGCAGGGCTTGCTAGTCTACCTCAACTGGTAAGTCATCAGACCGCGAAGACATTGTCAATCGACCCCAGAGGTAATTTGCGGCGATTACCAGGTTCCATCTTCATGTCACTCCTCAAACGCAACAAGCCTACCGCTTGATGGCCATTGCAAGTACAGTTGCCATTGACTTTGGAATCACCCGTCGCCCAGGCAAAGGCCGACACAGAGAGATGAACGTCGAAACCGTCAACGAGGCACCGAAAGGCCTCGTGGCCCTGGGTGCTGACTACTGGAGTCACGAGGCAAAACGTGCATGCTTGGGCTGTTACCATCTTGCCGCCTGGTAAAGTATCCCTTCGGTCAGGAGTCGTGACCATTGCTCACCCGACCGTGCAGGTACTCGATCATGACTCGCAAAGAAAGCCCCCTGGCTTACAACGAGTATATGCACGCCTGTGCGAGCTCTTTAGCTGCGGCCAAAGAGGTCCCCTCTGACACGGACCTGGCCTTTCATCTTGAACTCACCCGCGAAGCCGACCGGGTATCTACACTGTTCAACTACAGCGAGACCCTTCAACCTCAGCGGATGGGCGATGAACAAATGCAGATCTACTTGAACACATTTTCCTCCAAAATTCGCGATTGGCAAGCCCGCATACCAGCCACGATGACGGAAGACCGTAAGTATTCTGTTTTCTCAACGATGCAAAGTTGTACTATGCAATCCGTACTCCGTACTCCGTACTGACCAGCCAACAAGCCTGCCAACAATTATGGCCGTGGATACTCGAAGCCTTCACACGAGAGATAGGGTTGTCAGGCATGTCTCGAGATTCCAGGCTCTCGCTGCCTCGGATTCGCATCCTTGTCGATAGCCTCGTCAGCACGAAGACCTACCTGGATGTATTCCTTAGGATCCCTGACGACCGCCTGGCGAGCTTGAGTGCAACTCAGTGGGTGCTATTGCTCTATTCGTTCCTGCTGGCCACCACTGCATCCTTGTCCATCGACACCACGGAATGGAACATCCTAACTACAAGATCCATCATCAAACTCGAAGAGTACCTGGAAGCGTTGTCTACCCGCGTCAAGGCGTTATCCTCGCAAATGTCCCCGGTCAAGTCCCTGTTCGACTGGTATGGGAGTCTGATTGCGAGGTGGGAGGCGATGAAATACCGCTATCTAGCGGCTCTCGAGCAGGCCCAAGCCCAAGCCCGAGCGGCGGCAGAGACGCAGACGAAGACGACCGCCTCGATTTTGACTGACATGACTCAATCCATGGGTTCGACAACCCAGATAGCGCCTCTGCCGTCTTGGTGGGATGACTCTGAGTCGCAGTCTCAGATAGGCGATCATGCAGATGCTTTTATACCAGTGGCTGGATTTGACCTGCTCAATTTCGCGTCCAATGCCGGTTCTTGGATGATGACCATGTCAGACTCTCTGTATTATTGAACAAACTCCGACCCGACGCCAATCGAACGAGACGTCTTTGGCGCTCACGAATTCTTGCATGCGAGTCAACAGTTGTTGTTGACCGAGAACTCTCGGATATTGGCTTTTGTGGGGGGAATAGCAACCAAGGCACTCGCAGAAGATCTTTATCCACACTTTTTACTGTATTCAGCCTGGAACGTCTCTCCTACCTTTTTCTTTATACTCCACTCATACATATTTCTTCCTCCTATTCGCCGCATCCCAGGGGCCGTCGACGAGCGAGATATATCCCACCCCGCTCTCGGGCCTCGAATCACCCACCAGGCCCGGGATATTCAACAGCGCAGCACTCTCACTGAAGTGCCGCGTACTGCTCCTCTCCATGGCGTGGAAGATGGGAAAATCCGCACCGAATCTGAACATGCTGAAGCCATCTAGCGTTTCGGACCAGCGTCGTCTGATGCCGAATACAACTCCGAGCACCACACAGCTTGTCGCCCAGACCGCCAGCAACACCAACACCGGCAACGGCGAGACATCGCCTGAACTGACAATCAAAGCGGGCTGGACGGTACTAAGTCGGTCGGTCCACGGCGCGGACTGGCGATCCTGCACAGTGGGCCTGGCCATTTCGAGCGCGTACGCCTTGAACGCTCTCACCATACTCGTCATGAATTGAGTCGAATTGAGCAATTGGAGTTGCTGCCACGTGCTCGTGAGACTGACGTTCACATTCCCCTGGTCGTCGCAATACAGGGGCTGTCGGTAGAACGCGTCGGCCGATTTGTATATGTTCTGCAACCAGCTGACGTTGCTGGCGATGTAGGCCATCGGGTTGAGATCCATGTTCGAATCCTCGGTAAAATCGAGCGGGAGACTGTCTATGGTCGCGCTCAGCGCCGTTTGGCCGTACATGTCCTGCAGACTCAGCGCGGCGGAGACCTCGGAGCGAAAGATTCGCGGGATGGCCGTTGCGATGGGGACGGGTGTCGCGGAAACCATGGACGATGCTTCGGAATACGAAAAGCCGTCGCAGGTCCCTGTGCGGCCGTCGAGAGTGGCCGTGCCGGTGCGGTAGCGCGATTGGCAGCGAAATCCGATGGCGTCGAGTGTTTTCAGCGACGTGTCGTCTTGGCCGGTCAGTTCGGATGTGACGTCGTCGAGGCGGAAGGATTTCTGCATGCCCTTGACGGTCGTGCCGAGAGCGTTCGAGACGAGTCGTTCGAGCGGTGCGCATTTCTGGACCATTTTGATGGGGTTCTGCCACAGCGCGGCTTCGAAGGTCACGGGGTCGAGGTTGCTAAATGGGATGGACTGCCATTCCGACTTGTTATAGCCGACCGCCATCTCCATTATGCCGACGGGGAAAGAGACGCTGTCGATGACGTTCAAGTCGATCAGTGTGGCGTTCGAGATGGGGTTGAGTGTGTACACGTCAAAGTCACACAGGTCGGGAAGGCCCATGTACTCTGGCGTGGCGTCCGAGGAGTTGAAGGTAATAGGTTGGCATCGCGGCGCGGAGCCGTTGCTGTTGCGCTGGCTGAGGAGGATGAATTGCGAAATGTCGGAGACGATGGTGCAATTGAATGTGGATTCCAGGCCCCATGCCTCGCCAGCCACAACGGACGTGGATTGCGGCGCGATGAAGACGGACATTGCAGGCCAGTCGGGCCATATGTTCGGGAAGGACTGGAGCCAGGTGCGGTCGATGAGGGTGCTGTTGTCGGCGGGGACATAGTATGCTGAGCGAGAGGAGAGGGCGGAGGAGGTGGATGTGCTCCAGCGGTTGAAGGAGCGAGTGAAGACGTCTTGTAAGTTTTGGTCGAGGAACGTGTCTTGCCGTTGGCCAACGAGCGTTGCGTATGAAGTGGAGGAGTTGCTTGTGGAATAGCCGGTGGTGAGCTGCAGCGTGAAGCCGGACAGGGGCAGGGCGACGTATGGTGTCAAGCTGACTGCGGCGAGGAGTAGCCAGGTCGGGGATGGGATGGTACGCATGCGGACCCAGCCTGATGGTCCAGACCAGGTCTAACGGTTAGAGACAGGGAGACATCAGCAAATGGTGCTCGTAGTCTGACTACCTTATACAACAGAGAGAAACACGACAGGATGGGGCGAGTGACTCACCTTTTCACAGTGCGACATTAACTGCATAGCATTTTTTGCAGCCCATCGTTTGTCCATCAGCATGCCGGCCTCGACCCCGGCAAGACCATATTTCGAAAGACCAATCCCAGTGGCACTGACGACGAACCTGCACAGAGCTGGTCAGCAAAGCTAAAAAGACGCTCGCAGGAAGAGACCATGAGAAGGAAAGAGGACACACCATATATAATAAGCCCACCGCCCAGCAGGTGGTCCTTGTGCCACGGGCCCGCCATCGTCGTATCTGAGTATCCAGTATGCGTAGAGACCCCCATAGTACGCTGTGACCAGCAGAGGGACGAATATGCAGGTCAGTGTGCGCAACCAGAAGCGTGGTAGGAGTTGGCCATGGCCATGGAAATTGTTGCTATCTTCATTGGCGCCGATTTTTTTGAGGTTGATACGAGTTGTAGTAGGATGCTGTGATATCGTGTTAGAGTATCCGTGCTGGAGACCTTCATATCCTGTCTCGGGATTTTGGACCCCACGAGAGCCACCCATTAAGAAGAAGAGTTGTTTGGCCATTGTTCATGCTGCCACCACGGCCTCCGGAGGGGACGCTGTAGGCGCGAGGCAAGGTAAGGTCGAGAAGTAACTAGACCAGCTCAGGACAAGTGGTTGGCGAGGCTGAGAACCGTTCGTGGGACGGAGATGGGTTCGTCTGCTGTAGACCAAACCATTAAATGGAGTCGTAGGTTATAACATGCCTTGGGCAAAGTATTAAACCGCTCTGCAGTTCTCGAGGGTGGAAAGGCATGAGATATTGAGTCGTCTGAGGCACGAGCTGGTGTGACAGATGAGCACAGCCTGGTTTGCCGTGGTCTGTTGAAACATACTGTGGTCGACATGCAGCCTGTTGTGCTGCGCCTACTTGTCCCCTGTCGAGATACATAGACTTCGGCCATTCGGTGTAGAAGCTGCTGTGATACACGGATGTTTGGGGGCCATTATACACGGCAGGCGGAGGACGTTGTAATCTGAACGCTGACCAACCCGGACAGAACGCTAAAGGTTCGCTGAAACAGCCGTCAATTCTCTGTTCCGGCGCTCGTTCTCCATCGATTGAGACAGTATGATGGCAAGTCTGTCGTGCAACTGTGGCTTGCTCGCCCTGGTTTCAATCAAGCTGTGATGGAGGGGTAAGGAATACTATAGTAATTGATACAACAAGCGATGTGATACGGGGGGATGTTTTCTGCACAAGCAAGCAGCCATCCACCTTACGGAGCAGATAAAACAAGGAAATAGAAATGCCATATAGGACTGAAGGGCGTGGAGAGGATGAAAATAAAAGCAGGGCTTTTGTCATTCCTTGTTACTCGAACAGACGGGGCGTACCTGGGTATTCGGGTGGTATACGGAGTACGTATCTTCCACAATCACATCATCAAAGAAAAATTGCCCCTGGGTGCCCCAGTGTCTATGCCTCGACAGCCTCGCCAGGCTCGTCTTCCTGGATTGGTTGACCTTTCTCGGCCTTCTTTCGTCTCTCTTCCTCCTCAATCTCCTGCAGCCTCTTCTGCCCTTCCTCATTAGTCGCGTCAATGACTCCTTCCTGCAAACTCAGCATGCCTCCCTGTCCCAAAAGCTCCACAATCTCTTCAGCCTCGTCTACACTCATCTTTCCGAGCACGACGTTGACTTCATCTAGGCTGCCACTTTCCAGCGCACGTTGAAGTCCAGGTGGGAAGCGTTCGAAGATCTCTCTCGATTGTTGCTCAATAGGGTCTTCCGAGCCAGCTTGCGGCACATTGATGTGGATCTCGGTTCCAGGCTCAACAGCATGCAACTGGATTTGTTCGACACCGGCCGGATCCGTGCCCTCCTCTTTGCTGAGTTCTGCGGCTCGAGTTTTGATCCGTTCGTAGGTTTCGGCGAGGTCTTTGCTAAACACTTGTTGAGCTTGGTGACCTTTGGTCGTGATACGTTTGAAGAATAAGCCCACGCCGTCGCGGCCAAGTTGACGGCAGTATTGGATGAGCAAGCTCTGATGCACACAACCTTTGGCATAAGTATCCTGGCCTTTCATCTGTGCATTGAATGCCTCTATCATCAGAGCGTCCTGTGTATGCTCGTTGACGATTTCAGGATGCTCTGAGATGAACTGTAGACATGTCCTGTAATCGCCCAGTTTGATCTTGGCAAATTGCTTGCCTGCTGGCGTGAGTTTAAGGCTGGCCTCATCCTCCTCGTCTTCGTGTTTGTTGGTCAGTGCATCATCTTCCACATCTGCTTCGGCACCCGAAGAGACAGCCTCATCCGGGGACTTCAGGGCATCCCTTGTCTTGGAGCTTAAGCCCTTCGGTGCATTAAGCAGTTCGACAGTCTCTGTCTTGGCCGGCTCCCTGGGCTTCTCCGATTTCGCGGACGCATGTTTAGGTTTGTTCACAGAAGAGTAGCTGAAACCCTCGTGTAAGTCCTCGCTTGTAATCTTCGCCGTGGCCTCCTTTTCAAGCTGCGCCAGTCGTGTCAATAAGTCTTGCTGCAACTTCTGAACTTTGGTGAGGTGGCCATTGACTCCTTCGACAAAGTCCTTGTACCGGTCAGGTGAGTTCTTCTCGTCGACTTCTTTCTTGACTTGGTCCACAAGGGCTCCCATCATCTTAGAGTAGCGTGGTTGGGGCTCTTTCTGATGGGTATAGACACCCTCCGGGGGTTTGGGAGGTTCATCTTTGGCCGGGTCACCTGCGCTTTCAATCAGAGACTGGAAGACAAGCTCGTCTGGGTTCTTGGTTGCGGCATCTTCTTGATGCTTCTTGAGGGCATCTAACAGAGCATTTATACGCTCTAACAGGCCGTCGTTGATGATACGTTCATACTTGAGGGTCTCTATTTCGTGCTTGCGCTGGGCTCGTTGCTCATGGATTTGACGTTGCTTTGCTCGAATGAAACTCTTGGTGTCGACATTGGGGTGTACCTCGACGTCGGAGTCGTCTGAGACCTCGAGTCGATCCCATTTATCGTAGGATATAGGCATTTCGGAGGTGTTGGTGTTGTTGAGGGTAGGGACAGTGTGGGAAGAGGCAGGTGAAAGCTTGGCCGCTTGCTTCAGGTTGGGTCTATCGTTGTCGAGAGGTTTACCACAGTAAGGTATTGTTTGGCAAGGATTCTTCTAGAAAGGCAGTTCTCGGTGTGGTTTGATACAGAAGGCGCATCAGGTGCATTACCTCATCGTTTAAGCCAGCATGGTGCCTTATGGGCCTTGGCCCTCCCTGTTGCGCCTAATAGTGGGGTTCGGCAAGCTTAGGTATGGGTGCCCTCATGGTGCCCTCCCGGCGAAAGAAAAGCGCCCGTCATCGCCCAAAGCTCCAAACTCCATCTCGGCCGCGAAATCGGTCTCGTCACTAACGTAACTAACGTTAACACCCGCGTCAATGACAGGCACCTTTCTTATTTTCTTTCCCACGCTTCTGCATCATCTCTGTCCCCCTACGTCCGATGCGATTGTCCTCTTCTACGATTGTCGCCGACATGAGGAGAAGAGCAGAGGCTTTTATATCTCGCTAGACTACTTTGCGAGCCCCTCTCCTCCGGCATGAACCCAATGCGCAGCTCGGTGCTGCTCACATTCAGTCCTTTCCAACATGGGCTTCGACTGCATCAGCTCGACCAGAAGGTCCTGCTTTCTCTATACAACTCGGCGCCGAGGCACTCGCGGATAGCATGTCGTCCTCTTTATAACTGCGCGATCCCCGTCCGGCTCAGCAATGCCGACACCTTTCGGCCCGCCACGATCCTTGCAAGATGTGCCCCGGTACAGTACCCGAACTCTTTACCTTCGCGCCTTGGGGTGGCGGCTGAAATCAGACATCTCTCAACATCTCCCATCGTTCGGGAAACTCCAATTCCAGTGACAAGGGAGCAATCCAGGTCGAAATCCAACGATGACGCAGATGAAGAGGAAGCCTTTCAGAAGAGTGAAAAAGCAAATCAAGCCTCCCATGTCAATCTCAGTGCCAGGCTGTCAAAAGAAGGAAGTGCGAGCAAGGGTGCTGGTCTGGGGGAAGTCTGGCGGTTGATCAAGATCGCTCGACCAGAAGCAAGAATCCTCATATGGGCGTTTATCCTACTGCTGATTTCTTCTGGCATAACTATGTCTATACCTTTTTCCATCGGCAAGATCTTGGACATTGCTACGAAGGGTGGTGCGAAGACTGAAGGGCCCGAGGCTGAACAGAAGTCGGAGATGTTGTTTGGGTTGAGCTTGACCACTTTTTACACAGCTCTGCTCGCCATACTTGCGACTGGCGCCGCCGCCAATTATGGTCGCATCATCATCCTTCGCATTGTGGGAGAAAGGATCGTGGCACGACTCAGATCGAGGCTGTTTCGACAGACATACGTGCAGAACGCCGAATTCTTCGATGCAAATCGTGTGGGTGATTTGATTTCTAGGCTCAGCTCTGACACCATTATTGTTGGCAAGTCCATTACACAGAATCTATCCGACGGTCTTCGTGCGTTCGTGAGTGGAGCGGCTGGCTTCGGGTTGATGGCATGGGTGTCTCTCAAATTGACCGGAATATTGGGTTTGCTCTTCCCGCCTGTCGCAATAGCTGCATTCTTCTACGGCCGAGCGATCCGAAATCTGAGCCGAAAGATTCAGAAAAATCTAGGCACATTGACAAAGATTGCCGAAGAACGACTGGGCAATGTGCGAACATCGCAAGCATTTGCAGGCGAGATCCTCGAAGTCCACCGCTACAACACCCAAGTTCGCAAAATCTTCGACTTGGGCAAAAGGGAATCTTTAATCAGCGCCACCTTCTTCTCCACGACCGGATTCATGGGCAACATGACTATTTTGACTCTTCTTTATGCGGGTGGCGGGATGGTGTCCAATGGAACCATCAGCATTGGTGAACTCACCTCATTCCTAATGTACACGGCGTATGCGGGATCATCTCTCTTCGGACTCTCCTCCTTTTATTCGGAGCTCATGAAAGGCGTCGGAGCCGCATCCAGACTGTTTGAGCTGCAAGATAGGCAACCGACCATTTCGCCAACAAAGGGTATCAAGGTAGAGTCCGCACGTGGTCCCATCAGGTTTGAAAACCTTACCTTCAGCTATCCTACGAGACCTGCTGTGAAGATCTTTCAGAATCTGGACTTCGAAATACCGCAAGGAACGAACGTGGCCATTGTTGGCCCTTCAGGCGGAGGGAAATCCACGATCGCTTCATTGATTTTGCGATTCTATACACCCACAGAAGGCCGAATTCTGATTGACGGCAAGGACATTTCCACGATGAATGTGAAATCCTTGAGGAGGAAGATCGGCATCGTCTCGCAAGAGCCTGTCTTGTTTTCAGGGACAATCGCTGAAAACATCGCATACGGCAGGCCTCATGCTACCCGGGCCGAGATTCTGCGCGCGGCAAGGAGAGCCAATTGTCAATTTATCAGCGACTTTCCAGACGGGCTTGACACATCGGTGGGCGCCCGGGGCACGCAGCTCTCTGGCGGACAGAAGCAGCGCATTGCTATCGCTCGTGCGCTCGTGAAGGAACCCGATATACTGATCCTAGACGAAGCTACGTCTGCCCTTGACGCGGAGTCGGAGACCCTGGTCAATGAAGCGCTAGCTTCTCTCCTCAAAGGCAGCAACACAACGATCTCAATCGCCCATCGACTTTCTACCATCAAACGCTCCGATACTATCATCTGTTTGGGTAATGACGGCCGTGTTGCTGAGATGGGTTCTTACAAGGATCTGAGCAGTCGGCCAGACGGCGCCTTTACCAAACTCATGGAATGGCAGATGAGTGGAGAAGCTCCAAGGAACAACGTGGACGAGTTGGCAATTGGTGCCGAGCACAAAGGACCGCCGAACGAGCACGAGGAGATCGAAGTCGAATTGGAGGATCCGAATGAGGGCGAGAGTGAAGAGGAAATTGAGGGCAGCAAGGCCCAAGAGACGGTCAAGGAAGCTGTGCAAGAGAAGAAATGATGAGTGACGTGTCTGAGCAGCACAAGAGCCCACTCTCTACTCTCTTTGGCGCGGGTGACACTGACTGGCGTCATCCAATGAACGTATTGGTCCACGGTCTATCTCATAGCGACTATGTCGCAGAGCATATATACTACCTGCCGTTGGCTGGGGAAGGAAACGGTGAGGCCAGGCTATCGCATCTATTAGTGAAGGAGTTGTATACAAGGTGCAGGGACAGAAGGGATGAATGCTCTGACAGTGGGAAGCTATTGTATAATTCCGTCCGCGTGCCTCTCTGCAGTGCTTGCTGCATTGTTAAGTTATGAATGAAAACAATTCCCTGCTCAAGCGGTCTCTCCAATGGCTGGCGCGTGTCCGTACCCCTACCTCCGTATTCTACCAGGTATTACCTCTGTAATGGTACGTGGTAAGGTAGTACGGATGGTAGCATATGTTGACATGCTTGGCGGCATTTGTATGGCCCATCATCCCAACAGCTTCTCCCCACCAGATCTTTGTGCCTCCACGCCTCTTACGACAAGCAGGGTCTTTGCTCATGATGCATGCCATGTGCCCGTCAGTTTCGCCCTTTGGCATCCGCCCCGAAGGACACGAGCCTCTTCTTCAAATTCCTATATTCTCCGCCATGTCATCCTCAGAGCTCTCCCTATCCTATCTTCCCTTCACTCTTCCAATCGGATGAACTGCGTCAGTGTGGTTGATGGCTGAACGCAGGATCAAGACAACGACATGAGACACTCCGCTATACCACAAGAAGTATCTACACAATAACTTCACCATGGCTACGAACGTCCAGACCCTGCTTCAACAAACTCAGGACATCACGACCACAGATTTGGCCGGCCCTCGAGCACCTGTGCAGATTCCCCATGGCTCTCTCGAGAACAAAGCCAAGGTACGCAGCAAGTACCGTCATATTGCAGCTCTGCACTCGAAAGTCCAACCTTCATGTCTCAGCCACGAGACAAGCGAGACTCCCAGCTTCATTGGCTTCCGAAACCTGATGGTCCTAGTCATCATTGTCATGAACTTGCGTCTGGTAGTCGAAAACGCCAAAAAGTACGGTCTGCTCATCACTGTCAAGATGAACCTACGGGACACGGATATCAAGACTGCCCTTATCCTGTACGCCCTGACACCCTGCCATCTTTTCGTGGCCTATATTATTGAACGAGTCGCGATGGAGAATGCAAAGGGAGTCATCGGCCGACGGAAAAAGGAGGACCTAGACCAGAGCAAGCCGGAAACAGAGAAGGAAAAGAAGGAATTCTACTATACTTGGTGGTGGATCGCGGTGGCACATACGTTCAATGCGTCTCTCGCCCTCCTGATCACAAGCTACGTTGTTTATTATCACATTTATAACCCCGGACTCGGCATGATCAGCGAACTACACGCCATCGTTGTATGGTTGAAGACGTGCTCCTACGCTTTCACCAACCGAGACCTCCGGCATGCAATGCTCCACCCCGGCGGTCCTGAGTCCGCTTTGCCAGAGATGTATCTGAAATGTCCCTACCCAAAGAATATCACACTGGCGAATCTGTGCTACTTCTGGTGGGCGCCGACACTGGTCTATCAGCCATACTACCCGCGCACGGAGAGTATCAGGTGGACCTTCTTGTTCAAGCGCATTGGGGAGGTTGTTGCCCTATGCGTGTTCATCTGGCTCGTCTGCGCACAGTATGCCGTCCCTGTCCTGCGCAACTCACTCGGGGGCATGGTCTCGCTCGACTTCCCCTCCATTGCGGAACGGCTCATGAAACTATCCACAATCTCACTGATCGTCTGGCTTGCGGGCTTCTTTGCCTTGTTTCAGTCATTCCTCAACGCCTTGGCCGAGATCATGCGGTTTGGCGACCGCGTCTTCTACGAGGATTGGTGGAATAGTACCAACCTCAAGATGTACTGGTCGACCTGGAACAAGCCAGTCTACCACTTCATGCGGCGACATATCTACTCACCGCTAGTTGGGCGCGGTTGGTCGTCACAAGCGGCGAGTGCCTGGGTGTTTGTGTTTTCTGGCTTTCTACACGAATTGGCGGTCGGTGTGCCCGCTCACAGTATACTCGGAGTGGCATTTCTCGGGATGGTACTGCAACTGCCGCTCATCGCATGTACAGAACCCTTGGCGAAGAAGGACGGGACAGGTAAAGTCATTGGAAATTGTATCTTTTGGATCAATTTTGTGTTTGTGGGTCAGCCGCTGGCTGCCATGATCTACTTCTTTTCATGGCAGGCAAAGTATGGTGACCTGAGCAAGATGCCCAAAAAGTAAAGCACCTGGGAGATAGATTGCCATATTACTTCGAGAGGACAATGTACCATCGAATCATGCGCCTTTCAAGCGAACCAATGGCCCCCAATTGCCGATTACTGAGAAGGCTGGAGGCGGCTAGTGGGCTCAGCGTTGGTTGCATGATCATGCATACAGGGCTGGCCACTACCACTGAAAACACGCTTCGGCCCTTCGCGTTTCCCTTGCACTTGCTCAGCCCATCTTGAAGTCTCTGAGACACAATCCATGCATGCTGCAAGCCATCATCCTCGGACTTCCCGCTTCTGGCGGCTCGCCTGAGAGAAGGGAATGTCTGCGAACATCATTCATCAGGCTGGCCATCCACCAGCCTTCGTGTTGAGATTCTCGGATAAGCGATGGACAAGGGCATGACATCTTTTTTGAGCGATGATGGGTGATGTTTTCGACCTCGATCAGCCACCATTAATCCGCAAAAGTGCAAGTCTACCCCCCCTTGCAACCCGCAGCAAAGATGGTGCAACGTCTACCTATGTATGCGCGGTTGCGCTGGAGATTGAGGCTGAAGCTGCCTGCTTCTTCGCTTTCCCTTCTTTCTTTTCATCTGCTGCACGATCAAGATTGCTTCGTCGCTTGTCAATGTCTTCAACTACGTCTCTCAGCTAGCCTTTGCGGACGTTGAGTCTATCTAGTCTTCAAACTACACCACTTCCTCGACGAAGAATGCGTTGGATCAGCAAATTCGAAGATCTACAGCTGGACATCGTTGGTATCATTGCAGTCTTGGGAGAAGCCTCGGTTACAAGGAACGCCCAAGTCACCAGTTTATCATGGTGGTCGTCTATTCCTCGCCTCCTGCCTGCTCCACAAGCATTGCTGGAACATGAACGAAAGTATCGACTCCCGACTGCTCCAGGTATCGTGGCAGGTGCACACAGTGGGAACATCAAGAAGGAAATCAATTTCTTCACTCAACTGCTACATCAACGACCATTGGACGATTATGAAGTCGAGCTCGTCGAGGTCACGCGCAATAAACAGGTCAAGCGTGCCAGCTTCGGTCCGAATGTATATGGGCCACTGTTCTGGGCTTCCTTGCTAGGTTGTTCGATGAGCATAGCTCTCGTTGTACTATCAGTCATTTATCACGATGGATTTGCCTTGTTGGCCACCATTATGCTGTCTGCTGTGAGCTCCGCAGTCGGATTTGGCACACGGTGGGATCTGGTCTTCACTGAACCAAAAATAAAGGAGGAGCGAGAAAACAAGATGCCTAGATCAGATGTTATCGTCTACTATCCCAATGTAAGTGGGTTCGTACTTGTTCAGCTTTGCTGGTCTGGATTCCTGGGGAGCATGAATATTCAAGCTCATTTTCTGAGACTCTATTATAACCGACACCTGATTAATTCGGAACTGATTTGCATACAGGGCGCCATTCGTGTCATCCGGCCAGCGTACGAAGAGATTGGTCGTTTATACTTCCAGACAGAGCATGCGCGTTACAAGATTGATGGTTTGAACAGCCGTCTCCACTGTGCAGCTCAAAGAGCTGACATCCTGCGATAGATACTCCGTATAGGACCCTCGCTCTATTCTCGACGATCATGCTGATGGCAGGAGTGGTGTCTCTTGCTAACGCATCAAACATTCTCCAGGTGTCCTACGCGGCTGCTTACGTGCTGCTCAATGCCGTCTACTGGGCTGTTTCGGCGGTGAATCCATGTAGCTACCATTGGCGCCATGCTTACAAGACCCAAGTACTCGATATTGCGCCGCTTCCCGGTCCACACGACAGTGCTCTTGACCACAAAGGCGTTGTCAAAACCTCCCTCAGGCAACTTCGACACGAATGGCACCGCTTCCAAAAATCCTGGGGCCTGGTGGCATCGGCCAAGATCGCCCGCACGTTTGCAGATCCAGATATAGGAGCAAGAACGTTCACAGCAGCACTATGGACGGCGATAGTGTTGACGGGAACCTCACAGTGGCTTAACGAGGCCACCGCGATTGCTCCAATCAACGAGGCATGGAAATCGTGGATCCGCGAAGCCGACTCGAATGTTGAGGCGATTGATCTGTATGAGGGCCGACATCAACCACATCGCTCGTCGCGTTTGCCTAGGCGACCGACAGGTACGAATTGGAGATTCAGCCGCGCGCAAAACGATCGAGATGCTAGGGACAAGCGGCGTATCATTATTCGCGAGAAGATTCGAGGCTGGAAGTACGACGAGCGATTGACGAGCATCCTGGCAGCACATGCCGATCTGACTCGGAAACCCTATCCTGATGAGACGGACGACACTGTTGAAGCAGTGCCAGAAGAGAATTCTATAGCTGCCGATACGGTTGCAACCTCAACTGTAGTCAGAGAGCATAGGGATGTGTCGCACTTGGAGCAACCGGCTGGACGTGGTGCAGGCACGACGTCCTCAACATCGTTTGCGGGACTGGAGACGGAAGAGATTCTAAGAGTCTCATCGGATGTTGAGAAAGGTAACGACTAAGACTGCAGGCCTAATCAGTGGCCCGACATATCCTTTCCTCGCCGAATAAGCTGGACCAATGTCGTTCCCACATCATCCGTTTCTGCTGATGCCCGGAAACAACTGGAATCTGGATATCTAGATTTGAGACGTCTTATGGGGCCCAAAAGGGTGGCATCTTTATCCGCTTGCTGAAGGCGAGCTTTGTGCGACGTTAGGTGCTGAGGTCCAGCTCTTCGGAGTATCTGGCCACTTGACAGGCAAACAAATGAGAGTTTTGAGGACCTTTTTGAAGAGGATGTCGCAGGCAGAAAGGACTCTACCTATTCGACTATTCGAACAGCGGTGACTTAGTAACTAGTTGCGTCGACGACCTTCGTAGTCGATTGAATGACTGGTGTTGCGATCCGAACGCAGTTAGAGCGGCATCTCATGCCAGCCAATTCAGTCTAGTTCAGCCTCGTGCTTGGCGCGTCATACCGTGTTTTCAATGTTTGCACTTTTGCGACCAGAAAGATTGGACTTTGAAGAGTTAACCGCGCAGACTCTTAAAAGATTCCTTACTTAAGCTTCAAGATGGACCAACCCAGGTACCCTCCGCCGAAGCGCCGTCGAACTTCGAGCGCCGATTCCTCCTCGTCTCGCAATTCCGTGGGCCCTCGATCACACCCTCCTCCACTCGGGCCTTCACAATCAGCGCGCTCAAGAGAAGACTCAAGAAGAAGAAGATACTCGAGCTCACGGAGCCGAGATGCAAGTAGAGACGATACACGTCCACGTCGGCGCTCGAGGAGTCGCTCACGCTCCAGAAGACGGTCTAGTCGAAGCCCGACAGGCAGCTCCGCCTACGATTCCGCACCGGAACACCAAAATGACCGCCGACGATCACGACAGAGACGCCAGTCAAGGTCACGATCCAGGTCATACTCCTCATCTCGCGACCGCTCGTACTCACCGTCCTACTCCCCAGATGCTCGTGCTCCACCATCCGAGACGGCGAAATCGAAATCGAAATCTAATTCCCTGACCTTTACATCCCTCCTGACCATCCCCCGCGTCCACGCCAGAGGCATCACATCGCTCAAGTTCTCGCCAGACATGACCTTGCTCGCAACAGCGTCCGCGGACAACACAATCAATATTTACTCGGTCCCTGCGAACCCCAGTCCAGACACACCCTTTAAACACCTGCGCACGCTCCGCGCGCACCTGGCCGGCGTCAACGCCATCGCGTGGTCCCCCGTCGGCCCGCACTACACACTCGCGTCGGCGAGCGACGACAAATCGATTCTGCTTTGGTCGCCGCTGAGTTCCGACTTCCCGATCTCGCCGTCTCCGCTGATCGGTCATAGTAACTATGTCTACAGTCTGGCCTTCAGTCCGAAGGGGAATATGCTTGTGAGCGGGAGTTACGATGAAGCCGTGTTTCTGTGGGACGTGCGCGCGGGCAGGGTCATGAGGAAGTTACCGGCGCATTCCGATCCTGTGCGCGGGGTGGATTTCCTCAGAGACGGGACCATGGTCTGCAGTTGTAGTTCGGACGGGCTGATCAGGGTCTGGGACGCGGGGACGGGCCAGTGTCTCAAGACGCTTGTCGATGAAGATCGGCGGCAGGTCACGAGCGTGCAGTTCACGCCGAATGGGAAATATCTGGTCGCGTGGACGCTGGATGGGTGCGTGAGGCTGTGGAGGTACAGCGAGGGTGCTTGTGTGAAGACGTATCAGGGCCATGTCAATGCGAGATACAGCCTCGGTGGCGTCGTGGGAGGGTACAGAGGCACGGAACAGGGGATGGGCGCGTTCCTGGCCAGTGGCAGCGAGGACGGCGAGGTGGTCGTTTGGGATGTGACGAGTAAAAACGTGCTGTGGAGGGGAAAGGGCCACAGGGATGCTGTGCTGAGTCTGGATTGGGGCAGGACGAAAACCGGCAAGGGGCTGTTGGTCAGTGGAGGCAAGGATCGGGACATCAGGGTCTGGATGCTCGTGGAAGAGGAACATCAGAGCGCTGAGGGTGGTGATAACGATATGGATCCCAATATGGGTATGGAGATGGATGTGGACGGCGAGCGAGAGAATGTGAATGTGAATGGCGATCGAATGGATCTTGACCGGGGGATGGTGGATAATTGAAAAATGTCTCATGTCAGCGTCGAGGAGGAGCGGGACCTTGGGTGATGGAATCAATTAAAATTTCAGTGCATGCGATTTACACCTTCTCGTTCCGCCTTGCAAGAGCACGACGCGTTCGTTAGGTATCTGACAACCTGGTGCTATAACGCCAACTTTTGGGAGTCCCTGGAAAACCAGCGCTGGACACTGCACCACGTCAGAGCAGACTCTGGTTTCTCCATCCCCTTCCCAAAACCCGTCTGAACATTTCAACCGGGGACGGCCCTCTGTCTCGCTGTCGCGCTTTCGTCGCGGTCGATTCTATCGCGCAACACGGAAATTGCCTCTCGCTTGCTCTGCCATGAAGCCATCGCGCTGGCTTGGCAACGGTGCACGTCTACGCGCATTACCGCCATCTGTGGGCGGGGTGTTGGCGCCGTTGCCATTGTCACCGCCACCGAGCGACATGCCTGGAGGAGCACCGAGACCGGGTATACCAGCCATCGACGGGTTCTGCATGCCCAGGCCAGGCAGTCCAGGTGGTAGCTGACCTGGCGGCGGCGGCGGTGGCGGCGGGAATCCGAGTGGCAGATTCAGTTTGGAAAAGTCAATGGGCGGTGCGCCGGCAAGGCCGGGCGGAGGCGGTTGGTGGAAGCCTGGAGGCGGTTGAGGCGCTTGTTGCTGTGCTTGCGGAGCTTGTTGAGATATAGCCAACAAACGCTGCAGAGACTCTGCGTCGACACCTGGAATTTGTGGAATGGGCGGAGCATTTTGCATCGCCATTCGGTTAGGATTTGCATGTGGGTTGTTCGGTAGGCCTGGGAGTAGGTTCAGTGGAGGTGGAGGAATGTTGCTCATGCCAGGTAGAGATGGCGCAGGCTGTGCTGACCCGTTCATACTTAACCCTGGCAGGCCCGGGATCGAGAAACCAGCGGCTGCAGATTGCAAGCCCGAAACGGTCTGATCTTCTAGGCCTTCGGCTTCGTCCTCGGCTTCTTGTTCTTCTAGCTCTTTGGCCTGCTTTTGGCCGAACTTGCGATCCCACGTGCCTTGGGCTTCGGCACCTTCTTCACCAAGGTGGAATTTGTCCTTGAAGCAGTTTGTTTGCCCGGGTTGCGCGCGCGACCAGAAGCGTGTGTAGTGGTCGTTTGAGCCTGAGGCTAGGATGTGGCCTAGCGGGTGCCAGTCGAGAGACCAGATTGAGGAGTCGTGAGCGTGGGGGATGCGGTGTGCTGGGTAGATCGACTGAGCGGGTGCAGAGCGTGGGTCGGGAGAAGCGTAGGGTGAGGTCGTGGTTGAAGAGATGCCGGGTGGTGTGTTCGGTTCGGTGAGAAGGTAGGTATGGAGCGAACCGTCGTCGCCGCCGGTGCTGATGAGGCCCGGGTGGATGGGGTGCCACGATAATGTCGTCACGCCTTTTTCGTGGCCTCGAAGAACGGCGACATCGCGCATCATGCGTAGATCGAAGATGCGCGTTTGGCCGTCTCTGCCGGATGTGGCGAGGAGCTGGTCGCGAAGTCGGCTGAAGACAGTGGCTGTGATGGCGTTCTTATGCCCATGCAGGGTGGTGAGACTGCGTGATGTGCGAGGATCCCATAACCGGACACTGTGGTCTTTACTCCCAGAGACGATGAGGGCTTTGGTCGGGTGCCAGTCACAGGCCTTGACATCCCAGCCGTGGTCTTTGAAGATGGATTCCTCGGTGGAGGACGTGAAGTCCCATATCTTGCAGGTATTGTCGTCGGATGCAGTGACGAATTTGGTGTCACTGGGGGCGAAGGCGATATCCCTGATCGGAGCATCGTGGCCCTTAAACTGATGCGGGTTGTTTAATGTCGGTTGTAGATAGTACACCGTGCCTTCGTCGTTGGCGGCAACGAGCCAGTCTTTGCGATTCGACCATTCGGCCGCTCGGAGCGAGCTAGACCCCATGGCCGTGACAGTCTCGAAGTTAAAGGACATGCCATTCCATAACATGAACTCGCCGTTGTGGACGCCAGCAAGGAGTCGACGCCCTTCAGGCATCCATCTCACGACAGTGACCGGTTTCTTGGATTTACCGAGTGATGTGTGAAGATGTCGTACCGGTATTGACTCTGCCGGCGCATCTCGTTTTGCTGGCGGCGGTAAGATATCAATCACGTAGCTCAGACTTGGTCGTTCCTGCTCGTAGTGATAGCTTCCTTTGTATGCTGGTTTTCGATTGTTCATCCACTGAATTATGGACGAGCCGTAGTCGGTGACTGGTCGAGGTCTCCTTCTACGGAAACCACCTTCGCCTTGGTCATCATACATATTGGCCATGTTCAGCAAAACACGGTGTCATTGGACTCCTCGATATAATTCAACAGGAGAGTGATGGCTGTTAGTTCGGGTGGTTTCTTCATGCACAGAGCAGAAAGAGCTGTCTAAAACTCCGACTTTTAGGCCGAGATGTGGATGCCTCGGAGGCAGGTAGATGGCATCTAGCAGGTGTGTCTGAGGATGCGAGAGGTCTAATCGTGGACCGTCCGTAGATTAATATGTGTTGAGATGTTTGATATGTGGTGTTCTTGATGTGAAGGTTTATTGTTGATTTACAGAGGAATCGACGAGTATCTCTCATGTCACGTGCAACAATAGTATCACGTGACTGATTTTGTCCGCCTCGCCGCCTTCACTTTCAGGTACCAATCTTGCCATCTTGCTCTCATCTACATTGTGATGTTGGTCTATATGAAACTTGAAGTGGCAACGACGGCAGCATCCAGAGAGTAAGTTACGGCGCAGATTCAGCCCGCCAACGTCGTCGATTCACTCAATGATGCTCCCATAGTGCCCTTGCATCCTTTGAGGCCGAACCATATTTCATTCTCGACAGATCACTCTTCTTGGTGGACAAGCCCCCCCCCGAGTCTGCAAAAATATCATTGTCATCTCATACCGATGAGAACGTTAAGTGCAGGTCGATACTCATCTCTGGAAAGCAAAAGCAACCTTCCATCCTGAAGCAGTAAACCCCAAAACATCCAGACATGTAAGGCCAGGGGTATCTCAAGCGAATGTACACACATCGGACCATGCCTCATGACAGTCATGTCCGCGTCTCGATTTTCAAGTCAGTGCTCGCCATAGCTTCTATGGCGGAACCTCGATCCTCTCCTAATCCGTCGCACACCACCCTATTCCGGCTCGAACCGGCTCCTTGTACCCTTCCGACATCGTTCTGACTCATAAGGTGCCTTGCTCAATCTCTCTGGCTCATCAAAACCCAGAACAGCACTGTACACACCATCATCCCGGCACTCACCACAAAACTGATCCATCCGACAGCAAGAGAATAAGCAGCCACAGTCAGACTCAGAAACACAAAGGCCAAACAGACAAGCAACATCAACCACATGCCACATCCCAACACGACAATTCCGAAGACAACCCCTCTTTCACCGGCGGTTCGATTGCCCGCCCCGCCCCGCCAACTCTTGTACCCGCGCTCGAACGCGTCACGGACATGCTGCCGCTGAAACGTGAGTGCCATAGTCGTCAGCGTTGCGAGGGCGAGGGATAGCGTGAAAAAGAGCCAGCTCAAAGCAAGAAAGACTTGGACTTCGGAGAAGTAGTGATGAGGCGACCCGAACTGCGACACATCAAGGTTAGTTCCTGCTCCGACTAGAACCACAACCGTCCTGTTGGGCTTTGAAACGGCAGATATACGGAGGGCCGACGACTTTGAGCGGCAGATACACGCCACTGAACCAGGGCTTCCCAGTGCCGCGACATCCTTTGCCTGATGCAGTGCCTTGGTCGCGGAAGGACAGGGTACCTCGGACTCATACCCAAAGCAGAAGGGGCTTGCAGAAATTGTCGCAGTCTCTGTGTGAGAGTCGCGAGGATAGGAAGGAAGAGGGAGCACTTACAATGCCGACCGTGGAAGTGAAGGTGATCAAGGAGCCGAATCCCGACAGGAAGTACACGCCTGGAATCAACGTTTCGAGCCAGCGCAGGCCTGGAGGGTCACGCGGGTCGGCGGCCATTTCGAAGCGCTGCATTGGTTGTTCTCTTTCTCTTTTCTTCCAATTGCTGGCGTTGTTCACTGCCCTTCGGAAGGGTTGGTCGAGGTATGCTAGGGGTTGGCTGTTGAGTTCGCGCTTTGGAGTGACGGTAGATGCTCGTAGTGTCAATCTCGCTGGCCTTCGTCCAGGGCTGATCTCTGCTCGGTGCGGAAGGAGAGTCTCGCGCAGTTCGTGCCTTGAAGAGCAACCACAGTATCAGTTAAGGGCAACGTCCCAATGGTCTGATAATTGTATATTTGAGTCAAGAGTTCGGGGCCCTTGCGGGGGGTTTATCCAGCACGTAGTTTTGGTTTGCTAGACGAACAATCTTGTCTGTCATTGCCAAATTCCGGCCTGACCCTCAAAATTTTACCCGTGCTGGGCTTTGTAAACACGCTTTTCACACCAAAATCTCGGAGGGTGCTTTTGTTACTTGTATATCAAATCTTGCGATGAATCCGGTTTCAGCCTCATCGCCCCGCGTCAGGCTGCCACGCAATGCTCGTATCGAAACCGGTTTTGAAGCAATCCTTCAGGGGGTCGGAGGCATCACATGATAGTCCCTTTTTCATGTAAGAATGCCTGGCACCTTGTCGGGAGAGACCACGGGCAACAGGGCCAGGCAGAAAACACGGAGGTGTAGCATTGTAACGCATGATCGTGTACCTTGTCTGGAAGTCTGCCCACGGCAACACGGAAAAGCGGCGAAGGCGAATTCCAGTGGGCAAGCGACGTCTCCAACGAAGGAGTTAGAACTCCCTTGCCGTGTCGGATCTGACAACGCCGCCCTACTACGTAGCAAAGCATGCTATCTCAAAGAGTCTCGTCGTAGTGTCAGCGTTAAGCCAAGATATCAGCCGACAGGCTCAGAAGACTATCCCCTACACGTTGGAGCATCCACGGCCCATCGAGCCTCCGCCCTAGAGGAGGAACTTCTCGACCGACCCCGTCATCCGATGACGCCCACCACTTGTTCAGAGACTCGATATGGCCGTGCACGCTCCAGCCTGTAGCTGATCCGATGTCCTTCAAGACTTCCACGAGTGCTGTTCTTTCGTTGTCGGCTACGAGAATCAGTCCTGCCGTGAACAGGAGCTGCACTGCATTGGCCCATGCGATCGTCAATCGATTTGAGATGCTGTTGCCGATGATCCTTTGGCTCAGGGTCAGAGCCTGCTGAGCGACGGCGTACGACGTTAGTCGAACCTGTCGCTCCATCGCGTTTTGATCTGGGAATGCGAGTATCAGAAGGAAAAAGGCCAGATGAAGCATTTGTGTTGCAGCACAAGCAGTTGCCGACACATATACGATCCTCTCAAATGGCATTGTGGTACTTGAAGGCGGTAAATGGACGACGGGATGGAATGTGGCGGGCCGAGAGGCTTCGTGTCTGTGCAAAGCATTTGAAACTGCAGTCCATGTTTCGAGAAGGCGTAGCCGGTCTGCCGTGCCATAGGAGGACTTCCGCACATCGCAGAGAAGGTTATGAGTATGTGCCAGGAATAGAACAACCTGGTTGGACCACGAATCCGAGTCCCAGGACTGCTCCTGGCTTGATGGCGCCAAAGAGGCGCCGTCCGGCAGCCACAATCTTGGGTTAAGGCTGGTTTTCTCGGCTCGGGCCAGAGACGCGAGAAGGTCCATCCGACAGTAGACCCAGAAGCACGATTGTGCCACTCCTCCTGACAGACCGTGCCAGCCCTGAGTGGAGCAGAGCGAGAAAGTGCCTCGAAGATGAGTCTGCCAATCCAGACTTCTGGAGTCGATCATTTCACAGTATCCCGTCAGCAGGCAAGATGCGAAAACGGCCGCAGATCCTATGACTTCTGGATCATCCAGCGCTTGTGTCAATTCTTTCAAGGCGTGGTTGTAGTAGTCCAATGCGAAAATCGAGCTCTCCCGGGCCACTAAGCTGTACTGTTTGGCGCAACTTGCGACAATGGAGCGGAACAAGGATTTGTTCGACAAGGCAAGGTGAGGGACTATGTGCGACCAGTGGCCTTTGCTGTCGAACATGTCGAACCATGGCCCAATGATTGTGCAATACCGTTCCATGAAGAAGCCTTCCGTTGGGTCGGTCACGGGTAGATGAACGGGCACGGCGCCTTGTGATGTTGGTGTGCTCTTCATGGCTGGTGAACATGTCGCTCCGGGGGTGTTACCAGCATGGAGCTCAGAGACCGAGTTCGGACTCAGGACCTCATAGCGTGCTTCGACTCGCTTGTTTTCCGACACGAAGGATATTCTGGACGTTTCCTTGCTAGGTTGTCTTCCAGCCGGTGCATCTGGTAACCCTGCTTCCCTCGGTTCCCATTCTTTCAACTGGAAACCCGAAGTCGCGCTGTAGGCACAGGTTATACCATCCTGCCAGCATCTTTGGCATGGCTGCTGTCCGTCGCATTTTACATGCCGCTTTCTGCAGGAGACGCAAGAGATCCTCGTTCTGGAATCCGTACCTCTCTTGGATAGGTTCATATGGCTCTGCTACAGCGGCCTAGATATTCGGCGCACTCTGCGCAAAAATACGAAATACCTACATCACCCAGAGATTTGACGTGGGGCAGAAGTAAGAAGGAAGGCATGGAAGAGGAGAAGGAACATAATACGTTGCGGTAGACCGAGCCTTGGCAGAGGGTCCCACCTTTACTTGACATGGCACGGATGGTAACCGAACTCCGCAGAGGCGGACGCTTGGTCAGAGACTTATCAACGCTAGGGTTTACAGTACATAGAGGCGGAGAATGCGGATGGGATGGTCCATGAGTCTGATATGGTCAAGGCCAAGTATAGATATATAAGAAGCATTCGGTAGTCTATCCAATACGGGCACCTCAACCATGTGTGGCCTTCTCCTGCATGTCAACCTCGACGACCTCATTGGCGGTCTTGTTGGCCGGGCCATCGTCCAGTCCTAGAGCCGCTTTGGCAGCTTCAATCGAGATGTCGTGAGGCATGCGCTTCTCGTTCTTGACCGGGTCACCGGGAGTGGCGAAGATGACGTCCAACTCTTCGAGCGAACGCCCCTTTGTCTCGACCAAGAAGAAATAGATGATGGGGACAAAGACGGCGTTGAACACGGCGTAGTAGATGTACGTCTTGTAGCCGAGGTTTGCAAAGGACACAGGAATTGTCATGACGACAAGGAAGCAGAATGTCCAGTTGCCGACAGAGCCCAGGGCGGCGCAGGGTGCGCGAGCTCGCAGTGGTGCGATCTCGGCCGCGTATAGGAAAGGTCCACCGACCCAGGCGAGGCCGAAGAAGGTGTTGAACAGGAAAAGCAGTCCTGCAGCGGCGAGCTGGTTGGATCGAGAGCTGGTGGACAGTAGGATCGGGATGACGACGAAGCAGGCTGCCATACCGGTAGCCGTCCACATGAAGGCTTTGCGGCGACCGAGGCCTTCAATCAGCAGGACCGAGAGGAGCGAGCAGAGGGCATACTCGGTGCCTCCACAGGCCGCGATCAAGTGCGACATGCCGGGGCTGAGATCGAAGCTGGTGCCGAGAATTTGGTTGGCATACGTGGACACCATGTTGATGCCGGACAATTGTTGAGCAGCATTGATGAAGACGCCAAGGAGCATTCGGCGGAAAGTCTGTGTCTTGCCATTTTGGAGGAGTTCCTTGTAAGCGAATGGAGCTTCTGCCTTTTGCGCTTCGTGGCTGGCCATGATGCTCTGGTATTCGAAGACAAGGTCGGGGTGCTCAGCGGGAAGGCCTCGGAGACGAGCGAGGACAATCTTGCCTTCCTCAAACTTGCCGTGGCTGACAAGCCAGCGGGGACTGTGCTTGTATTAGCTTGCCAACTTTGTCAGCGAGGGTATTAGGGGATTACTCACCTCTCTGGGAGAAACATGATGAAGCAGAAGACAATGGCGGCCGGGATCAGCTGGATCGCAACAGGCATGCGCCATTGGATCTGACCACTGGTATAGAAAAAGCCAAGGCCAACCCATTGGCCGCAGGCGACCCCGGAGGTCTGCAGACCACCCTCAATCATGACCCATCGACCTCTTGACTTTGGTTTGGCGCACTCTGACTGCCATGCAGGAACGGTAGCAACCTGGAGGCCGAGACCAATGCCAGACAGGAGACGACCGATGACCATCTGAGCGAGAGACCACGCAGATGCCTGCAGTGTCCCTCCGACAATCATGAAGGCCATGCCAACAAAGACCGTCCCACGGCGACCCCATTTATCTCCCATCACGATGCAGGTGATAGCGCCCAAAAGGGCTCCTATCTCAAGCGTAGCGATGACGATGCCTTGGATGGTGGCATCCTTGGTCTGGGGGAAGACCGAGAGGAAAGGTTCTTCTGTGATGACACCTCCCATCACTGACATGTCGTACCCGAACAACCAGAAAGCACATGTTGCAATGGTTGCGATGGCGAACTGGAGTTTGATACCTTCCAGGTTCATGCAGGAAGTATAAGGAGTGAACTTCATATCAAGGAGACCCATCGTGAGAGCGGTGTCTTTTGCTTCCCGATGCGACGATGGGAGTGTACTAAACTGATAATGTACTGGGATACTGGACGAGAGAAGCAGATTCTGATTCTGAAGGATGCACATCCAGATTTATATAGCCAGGATGGACTCGAACCCGCTAATCGCTAAATGTATCCGGAGCCAAGGTCATGGTGTTGTTATGCAAAAGGCCCCATCTTTCTCGTACCAAGAGGGCGGCTGATGGCGGTAAGGGAAGCTTGTGAGGGAGAATTACCCAGGAAGGAAAGCCTTTACGGACGTGGATTATCAGACGACATGAGGGGGACATGAAATATGGAGACCGGGGTACATTGATGAAGCGGGATGGCCGGGATGGACATGATGGCGGATGCAGCAAGAACAACTCATGCACGTGCTCATGATGGCAGAAAATTCAAGAGTGGGAGGAGAGAGGAGAGAGGAGAGACGGTGTGGCCAAAGGATCGGTAGGCATCAAGGCACCTAGCCTGGGAGTCTGAGATGCTGCAGATGGTCGGCCATTTGTATGTATTGATGTATTGGGTTTAGCTCACATCCTACAGCCAATCATCCCACGTTCTGTGAAGCCAAACACAACCTCCTCGGCAGATGTTGTCCGGCTCACTTTTTCTGTTTCTTCGCTCTCACTAGATTGTTCTCCAGCTTCCCTTTGTCCATTGGATTGCATCACCTCCGAGGTCTCTCCTCTCCCCACTGAGAATAGCAGGAAATTTCTGAACAAGCTGGGGCACTCCTCAGGGGTCATGCTACCTCCTCCGCTCGGGGCAGGGACATTCGGTTCTAGCGAAAGCTACGTGCCGGGACTGACTGCCTTCCAGAGTAATATCCCAACGTGGCGACTGGGGCCACAACGGTGGGTCTGATTTGCTGCTCATCGAAACCGCCAATGCTTCTTTCCTTTGCCAACGCCCAAATGACTTGCAAAATAGCCGGTATGGAGAGGCTGTCTATCCGGCCAGGCCATAACTCAAGGATGGTATTCCGAACCGGCCGACCGAGTCGTGGAAGTCTTTCGTTGCAGATTTGAAAACGTGTCTTGCAGGACTGACAATAACGCTCTATCCACCCAGCTATAAGAACAGTCCTCCTACTTCAGCATTTCCTCACCAGGCCGACCACACCTCGATCGACTTTGTCTTAATTGTTCCTGCATCTGTTACCCTTTCCTTGTACTGTCCTCTTGTTATAGACCATGGCTATCGCTCCTTGGAACGGTCAGCCGTTGAGCCTGAAAGTCATCGGCACCAATGCCGGAACTTCCATGGACGGGCTCGACATCAGTCACATGCATTTCACCCAAGACAGCCCGGAGAGCCCGCTTAAGATGCAACTACTGCACGCCGGCGAGGTTGAATTCGACGGTGACCTCAAAAGGAGAGTCATGAGACTCATCAAGGAGAACAAGACAACCCCAGAGGAGATTTCAATCGTCAACATCCAGCTCGGTGAATTCGCGGCAAACGCCATCATCAGATTTGCCAAGGAGCAGGGCTTCAGTCTCCAAGACGAGGTCGATCTTATTGCTGGTCAGGGCCAGACCATCTGGCATTTACCTCTACCGGAGCTGTTTGAGGGAGACCAACAACGGGCACATCTTGACATGGCCGAAATTTCCATCATCGCTGCAAAGACCGGAATCACTAGCTTGGGGAATTTCCGAGTCAGCGACATGGCTCTGGGAAGGCAAGGCTGCCCCCTGTTCGTCGCTTGGGACGGTCTATGTGCGACTCATCCCACCAAAAATCGAGCGATCCAAAACATCGGAGGTATCGCCAACATCACGATGCTCCCCAAGGGTGATCCGCGGCTAGGTTACGACTTTGATACTGGCCCGGGCAACGTCTTCATTGATGCGTGAGTCTGCACAACTGATTTTCTCCGTACGCTGTAAAAACTAGACGCTAACATTGGACCACAGTGCCGTCCGTTATTTCACCAACGGAAAACAGCAATACGACAAGGACGGAAAGATGGGTGCTGCCGGCAAGGTCGACCAATCCATAGTTGACGAAGTATTGGCCGGTCCGTATTTCGTGCACGACATCCCCAAGACCACGGGCCGAGAGACTTTCGGCGATAAAACAGGAGAAGAGATCTGCGAGAGGATGTTGGCCAACGGTGCGACTCCTGAAGACTGCGTCGCCACCATCACCCGAATCACCGCGAAAGCTCTCGCAGACGCCTACGAGCGATGGGGTCCAAAGGACGGAATCGAGGAGATCTATCTCGGCGGCGGCGGTTCTTACAATCCCAACATCATCAACTACCTGCGTGAGCGGATGCCCAACACGAAGATTGCCTTCCTCGACGACATTGGCATCCCCACGGGCTCGCGAGAAGCAATGGACTTCGGATTCAAGGGGCTCGAATGCGTCGTTGGCCGATCACTGATCGTGCCCCAGCGAGTCGAGTCCTCTACGGCTGGTATCATCGGCCACATCCAGCCGGGATCGGGCCTCTCGTATCACCGACTGATGAAACATGTCCAGGACTTCTGGGCGAATTACCCCTTGGAGAAGAGGATGGACCCGGTCCTCAAAATGGACATTGTGCAGCAACCCGCCGCAAATGGAGTGAATGGCGTTAACGGATCTCACTGAGAGGCGCCCATTAGCAAGTCAATGACCACGGTTTCTGCATCTGGGAGTATTTTGGTGTTGTAGCAAGTGGCCGCTCCAAGCATGTCGTCAAGAAGAGGAATGTCAAAGATTCTTTTAAATAAGTCTTCGAAATTCTACACTTGTGCTTCGCCAGGCTTTTCCTGTAGTTCTTGAGTCTTGTCTTGTCTTGTCTTGTCTTGTCTAGTCTAGTCTTTCATCTATGATTCTCTTTTTTCTTTCCACGGAACCTCATCGCTGGCCCACTCCGTCGCCATGCTATGCATTCCCACAAACGCCGATAACATACCAGGTATGCTCATAAATTGAACATGCCCAACCTCCCCCCAAGGAGGCAGTAGGGCTGGTCAAGAGGCCAACTCTGCGATCCGATGCAACAGCAGCGCTGATTGCCATCTATTCCATGCATCATCGTTGCCGTATGCATCGCACCGTGGTCTCGCTTCCTCGGGGTTCGTTGGATTGTGAACTCGACGTAAACATGATCACCCACTCACCATTGAATGCTTATCTACCATAGTTTCAAGCTTCATCGTCGTGTCCGTGATATCCTTAACCTTCAGAGTCATCAGTGTCCCGAGACCGTCGTTCATGTGGGCCTTTTTTATGCCATAACCTCAACCTCGCCCGTCTGCCTGTCCAAATCCATGTTCTTCGCGGCAGGCTCCTGACCCGTGCGCTCTTCGTCATCAAGCGGCTGACTCGCCTCGTCTTCGGCGCCGAGCTTATCGGCCCGTTGCAGTCCCTGGTCCTCCCAGCCTTGCATCGACAAGTTGAACAACTCCTTCTGCTTCTCGTGACCGAGCATCGGGTGGTCTTTGCCCCGCCGCCGTCGTGACTCCATGGTCTCGGAGAAATACGCCTCCTCGTCGCTGTCGGACATGAAGTCATGCTCGAAGGTGTACGTGCGGAACTCGCAGTTTTCCCATCCCGTGCCCGCCAGCTTGTCCGAGTCCTCCCAGTCATCGGTGAGGTAGTGCAGATACCCGCCGTGCGCGACCAGCACAATCTCGACGTCCTCATCTCCGGCCTCTGCGAGTTCGCGTGCCTTTTGACGGAGGAGGATCCGGGCATCTCGGGCGCGACGCTGGATAGCTCGGCTGGCAGGCGAGTAGCGGTTATTCACAGTTTTGATGTTCCATCCCTCATTAACAAGCGAGAGGTCGACTTTCCAGTTCTGCTCGGCGATGATGCCCCGGAGAACATCGACGTCGCTGCCGGTATCACAGGGAAAATCGGACGTCTCTTGAGCGTCAGGGACGGCGAGGATGAGAGGCTGGCATTTGCCATTACTCAGGGCCGGGGAGAATGTGAGGTGTGCGGTGTGCAGGGTGCGGGAGAGCGGGGAGGCCGTGACGAGGGAGATGTTGGACTGGGATTGCGGTGGGAAGTGTTTCGACTGCAGGGCAGCACATTGAGATTCGCCGAGCGGTGTAAGTTTCGGGTCGGGCAGGGAGTGGAATTCGAAGCCCAAGTTGTGGAAGCCCTGGGCGTGGCGGACTAGGTGGATTCGTGGTTGCGAGGGCATCGTCGTTGAAATGGTGGTGGTTATTGTTTTCGATGAGGATCTTACGGCGGGGTATGGATGCAGTCGGATGGATCGTGCTCGTCGTTGCGAGGGGTAAGGATAACTTCTAGGTGTGCAGGACGAGAAAATAGAATTTATAGGAAAGAAAGAGTGAGATCTAGGAAGACGGAATACAAACGGGGTGGTGTTCATAGAAATGACTCGATTTGAAGAAAAGTGAATTGAATGATTGGGCGTTCGCGAAATTTCGAGGCTCGGTGGCAGATGGCCCGTTCAGTGCCCATTGTGCCCGTCAAACAGGTACAGTACACCCGCTGCACCGCCTAAATGGCAAATGAAATCACCGAAATCGCGCATGAGGCAACGAGGCTAAGCAATCAATTGGGTAGGCGGTCCGATGTCAAACCTCTGAATGCCCGGTGGGAACTGGAACTCAGCAGATTGCGGTCATGAAACGAAAGACTACCCGGTACTCTGTAGAACCGGAGATGCCTTCCAGCTCCAAGATTATGATGGAGGTTCGTGGAGGTTCCATGGTACTCAGAGTCTCAACTCGTAGAAACAACGTCATTGTCCTACTCCGGGTAGCGAGTATGATCTGCGGTGCAAGCAATAAGAACCCTGCACCGGATGTGGAAAGCCAACAAATCAGACTGCAGCAAAGATCTGTATGCCTTCCGAAGGAAGCACTCGAAGTTCAGGTTTGTCATTGCCGCTATCTAGGTAGATGTTTCGCAGCTTCAAACATGGGAGAATCATCCAACGACCACATTACTCAGGCTGTTGAGCCTCCAGAGTGCCCCCTCGTAACCAACCCATCCAACTACCCCTGTTTGCCCGCTTCTGAGCCTCCTCTTCTGCGTTTTGCGACTGTACCAAACGCAGTGGTCGGAGCTGGTTCTGCTTCATCACGGCTCCAGGGAGACTGGCTTGCTGATGAACATGTCCTCCACCCGACACTGCTGCAGTAGAGCTTCCGTCCGTGTTTGACTTCTGCTCCTCGCTATGCTCGCTAGTCACACTGTTGGCGGAGCTACCACCCCGACCTGAGCCAGAAGGTGCGCGTGGGAAATACGACCCTCGTCCTTGCGACATTGGTGGACTGAGGGGTCGAATGCCAGGACTTAGTGGACTACCGGACGCTGTGCGCATTGGTGACCCACGATTCATCTGCTGGACCACTGCAGCCGCAGCCATATCGGTCTCGGCTTGATCCGATCTAGCCCTACGATGTTGTCCTCGGTGAAGGGGTATACTGGGTGCAGTGTCGGGGTTTTCGTTTGCGGTGGGTGCTGCTGGTTGCGCGTATGACATTGGTCGCGGCCTGGCCCCGGGGCGGGACACAACAGAACGGGCTCTCTGCAAGAAACCGCTCACAGCCGCGGCGGCAGCGGGCGCCGCTGCGTGTTGATCAGGTACAGCAGGGAGTGCTTTCTCAGTAGGACCGGGCTTCGGAGGAGTCGGTGGTACTTCTTCGGTGTCTTGGAAAATATGTTCGAACCCTGGACGTCGGAGCATGCGGCCAATGATCTTGTCAATGTATAGGTTGAGGGCCTTGTTCTGCTCGTCAAGCGTTTTGCACTCGGCCTCCAGCTTTCTAAACGAGTCGGTTTTTTCGGCTTCCTCGGTTGATTCAAGTTCTTCAGCAAGAGAGCTCATGCCGCCGACGTCTTCTTGATGGTGATGACCGTGAAGGAAATCCCCTTTGAGTGTCTTCTCGCTCAGGAGCATCTGGAAGCTCTCATTCTCTTCAACAAGCCGCGCATTCTGCATCTTAATCTCCATGACTGCCTTTTCCAGCGACTGCAGGCGACCGTCACCCATGTGTTCTTGTTCTGCCAGCCGCAGTTGCGCCTCGGCCAAGTCAAACTTCAGGGCTTCGATAGCCGAGTCTTTTTCCTGCAACGCTTGAAGCATATCCGGTGGGACGCTGTCGCGCGCTCTCGTCCCTTCATTGACATTTTCTGCCGCTGCATCGCTGCCTTGACCACCCGACTTTGAAAAGCTCGTACTAAATCGGCTGTTGTTGATCTTTTCGGTGCTCCGGGTGCGCAGCGTCTCATTCAACCTGCTGATGACAGCTTGGAGTTCGGCTTCTTTGCGGGCTTGTCTCTCGCGCTCCTGCAAAAATGTTTCTTTATCCTCGTTATATGTAACTTCCAGCTCCCTGTATTGTCTTTCATATTCTTTGATTTCTGCTCTCAACCGATCCAACTCTGTTTGTCTCTGATAATCCCGCTCTTCAGCAGTCGTCTGCTCCGCCGTCGCTTCATCCAGGCGTTGTTGCATGCCTTCTAATTGTCTTCTATATTGGTCCGACGCCTGCTCAGCACGGTGGACCTGCTCCTTGAGATCCGCGATCAACTGTGCATTTGCAGATTTGATTTCCTCGTCGTCCGCTTCGGTGTCAGCGGAAGCAAAAGCGTTGCTCGTGCGGGTGGGCGCTTTGCGTAGTGGTCTTTGTTGACGAAGGGAAGGCGTCCGCGCGAGACCCTGGCCGGTAGTCGCAGGCACAGAACTGGAGTAGCCTGGCCTACCAGGACTGTTTTCGTTGGGAGCACGACGTTGCGAAGGAGAATTGGAAGTGTTGGACAACGGTATTCTGGGGTTCGGAGTCGACATTGTTGATGGATGTAATCAGTGTTATCGAAATCAACAAGGCGCTTTGACTCGAGGAGATGATACGAATGGGGTCACTGTCAATGCCAGTACGATCGAATGGTAATATCTAGTTGAGAACATAAATAGCAACCCAAGCAAGATAGAAGGTGTGAGCTGAAGAATGTTCGGAAAACTGGTATTGGTCAGGAATCAGAAACGAGCCTGCGCCTCAATGTGTAGTAATGGGATGATCTTCCAGGGAAGTTGGAGATCATGGGAAGGCAATGCAAGGTATCCGTAATCTTAGGGCTATGTATTCAAGGCAAAACATCAATCAAGCATGGCTGCATTGCGAGCAATGGAGCATCGGCACATGCCAAACCATTAAATTTCCGGGAGCAGGATGACGGACCATGCTCCTTGCTGATGAGGCTCCGTGCATCGTTACAGCGACAAAAGGTCTGCGTGGTCAGCCCACCCGAGTTTACAAGTCGAGGGACGAAACCCAGTCACGTGAGATATTGCCAAGATTTCGCTTCGGGTTTGTGTGCTGCAGAAAGAATTGCTTTCAATCTAGAACTTCTATTCTGCATCCCTCCAACAACATTCCGCCGGAGCGCACTCAACAATCCAATTCTACTTGATCAACAGTAGAGCGCAACGATGGCACCAAAGAAGGCGAAGAAGACTACCGACTCCATCAACTCGCGCCTGGCGCTTGTGATGAAGTCTGGTAAAGGTTGGTTTTGCTCAACTGCATCTCCCACGGCAATTCTGACATGCTCAATAGTCACCCTTGGCTACAAGTCCACTCTCAAGACCCTTCGCTCCGGCAAGGCCAAGTTGGTCATTATTGCTGGCAACACTCCTCCTCTCCGCAAGAGTGAGCTCGAATACTATTCTATGCTCTCCAAGACAAACGTCCACCACTTCGCTGGAAACAATGTGAGTGAAAATCAAGAGCAGACCCTGAGAAGAAGCTCTCCCGGGCTTTGGAGGGATTATGGCTAATACGTGATTTCGTTCAGATTGAATTGGGTACTGCTTGCGGAAAGCTTTACCGATGCTCTACCATGGCTGTCCTCGATGCCGGTGACTCTGATATCTTGGGTGCGGCCGCAACCTAGACGATCTCAAGGCATGCGAGACACATGTCCAGCGATGAGGGCCTTCATGTAAATCCCTCAGTGTAACGGTTGAGGATGGCTGGCCGCCGAATGGAGACTGTTATGAAAGTGCTCCAAAACTGCCAAATGGTGTCGTGCCAGCGCCTCTAGATCAAGGAGAATAGAAGTCTTTAGTCAATGATTGAGCATGGACAGATCATGAAATCTCCGACCATCCTTTCAATATGCTGGTCAGCATCGCTGTGCTCCCTACAACTGGATTTGCATTGTCCCATGCATAAAAGTAAGCCCACCTGCCCAACATTTTCGCTTGAATCCACTCTGCTATACTCGGACGGTATGCACTGGTCATCTCTTGCCTCTACTCGTACTTGGACCGGACACGCGCCAGCTCAGTAAACTGTCAGTGATTATGTTGGATTTGTGATTACCGTACTGTAGGAGCACTTGTCATGCCTCGAGTAAACCTAGCGGCCACCGGGTGCTTTCGAACCGACTTCTGCACGTGACATACATAATGGTCTGTGGCGTGGTCTTGGCGGTGCTTAGAAATCCAGCCGCACTTTCTACGTTCTACTTCATCTTCTTCATCGTCGCCTCATTTCTTCCCTTTCCGCAACACCATCGCAACCTATCTTCACCATGGCTCGACGACCAGCTCGCTGCTATCGCTACTGCAAGAATAAGCCCTACCCCAAAAGCAGATTTAATCGCGGTGTTCCCGACCCAAAGATTCGAATTTTCGACCTGGGACGAAAGCGTGCCAATGTCGACGAATTCCCACTTTGCGTGCACATGGTTTCCAATGAGTACGAACAACTGAGCTCTGAAGCCCTCGAAGCCGCCCGTATCTGCGCCAACAAGTACGTATTATCAATTAGAGGGAGGAAGATAACAATCTAACACGTATTTCAGGTATCTTGTCAAGATTGCCGGCAAAGAAGGTTTCCACATGCGAGTTCGAGCCCACCCATACCACGTCGTCCGAATCAACAAGATGTTGTCTTGCGCCGGCGCCGATAGACTGCAAACTGGAATGAGAGGTGCTTGGGGCAAGCCTCAAGGAACCGTTGCTCGTGTCAACATTGGTCAAATTCTTCTGTCGGTCCGAACTCGCGACTCTCACCGTGCTACTGCGATTGAGGCTCTACGCCGATCCATGTACAAGTTCCCTGGCCGCCAAAAGATCATTGTCAGCAAGAACTGGGGTTTCACACCACTCAGACGCGAGGAGTACATCAAGCTGAAGCAGGAGGGTCGTCTGCTCCAAGACGGAGCCTACGTTCAATTCCACCGCAGCAGAGGCAACATCGAGGACAACATGAAGCGATTCCCTGGTGCTTACGAAGTCGCTAGCGAGGCATAGATTTGCGCTGTTACAGGCGAAACGGCGTGACGAGGCATGATGTATCTCTAGGTCACACGACTGAAAACAGCTAGCATCTGGAGATGATGGTGGTAGATGCCAGTCCTAGGAGTCTGCATTGATTTTTCCAAAATGAAAAATACGAGTTTCACTCCAATCCAAAGAGTGCTGTTCAGCCCAAGTCCACGGTTACCATGAGGCAGTATATTGATTTCTGGTCATTTTCCAGACCAAGTTCCCCATGAGTACTCCCTAAGGAATACGTGGAATGGAAATGAACTCAACTATCGTCCTTGACCAGGCTAGATAAGGTCATTGTGTCGGATGTTGAGTCTGAACGATATCATGCCACAATAGCCATGTCAGAGTAAAGAAGGTAATATCGAACCGGTGTTAGCAAGCAGCTGTGCCTACCATTACAAAGCTTCAATGATCATTGTTACGTTAAGGCAAATCAATCTGACTGACATTAGGGCGAAAGGCGTGAAGAATGCCCGATGGTGTCATGTTTTCGAATAACGGTTAGTCAGGAAATGCCGCTGGCCCCCGTGGCTAGTAAGGGTGAGCATGATGCAGGAATAGACGATGGGCTAAGAGATAGGAGATTTGCTCCGTTAAACGGCTCGACGGAAATCGCATCACAGCGTCATAGCAGCACGTCTTCGCCTTCCAATACCTAGTAGATGCCTGACATGGAACGTATTGGACGTCCATGCGGCTTCGCATCCCGAGGACCCAACATTTGTCCAGGCGGTGCCAGGTTCCATCCACCCTTATTCAGGGCCATTGCTCACCCCGATTCAGCCTGCGCTGCTTTATCGAATGATGATTCTGTCACCATGAGGCCATTTCCATTCATCCAGCGCATAGACTCCTGTCACTCACGTCTCGTGCCCAACAGCATCACTTATCTCTTTCAGCTTGCTTCTTTCTCCCTGGTGGTCGCATCAATCATTCCTTCAAGCGTTCTCATCGATCCCCACGGAGTACCCCTACAATAATTAGACTTTGGACTCCATCATCCCCACCAGACCTTGTGACTATCCTTCAAGCCTACCATACTTGACTGCCTTGCGTTGCCAACATCGGAGCAAGACCTCCACCTCTGGGTAATCTCAGGACTTTGGCTGTACGCGACAGGAGACAATAAAGAGAGTTGAGCAGACAAAGAACCCCCTGTCACACTGCTGCCGTCCTCCATCCTCTGCGCCTGCGAGATATCACAACTCTATCTCGTGCTCCCCGTAGCACCACCCGCCCGTCCATCTGCGGGTTGGGGATTATGGCGTTCCAACAATCCGCCGCTCCTCGTCCCATTGTCGTCAATACAACCCAGTCGCACGAATCGTCATCCTACCATGCACAACCACGAGCGACAGTAGAAGATTCGCAAGAATGGATCCTCTTCACTCCCTCCAATGCCGACTCCACCATAACTCGAACACATACAACGCAGACAGCCGGTCTTTCAAGGACCAGCGATGTATCACTAAACACAGCAGGAAGATTGGAGTCATCTGTGTTTGACGAAGAAGTTACCGAAGATGGCGAGCTCGACAGCCTTGACGACGGACTACACGCGTTCAGAGAACCCCCCCTATATCCCACCGTCTCTCAGCAGACACAAGGTGCAGTTCTGCCGACTCATGATGGACTGGGGACCTTTCCTGCTTCAAGCCCACCCGTTTTGGAACAGTTATGGCAGCATGAAGCATATAATCCAAAGAGGAAGCACGATGGCCAGCATCGACGACCTTCTAGTGTACAGAGGAGACTTGACACAATTGATGAGGTTGAACTACAAGCAAGCGAAGAGAAGAGAATGCGGATCGAAAGATGGCGCATGGAACAAAGCGAAGCATTGATGGAGGAGGTCGAACGAGAGACCCGGAGACGGCTGCGAAGAGGTTCGCGTCAATCGAGTTATCAAGAGACCCTAGCCTCAATCAATGAAGACGTGCTTGGGTCAACACCAAAGCAAAGCGACTACCTTTCCAAGCCTGAAGAGGATGTGGAAGAGCCAGAGCCGTTCTGGAGACGCATTACCAGGAAGTTCATCCGCGATGTCATCGGCATTGACGAGCCACTCCTCTCAGTCATTTTCGGAGAGTCTCTCCCTGAAGAAGTCGATAACATGCCATCTTCAAGTGGCACCCTGCCGACCATCCCTGAACAGATGCCATATGTCCCGAGCGCAGACGACTACACCTGGAGAGACAGACTATTACACCGGATCGCACGGGAGCTTGGGGTATTCGTGCATCAGATATCGCCACATCCCGGGGCCTTTACTACCTATTCCCGCAGCCCTGATTATGCTGGTATGCCAGTAACCATGCCTCAGCCGAGAACTCGAGAATCGGCCGTCTCGCCCACTCCCGTGGCTCAGATCAAGTCCACATTAACGTCGACTTTGAGTCCGAATTTTCCACCGACCTTACAAGATCCTGCTCATGCTGAGAGTTGGGGTTTCGAAGAAGATCCTGCCTCCACCTCTTCAGCACTGGACTCGTCCATGAGTCTTCGGCGCGAACGAGAGTACTGGGAGCGAGAACTGGACCTGAAGATGGTTTTCAGATATCTGAGGGACAAATTTGTCACTCGGCCAGCTGCCCAATTACCACAAGCTTCTCAACAAGGAGTGGACGACGCTGCGACACGTGCTGCCATCATACGCCAACATCACCCTCTTGTCGCCCGAGCTCATCGATCTCCTGTGCGGCAACGACGGGAATCACGAGTAAGTGTTCGACGGCCAGGCAGCAGCTGCGCGAGCGAAAGTGTCCGAAGTAGCAGGAGAGCTTCTGTGGTCAGAAGCGGCTCTAGCCGGAACTATTGGGATCTCGGGGGCAGCGTGGGCAGCGGAAGTATTCTGGCGAGTGGTGGCGCCTGGGGGGAGGTTTAAACATTTCTATTGCATTGACTGGGTTATAAGCATGGGGCTTCTACGGCGTTTTGTGCCACCATCCTGGCAGGGATATGGCTTGTATGAATATGTGCTGACGACTTGCATTGGGTTTCTACTATGGGTTTATGACGATAACTAGACATGATGGATCAGAAGGGCGGCATAGAGTCTGGGACTCGTATATGAACAATGGATCATCTGCTCTGCATGATAACAACAGTTGGCCACTGGCTACGTTCTAGACACGATCTGCCTTGGAATCGTCTCACGATGATGTGGCTGCCTTGATGAGAATTGCCACGATTGATGACGTAAGTATCGCTTTGGGTCACATGACTGAATCAGGGCGCTGTGCTTGGTCTGTGATTGGCCAGTAGCTTGGTGGGGTTCACTGTCTCTCAAGTTCGCCTTTGTTTACTTTCGCCCGCTGAGAAGAAGAGGAAATTTGTTCTCTTGCGCAAGTCTTCCTCTTTTTCTTTTCTTACTTTTACACCTGACAGACTCTGTCGGAACACTTGTGCTACCCGCAGCCCTGATCATCAGTGACGACCGCTCACCAACCGCAGGTCGCCGTCATCATGGCCGAAGAAGATGAACTCTACTACCTCCAGCCCGGATTTGATCCCAACACCCTGACAGTTCCAAAAATACGCTCAATCCTCGTCGCCCATGACATTCCATACCCATCGGGAGCCAAGAAGGGCCAGTTGTTGGAAGTGCTGGAGCAAGACCTTCTGCCGCAAGCGAAGAAACTACTCAAGGCGCAAGCCAGAGTCCGCCGCACGAGCAAAGGCATCACAGATGTTCCGAGCAGTCAAGAAGCCACCATCGACGGAGATGAGGAAGAAGACAAGCAAACGATGCCCCCGCCGAAGACCCCGCGTAGCAGGAAGAGCAAAGCAGACTTATCAGCCCACCATGGTGGCGCCGGACCCTCAACTACGAGGCGAACCAAGACTCCGAGCCGGCGTAGCACAGCCAGAACCCCACGAGTGTCCGACACTGAGCCAGAAGTTGAGCGAACCGTGCGTACATCGCGCAAGAGTGTACCGCGGCCGATGTTGGAACCGTCTGTCAAGATCGATGAGCCCGATGCCCGGATGAAGCGCGAGTCGTTAGAAGCAGGAACAAGTCCATTCTCTGACGAGAACCCATTTCAATCTGGATCAAGTCCCCCTTCCGGTGCCGACCGTCGTAAATCTGCATCCCGATCACGGAAGTCCTTAACCGCGACGAGCACGAAGAAGAGTCCTACCAAGCGCAGAGAAACAAGATCTCCGACGATAAAGTCAGAAGAATTCGAGCCTTCACGATCAAGCTATTCTTTCCCGTTATCCAAGGTCACGTCAGACGAGACGCAAGACGATGTCCCTGTCACAGAAGAGTTCACACCCGATGCCGCTCGCGAGCTAGCTGAACAAGAGAGGAACGGACAAGTTGTCCCGAGCAGGCCGTCGACACTGGTGCGGCGGAAGAAGCAAAAGCCGGCGGGAACAGTCGCCAAGACTGCGCCCTGGGCAGTTATGACAACCGTCCTGGCAGCGCTCGCGGGCTGGTACAGACACGAGAAAATCAATGTCGGTTATTGCGGAGTGGGAGAGCCTCACTGGTCGCTAACAGAAAACCCTCATATTCCTGCCTGGGTACACCAGAACTTCGAGCCAGCCTGTGAACCATGTCCACAACATGCTATTTGTTATCCCCACATGGATGTTCAATGCGAGACAGACTTTGTCCTCAAACCTCACCCATTGAGCATGAACGGGCTGCTGCCGCTACCCCCGACGTGCGAGCCAGACAGTGAGAAGCAGAGAAGAATCAAGGCCGTGGCAGATAGAGCGGTCGAAGAACTCCGAGAACAAAGAGCAGCGTACGAATGTGGAGATAAGATTACCAAGACCGAAGAAGCAGTGTCGACTGCCGCAGCGGAAGTCAAGACCGTCGCGAAGTCTACGGCGTCGAAATTGGAAGTCACCGAGGAAGATCTCAAGAAGTCAGTGTCGAAGCTCAGAAGAAAGGGTATGACAGAAGATGAATTCGAAGATCTCTGGCGCGGCGCCCTGGGCGATATCATGGGCCGCGATGAAGTCGAAGTCACCCACGATAAGTAAGTTGTTCTCCTCCCGTCTTCTCCCATTTCTCGCCGTCGAGTCCAATCAGTAGTCGCCGTCTTTGCGAATCGCTGACTGACCAAGCGTCCCTATTTCCACCATTCCAGATCTGGCCGGCTCGTTCTCTCAAGCACATCCCTCGCCCGACTCCCCTTCGGATGCGCCGTCCGACGATCGCTGGTCCGGACGCTTTCGCAAAATCGAATCCCTCTTGGAATTCTGATCCTCATACTATCATCCATGGCGTACGGGCGGAATAAATTGGTCGCGTACAAGCGGGCCACGGCGCAAATCCCGGGCCTGGTGGCAACGACACTGGACCGATTGGCCACACAAGCGGCGCTGAACCAGGACGGGCGCTCGGCCGAGCCGTTTATTAGTGTCGGACAGCTCCGGGATGATGTGCTAAGACATGTGTTCAGCGCGAGTGAGCGGGAGAGAGTGTGGCAGAACGTGCGCAAAATCGTCGAGAGTAATTCGAATGTGCGCGCGGCGACGAGGGAAGGTGGCAAGACGGGAGAATGGTCTCGTGTGTGGGAGTGGATTGGGCCGGTGGATTTGGCGCCGGCGTTGGAAGGACGACGTTCGGGAGGCTTGATCGAAGGTGGCAGGGCAGAGAGGAGTCTTGAAGGCACGCCCGATCGGTCGAATCTCGAGGTGAGACGATGGGATGAAGGACGGCCGATTTATTGATTCGAAATGGTCGTTGGTGCGGATAGCGACTGTGATTTGGCCATGATTTTCCTTCTTCTTTTCGGCTGGTGGTGATTATGAGTTGGACCACAAGTGCCTTATGGCTTCGGACCCGGCTTGGTCTTGCATGCAGTCTTTATTCTTCGTTCTCTTTTCCCGGATGGCTTGGCTCCATGTCCATGATATGACGGAAGTAGGTGTATGTACTCGTACTACCAATGAAACATTCAAATATGTGAACATGAGGAATGAATGTTCCTTTGATTTTAATGGCTATTGATATTAATCGTGTGCGCTTTCGACCTTCGTCCTTCTTCTCTTTTTGCCACGCCCCAGCTGCCAGGTGCTGCTCTCGCAATGGGTGTGAGTCTGTCTCCAACACAATCCATAATACTTTCGTTGGCGTGCTGGGCTCACCGGAGCAGCTTCATAGCGTGGGGAATGTGGGTGCCCGTAACGCTGACGTCCTTCTCTACATCGTACTTTTCGAGGCTGTCCAGAGGCCCATACTTCTCACAGAGATATAGCATGTCGTTGTAGGCACTAAGAAATAAATCTTCGGTTAGCATTTCTCTTTCCCCACTGGTCGGGAAAGGAGGTTGAAACCCACATCTGCCGCGAGGGACTTCCAGGATGACCTGCGGAGTCGGTCAGGTAGGGATGGAGGCTGTACAGACGATTGCGGTCGTCCCATTCTTCGACCAGTTCCGAGGGCTCAATGTGGCGTTGATAGGCCCGCATGTAGACGGGCGAGTTGAAGTAAAACGCCCAGGAGCATCTCCATGTGCCGAACTCCATTTCATTATGCGCGTACGTGCAGCCGGGGTCGAAGACGACCGTTTGGCCCGTTGCCATGTCCGTACCGACGTTCTGTTCCCACAGCTCGCCATGGACCAGCGCGGGCCGGATCTCGCGGCCGTCGGATTGCAAAGCACCCAGGAGCCGTGGGATGACAACATCAATCAATTGCTTGCAGGCAGCATCGTACTCGGGCCAGGGTCCGTTGGTTTCGTTGTCGTACTTGATGACATCTTTGAGCTGATGTGTGAAAGATTCGCCCAGCTCTTTTCCCAGGTGACCGTACGCTCCACGATAGCCGATGACCGTTGGCACATGGAACCCAAACATGCCGTTCGGAGACGTGCCTTTCCCATGCATTTCCGCAATCTGTGCCGCGAAATCGACGGGGTCCGGAGCCGTGGAAAGATCCATATCGTGAAAGTCGCCCAGAAAGAAGAAGACGTGTGATTCCTCGGCGTGGTATTCACCCCATCCAATGGCTTGTGGTACTAATCCCGTCACCACAGTGTTGATGGCAGAAGCTGAATGGAACTCGCCCCCGGCCAAGGCACGGGCACCCTTGCCTGATGCACACTGCTTGGTGCCATGCCTTTCAGCGATTGCGACTTGTCCAAATGGTGGCTCGTGGAACTGGCTTACCTTCAGGAAATACCTCTTTCCACTGCCGCCTTGCAGAATGACTGACACCTTTGCTGTCTTCGTCCAAACAGACACGCCGCAACTCTCAGCCGATACGACTCTCGTTCCTCTGGGCATGACTAGTTAAATGGGGGTCCATCACGTTCTCAATCCATGGATCATAATGCACTGGTTTCTTACCGCCAACCACCGCCTTGTGCAAAGGAAAGTTCCCTGGAATCCCTTCTACCCATTCCGAGGAGTCCGACATCGTGTGCTGCTTCGAACAAGAGTTGTCGATTAGTGGTAGACTCTAGGAGGTCTCTACTTTGTCGGGAACCCACAAAGATCGGAGGGTGATCCGCATTCTTTATGTCTCTGTTCGGGAACCAGCGGGCCAAACATACCTTCTTGAGGAACAGCAGGGTAGATGCAAGGGGAGGGTCGAAATCAGCCGCTCAGACCACAGAATTCCACCATGCTTCCACCGAAGTATTCCACAGCTGACGCCGCCATTCTCTCTACCATTCTTTCGGCCACTGAGTGATGTCGCTGTGCAGTCACGCTTATGCTGGGGAACGCAGGCTTGGGGACGGGTGGCACGCCTGCCGAGGTGGCCTGGACAACGGAGAAGATATTAGCGCCCATTGCCAGCCAGCAGAACGGTCATCTCAGTCAAGGTTTGGGATAGAAAGGGCTCGAGCACCTTTTCTTCCTCTCAGAGACTGGAAAAACAGAGATCCCTTGGCTCTGTCCTGTGTTTGGCTTGTAAAACGGTCGTTCCTGTGCCTGAAGAATGGCGAAGTGGCTGTTGTTAGTTGCGCAGACTTGGTCTAATATATTCGTATCTACCTGCAGAGCGTCCTGTGCTGTGTATTGCATCTTGCTGAGACGTCAGCTAGAGGAAGTCTCAATTCCTGCCGCCACGAAAATCCGTGCTGATAGTCAACAAAGAAAAGAGCAGTCCCAACGAGACACAAGCCGCCCATAAGCGTGAATGTCCAGCCGACTCCTATTGCGTTGACCATCTTCTGGAGGACGGATACCGTGATTGCGGCCAGCGTACAGCGGACGATATTGCTAGATGCCTGAGCCGCCGCAGGTGATCGATGGTTTTTGTCGACAAGTAAAGTGTTGTAGATCTGGCGTTCGGTTATTCTCCATCCTTGCATTCAGATCTCCGCCGAGAAGAAGACTTGCACTGAAATCCAGTTGCATACACAAACCTGCGACAAATTGTAGGCAAAGTGGGATGGCAATGTGCTGACTTGATGTCAATCCTCAAGAGATTGTTACGGTCGAAGAGAAGAGAAGAGAAGACCGTACCTTTCCATAGTGTAAAACCCAGCCTAAAGCCACCACGGAGGCTGCTGTCACCAGCAGAGGTATCCATATAACACTGCGCCGAGCCCTTTCGATTGGAAAATCGTCCAAGTCGTCTCCGACTGCTTTATCCGTAGGTAGGCCTTGCATAGTCCTTGCCCGACGGTATGCACCATCCAACAAGCGACCAACGAAAAAGGTAGACGCCGTCCCACCAAGCCCAAATGGAAGATATATGAGGCCGGCCTGCCACTGATTCAGCTCGTAGATTTGGATGAACAACGTCGAGAGCGAGGTGTTGATGCATGTATAGACCACGTAGAGCAGCCCACAAGCAAACATTATGGTCGCATTGTCTCTCCGTAAGAGGATTGTCACGGACTTCAACGGATTCGGGATGCGCCATGTCTGCCTTGCTGCATCGTTGGAGTCTTGCCAATGGCACATCAATGACGTTGAGATAGGCAGGCGAAGATGCTTCGGTGGCATGACCGATCCGTTTCCGACAATGTTGCGAGCGGTCTCGGGTAGCAAACACAGCATGACCGAGAAACAGAGACCTGAGGCAATGGCTAGAAACCAGAATATCCAGGTCCAGCCGGCGGCATAGGTCAGGCTACCTCCCAGTATGGGGCCTAGACTGGCGGCGATTGTGATCCTTTTTTTCCACACCTCAGCAATGCCATAAATTCGCACAACCGATGACAACCATGAGGCGAGGGGGCGAGAGACAAAGAGATCTTAGAACTTACGCGAAGGAAACTGCGCCCACAAAAGAACCTCTCTCAGCAGGGGAAGCAATGTCGGTGAGCACACCGTAGGCGATGGAGAAAGTTCCTAGGACAAAAGTCAGCCAGGCCAGGGCAAATGTGAGACTTATGGAGGGGAGATAAGGAAGCATGTTACCAGAGATTGCGGCAGCCTGCAAAATCCGCAGGCCGAGGAGCGCATCGTACGTCCTGGAGAGAGCGATTGCAATGTTGGCAACAAAATACAGGCCGAGCGCAATCAAGTAGACTGGCCGTCGACCTCGAGTATCGGCGGCGTCGCCCAAGAGAGTCGGTGCTATGGTCGCGACAGCCAGGTAGGATGTCACAGTGAGCTTGACCTTGTCGACGGATACTGACAGAGCCTGTGCAATTGAGTGGATTGCTGGGTAGTAGATGAAGCTGCTCAGGGTCGAGAACCATGCCGCATACGACACCATGGCCACAATGCACCATTTTTCGACGGGCGTGAAGACGGAATACCGCTCGACCTCCTCACCTGCTTGGGTGTCACTGTTCTTTTCGGTGGACATGGACATGAATGTCGGCTGTCCAGTTGGGTGCTTTTGCTGGGAAGATTAGACCAGGATGGGTGTGAAACAAACGCTGACATGCGAAGGATAAGGCTGTCTGTCCGGCTGTAGAGTTAGCAGTGCCAATCCTCGATACTGTAGACAAGGTCACACGCTGCAGAAAATTGTCTGACGGTACGAGTAGCATTGGTGCAGGGAATATGCAGTCAAGTCGGGCAGCAGAACAGTTGCTGCAACGCTGCAAGGGGCTGGCTTTCCAACACCACTCACCACCTTGTTCACATAGCGACACCAGAATTCTCCTCCCCGGATGGACATCACGGTTCAGCTCGACTTGAAGAAACGTTTCAAGTCCTGATAACTTGGCCTTGGGCACAATATACGTGGCCGTGACCAATATGCTTAAACACAGGTTCCTTAACACCAAGAAATTGCTGCTGCAACGCCGTAGCTCGGCTAAACTTCCATGATGTTGCAATGCGCATCGCCCAATATGATACGGTATGATGCCGCTATCTATCAATCACCTCGAGGCATACCACCTTGATCCCAGGCACGATGTGACTAACTAGATTACAGTGTCCCAAAGCCCACAGAATTCTCAATCGCCCGTCCCAGCTTCTCCTTCATCACCTCTCGGCTCGAGTACATCGGCAACAACAACCTCCCATAACATGTGCTGCTACTCGGCAGTCTCGCATCATCATCGTCCCCATTCCTCTGCACAACGAACTGCACACTGCTCAGCCCATTCACCGGCACACGATCGCTTGCCGTGACAAATTCCAGCAGTTGCCGATGCTGCTCAGGGCTGAAACTTCGTACGACGTGCCAGAAATCACGGATAAAGTCAGAGTTCCGCTCATATCCTTCGTACGTGACTGTGCGTTCGAGCTCGTCAATGTCAATTTCTGGATGCCCCTCAATCACTGCCTTGAGTGCTTCGGGCGTGAATATCGACAGCGCTGTGCGGTCGAGACATGTATAGAAGCCCTTGGCGAAAGCTTCATACTGTGGTTGGATTGATTTGTGGGTCAACCACAGAATGTAGTCTTTCACGTACTGCTCGCGATTGGCGTTAGTGACGAAAGCGGCTTCTTCGAGCAGATCGCTATCGATGCTCGAGGGGGTCGAGATGCCTTTGATTTCGATCGAGGATTTTCGGCGTATAGGAGTTATGCTCGGTTGTAGATCTGGTGATGGTTGTATTGGTGGCGTCAGCGACGGTTCAATGGGAAGTTCGAATGAGGTCGACTTGGACTTTTCTTTGCCTTTCCTAGTTCTCCGCGGCTTTACTGGTGGCCATACGTCGTCACGACCAATCTTCTGCATGTCAACGCTGACAGTGTTGCCACAGAGTTCGTAGCTAAATTCGTACGTCCTGGCAATCACGTCGCCAACATCGCCCTCGGACCATTCCAGTAAGGATTTTAGGCCTCTGGTCAAGTCAGGCCAGCCATCGGCAATGTGGTCCAATTTCTTTACTTTCAGACCAAGCAGCTTGCGATAGAACGCCAGTGGAAAAGTGACCGGTAGCGTGATGCCATTGTAGATGGCTATAGACATCAGGATCCCCAAGGCTTCAAATCTGTAAAGAGGCTCAAACGAGCCAGGCTGAAACCAGGACATCCTTGTCGCACTGTCGATGGTGAACATGCCATAGTCGGGGTCGAAAGCTTCGGCGAAAACGACCCGGAAGAATTCTTGTTGCACGCCACCATAATCCACGCCATCCTCGCCCTCGTCCTTTCCAAGTCGCACGCGTAAAGGCCGCATCAACTCCATCCGTTGTCGACGCCAAATCTGGCTGATCGCGTCATTCAGTACGTTGTCTCTTCGAATGGTGAGGACGAAGTACTTGGCCATGTGTGGTCGCATCTGAGCCAACACTTCTTTTTGGCCATACACCGGAATTTTGGGGGCCCACAAATACTGTCGTGCATCACCGTACACAAGCGTAGCACTTTCATATGACTTTCGCATCATGTCAAAGTTGATCGCTCTGAAATATCTGACCAAGGTAGCAGGCTCAAAGAGGAACGAGAATGACAAGAGATGCATCTGTCGAGTGTCTGCGCGGAACGACAGCCATTCGTGAGGCATAGACATCTCGTCAAAAACGTCGGCGATGAATGGCATGCGGAATAGATTGGAATCCAGATTCAGGTCCTTCCTCTCCCGGTAAATACCGGCCAATAGCTCAAGCGCGCCTCCGACTGACCCACTTCGCTGAACGATCGGCCGGTGATCCCAAGCCTTGAGCATGACCGTTCTCAAAAGCTCAACGATAGCGGTTCCCATCCAGCTTGAGTTCTTGTCTAGGGAGTCCCATCCTCTCAGTGTGTCCCTGTCGAGTCGTCGTACCAGCAAATCGACCACGTTCTTCTTTTTCGAACTTGCCAGACCGGCGGCTGGCACGGCGGCCGACCATTTGGCTACAAGCAGACGATGGCTGATCACATCTGTGATGGCATAGAGAAGACGGAGCACTGACCAATCATCACAAACATCAATGGCCTTGATCATTGTGTTGATGAAGCGTAAAGTCTCTCGCCTGATCTCCTCGGAGTCGTTGTTCTCAGACCAACGTGAGTGAGCAAGGCCACTGTTTCTTAGGGTCGCAAACCGATCAAATGGCGCTTTGTTTCCCCAGAATTGACCGTATCGGCCATTGAAGGCTATTGAAGCAACAGACATGAGTGCAATAAGGCACAGCTCGGCAACCTGAGAATCGCTAATAGACAGGAGCGACTCGGCTTGTCCTGGGGATGTGGTGTCGTCCAACGTGTATCCATCTCTCGTGTTAGGGAGTTCCTGGCTCTTGACCGACGCTCTCTCGCCACTTCCGCTAGCAGACCGACTACGCTTGCCAGCTGCCTGGATTTGTAGTCGCTGTGGTAGCCGGTAGGAATGCTGCAGTGCTGTGAAGATGCAATTCAGAACCAAGTCGCGCTCCTCGAAATTATCAAGAAAGGCAAGACTTGACAGAAGACCGTCGATGTCCAGTTTAGTTCTCGTCAGCACTCTTGGCGGAGAATATAAGATGCCAGTCGAGGAGAGAATGACAGGTGCATTTCCACCGTCCGAGTTTTCCTCGGCGCAAGGACCCGAATAGTCGACTTGAAGGTCCTTGACCGTGTTGATGAGGCGTTGAGGATCGCTAAGGCAGTACGAGAAGCTCTGCTTCAGAAAGGACAGAATCCTTTTCTTGTACGTGGTCGACGTCCCCACTCTATCCACGGAGCGTAGCCATACGAGAGAGTCCCACGTCAATGTCCGAAGGGTGTATCCCCGGGAGCAGAATTCTTCTTCGGGTTGGTATTCCGGTGCCTTTGCATCCTGTTCGTCATGGCCAGATGTGAAAAGTGGATTTGTTGGTGGAGATTCGGTGCCCGAACCCTCAAGGTTGTCAGCAGTCTTTACCTTAGTGATCGAATCCGGGAGATCCTTGGAGGTCTGCTGCTCATCTTTTTCAGGAGTGGTGGTTGAGTTCTTGAACCCAGACAAGGAACTATTAGATCTCGCTGGTAGCCAACTGAGTAGTCGAAGGGGCAGTAGGTCGAATATGTTCTGGGTGAAAGAAGCCAGGTCTTTTGGCTTGGCCGGGTCTGGCGACTGCAACGCTGTAGCCGACACCGTACCGACGCTTTTGCTCACCAGACTCTCTTCAGATCGCTCTTCATTGTGTCCTTGGGAGGCAAACGAAGTATTCAGAACGTCGACCACCGCTTTTGCAATTTCTTTAGAATCTTTCGACGTTTCTAAGGTACGCAGACTCCTGCCTGCCTGAATAATGCCATCAAGAGCCGGTTTTCGCCGCACTTGTTCTGCTCCTCGCGATTGCTGCGAAGATTCTCTCGCCCACCGCACAGAAGCCTGGTCTTTCAGTGGGGCGCCATGTCCCTGTTGTAGATGCGCTGTTTTATCGAGGCTGGTGCGTCTCCTCTTAGCAACAACAGGGTCCTCATACCACGGGACAATCGGCTCGTTCGAGCAAAGTTCAGCGAGAGGCTCTTTTCCACCTCTTGAGAAGTCCTCGAGAAGTTGGCAGGCCAGAGTCCTGGCACTCAGTTCTGTGTATTTCCGTAATGGCGCAGTGCTGTTTCTCTTTCTATAGCTCAGGCAGGTGGGAGTTGTGCAATTGGTATTCTTGCAGCCATATTGGATCTGGTTGGTGAAGCGCCGAATCAACAGGCGAAGTCGACGGTCGCGCTGAGTATGGATATTGAAGTAGTCTAGTCTTGTATCGTAAAGTGGTATTATATCAGGCAGGATGTGTTCTGGAACTTCGAAACCAATGTCACCGGCCTTGACTTTGTATTGTTTGTCGGGCGCATTAGGACTCGAATCGTCGAGAGTCGCGCTTCTGGAGACGTGCTTAGCATAGTGCATGACAGCAAGACCAGGACGCTAAATAAAGACAAGAGCAATATTCAGCTGCAACTTCGATCTAAGGATGCCTTCAGACGAAGAATAAGATGGCAGTGTGAGAATTACTGTAAGGGAATTGATGTTTGACAAGGCGATTGCGGGTTGCGACTGCGGAGGATCGACAGGCTTTCGCCTCACACAGAAACTCACAGCCTCGTCACTCCGCAAGGCTGTCCCTGTAGAGTCCGCCTATTATATAATCGCCTTTGGTTTGTCTCAAATAGAGATACGATGCCTCTGGCCCAGAAGACATCCTTGAACTCATCAAGAAAGGACATTCTCTTCTACATAAAAGCATGCCGTCGTCGTTGCATTGTAGGCGAAACCTATGTATTTATAGGAGTCTGTGTCAGAGAGCCTCATTCTACAATATCCAGCTGGAGGATGACTGAGAAGGAACAGAAGTAGTAGTGAATTTGCCAGTGACTGAAACCGTATTGCGTCGAATACCTTAGCCTCTGGATACAACCACACTCTATCATCAGACATATATTACAGCGTTGTACGTGAAATTGAGCACCTCTCACTTCAAGTCCAACCCGACAGCACTGTCTCATGGTGCTGCTTGTTTTTTGCAGACTACCGAGCATCTGCAACCATTCTGCAGGCCCTCTTCGGCCTGTTGTTAGACCCGAATCGAATCTTCATTGAATCTGTGTGTCCATACGCCCGCTATGCACAGAACCCCTTCAACATGAAGAGAAGTTGAGACCTCGAGGAGTAGAGAAACGAGTAAAGCTGTGTCGTTCGGACTGAATCCAAAAGACCTCTAGATGAAATGTGGAGTCGTAGCCATTTCCAGTCACGCTGCCACACGTCCGGATTCTGAGGGTGCTCCAGGAGGAGGAAGCTGATCATGTCAGTTTTCCGGTCGTGCCTGCGAATGCGGTGAACTTACATCGAGCCGTGTGTTTTCGGCCATTAACCGCTGGATACCAATTCCAACGCCTTCAATAACTGCTAAGAAGATGGCACACATAATGGCTCCATTTCTTGCCGCCTTGTAGCCCCCTCTGATGGCGAGGGCACCACCTGTGAAAAAGCCGGCAATGATCGAATTATAAGGATCCTCCTTCTTTCTGATTCCTTTGACTGCGCAGTCGAATGTGCTGAACATACCACCCCAAACACCGAAGTTGCCGCCCGTAACTGGCGCTCGTGCTTTGATGGCTGTGATCATGCCTATCCGTCTTTCACCGTAGGGAGAGTTTCTGAAACCTTTAATACCGTGCCATAGTGTGCCTGAGATCCTGTTAGATTGACTTCGACGTCACGTCATCTCAAATCCATACCTCCCAAAGCACCCATGGAGAATGCACCGCCAAAGTCGGATAGCGCGACCCAAGGACATGGATCCCGAGAATGATCCATGGTAACGAGAGGTTATATAAGACGGCTTTCGCGGTATCAGAGCCTTGAGATTGCGACTGAACTCCCGCGCAACGAGTCGGAGCCGTGCAGAAATCTTTGCGGCGATAACACAGGGCAGGGCCCGAGTCGAAGGTCCTTTCGGATGTTCGAGGAGGGTGAAAACTCAAAGGCGTGCGAGAGAGCTTGATGAGCGCCGCGGGTGAAAGAGAACAGCGCTCAAAGACAGTGGATTAAAAGAGGCGGTTTACAAATACGCAAGTCGACGAGACTGCGACCGAATTGAAGAACAAAATGATCCGGAAGAAGATCGACCAGGAAATTTCGCCGCAGATCACGTGACGTTTTAGAGGTGACAATTATCGAAGTCTACACGGAATGCTCTACTCGAGAGAAACTGCGATTTGTACAAGCAGGTATTTGTGCATTTCCATATCTCGTCATATCGTGAGTCGTAACCATCGCTCCCACACGTACCATACGCCAGGCCCAAACACGGGTCGTATCTATGACAGTATTATAACATGTATCCTCGGGACCAGTGTCATCGTCTTGTGGAGGAGTCCGTATCTTTGCTGCTGAAGATTCTACGCAGTGGGCTCGGCTTCTTGACCTTCACCAAGGCTTTCTCTCGCTTGTTTGATTTAGTTCGGGACTTGGAAGAACTTTCACTACCCACGACTGTGCGCTCTGGGTCGTCCTCAACGCGTCTGTGTTTCTTCTTCTTCCTTTCCTCTCGTGACTTCTCTCGGCGGCTATCCTCGCTTCGGTCTCTGGACGTGGGTAAATGTCCCATGCTGCGAGCAGCCATCGGTGTGATGAATTCACCCTCGACGCTAGTGGCGACACTGGCAGTCTCGGCATCTGCAATGCCACGTCTCCAATGCTCGATACGGTCGAGTTCATGGACATCGATCATCTCATCCACGACGTCGTCCTCTTTGTTGCCGACTCTTGCTCGAATTTTCTTGATAATCTTGTACCCACCGAACATGACAACAGTAATCCCGACACCGACACCAACAGCAATCAGGAACTCTGGCGCTGCGAGCATAGCAAAGACAGTTGGGGCTCCAGTCTTCAAAGCTGCCAAAGCACCGGGTGCCATCTTCGTCGCTAGGTTGCTGATCTCAGCCAGCGTCAGAGCAACGGCTGCCATGGCATCCGGATTCTTCTGCAGATGAGCGATGATTGCTCTGACACTGTGTTGTGCACAGTTGGCCTCGTCCAAAAGAATCTTGCATTTTGTGACAAGGCTGGACATTTCTTGCTTTTGCAAATTTTGCTCCACCTTTGGATCCAACATAAGTGATTCTGGGTGGAATTCACCATAGGCCAGATCCATATCGATGTGGTCGTCGACTTCTGACGTAGAATGGGATCTCACAGGCGGCGGACGATGTGAGTGAATCTGTTGCAATGGGAGATCGGTGGTACGACGGACAAGATTGTGTCCTGTGGGTGACATTGGCGCGGACCGATGCCTGCCATAAAGTTCCTCGTTGAACTGAGCAAGGCCGACAGGAGCAGGCGCAGTTTCCACCGGTACTGGAGTCTCAACTGGCGGAAGCTCTGTATGGGTGTGTCGTGTCCTTCTTACTGATTCTGAAGAGTGGTGATGCCCTGGCACCGACGGCCTGCGCTGGTCCCGGTCATTCCCTCCCCTGTGACTGTGTCTTTTTCCAGCTCCTCGGGATGTCTCTGATTGAGCTTCTTCAGCTAATGTCACCGCCTTCATCGCCTTTCTCAATTCTCTATCTTCCCTGGCTCTTCGGTCTGCTACAATCTCGGCTTTCCGCTCAAGGTACGCCAACTTGGCTTCCTTGAACACATTTTTTAGTTGCTTCGTCGTACTAACAACTTTGTTCGACTTGTCGACAATCGCTATGGTTTGGTGGATTGCCGCCATTGTTGGTCAGCAGTAGGATGATCTTCGGGGTTCCGTAAGACGATGGGTTTCAGAACATGCAATTGTTCTCGATGGTGCTTGAACGTCTGCAAGGAGGTTCAAATCGAATGTGAGTCCTCACAAAACTGGCTGTTTGTCCGGCGTTAGTACCTAGGTATTCACAAAAATAGCATGGCTGGAACTGGAGCGGTCAACAAAGACACACTCTACGGAGTACATCGACAGACAAAGGCTCATGGAAGGATGTCTCCGAGACTTATTGTCTCAAAACGCCCAGGACTTGTCGAAGCGGGCGGCAAGCCAGGGGACTTGTCTCCAATAGAAAGAGCATTGTCACCAGTTGGGCTTCGTGGTGCTCATTGAATGGTGGGAGGGTTCTTGCAACGTCAACAGCCTGCTCAGCCACAACTGTGGCTGTGATCTAGTTTGTGTGGCTGAAGTGGATTGGCGGACTCACTGATCATCTCAGCTGAAGAGCTCTAGAATTGTTCCTCTTTCGATCCTTAAGAGAATGAGATGCAGCGATATTCCCTGGCCTACTAGACAGAAAGGTTGAACATGATAACCGTTGAGAACATCCGCCACAGGGTGATATCGAGCCGTTTTGCGGCCGGCACAAGGCTGGTCTATCACAGGATATGGACATGCCTCAAGCCGCGGAAGGGAATATGTCCTTTATCTTCAGCCTGTGAAACGGCAGCTCCATCTTAACCGTGCCATTTATTCTGTCACAGGCCCGTCTTGTGCAGTACAGCAATTCAATGAAGGAAATGGTACATGATGAACAGAGTCATCGTCCTCCATACTCCGATCACAGTCCAGCCTTACCAAGCCCAGTACCTATCGTGGCCCGGAACACCTTGCCCCGGCCCGTTGGCAGCTCATGTATCAGTCGAGAGCAACTTCTCCACAGCTGCGACCTTGTCTTCCATAGTTTGAGCCTTGTCCGTTCGACTACCAATGCGAATATCGGTCTGAATCCGCACAATGCCCTTCTCGTGTAAGATAGTATGAGCTTGGCCAATCAGACGAGTCACGTCATCCCACGATCCCTCTGTTACAAGAGAAAGCGTTAATTAGCCCTGAATGAATGTGAAGGACAAAAATATCATCAAAAGGACTGTACGCAGTACATTGGAAGGCTAGCCATATTGAAGTCTGAAGCTTCACTCAGGCCAGACCCTACAAGAAAGCGACCATGAAAAGCTAGAAAGAACTGGAGCGGGCACAGTGGGCTTACCAACAGTAGTCCCTGCTGAATGCATGGAATATTTCAACCCACTTTTCTTCATCAATCGCTGAACATCGGCTATCTGTGCTGATACGGAAGCTGTCGGTGTCCCTAAAGGAATGAGACAGAAGTCTGCGGTACATTTCGCTGGCGTTGCGAGGTCTTTCAGATCTGTAGCCATGATAATCCAGGCCGAATGGAAAGGTGTCTCCGCTGTTGGTCGTGCAAGTGAGGGTGAGTCTTTGCGAAAGCGAGGCAAGGTTGTGATAACGACTGACAGTCCTTTTAGGCACCAGTGATCGCCCGTCGTTATGGGCGTCTCCAGAGACATCGGAACTGACTAGTGTGCCCCGACTGAAAGAGTTATCAGTCCCAGTTGACGACATCCCCGCTCAAATTAATTGCTACAAGTTATATTCGGTCTCCCAAAATTTGACTGAAAATTGTGACCGAATGGTGTAGTGGTTATCACGTGTCGTTCACATAACCGTGAGCACTTTAATCCGACAAGGTCCCCGGTTCGATCCCGGGTTCGGTCATGAACCCCCCAGCATAGTTGCTGGGATAACTGGAGCCTCCTGTTTTTTTTGCTCACTTTCCAGACTTCACTTGCATACCTTTGATACATGGGACGATCAGGGTACCAGAGGACTGTTGCCCTCATGTACTAGGAACGCTCTTTTTCTTTTTTGGGACACCGGAACCTGCAGAACTCCAAAATCCTCCTAATCATGATACGGCATTGCACATGAGATATGAAAATATAGTACAGCTGAATGTCACTCATACCAATACACCACGATATAATTCCACTGATCAGTCTGGTATCTGCGCCATATAGGGGTTCACGAAGTTAGCAGATACCGGTGTCCCTTGCAACGTTGTTGCCGGTGAATAAGAGCGGCCTCGCTCCTGGTTTGTCCACCTCCTATGGAAGTTCAGTCTGTCTGCATCCTTTTTCCACCGATGCAGCAGGGACAACCATGGTAGCCACGACACCAAATATCTTAGCCTTGGCGGTTTGTCTCGCATGAGGTCGTCGATGTCGTTGTCTTCTGGAGGAGCCTCTTTAGGAGCGTGGTTCAGGGTATCAGTCGGTGGCGCAAATAGTTTGAACATACGGGACTTTGGGGGAAACGCCTGTGATCTCTCAGAGTTTTCTGGATCGGTGAACATCGAAGTATGTGCGTCTTGAGGGAGAGAAGGTTCATCGTCAGGATCACGCCATTTCTCCAGTAATTTGTAACCTAGCCGTACGAAGGAGAAGGCTCCAATGATCATGGGAATCAACTGCGACGGGAAGAATATGCGATTGCCAGGGCCGAGGACGCCCTTGACGTGATTGAAGTTGAGTGTACATTCGACTGTGATCATTGACCACACAATCCAAAGGAAGTTTGCGATACGTAGGAAGTAGAATAGGCGGCGGAGTCTAAAATGCATTTCATCAGTCAATAGCAGAGGGATCAAGTTGTGCGCGACGTACTCTTTGTGGTACAAACCTGTCGCGTAGTGTAAACGAGTCGAAGTCCGCCATCTCCCCTGCTTGGCCAGAGCGGCTCCTTTCGCAACTCGGGCGTAGAGCGAGATTGTTGAAATGAGGAGCATGATACCGAAGTAGATTACGCACGAGATGCAGGCAATGAGGTAGAGTATTCTGACACCAGCATCCGCCCTTACTTCCGCAAACATGAAAGTGTAGACGGTCGCACATGGGCCACTATCGGTCACGACGTCGGTGGTATGAGGCTTGATACCCACCACCCAGAACCACAGTCCAAAGACGGATACTGCCATGGCAAGCAGAAGTCGCAGATGTGTACCGAATCCTCCAAAATGGCGGATACCCTTTGGTCCTTCTGCTTCGTAGTGACACGTGCGATAGCCCCAGAGACTTAACACGGAGAAGATTGTGCCACCTGAGAGATGCATCAAGATCACACAGTCAAGTTGTGTCAGGACCTTTGTGATTGTGCATCGAACCATGGCCACGAGGTTCGCAAAGAGGAAAATCGCGTTCGTATCTAGGGCACCACCAATGTCTCCAGGGACAAAGGCATTGGCCTTGACAGATTGTCAGGTACGGTAAGTTCAAGGCTTGGAGTGATGGATTGACTTACCACCCAACCAGTGAACCATGAGAAGTAGATACCCTGTTAAGTATCAGCACCGAGTTGAAGCTCGCTGAGGCATCGTGGATGTTCGTCAAGCGTAGCTCGAGCCAGGGACCAGGACTTACCAGGCGGACACCAATGCCGTAGTAGTCGGGCGCTCTAGCACTCTCGCACTCATAGTCATTCGGGCTTGGACCGGTAACATTGGTTCGAGGAAGAAGCCATTTGGTCTCTTTCTCTGCGGCTGAGGCAGGGCAACACAGTAACAGCAGTAGAAGTCCGGAACAGACAAACAGCGGGCCGTACCGTCGCGACATCTTCGTGGTTGGAATGGCCAAACCAAGGCTGCAGAAAGATGGAATGGAAAGGGCCTAAGTGCACTCACAACTTAGGTAAGGTAACCTCACCTTTTTATCAGAGTGCATTTCGCAAATCCAGGGAGGCAATAGCATATACACCATGTTGAACGGCCATGCTGGGGTCTGCGATCAACAGATATTGCTAGTAAACGAGCGACAGCACCTCTTGGTGGATGTTGGTTCAGCTTCAGGCGAAATCCATGGGTCAAGCCCTGGATGGACTTTGGGAGCACAGTCTTTCATTCGCTTAAGCTTGATGAATGATGGCGATGCACTCCAATCTCTCGTAGAGACTTCAGCTATGACGGAAGTCGTGCTGCGTGGAAACGTCATACCATCACCCCCGTCAAGAGCAAGGCTGGCGATCCGAAGTATCGATTAAGGCCAGCAATGCTAACAGGCGGCAATTGGATGAGCGGCGAGCAGCCATCGACTAACTCCGCAACTCATCTTGCGCTCGTAGCCGATGCTCTATTTATGGTGTGTTGTGTTGTTGTTGTTGTTAGGGTCAAGCTGTGGGAGGCCTGATGTTGGTCTGAAGTTCTCGTATGAACTTATCCACTGACAACTTGGAGCCTGAAAGTGATGCCGATTTCTGTCTGCGCATCCCCTTCCGCCCCCCCCTCTCCGGGGGGCCTACAAGTCTTCATCAATAAGTCCAGCCTTTTGTTATCGAGTCGACGGACCCATATTCACCGAAAATGTCACCGGTAACACGATCAGTGAAAAGAAGGAAGGTGCGACTCAACAAACAGGTGCCTCAGAGCCTGTCAGCAGCCGCTCAGCGGAACACCAAAGCACAATATGAGCGCCTTTGCGGTCGTTGCGACCGCTTTGAACGAGAAGTCATAAGCCACCAAATCGGGACGCTCAAGCAAACCTCATTTTATCATCATTCTACATTTAATGACCTTTTTCGCGCCGCGAAGCTAGGGTGCCAGTTATGCAACCTGCTCACAGAAAACTACATCGATGCTCATCTAAGATATTGGGGAATCGACAGCAGGAAAACAGTTTTACAAAATTTTCGGCACGGCGACTCTCTTATCTCGCATCACAATGCCTGCCCTGCCGCAGACGACCAAACCTCGCACGACTTCGAGCTCGAGCTGCAAATTCATACCTCTAACGATGAGGTCTCCGGTGACCAATTCAATGCCCTATACTCGATCAGGCTTTCCAGATTTCTCTATTGCGATGATTGCACGGTTTTTAACCAATATACGGAACTAGGTGCAGATTTCTTACTGGTAACTGAAGCAGGTATGTCACTACTTTCTGCTGAGCAGTTGATCGCATATACTGACTACTAATATAGGTAGCCCTGCATGGAATGAGGGCAGGCTGGGAACTCGATTGATACATCAGAATCCTGACTTGGATATAGGGAGAGACTGGTTGAGGACATGTCTTGAGCAGCACTCTTGTAGCTCTAAGATGTGGAAGATCCCTCCCGCACGACTTGTGCATATAAGTTCTACGGAAGGACCAGGTTCCGATCTAAGGCTGATGAACGCTATTGGCCACGAACAGTATGCCGCACTCAGCTACAGATGGTCTAAGGCGATGCCACACTCCACATCGAAGAAGAACATCAAACAACACCGTTGTTCAATAGCCGCAGACTCCCTTCCAAAGACGATTCGGGACAGTATTATTATTGCTCAATCCTTGGGTCTTCGCTTCATATGGATCGACAGTCTCTGCATAATCCAGGACGACAATACCGACTGGGACACTGAGTGCCGCAAAATGGCCTCGATCTACGCGCATGCAGTCGTGACGCTCTCTGCAGACAGTGCTGCAAATGCTGACCAACCACTGCTTTCCAGGGCCCTACCATACCTGGACTATAAGGATTGCCATTTACGATATCGCAATAAAAAGGGAGCTATCGCCGGACACGTTCTCATGAAAGCATATGAAGCTGGAGATCGGGATAGTGTCGTTGAACCTCTGAGGGAACCTATACTGGATACTCGAGGTTGGACCCTTCAGGAGCGAGTACTTTCACCTCGGGTACTGCACTTCAGTCGCGATATGATGTGGTGGGAATGCCCTGCCGCCTATCGTTGCGAGACTGCTCGAACGCTTCTTAGCACTGACCGCTTTCATTGGACCAATTACCTTACCCCTTTCAGGACATCTCTGGCCACAATGACAAATGCCGAGCTCTACCGATGGTGGAAGAATTTAGTGCAAATATTTTCCCGTCGGAACCTAACATATCCAGGGGACAGACTTCCCGCTATTTCCGGAATTGCTGCGTACACGCAGTCAATGACTCGAGATCAGTATTTAGCTGGAATATGGCGTTGTGACTGGATTAGATCAATGCTTTGGGAATTTGATTCGGTAATTTGGGCATCCCCTGCATTCGTTGATCATGCACACCGATCACAAAAACGGAATCACTTGCTTCAATATCGAGCGCCATCCTGGTCGTGGGCATCTTCTCACGTGGAGGGACATTGCGTATTATTTGAGAATCACCAGAGAGAGCAACCACATATGGAGTCCTTTGCTGAACTACTCGACACTAAAGCCATCGTATCACGCTTCAACCCTTTCGGAAATGTACTCGAAGGCACATATATGACTCTCAAGGCTCCTGTATGTGTGGCGTACATTCAGCGGCTGGAGCCCGATCGTCCGGACTGCTCATGGTATCGTTATGCAATAGTCTCCTTGAGCGACTGCAGGCTATTTGACGATGGACATGAAATTGACGTATGTTTAGACAATCCGCAGCTTACAACCCATGGACATGCCAAATATAAATGCCTAGGTTTGAGATCACACCACGGGGCAATGTCAGAGGCTTTACTGCTCTTCCTGTGCAGTACTGAGACGCCACCTAGCCGTGGCGGATGCGGAGTATGGCGAACAACGTACAGCTTAATCCTCAAACCCACTTATCAACTCAGGACTCCTGGCACGTACAAGAGGATTGGACTGGTTCGGGAGACGAGAGTGTTAGAACATTCCACTAGTGACTGCCAACAGGGTTGCCACTTGGAGCAATTGATGAGACAGAGTAATACCAGGACAATAGTGCTCGTCTAAAAGGACATATTCATTTGGTAGGACCTATGAGTCTGATCGAGAATTACATTGCGCGACTTGTCGCACTAGTCCAGAGCGTGATAATCACCTCCGTCTTCAATTAACAGACAGCAACTTGGAGACTGGTGTTAGTTGAGTCTATTTAATGGCTTCCTTCTCCCGCGATGGCGCGGAAACTTTGCCAGTCCTCTCAAGATAATTGCCCCGACATCAAGCTCCGTGGGTCTTCCTAACAAGAGCCAACCTTTATCCACCTGTCCAAAAGTGTCGGAGAACTGAGTACTGATGAGATGGTATCAATGAAGCTTATGTACAATACCTCCAAGCCCAGCACTCTCACGAAGAATTTCGCGCGCCTTCCCACAGTCTACTCCTATATCTTCCTCTATTAACTTGGTAGCTAGCTCCGGAATCAAAACCTTACTGACGAAGTCCGTGAACCCGGTGCGGCGCAAGGCCTGGTTTCGACGTCTTTATCTCGGAAATTGAGACTCGAATTCCCGAATGACCTAGGTTCTCCTGGATTGCGTCAGTAGATCGTCGACCGTGTGATTTAAATAAGTTAGGGTAATTCGGTTAGACGTATCTCTAGAATCGGATTCAGTATTCACTTATATAATTTACGATCCCCGGGGCCTATAATAGCTAGCTTCACCGTTTTCGTTGCCATTTATTTGAGGGACCTTTCGTTCTCTGTCCAACTTTACTCGAGAGAGAAACGGTGACGAGATCTCTCCATCTAATATACCGTCAAGAGCTAGAAGAAATTTGCGAATGCGCGCATTTAGTCTCCGCTAACCGATACGAGGATATCTACGCCTAACCTACTCTAGTTCCACTGTATAATACAGCTCGATTTGGTGCTTATGTATCTCAGAGAAAGTATTTTGGTGCAGTATATTCTAACCCTCGAGCCGCTGTCGCGGCGGTAAAGATACCTTGGCTTTACGGTAGGGTCGTTAATACGACGTATTGACGCATCGTTCCAAGGTTGTAGTAGCTTCTGAATCACTATCTAATACGAGAATAGGTTTATACGGACTATAGTAAATTAGTAGCTTTACCTTTAGCTCCAAGACTTTGGGGTCTAGATATTAAACGTTAGGATCGAGGTCCGATAATTCTTGTATAGAAAAGGAAACATTAGGACCTAATCGATTAGCCTAGTCTAAGGTTAAAAGAGAATGCTCGGACGAGTATTCTTAAGCTATTCTAGTGCGACGGTTAGAGTGTAGCGTCGAACTCATAATCTTGGGCGATGTAAGTATTCGTAGTGTAACTACATTAAACTCTTTAGTGGAGTCTCGAGTGACTTCGGTATCCTTTGAATACGATAGGGTCGGCGAGCTGGATACGGGTCTTATCGGCCTAATAGGAGCTGACTCTACGGGAGCCGTAACGACCTCGGGACGAAACTTATTTAAGATCATTGGTAGCGCGATATTATCTTTGATATATATCGGACAGTTAGTAAGGGGCAGCGAAGAAACCATAGAGAGAACGAGGGAATTTGGCTGCTTAGCAGACCTCTGCTTCTTCCGTAGCTTTCCGAATGCCCGCGGACGGACCGCAGTCGAGTTTGGCGGTTTGGCGGTTTCCGGTGTCTCATCGATAAATTGATATTTCTCGGTAGGGATCGAAGGGTCGACAGGGCCGGCGGCGAGTTCGTCATTGAGAGTCTGACGGGGGCGTTTATAGGAGGGTCCACCGTCGATATCTTCTGCCATTATATCCTAAGACGATCGCTTAAATCCCTTGTTGAACTGTGTGTAGTGGACGTCCTAGAGGTGATATCGCCGCCTTAGGGCATTCTCGTATAGGATATTACACTAAGGAATTGAGCAACCTACTTCGCTTCTTCGATCTAGCTCTTCGGTGTATTTAGTTATATA